AAAGCAGTTTCAGGTGGGCAGAAGGGAGGTTTGATTGTTGAAGAAGGAAGGTTTCGAGAGAAAGAGGAGCGTTTGCAGCTGCCCAAGATAACGCGATAAGATGGCGATAGCTGTTCTTGATTGTGTACACAATTCGCTATGTGGTACATAGAGGAGATTGTCGCGCTCTGGAAGAAACTGGGGCAGCAACGAGTGAGCTCGGAACGTTCACGGCTCCCACTCTTACCATCCCATGTGCTATGGATGAACCTGTGGCAACATACCTTTTTGATGAAGCGAAGCCAAAGTTTCAGTATATCTTTGAATGTCTATGCAATGACCATGGTGCTGAATTTGAAGTAGTTCGTGATGAAAGCAAAGACAAATACGCCCGCGAGAAGAGCAAGTGTTTTGGTTTCCTCGCATATGATCCGTCGCTCTTGAAAGACTAGTGCAGAAGCTGTTTCTGGATTCCAAAAATGAAATCCCCCAAAAGATTCGTTATTTTTTTTTTTAAAGTTCGATTGAGAGCTCTATCGTCTCCGAGAACGGATCGCTTCGCAGCATTATCGGGTTGAGTTGTGCGTTATTCACAGCGAATTGTGGCAGCGAGAAATAACCATCCTGGCTTACACAGGACTGGGATGTAGACGATTACGAATGGAATGAGTGTAGCAGGCCATCACCTTCAGCCATGGATGAGCATACATATAGGGTCTTTCCAGTCTAGGATTTAGTATGCCCAGGAATGCTATTGATAGTAATATTTCTGGTAGATCCAGCCCTTTGCTGTTACATAGTATTTTACCAATTTCAGTTGATATTTTGCTAGCAAAAAGTCCTCAGGATAGTGTTGACCCGTTCTAAACCAAAAGAGAAAAAAATGCATCGATCGGGAATCGAACCCGAATCCCCCGCTGTCGGCAGAGACATATTATATTAGTAATATCTACTACTGGAAGGCGGAGATCATAACCATTAGACCATCGATGCTACTCATATGACGTAAATGCAATATTTCTGTAATATAATAATAAAGGCTAATGAAATATTGGCCAAGAAATACACACTTCTTCCAATCAACATCCAACTTCCAACTTCCAACTTCCCAGCGGTATTTTAGAAATTCTTCTTTTAGTCTCGCTGGCGGGGAATTTCCCCTAATTTTCATATATAAAAATAAAGATTGTATAATGCCAAGGATTCTTGAGACAAAGACAAAAATAAAAAAGATAGGCCCGAGCCCGGGATTGAACCGGGGACCTCGCGCAGTTTTGCATAGAGTTGACCCTAAGCGCGAATCATACCACTAGACCACCCGGGCGGATTGGATGACGTAAGCTAATCCTTTGATAACATGATGCAGGAAAATGAAAAAAAAAAAAAATCAGGACTGAGCCCAGCAGGATCGACTGCCGCCCGATAATACCATAACCCTTTGTATTACGAACCTAGTTTTAGTTAACTCCTGGCTATAACGAACACACAATTGGTAGAAAACGAAGCTCTTATTTAAAATAAATACCCCTCCACTATGAATTCGTCAGCTTTTTACTGCAGATCCGTTTTAACGAGGTGATCATTTTCTCTAAACCGGAACTTTGGCCAAATGCCTCCCAAACCGCGCTCCGCTATCTCTGTAGAAAATTTCCCTACATGTGTGAAAGAAAGCGGATCGTACGATAAGCAGTATTTCAACCAGATTATGGACTCAACCGTGCTTTCCCCCATTCCAAGATCTTTTCAAAGAGGAACGTCTTCCTCAGTGAACAGGGTGAGCGGCAGCTAGATCAGCAACGTAACGGACTTGAGCACTGGACCAAGCTTGGGAACACTTCAATCCGGTGGATAAAGTGCGCAGAAAGACACATCACTAGCAGTGTTACAATCCTCGCATGAGAAAACAGTGGGAGAATTTGTCGAATTATCAACGCCAAGAGATTTATAACTTTAGTAACGACTGGCTACAAGGTTTTAACGACGCCACGGTTTTAAAAGCTTTAAGAGATATTGCAGATTTTCTAATGTGGCCAATCACGAAGATTAAATGGAATCTATTTGGTAGAGTCTAGCAGGCTTTCAGCCAAAAGGCATCTTTAATCGTGATGAAACTGGACTATCCTGGAAGCTTACGCCCGATTGAAGTCTTTCTACACATTTTTTACTCGATCGCCCCAAATAAAAAGCATGCATCATTTTTAAATTCCGCATTGATGCGGATTGATCAGATGAAATACCTTTGTAGGTTATTGGACGAGGTGCTCACATGTGCAGCCATGAGCCTTAAAAGCTGCTCAGATTAATATTTAAGCTCTTGAAAGCTATTCGCGATGGGAGACGGCAAAGGTTATAGAAGAATGGTTGTCTTAATCTGATCAACGTAAGAATAGGCGGAAACCCGTTCTTTTAATGAATACTAGTAGTTTCCTTCCATGGTAGAGCTGTGGTGAATCGCCTAAAGTGCTGTTAACCCTTTACAGAATACTTTGATAATTTGACTTCCACCAAATGTAACTAACAAACTTATACAATCGGCCTTAATTTCAAAGAAATACGTATATATATCAATACCTGGAGGACATATTGGCGCAAAGCATAGACCCGCCATAGTAAGAAGGTGGAAGAGATCCTTTAGCCACGCTATTAAAACATGTCCAGAGCGTCAAAAGTCCAGTCTCAGGCTGATGGAGTAGACACGATTCATATGTCTTCTCAGCAAGCGCAGTAACATCTCGAACTTGAGGAATACCAGCTACTACGCCCTCATCAGCATTCATCACGCTTCTTGAAACTGTCATTCAAGGGTCACGATGACACCGATACTGGAAGATCGAAGGTGATGTGGTGATTCATGCGGTAATATTCGCACATTCGTTGTCCAACCCTTCTCAGGCATTGACCAACATGGATCTGGATTTCTCACCACGCGGTCCAAAGATACAGCTAGCGGAAGGTAAATCCAAGGAGACCTTTAAAATTCGTTCACCATTTCTACCTAGCTTTGGGGGGCAATGTAGCCCAGCTTGGTGCATGCTTTGGCAAAGATTGAAGCCGCAAAGGGTTTTGATGGGGGACTTTCTAGCTGAAATCCTGTTACAATCGTCTAGACGTTCAGGCATTTTCAACAATTGCTTGACATTATCTAGTTCGAGAAAGAATCTACATGACACTGTAACTAGAGCAGACAGATACTTCCTATGGTAAATTGTTTTGTACTTTTTAATATCACTGCTATCGTGACTATAGAAAGTTTCTTATTATGATCACATCCAATTCATGAAGATCTGAGTAAATTTTGGATATTCTATAGAATGAGATTAGTCCATTTCAAACTTGATATACTAGTCTAAGAACATGTAATTTAGCCAACAAAAGATAAACCCCAAGTACCGACATAGGCAGCCACGAAACAAAGTAAAGCCTCCACCGCCTACGTATAAATCCCGCCGCCAAAGTGCATATCAAACGTAGAAAAGTGGCTGGGCGTCTTGGCAAGTTAATCAACGTATACCGGATCCACGCGATCATACCGAAAGTACTTCATAACTCCCGGCATTACGAACAACGACACATTGCAGCTGATATTAGCGGCTTGGCATGGCATGCTAGTATAATCTTGTTCTCTCTAACTGGCAAAGTAAGCTAGCATGTACTCCGTACTCCGTATAGGGAGAATAAGAAGGGGGTAAATGGTAAGGGGTAAAGACGCGCGTTGATATAATTCCAAGTTCTTTGTTTGTAGAGCTGATGTACGTGATTGATATGGGTTTCTTGGAAGGATTTTGTTCGGGTTTGCCGAGTCTTCCCAATGGAGAGGTGAATGTTGGATAGCTATACACCGACTCTTTTCGTGGGTCAGTCGTTCGTAAGTGTTTCAAAGACCTGTTTGTTTTATGAAAATATGAATAAGGCAGAAGCCTCACTGGCCTCTTTTACAATATTTGTTAAAGCTTGAATTAGGTCATGCAAGAGACCAGAATAAAAACTAAATCAAACCTAAGAAGCAAACACTGGGAACATCTTGATATCCCCTGCTCCATCTATAACTAAGAAACCGGTAAATAAATTCCATAAACTCCTACTTCTCCCGGGCGTAGCATCTCCTGGTCTCGCCATCCCATGAAAACGTGATTTAAGCATGCTGAAAGCCCACACCAAAAAGGGGCCAAACAGTCCGCAAAAGTCCATGCACGGTCAGATCTACCAAACTCAATTCTGTCTAGAGCAAGTGCCGACATCATCTCATCTCTACTCCGTACATAGGCTCTAGCCACAGAAATGAGTTGTGTTAAGTGGAGACCGAAAAAACCACCAACCACCAAAGAAAAGTGGAGAAATTCATATCTCGTACCGCGGGTCATCTCCAAGAACCAACAAAATCTATGAAGAACCAAATAAACAATGTAAAAAAATGCTCCATTCATTTAATCGCCCACACTCCCGGGTGGATTTTTACTACTTATTCCAAGTTTACCTGTTAAATCGACACTACATATGTAAGTGGGGACGCTGAAATGTTTACTCCGTAAATCGCGGGCATACGTATGCGCTGATGCGGCCGCACTAGCCCCATCACACTAATGGCGCCTCGCCCGGATCCGAACTTCCAACCTTAGCTAGCCTTAGTAGCCTAGTCTTAGTCTTACTAGCCAGGGGCCTAGAGATGAAAAAAGGTACGGAATAAAAATGATCGATCGCTTTTGTGTATGCGCGTGTGGTATTGGGAGAGAAATGAAGAAAACGAAAGATGATCCTCTAATAAAGTAACAAGAAGTAAAGAAGAGAACATACCGCGGTAACAGACTTCGGGTCCGCTACCAGGTATAGCAACACCACAAAACCCATGCAAGCAACACGCTAAATCTTTGAAAATCGTGATTGCAGGACCAGGGGGCGTTAGAAAAAATATAACCAAAAATAACCCGAACCAAAAACAAAAACCATAAATAAAAAAACCATCATAAAACCACACGGCGCGTAGAAGCGGGCGCTTAGCTTGACTTAGGTAGCAAGCTTCAAGTTTACTCGGAGTAATCCAAAGTAACGGCCAAACGCACGGCACCAGCAGAAAGGTTTCCACCAATACCACCCTCATCGGCCTCAGCAGAGGTATAAGCATTTGAAACAGTGCCCGCACCAGAGGTAATGGAGGAGCAAGTATCACCAAGTGCATCACAGATCTTCATACCCTGGACAGTCATATCGGAGTCCTGCGCAACAATAGCACTGACATCGAATCCAGACCAGCCACTGTTAACAGTGGATCCAAGATCGAATTCACCCCATGTACTGGCGTATTCACCGAGGTCGTTAACAGGGACGGAGCCCTTGCCAGCGGCCCAACCACCCTGGGAATCGGTATCGAAAGCATAGTAGATAGTTTCGCCGGCAGCGATCTTAAAGGTGTGACAGGCACGTTCGAACCAGCCGTCCATGCTTCCGTCTTCGCCGTACTTGTTCCAAATGACGACTTCCCATTCATCGGTGCTGGAGCCGGTAAATTGAACTACGTACTTGTACTCCGAGGCCACGGAGGCGTCGACAGTGATGATGTTTGAGCCGTAGGGGCTGCCGACATTACCCTTGTAAGTATCAGATGAGCCGGATGACTTGGTGGATGCTCCAAAGCCGGAGGTGGAGTATGTGCCGTCTGATGGGACAGAGGTCCAGTCAGCGCTTGCTGCGGAGCTGGCGGTTGAGGCTGCAATGGTTGAAGTTGAAGTTGAAGTCGAAGTTGAAGTTGAAGTCGAAGTTGAAGTTGAAGTTGAAGTTGAGATGGAGGTTGAAGTAGAGAATGAGGTTGAGATTGTGGTAGTCTCAGGCTCTGGAGTCGGGGTTGGAGTAGGAGTGCTAGTAGAAGTACTAGTTGGCTCGGGAGTAGGAGTATACTCCGGTGTTGGGGTGGTAGTCACTGGCGCGACGGAAGTAGTCCATGCAGGAGTTGAAGTAGAAGAAGCGCAACTCGACTGAGGGCAGGCCGTGATAGTCACCAATTCAGTGACTGTGGTGGTGCTTAGGACATGACGACGAGCATGACCTTCTAACCGGGCGAGGACACCAGTAGAGAGAGCTGCCAGCAGCATCAAAGAGTTGTTGAGACGCATATTTGCAGAAAGATTGAAATTCAACAAACACTAGAATGAATGAATAGTGTTTTGTTGTATAAAGGAAGGACGGGAGTATGAAAACTACCCTGAAATCCGAGAACGAAATCGATATAGAGAGTGTGTGCAGGTGTCAAATAAGGAAAGCGAACGGGGGGAGCGAGGGAAAAGGTAGCCTTTAATATAAAATGGCTAAAATGGCTTGCAAGAGCCTAGAATGGCATCGTTTCTTTTTTTTCGCACCCAATTTTTAATTAATCCTTTTTTTTTGCTCATATTTTTATTTTATTTTATTAATTTATTATTTAATCTCTTATTTGCCCCGAGGCTAATACACGTATGCACTAGGGCTTAAATTAGGAGGAGGGGGCGCAAAGCGACCTCCTATACAGAATCTAGACGGGCGAAAAGTGCCCAAAAGTGCCGGGGGTTGACGTGTGTGATGGAGCCATGTGGGTACCCACGCTAACAAACGGTGACGATTGGAGTAGACGAAAGAAAAGAATACAGATCCACCGGTTTGTGGGATCTCGCTGTTGAAACAGAACTCGTTCCACAATGAGTCAGTATTCGAGATTAAGAGGAAAAAACCCCAGATTGAGAGGAACTATTCATATATCTTTGATACGATCGTGAATTGTGGAGGGGAATAAGGCTGCGAACAGGAATAGTCCATATTAAATTGATTAATCTCCCCTTAACCCAATCACCGACCGGATAAACAAAGACTTACTCGCGTACAGCAGTTAGTACAAAGGGCTGAAAGACTGTAAAGAGAAGAAAGAAGTGGGGGGTCAGGCAACATGAAAGAATGAGTCAAGACTGTGTAGGAACATAGATGTCATGAACGATGTACATTTTCTTCTCGATTAGACTTTGCGTACCTACTTGGCACCCGATCCAAGGCTGATCCGGCGAGACGCCGTGTTTCAGGATCTCCGAGGCTTCGGAAAGCCGCAAATGAGGCGAGTCGGGCCTAATATTAGGAATATCGCATGAAATATTAATAAATACCAAGCAATGAAAGTAATGAAAGCATTTATTGTAAATTGTTTTCTTTCTTATTGCATTTAAACCTCTTCAAGGTCTGTTCCACGGTTCTAATCTATCAGAGCCAAATGATCCCATGGATGCCCGATCGGCAATGCTTGGCTCCGGAGATCAGCCGGATTATGTAAGGCGACCAACAAATCAGAAACCCAATCTGGCAGGTCTATAGTACAGCCCTATATAGAGTTGCAGCACTTGAGGTGGACAGGTGGTTGAGATTGAAACCCAGTTCGTACAATTGCGTATGGAATATTAACAACATGAAATGAATAAACCGTGGAAAAGAAAAGAAATAAAAAAGAAATCAAACATCGCTCCATCTATGACATGACACAAATCACTAATTTTTTAGAATCCACACTATCGGTTTACCGACGTATATGGATATAAGTTTAGTTGTCCACCTTGAACTTCATGCGGATACCCATAGCCGCCAACTCGACATCCAGGAATCGAAGAACACCAGGCACAGCAACAACAGTGACATCGTCACCACCAACATAGCGGAGACCATCACCATCCTCCCAAGCCTCAGCGCGCGAGTCATTGAAAGTAGCCTGGCGAGCACAACGGCGACAGCGCACAATACCATTCACTCCACCCAAAGCACCGCCAACAGAAGAGGCACCACCCGGAGCCTGCTGGTTAGGAGCAGCCTTGGCCGCAGCAGCAGCAGCACCGGGGTTAACAGCAGCGCGACGGGAAGAGCCAGAGCCGGAAACAGCAACTTGTGTAGAGAGGAAAGAACCACAGCAGCGACAGAGCCAGGCAAGCTGGGAATCGGAACAGTTCATCAGACGATCTTGGAGGAGGAAGGCGGCTCCGTGAGCAATTAGGGAATCACGCTCCATCTCTCCGACACGGATACCACCACCCTTGGCACGACCCTTGACGGGTTGGCCGGTTAAGGCGTTGACGGGACCGGTTGTACGCACTTGGAATTTGTCGTTTACCATGTGACGGAGACGTTGGTAGTATACCACACCCATGTAGATGTCTGCGGCGAATTCACGACCAGTGATACCACTGTAGAGAGGCTCGTTACCGTAGTAGTTGTAGCCGGCCTTCTTGAGCTGGTGACCGAAGTAGTCGGTAGCCGTGTTCTCTTCGGAGAACTGGAATGGTGTGCAGTCTTGGGAGTGGCCGTGCAGAGCACCGGCTTTACCAGCCATGGATTCAATCATCTGAGCAATAGTCATACCTAAATGAAATGTGAGTATAGGTTCGATAGTGGAGTAGAAACGGGCGTTGTGAGGGTATAAAACTTACGAGATGGGAAAGCGTGAGGGTTGATGATCAGATCAGGCTGCATTCCACTCTCGGAGAATGGCATATCGATGGAAGGCCAGAGCTGGGAGCAAACACCCTTCTGCCCGTGACGAGAAGAGAACTTATCACCAATGATGGGCTTACGAGGAATGCGGTACTTGACACTGATCGATTGCATGGGTTCAGTGCCATGCTCAGATCCCATGATGCGAATACTCTCAATGTAACCGGCCTCGGCATCCTTGTACTTCAGGTAATGTGTGACACCATCAACGTTAACGTAAGAGTTGGTCGTAGCATCGAAGCGCACGTTGTGATACGCAGCAATCTTATCACCCTCCTGCACACGAATACCAACATGAGGCAAACCATCATCGTCAATGAATTTGCGCAGCTCAGCCTTGACCTCATCGCCAGGACAGAAACCGAACAGCTTGCCGACCTCGCGGCGCGATCGGCGGTCTTTCTCCGCTAAGCTGTGCACCTTGGTCTTGTAGATAGTTCCGTGACCAAAGCCACGCTCGTGAGAAGATTTGTTGATAATCATGGCGTCGTCCATGTCGTAACCGGTGTAGGAGATAATGGCAACAATAGCGTTCATACCGTTAGGGAAGTTGTCCAGACCGTAGGCGTTGTATAGTGGTGGGCGAACAACAGGAGTTTGACCAGTTTGTAAGCGGTAAAGCTTGTTATCCGTACGGTAAGCAATGGAAGTACCGGGCGTACCCATAGTTTGCTTGCTCATCTGACATTGATACATGTTACGAGGAGATTGGTTGTAGTCGGAGAATGGAGTCATGTTGGCCACGATGGAGAGGATGTTGGTTGGTGTGAACTCGATGTGTGTAGAGAGACCGGCGATCAGATCTGATTCCACGCAAGCAATTTCCATGAACGGCTGCTCGAAAGGACCCACGTAGTCCAGCTTATCAAGAGCCAGATACTTGACAGGTCGATAGAATCTTGCTGCTTGGGAGAACATGTAAATACCGGGGTATTGTCCGCCAGTGGAGTTGGGAATATATCCAATCTCCAAGCCGACGGGGACGTTGTTCTTGCCGGAGACCTTCCAGTATCGCAGAGTGTCGTGGATCTTGTGAGCTTGCTCGGGTGAACAGAAACCAATGATTCTGCCGTCAAGCTGAACTGGAACACTTTCATCCATGGCCACGGAAGATTGAGCCTTGACACCAAGCTGCACAAGAAGTCGAGGCAGATGTGAGACATCAAGGTTGTCCGTGGTAATGAAACACTTGTGTGCCAAATGGTTCAACAAACCACAAGGAGAACCATCAGGAGTGTGAACAGGACACAAGAAACCCCAACTCTCAGGCAGAAGTTTACGCACGGTGGTGGTCTTCAGTTGTGCAAAGAAACTACCACGATGAATCATGCGGAAATGACTGATGAATCGGTAGAAGTTGATCTTCTCAGCCATGACCGTGTAACCGGATGTCTGTTGCAAATCAAGACCAGTCGGACTGACAAGGTTACCCGTTGACAAGAAGTACTCAAGGGCTCCTCCAATGTTCTCGTTGGATCGCTTGACAATCTTGGATAAGAAGTCACGCTCAAAAGCAGGATCCACGAACCCGCCAGGGTTACGAATATTCCAATCCCGGGCAAGAGGGCTAAGCGCTCGAAGCCACTCGTCGATACGTTCCTTTAGGATCATGCCGTATAAGAAACCACCAAGCAGAACCTCCTGGTTAGAGACCGCATCGGGGTTATCAGGAGCACAGTCACCAGCAACCAAAGCGTACAGCTTGCGGATCATGAAGATGATCATCTTGAACTTGTCGTAGTTTTGTGTTTCGGTAACATCGTAGCATCCCAAGTGAGGAAGAACAACCTTACGCAAGAACTCATCACCAACCTCCTCATCAGAAACATCTGCCGACAGACCCAACACAGGGCGGAAACACTTGCCCAGGTGAGCACGGCAGTCGGTCTGGCTGTGCTTGCCGTAGGCCTGGTAAGTTCTCAACAAGAGCTCGACACGGTCTGTGACGAAAGTGTTCTTCATTCCCTTGGAGTTGGCAGCACCGACGATGCCTTCGAAGATCTCGCGATCGTTGGTCTCAACCAGAGCCTTGAGGATCATCATAACAGGAACCAGGTACTCGTTCTTGCGCCATGAGAATCGGAAGGTGACATTACCATCCGAAAGGTAGTGAAGGACATTAGTTTGAGAAGTTTGATCAGGACGAACAGATCGAATCTGTACACCGAACTTGGTATAGGTGTGACCACGCTTAACGAATGAACCACGAATAATAGACATAGGGTAGTTCCGCTTGCCGACAATCAGCATACGAATAAGCTTCTCGTTACCATTGACAATGTAGTAACCACCCAATTCTTCAGATTCTTCCTTGTGGCGCACCAGCTCTTCCGGGGTAGCATTTTCAAGGTGACAGCGGTTAGTGCGCACCATAATGGGGACCTGACCGAGCTCTCGCACTGACTGCATCCAGTCACCATTGTTAACCCGCCACTCAAGACGAGCACGAAGCTTGCCACGGTAACTTGCATGTCTCTCACGGCACTCGGAAGGATAAATTTCACGGTTCTTAGTGCTGAACTTGTTGGTGGCCGGTAAAGTAGGTTTTTCGAGGAAGAGTTCCTTCACGCGCACACTCAGACGGTTCCGCTTCGGGGCACGAAGTCCCTGTTCCATACGAGCTTCCTTCTGCGCAGGGGTTTCAGGGCTTCCATCGAGAATGACCTTGGTACCGATTTCCTTCAGTCCTTCGTTCAGGATGTTGATGTCGTCGAAGAGAGCATTGAATGAGTCGATATGCGGCTTAATGGATTCAGCTAGCGACGGATAGGCTGTGTGATCTTTAGGAGGGTTTTGGAAGAGGTTCTCTCGACGCAGGGTGTCATATTTGACCGACCATTCGGTGTCGGTAGGAGCAGGCGCCATGATGGAAGCTCACGGGTGGTCGTATTCGATATAGAAGAAAAAAACAGGATAGACGGACCAATGGGTATCGAGGGGGATAAAATAGAGGGTACAAATAAATATGTATAAACACAATGGTGACCAGCAGACGGGCCCCAGTCAGCCTCCCAGGTATAACCAGCAAAAGCGAGTCAAGCCGACGATTGGCAGGCTTTGAAGAATTGGAGATTCATCTTTGCTTGGGGAAATTTTTCGAAGTGGAGCCGGTTATCATCACGTGTAGATAAGGCAGCAGCTTATGCTGCCTGAGGCATACATGCATGGTTAAGGCAGTAAGGTGAACCCGGGTCAGTGGACCCCCACTGAGCTCTCAGTAGGGGTCACATGACTTTATGACATCACATGAGTCTACGGCTTCTTTGATACCATACCAAATACCCCAACCACCTCGCTTTCACTATTACCACCCCTTTCATCTAGTCTTCTTTGTCTAGCTAATAGGCCTATATTACCCTTACTATATGCCGTTTGTAAAAGATAAGGTAGAGCTAGAGCTTCCTAATATTACTATTAAAGTAAGTTTATTAATACAGGGATTCCTTCTAAAAGGAGTCGGTTGCTGTTAATATATATATATCTAGTACCTCTATATAGTATTACTCCTATAAGCGACACTTTTCGACAGCTTATATAGCTCTCTATCCTTCTCAGACCGAAATTGCTGATCAAGCTCTACTAGTGCATCGTCGATAAAAGATTATCTCGTTTGCGATCTGTGCTTCTACTATATCGATTCGTAATGGTGTTGATTGAATATATTAAGTAGGTTGGTTTACTAGTAAAACAGCTAAATATACTAGTAAAATCAAGCTGTATTTATATATAAATTCTAGCGCATTCCAAAGGGTCTACCCTACATAACTTTACTATAGGGAGTGGAATGTGGTAGTATTATACAGAACATCCTCCATACAAAATTTACAGAGGGTCCTACTGAGCTTTTTTAGTCACGTGGGTCCTACTGAGAGCTCAGTGGGGTCCCACTGACCTGTTTTCTGCCATCGGGGTTCAACCTATATTCAACACACAACGTAACTACTAGTAGCTCTTCCCATTTTTCTTCATAGTAATTTTATAAATTCTCCTTTTATTGATTCTATATAAACCCACTCCTCCAATGCTACCTCTCCATACTAGGTAGTCTCATTTCCTACTGTCAGGCTGCAAGAAAGCCTAAGCGCCCCGGGGCCTTCTCCAAACAGATTCATAGTCATGTGTGCACGTAGATCTTTGGCGCTCAGTAATCTCTTCTTGGTTATACTTACAACCGCCGAGAGAAGCGCTTTGGTTTTCTCCCCTTTCTCTTCTTGCTTTTTTGGAGGATTCTTGTATTTTATTTTATTCTATTATTTTTATTCTTCGGCTCTTGAATCCGCTTGTCTCGCTTCCCCCATTCAAAACCTGGTGGGAAGTTTTCCAAGTTTCCCTCTGGCACACCGCGCAACTCTTTCTTCTCTTTCGCTCTTATTCTTTTTTGTGTTCTTCTCTTCCTTGAACTGTCTCCTCCGTCTTCCATCTCTATCTCCATCTCTATCTTTCCTTTTTACCACCCCCACCTACCCCAAATACCAACCATACCCGCCCAACATGGCTGGGATATTTCGCTCCATCTATGACTGGCTCTTAAGGATGTTCTGGTAAGTGGGACCGTTGAGGCGTTTCTTGGTTCTCGGGTGCACCATCCACCATCATCCCGGCGTCCCCGCAGATGAAAAAGGCACCTCTAATATCTTCTCCCTTGCAGGGCGACCGAGATGGATGTTAGTAGAATCTAATAATATATAACTTCTATCTAATAATATATAGCTTTTAACTGACTACTATAGGTTACCCTGATCGGATTACAAAACGCAGGAAAATCCTCTCTGCTTCGGGTCTTAGCTGTATGTCCACCTTGTTCTTGTCCTTGTTCTCTTCATCATTTGATTTTCTCTCTTTGTTTCCCTGCTGATCATGTGGTAGGGCGGGGAATTCACAATCGAGTAAGCCGTGCAAAGCAGAACTTGAAAAAAAGTCATGTCAGACGTGATCGAGTAACCGGATTCTAGCTCCATCCCGACGATCGGCTTTAACACCAAGCGAGTTCAAAAGGGCCATGTAACCTTGAAATGGTAAGTCCCATATCCAAGCTGTTTGCATATTTGATCCCGTATAAGGTTGCTAACGACGATAAAGCTGGGATTTGGGAGGCCAGCCACGGTTTCGCCCGATGTGGGAACGATACTGTCGAGGTGTCAACGCGATCGTGTAAGCTGAACTAAAAACCAAACCGAAAGAGTAAAAGTTCAGGATGGAGGGCTAATTCCTAGCTGTAGATATATCGTCGATGCGGCTGATAAAGCTGCCCTGCCTGTGGCAAAAGAGGAGCTGCATGATCTGATGACAAAACCCACGTTAGCTGGAATTCCGCTCCTCGTGCTGGGCAACAAGTCCGATCTGCCGGTTAAGTTGTCGGTAGATGAACTGATTGCAGCGATGGATTTGAAAACCATCACTCATCGCGAAGTTAGTTGTTATGGAATCAGTGCTAAAGAGGAGACTAACCTCGACGCTGTATTGCATTGGCTGATTGCGCGAGCAAGTCGATAAGCACACAAATAATCCCCCAGTCTGAGAAGGGAAAACGCAAAATAAATTGAATGCGAATCATGGGGGTCCAGCACATAATAAGGTGAAGCGCACACGGACCAACTGATGCGTTGGCCATGCAGCCAACGCTCCCGCCAAGGTACACATGTTACAGCTTGTCCCGGGTGATTAAAGGACACGTCTGAGGGGGACTACAGCACATTTCTTTTGTTTCATTTTATTTCATTTTCACGATCGTCTGCGACCGGTGGGAAGAATTAACTTGAAGTTCTTACTACATACAGTAGACCCAGAGTGGGGCTGCCGGGAGCCACGATAATCCATGGAGTTGTTTTCCACGGATACTTTGTATGCGGGGAGACCATATGGATGGGATGTAATATATGGGATTTGCTGAACTTAGATTCTTGGAACCTTGATTATTTGTTTCAAGTTTGGTATTCGTCGGAATCGTGCTAGCCTTAGTATATGTACGTAAGGTTGGATCTTCTCTTGCATCACTGTAAGTGACATCATGCCCGACCTGCATCCTCGACCTCCAACCCCCGCGAATAGTACAGATTTTTATTATCAGATTTCGTAGTACACACTCAAATTTTTCTAAATCACGAGTTTATCTAATAATCATTAAGTTTTAGCCTTGTATTACTTTTTTGCTTGTTTCCCACACACTGGCATGATTCAAGTTCACAGTCCTAATCGGTACTATATATTTAAAGTTCTTGATATTCAAATATTTTTTAAAGAAAAAGAAAACTCAAGAAAATGCCTAGATAACAGGTATGCATGGAAAAACCCGAAGACAATATGTTGAAGGAGCTCAGAAGTCGATTTTCACTTTTAAAAGAGCGGTTACAATCATGTCTTCCTTGAAACCTTCCATTAGCTGCATGATGTGCCTGCTATCTCGACAACCCAAGGCTTTCAATAATGTCGCCCACAGCTCACTGGATCATTTCCAAGGCTTCTAAACTTGAAATGACTACACTTCCAGCTAGATCTGGATTTCAAAACTAGAAAAAGGTAACTGCTAAAGCTACTAGTGATGCCAGTCATACAGCTGTCTATGACAGAATCTTGGACCTCACACCAAAGCAAACATCATTGGATCGGAGAGTTCCAAAGGTGTTACTATTCATAGCAGCCCAGTCCTCTCGCTGGGATAAGCAAGCTCCTCAAAGTAAAAACTATGTGGCACGTCATACGATGTCTATGCTGTGGATTAATAATGCTTGCTGACAGTGCTTCCAATGCTGTCATACTAGAACATGACCTCTTAAAGGTTATATCCTCAGCTATGATTTGATTCTGCAAAGCAAAATAAAAAGCATGAACAGAAAGCTCTCACCAATTTCAGAGTTTGGTTCTTCTTCTGTGAGCATAGAAAGTCAACCTCCATTTTGTCCTAACCCATCTACCACTCACATAAATCTGGGATCCCATGCATTTAATCATCCCTCGAGGTCCAAGAGCTAAATAAGTAGCTATGGCATTAATCAAAATTGCCATCGCAGGAGTACATCCCTCTACATCATGATCCGCCACCACAAAAAACGCTAACTGAACATTTGAACAGGGCAGCGGACCTCTCGGCCGCGCCGTAGTAAAGCTCTCCTCGACGCAAAATTCGACGTGACAATTCTCAGCCGCTCATCCTCTTCGGACTAGTCAACACCTTAGGCTTCGGCACTATCACCGAAGAAGTGCATATCCGACTAATTGAAGCAGCCTACAAAGCTGGTTTAAACCAGTTCATCCCCTCCGAATTTGGCAGCGACACGACAAATGAATTTATAGCCAAACACCCCATTCTCGGGGGGAAACGCACTATCACAAAGCGACTACAAGAGATCTGTGCACAACAGGATAACTCGAATCTTACCTGGACAATAGTGATAAATGGACCCTTCCTCGACTGGGGACTGGAAGGTAAATTCCTTATGAATTTGAAAGAACCCTCAATACTGATCTATAATGGCGGTGATGGACTGTTTAATACTATAACACTTGCGGGAGTTGGACGTGGAGTTGTCACAGAATTTACTTCTTGAGTTATCTGGGATGAAGGATCAGATTACGTTGGAGAAGATGGAGACGAAAGATTTGGAGGCGGCGGCTTATGAGGCTATTGAGCGGAATCCACCGGATCATCAGATGTTTGCATATAATCTTATCAAGCAGGCGGTTTTTAGTGAAGAGTGTGGGCATCAGTTCGAGAAGATGATAATGAGTTGTTGGGGGTTAGGATGCTTTCGGAGGCGGACCTTGTTGAACTTGTCAAGCGGTATACTATTTGAGGATTGAGGTTAAATTGTGTATGCTAGCTAGTTTTGATAGTTGACAACTGACGATTCCAGGATTTTCAATATTTAGCTACGTATTCTGATGGATTTAGTTGTGAATACCTGCATTTCGTGATCTAAATACTCTATACTGTATCTAGCAGCCTTGAAGACGAGTAGTCACATAGAAGAGTCTAAAAGACCTGCCGAATTTACGCAATGTACACTCAACTGGTGGCTTAGCACATGTCAGCATAAGAAATTCGTTAGTGATCGTGAGACGAAAGTGGAGAATACGCTCGTACTGCCCTACGCATAAGGCATAGGGCGAATCCACTTCAAAATTTTGTACGCGCATAGCCACGGCCATGATGTATGTGGTGAACCCCCGCACCAAAGAGCATTTGAAATCAATCGAAGGCGAAAACGAGGGACTTGACAGTCTTGGAATTTTTACAATGCCGAGTTATCCATCATAGACGATGTGGTATGATTGGCCACAGTAACAGGTATACCCGAGCTGCGCCGCAATAGCCAAGATACGTAGGCGCCTACGTACTGTAGTCTGCGACGAATTTATTGGGATCTAACACGCTAAAAGGTGAGCGGCAAATGGCTAGAGAAGATCCCAAATCCCAAAATAAGTTAAACACAGAGGTACATGTACTCAATTATAGGATAAATGTCCGTAGTCCGTGTCCAGGTTAAAGGGTTTTCTTAGTCATCCCTCATGAATCATAAACTTGCAGCCTAAAAAAGTCACTAAGACAGTGACCCACATCTCCCCAGCCCCATGATTGACACTTTTAGCCACGGCTACAGATCCTATTTCTTTTCCGGCGCCTGCTCTTTTTCTTCCTTCACTGACACACCCTGAGCCATGCCTTCCTTGATACCCCGCTGGGGCAGCTACGGTTGGTAAGTTACAGTTACCCGGATCTACCTGCATCTACCTGATCTACAGGGTGAACCCTTCCACTAACTCCGAACTACTCTGTAGCGATTACTATGACGACAACAATGGCAATAGGAACTGCAGCTCTAACTGGGACCGCTGGGGTCGCTGGGTCGCCTTTGCGATTATTGTCGTGATAGCCTTCCTTATTTTCTTCTCATTTGCGTACGTCTCATGATCCCCATAGTGACTCCTTTGGAGAGCTATCTTGCGACCGACAAAATCACTAACATCAATCGATTACAGTTGCTTCAACGCTCGTCGTCGTCGCGCTCGTGGCCGACAACCGCTCACTGGCACAGCCTGGATGGCACCACCCCCCGGACCACCACCACCTAATCAGCCTTACTACCAGAACGAGGCATACTACCCACCTCAACCACCACCACAGTACTCCGCCAATCCCCAGCAATACGGATACTTCGGCGCGCAACAAGCACCCCCTCCACAGCAGAACGGCATCGAGCTTCAACAACCACAAAACTCCTATCATGCATCGGGCGCTAGAGATTACTCTCCCCCACCGGGACCACCTCCGGCCAAGTCATAAGTCATGAAAAGGCATCGATGATGAATCAGCCAGACTCTACCATAAACCCAACCCCATGACGTATATCTACCGGTCAATAAAGAAGACTTCTACCCGTTGTGAATGGAATCTGGAATGATCTTGTTGATCAGCAATAAATGGAAAACTTCGGCGTTTTGATTATCCCTGGATTGGATGTTCTTCTTTTTGCACGTTCAAGAGATCTGTCATGACCGGACTCAGAATCGTATGAACCTCTTTTTATCTATCTCTAATGTCTTCTCTCTCATCCATTTCAACCGAATTGTATGGAGCATGATTTATTCCTTTGCATTTTGGTGATTTATTTCAATTTATCACCGGGCTATCTGCCTCTATCGTATATTTGTTTCTAAATATTAATCTCATGCCCAAATTCAACATATCATCCATATAGACAAAATCCCAGATTCCTCTCTTCTCTACGATACCCAAACCATCAATATCACCTACATAAAACGCTATAAAATAGAAAAACAAAGCCACCAAAAATGGCCCCCGATCGTCCTACTTTAATTCCACCACAAATCAAAATCAAAAACACCGAACCCACAAGGCTAATGCGCGGATGCCCCAGGCAGATGGTCTCCACTTCATCGATCAGGACCAGGATCACTGTCTCCGCCCGCGTTTTTCGCGTCACCAAACCAAAACCAAAACCACCAAACACAAAACACAAAACCCAAAATGGATATTGACGACATTCTCGCCTCCGTCGACCATGGCCCCGGCGCAAGCCGTGAGTCCGCAGCAATAGATCACCAGCTCCTAACCCGATTCTGGGCTGCTGAGCGCGCCGTCTCGGAAGTCCTCCCATGGCCCGCACCACTAATGGAGCGAATGATGGATAGAGTCCGGATCCAAGTAAGTAGTCCTACTCACAAGAGCATACACAGACTGTCCCACTCAATAAAACACCTATTGATAGCTTCAAGTACACGAAAGCAAACAAGACTAACCAATACCTAGATCGAAACAATCGAAGACCTCGCCGCCTCCTCCGCAGACATGGACCCCTCCACAAAACACACCACACACAATCCCAATCTAAACCTCCGCCTCTCAATCCTTCAAACAGACCTAGCAAGAACCCAATATCTCCTCCGCAGTCTCCTCCGCCAACGTCTATCAAAACTCTCAAAACACAGCATGCACTACCTAGTCAAACTAGCCTCGCGCTCTAAAAACCCTCTCATCTCCGACTCTCAATCCCAATCTCAATCCCAGTCACAGTCCCAACAACCAAATTCCCAATTAACACCTGGAGACTCAGTCCCAGATATCTCATCCATATCAGACATCTCACCATTAAGCTCACAAGAAGCGACCTTTGTGCACGCGCACCAAACAATGTTAGCAGGACACTTTGGGGGATCGTTCATGGGCGCCTTTCCGCCTCAATTGAGACGATTGGATGATAATGCGGGTGGAACGAGTATGGTTCAAGGACCAGAGATGAAAGAGGTTGTTTTTGTGAGGTGTTTGGTTGTTGAGGTTCCTGTTGTTGTACCTGGTGATGAGGGAGAAGAGGATCATGGGGTTCTAATGCGGATGGGAGATGTTTGGGTTGTGCAGTGGGAGGGTGTTAGGGAGGCTTGGATGAAGGGATTGGTGGAGTTGCTTTGATTAAGCTGGAGTATTTCATATTTCATAAGACTTGGCTGTTAGGGCATTTTTGGCGTTTTATGTCTTTTTTTGTTTATTCCTGTTATACCCGGATCGGAGCATAGTAGGTATATACTAGCATCTATATCTACGTTACCATATCATGATAGCAGTCATGTCAAGTCTATTCAAGAGATAGAAATGTCTACGATGGATATCAGTATATTTTACCATATTTTGTGTAGAAGCGGCACGTTATCACTGTCAATTCCAGTGAGCATAAATAACCCACGTCGTCTTGTCTTGTCTTATAACTCCTCGAATTCATAATCATCATTGAAGCATATCCCATCCATTCCCCAGCCTACCTAGGTATCACCCACTTCTTCATAATCTAACTATTAACATGAAGCCCATAACGCCGATCGCTAATTGATAATCCCCCAAAATAAAGCCGCGGGGGAGAAAGAAAGAAAGAAAAAGGCAGTATGCCGGAAAAAACCAAAAGAAAATGCAGCGTAGAAGTCCCAGATGCAAGTGGAAATAAGAGGGAAAGGGAGTTAGATAGCAAAGCTAGTCTAGGCTATGTAGCCTAAGCCACGTATCCATATGTTGCTGGGTCCTCGGATAGACGTTCCAAGTACTCGCGATCGATCAAACTCTCGATACGCTTCTTGATCATCCCAACGTCTGGAACGAAACGTGCAGAGAGTTGCGACAAGACCTCGGAGATGAGTTGGGTATGGCTTAGTGATTTGCGTTGTCTTAAAGAAAAGGTTAGTAAATGGGATATCCTGAATATAGGCTGAGGCTTAACATACTTCATGATACGCACGAGTGCAGACTCGATTGTACCAACACGCTCTTCGGACATCTTCTTTTCTGTCTCTTTTCGCTGATCAGGGTTCTCGGCCTTGTTAGCGCTGCCGCTAACAACGCCAATGCGAACCTTGACGAATTGGCTGTGGAACTCATTGTTGAAAAAGAATTCATCTGTTGGCTTCACGTCCTTGCTCATTGGCTCTTTGCGGAGGACACGGGTCTTAGGTGCCACGGCGAGGGATTGCAAGTTACGAATCAAATCGTGAGGTGGGATCAGTGTCCGAGATTGTATATCTTCAAACGTTAAAGACTCGCCATCTGGAAGATCATTGAAGAGCATCAATACAAAGAGTCCGTATGTGGAAACGTTCAGTTCATAACGCTGAATTTTGCCACTGCTGCGGTGGAAGGTCGCTCGAATATCAGCGGTACCCATAGAGGGCTGCCAAGATAGCTTGCGACCACTGTGTTTGTCGAGGTAGAACTTTTCGAAGCTTTGACGCACACTTTCAACTTCGCGGGGCAGAATGCAAGTCTTTTGTGCCGAGCCATCCTTATTTGCCAATATCTCCATGGGCCACATTGTACTGGTGAGAACGTGCATGTCTAGATCCATGCGTTTCTCGTCTGGATCTCCAGTGCCAGAGACATATTCTTTGTAGCTTGCTGTTAGATCCTCAGAAATAGCCATGTCCTTGAACATGGCTTCAATTCGTTGAGTAAATTGGTTGCCGACTTCCAACTTCATCTTGGATATCATTTGTCGCTCAGCATCCATACTGGCCGATCGTTTCATTAGGAGTCGACGAGCAAGATGCTTCTTGTAGTATGTCTCGAAAAGATCCTTATCCTTGATGTAGCGGAGGAGTGTGATGCCGTTATCCAATAGGGCGTCAACTTCATTTTCTGTCTTCCCTTTGATGCCTTTCTTGAGATTTTCGTCGAAGAACAAGGAAAGATATTCCGAGCTTCGAGAGTTCATGTTGATGAAATCCATAAAGCTGGCCATGATTGAGCGATGGAGGCCCTGATCTGACGCGAACGCATTTTCCCAGACATTGTCAAATTGTCTCTTGAGAGCAAGGATGTCATCAACCCATTGGATAGCCAGCACAGTTTGCTGATTTGTAGGCTTCTCTTTCTCTTTGCCTTTCTTCTTTTCGGCGCCTTTCTCTTCCGTGCCCTTCTTAGGCTGTGAAGTCACAGCATTGGGCGCAATAGATGTCGCGTTGATCTCTCTTCCAAGCTCCACAATTCGTTGATTGATAGCCTTGGTAAGCGCTTCTTTCTTCTTGTCCACCCGTGAATTCAATGTGTATACATCCTTCAAACCCTCCAACTGGTTGTGATCAAGCATATGCCTAACGCCGGTTCCTTCTAAACTGACCACTTCGTCGAGATTTTTGAAAATAAGCTCCCGGTCAAGAGTCTCCAGGACCTTACCTTCTGATAGCGTAGACAATGTGGTGCGAGCTCTTTCTTGCTCTTCGGCGATCCGTTGAGTAGCAGTTCGGCAGAAAGTAGACGCATCGCCGATTTCCAGCAATCGGCGACCCTCACCCTGGTAGAAGAGCGTACTCGTTTCTAAGAAAGCAGGCTCAAATACTGTCAGATATAGTTTGGTGCCTTCCTCCTCTGTAACGGTTTCGTAGAGTCCCTCTAGCATCTGGATGCAGTGTCGGACCAGCGGTCGTTCAATCATGTGTCCCGCTCTCTCTAGTCGAATCATAAAAAGGATCGTCCATTTGAGTATATCAAGGACAGATACCGTGCTATCTGGGCGAACCGTGGCGCGAAGGACATTATCTCGGAATAAAGCCATGGAGACGACGTAGATGGATGGCTTCGAGCGGTCGACGGCGATAATACGATCCTGCGAGATATTACAATTATGAATAACTCCTTCATCGAACCCTGAAACCTGAGCGTATCTCACCATATACATCAATACATCCGTAATCATGCCCATGCAAAGCTGATGATCTTCCCATGCTTCCTTCAACGCAGCCAGAAACTTCTCCCCCGCAGCCCGTCGCTCATTCGATTGCTCTTGCAACTCAGAGTTTTCAGCCTGCGCGCGGACCAAGGTCGCTGAGATAGAATCTGTAATTCGCTGCTTGACTGTACCGTGTAGCCAGTGTTCTTCGAGATTCTTGACCTGCTGATACAGGTCCTCACCCCGCTGCTGAAGAACAATCTTGTATGAGCTACGGTAGAGCTCTTCGAAGGAAATGGTTGAGGCATTTTTCGTATGGATTTCTGTTAGAGATGAAGAGAGGACAGGCCAGATAGTGTCGAAATCTTCTGGTTTTGCAGACGCGAGGCCCTGTTGCGGAGTCAGTTGCAGTTCTTGTATATCAGGATCATGTTTCAGTGAGGGGTCCACCACGTACCCTACGAGGGGCCCGAATCTTGTGACGAGCCCGCATCGTCGCCATTTTTGAAGATAGTATCACGACAAAAAGGGATTGACGAAATTCATAGGAATATAGAGGCTTTAAAGAGTTGACAAACACGTCACTTCAGCGCTTTACGCTCCGCGGAGGAGAGCGCCGGAAGGGTATTTATCCGTTCCGGACCCATCGTTCAATATGAACTTGAAGATAGATTGACGTTCAAACGAAGGTCAATACAACACTTACTCATTACCATTTATACCAACGAGACCAATCATTATCAAGCTACAGGCCCGAAACAAACAAAATGCGCCCATTTAGCTCCCATGCCCTCCGCGCTTTGCGCCCTCTCTCCGCAAAACCCACTTCATCCCTCACATCAACGCGCCTTCTCTCTACAAAGCTCACTGGCCCGCGATCTCTTACTCGAATTACAATTCCTTCTATTCAACCACGCTTCGTGCTTCTCCCCGCAACTCGCCAGCACTCTACATCACCCCTTACCTCCGATCCTAAGCAACCCGAAACCGAGGAGGAGCGCGAACAACAAAATGAAGAGCGTCGCAAGAACGAAGAGGCATACAAAATTTCTTTCACCTGCAAGCCGTGTGGCGAGCGATCAACACATCGCATGTCGAAACAAGGTTATCATCGCGGCACAGTTCTAATCCAGTGTCCATCTTGCCAGAACCGACACGTGATTAGTGATCACCTTGGAATCTTCTTCGATAAGGGTACTACGCTCGAGGATCTACTGAAGGAGAAGGGACAGGCAGTTACACATGGCGTCACAGATGGGGATATGGAGTTTTGGGATGATGGAACTGTCAAAACTTTTCCACACAAGCCGAAGACAGAGTCTTCTTGATTTGGTTCACTTCGAAATGATTCAGAAGAACCCGTATAGGCTCTTATGTGTTGCGAAGACTTATTGATTGGGCTACTGTCCATTGTTGTTATATGTTTCAATATGGTGTTGTCACAAAATGTACATTATGCTACTCTCCACTTTTGGCATGGCGGGTTCCAGGCATGAGGAAGGTTGGGTTTATGGGGTTTGTAAAGTATAGATCGTTTGTTTGCATGATAGAGCAACCTGCCTTGGATGCCCTTGGATATCAATATATTAATAATCATCTGTCAAATTGTGTATAATTTGTCCATGTTATCAAGGAACCCGAGAGCGAAATACAGTTATCAGCTGTACGCCTCGACCCAGTCAAACCATCACACCCATTTTAGGCTCTCTGGGATGTCAATTCAGGATCGGAAACCCAGCTTGAACTACTAGTATGAAGTCAACAATGGAAATATAGTATGTGTTTCTTCTTTGGAAAGCTATCCACTGCTTTCAGTTCCGTATGGCCACGGCAAGGGAATGCTTCTTTGTATCTCCTCGTAGATATTCAAGATCACTCTGTGAATCACCCGAAGTGCTATTTGAGCATACCCCTTACTGGCTATGTACAAGCTCAGCAGGCTACGTACACGCTTCTCTCCATTGGCAAGTTGCTTTTGCTTGGCAAAGGCAAAGGCATTGTGTTGACTATTCGGTTTGCATATAGCTTTGTTCCATTCGCCATCTAAGGTAGACTCCATAACCTTGACCGTGCCGAGGACCACACGTTCCTCGTCTTCTTCTATTTCGTACTCAGCCTGGCGTGGAGCTTCCCGCGGATTTCGCGCGACAAGGGCAGCTGTGGCAACGTAACTGCCAGTAGAATGGGAGAGATCATGCGAAAGGAGGGATTCCGTATAAACGCTGGCAAGAAGTACCTTATTGAAACTGCGATACGCCTTTCTGAAGAGTTGTCAAAGGCTGAGAGCATATATTTATACTACTAATGCTTTCTAACACTAAGTTGACGATATTACTACGGACCCGTGGACACCTCTGCCATCTATTACGTTTGACTTCCCCAGCATTTTGAATTGTCAATTGTGCTGTTCCGGTTTTTCAACTTATTCCTTGACTCTTACGGCAATGGAATGAGTTGCTAGTGCCATATTCCTAGTGACCGAAAATGTTGATAACGGGAGGATACTACTACTAGTAGTAGCATGAAACCACCAAGCTAAGATGCAAATATTCAATGAAAATTCTTAGAAATACGCAAGGCAGAAATAATTTTAGAATGTTGATAATGACAGATGAATTTTTAGCCTGTACAAAATGAAATTCCAGGTATATACATGAAAACAGAAAGGATAAATCTCCAAACGCCAGCTTTTTTTATGCACATGAAAAGAAAAATCATCAAAACAAAACACTACAGGCGGGTATCTACCAACCCCGTCTTTTGCTGCGGTGCTCGAGTCCCTTTTCTTTGCGCTTCTCCTTCTTGCGGTCATTCCTCCTCCTCTTGTCCTTCTCATAGCGCTCGGGCTCCATAACAGCCTCAATGCGGCGCTTAGAACGTCTCCCTTCACGGCGTCGTTTGATATCCTCTTGCACCTTGGCCATCTCAGCAATGAATTCGGATGTACCAAGCTTCTTCTGGAGAGTATCCAAGACCTCGTGGCAATTACCAACGAATGTCTTATAGTTGTTTTGGAAGATCTCATCACGAGATCGTGGCGCGGGAATGGAGGTATCCGTGAGATGTTGCAGTGGCAAGAGAATGACGCGAATAGAAGGTAGAATGTGTTCAGCTTCGGCATGACGGGTGAGTGTAGCGAGCAGAGCAATAGTAGCAGTCTTGGGGATCAAAGCCTCTGGCCGGGTTGAAATGACCTCGCGGCGCAGGAGAGAGGAGATTTGTTTGAAAATGTAACCAATAGCAGTTCGAACAGGTGCGAAGGCAGTTGTTTCGGCTTCTTTTTCGTCTTCATCGGCTTCACTGCCTGCGTCCTCATCTTCGGCTTCAGACTCGTCCTCTTCGGCGACACTCTTCTGAACCTCGAGTCCGTTTTGGGCCGCACAGCGACCAAGGAAGACAAGGTTGCGGACACTTTGCATTGCTAGCTCTTCGGAGACACCAGGGGTGCGAAGACTACTCAGACTGGCGCGAATAAGACGAAGCATGGACTCTCTGTCGACAGCAAGACCACAGCTTCCTGCGATAGGAAGGGCATTGTAGCCCTCGGCAGCATGAGTCTTGGCCAAATCAGCCATCCACACACCAACAAGGTTGGCAGCGCAGGTCTTGACCCAGGCATGAGGGAAGAAGAGGGACTCCTGAATAGCAGCCCAAATAGATGCACATTGAGGGCTCAATGCGAGCGAGGGAACGGTCTTGCAGAGCTTAGTGAAGAGTTGCAGGGCGAAGTAAAGGGCCTCCCAGTTTCCATTCTCGTGGTCTCCAAGGATCGGGACCATCAAATCGGGGAGGATGCTGACGACAAATTTGGCCTCCTTCTCTTTCTCCGTCTCTTCAGCCTCGAAGAAGATTCGCATAGCTTGTAGTCCAATGCTACCCAATGCCATGTTGTCAGTTTGCTCCAGCCATGAATGCAGAGGGCTCAAGACGGTCTTCATTTGCTCCCGATCCGCACGACTGTAGAATTGCGCCAACAGGGCACCGGCCATTTCACGGCATTCTGGCGAATCGTCATTGGCCATGGCGAGTACAACAGGCAGGAAGAACGTGCTGACAATATCCTGGGCCAGTTCCTGGCCAGTCTTCGAGAGAAGTAAGTGAATCGCCTCCAAGACCGACTGGCGTCCTTCTTGATGCTTGTAGTCCAAATTCTTCGCAAGGAAGCCAAGCTGCTTAGACCATCGGTTCTTAGCTTGCGGGTATTCGATCAGGAAGTGAACATAGGTGCCACGAGCGAGATCTCGAGCAGAGCGTGTTTGGTTCGTCACCATCATGCTTGCAATCCGGTCCACGAGTTCATACATTTCTGGCACAATAAACTGACGCGACATGACAGCACGGATAAAATTGAATGTGATACCTTGTCGATCGGGCTCCTCAATATCAGCACTCAAGCGCTGAAGCAAGTATGTAAGGTGACCATCACGGAGTTTCGTGGTATGTCTTTCGCGAATCATAGCAGAGATGAGCTTCAGCGATGCTTGAGATCCCTCGGAGTTTGTGCTTTGAGACTCTTTGATAAGCTTCACGGCCTCCGTAATATACACATTCGAATTCTGGTCGAGCTCAGGAATAGGAAGCTTGATGATCGTGGACAGCAAACGCATTGCAGAGACTTTAACCTCTTCATGGGCCTGTACAAGCGCATCACCGACAATTGGCATGAACCCAGACAGGTTTGCGGCAGTTGACAGGGAATTGAACTTATTGAGAATAGCACGAAGAACATCCAGGGCGAAACGGGTCAACTTGTACTTGTGAGAGGATGTCGTGCCTCTTTTCTCACCTCGCTTGGCTCCTTGAAGTCTGACCAAGAACCGCTCTTCAGCCTCTGATTTAGGAGCAGCTGCTTTGCTAGTGTCAGTATTTTCCTTGTAGGACTCTTTGACGACTTCATAACAGAACATGAGCAAATCGCGGCTTTCAGCAGCAGGGTTTCTCAGAAGACCAATGCCGATACGTCGCATGAGCTCGTCGAGCTTTTTGACGATGTTGGAATTAAGTTTCTCACGCAAAAGTGCTTGGAGAGGGCGAACAAGGCTTGAGAGATGATGAATAGTGGCGTTCTTGGCGAGAAGCTCCATGGAGTCGTAACTCTTGCTACTCTTCACTTCCTTCATTTTGCTGATATATTCCGCAGCCTCCTTCTCCTGGCCGACGGTACCGAATGTGTCATCCATAATAACGGCAACAAGTTGATCCAAACAATAGTCTAGATCACCCTGATTGAAATGATCTGTAGTATACACAAGCATGGAGTGAACGGTATAGGACAGAACGTGGAGCTGGTAACCTCTGAGGAGAGTGTTTCGCAATTCCTTCAGAATGTAGGCAAAGTAGGACGGGCCTAACAGGAGTGCAATATCGTTCAATGTCTTACGAGCTGTGTCTCGAGTTTCCTGTACTTTGCTCTTCAGGATACCGCAGACATCCAAAAGAACAGGTGGAAGACGGATAGCCATATCTTGCTCGGGGAGAATCAAGAGAAGTTTGATTACCGTGACAGCAGCGGGAAGACGTAAACTCATCTCCGCATCTTGTTTCTGATGGATGAACTGAGTCAAGAAAGGAATGAAATTTGTGATAAGCTCTTTCGAGACTTGGGCGAGAGATGGAACTGTTTTGGCAAGTGTACACTTGGTTGGCTCTGGTTCTGAGTCTTTCATCACATCAGGGTCATCATCCACTTGCTCGGTTGGGCCCTTCTTTTGTTTCATTGCCGTAGAAAGCGCATCAGACATGCGACCCAGAAGCCTGAGAATGTTTTTCTCCATATCGGGCTTACTTTGCATGTAGCTGCGGTATCTGCGGAAATTGGCACGGAACTGCGCCCAATCTAGGTATTCGGCCACCGAGCCAATTGTTGCAACTGCTTCAGCAATCAAGTTATGCCCACTCTCGTCAGATGCTTCATCGAACGCAAAATGCTCAATAAGAGGTAAGAATATCTTGCCCAGGTTTTCTGGTTGAATTTGTCCCTTGCCAGCTTCGCCAGCCAGTCGACGGAGAGCACGCAGACGTCTATGCTGTTGAATGTGAAGAATGTTGGTGAAAAAGGAAGCCTCCTCGTCATCGCCCATCAGAAGACCATGCATGTCTTGTACAGATGGCCGGGTGGGGTTCAACTTGACGAAGTAGCCCAAGGAAGAGACAATCTCAGAACGAATCAACTCAGACTTGTGTCGAAGACCATATTGGAGCGATGGGAATAGAACCCCAGTAACAAGAGCTTCGAATTCCTCCACTCCACTCTCAGTGGCAGCCTTATCCATGAAACGCTTGATGCCAAACGATGCGCTGGATCGAATAGCGAGCTCCTCTTCATCCTTCACATAAAAGAGCATGTTGTACAAAAGAGGCCTCCATTGCTTGGCGCTGAGAGTTTGAGAAAGAGTGTCATTAACCTTTCTGAAAGCTTGAAGACGGCGCTCATAGTCTGGCTCGAGTCTCTTCATTGAGCGAGAGTTCAGATCCGCGCACAGGCTAGCTACCTCAACAATGTTTTCGTCGTGAGCAGCAAGAGCCACAAAAACTCTGGCCAAAACTTCTCTGTTAATATCATCCTTGAAATAGTCGAACAGACCGGAGACAGCCTCAAAGACCTGCTCAGAGAGCGCAGGGTCTTCCTTGGGGTTGTAAAGGGGAAGGAAATGCTCCAAAATCTTGAGAAGACCAGACTTGGTCTTGGGGTTGACACGGTCTGGAGGTTGACGCAGCAGGTAGGTCGCAAGACTAATGAGGCTAGATGTCTCGCCAGAGGACTCAACACAAGGCGCAGTGAGGGACAGCGCAGTCACACCTGAAAATAGCACAGGCTTTGACGGGCCTCTTCTCAGGAGATGACCAAGAGTAGAAAGTGCATGCTCTAGGTAGGGCGAAAGCACTTCCGAGCGAATCTCCTCAGCAGGAATATCTGACATCTCTTCATCCTCCTCTAATTTCTTTCCGCTTGCCAAACGAACCAATGGGGTGAGGATCTCATCCAAAACAAAAATCTTGACTTCATCACGCGCTGATTCGACACTCAAACAATCAATGACCTTATTTAGCACCTCCTTGTTGTGCTGTACGAGGTACCAGGTAGATCTGGGGGCAGAGGCCCATGTATGGAACAGACGAAGCAGGCCGGAGATACCTTGGGCAGTCTCAATAGGGAATTGGTCAAGTCTGGCGTTAATCATTTCATCGAAGATGATTTGAACATACGGTGTCCAATTGCGATCGGTTGATGTAGAAAATACCAGGGTGAGACAGCGAATGGCAGACTGGCGAATGCTATGGGAGACAGCCGAGAGGCGCTCATCTTCACGACTGAGGGAGTCTGGACTGCGTTCATCATTAAGGACCCTGCTCGCTCGGACCAAACAATAAAGAATAACGTTCATTGTTTGTGTCGTATAGGGAGCCATTCTGCCTTTAAGAGTATCAAAGACTGTATCAATCATCTTGAGTAGACCAAGCTGTCGTTTGGGACTGATGATCTCTTCCGAGAAGGCTGCACTGTTTGTCTTGCTATCCTCAACAACGTGCACATCCGCAAGAGGGCCGTATGACAACTGCATGAAGAGTGCGAATTCATCTTCAGAGAGGTGTGAAAGAGCACGTAGAATGGCCTTGCGTCTGCCACCTTGTCCGGTTTGATTTGAGCTTGCACCAGCCTTGGAGATCATTCGGCCATACAGCAAGCGAAGGAGCACAGGCAACAGGGCCGGGCGATGTTCCTGTTCAATCATGCTGTCCTCGCCACCAACACGCACAAAGAGTGCTAGCTCATCCTTAAATCGCGTCTCATCCAGAATATTGAGGAGATTCTCCTTATAAGGGGTGACGTGCGAGTTCTTCCAGGTGAAAATAACTTTGAGAGAAGCTTTTTGGATCTCAGAGTTACCGTGGCACAGAAGCCCCAGAACAGCATCATGAACTTCGGGTGCCTTGAACAGCACTCTGGGATTCAGGAATTGACCGAAGAGGGCGAGGAAAGAAAGTCGATCTTTGAAACCCCATTTAATTGGGACGTTTACAGACTCGGGTTCGTCTTCATTGGCTGCGGCGTTATCATCCTGGTCATCATTCAGTGCCCAGTTCAAGAAAAGAGGCACAATCTGCCGTGAATGCTTTTCGGCAATATTTGGAACCGCATTCAGGACGAGTAATGCATGACTGCGGGGGGAAGCAGGAACAAGGTTGGCTTTCTCGTGGTCCTTGTTAAACTGTTTTGACAGGATTGCACTCGGATTCTGCAGGGTCTTCAAGTTGGCTGAAATGACGCCCTCAACTTTCCCAACATTGAAACAGACAAAATGTCCAGCAGCAGCATAGTTTTCTGCGTCATCATCTGGCGCATCTTCGTCGGTGGCGCTAGAGTCCCGCTCCTGCAGCCACTGAATAGATAAAGCTGAAACAATCTTTTCTCCCTCAGGGTGTTCACTAATGGATTTCAAAGCCGCAGCAGAATCTTCCCAGAGAGGTGTCATTTTCTTCGAGAAAAGACCGAAACAGAAGTAAGGGATCATGGTAGCCATCCACTTTCGAGGGGCGACTTGGGGATAAAACATCGCTAACTTGCGGACGTGCATCGCAAGAGTTCTAGCACTTTGAAGAGTCAAAGGGCTTTCTTCTACCTCAATGGCTAGATCAATCGGCGCTGAATCATCCTTATTGATGCGAACAACTAGCGCCTGCAATATTTGAAGCGATGCAAGCCTGAGTCTGTGTGAAGGACTGGCTAAGTTGAGAACCAGATTATTGGCAAATTCATCAACTCCGGGAGACTCCAAATCAGCCGATGTGGGAGTAGAGGCAATGAATGCATTGACAGCCTCAAGGAAAAGAGGCAAACGGCAGAAAATCGACGACGCTGTCAGGATGCCACTCCAAAGGCTCAGATCAAGCTCTTGAGACTGTGAAGCCAGCTCAACATAAGTCTTGAAACCTTGCCCGAGATAAAATGAGGCACCATTTGTCTCGGTGATAGCCCCAGAGGCATCACTCAAGGCAGACACAATATTTGCATGGAGTTTCTTCACGACATCAGATCGTGAATCTGAGTCAGCAAACAGCGAAATAGCCGCGGGGAGTTTGACAAAGACATTCAATCCGAATTGATCATTAGTAGGGTATTCTAAGGAGGCGGAGATGCGCGATTTCAAACCATCTGGGCACGTAACATAGCCAGGTTTGGAGGTTTCGGGAGTGATGCAGCCAGTCTGACTGAGTTTAAGTAGTGTCAAACACGTCTCCCACTCCCGTTCACGCCATGAAGAATTAATGAACGTCCGGAAGTGAGTAAGTAGCAAACTGTGGAATCGCTCCGATCCCCACTCTGAAAACGTGGCGCAGAAGAACAAGAAGTATTTCTGGAGGGCACCTGTAGACACCAGGTCCATGATAGGGCGGATAAATCGAAGCATCTCATCCATTGGTGACACCTGGAGAGCGTATGCAACTGCTGTGAGAAGTTGGAGGGTCGCCTCAGTGAATTTTTCGGAGTTCTTCGACACTTGCTGTAAGAGAGATACCAGAGTTATATGCACAGACTTCCAATCTCGGATACGGACACCTTTTCGGGTGGCAATACAGATGAGCATTAATCGACAGCATTCTGGGATGTTGGAGTTTTCGGCGGTCTTAGAGCGATTGTCGATAAACTCCCGGACTGTGTCAAGGATAGGACCAAATGTCTCGGGTGTGGTATGGTGAATGAGGTTGGTGACCACACCGTATATAACTTCAGATGGAATGCTGCGAGTCTCGTTGGCAGGAGGCAGGCGATCCAAAATGCACCGAAGGACATCCATGCCGTTCGAGTGAAGTCCATTATTGACACCCTTGATAGCATCAGAAAACATGACCATCAATCCTTCCTTATAACTCCCGATGTCGTTTCCATCTTCGGCTGTCTTAGAGATATCATCGTAAAGGTAATTGATGGCGTTCTCGAGGGAGGCGGGGGTTTTGTAGTAGACGAGTCCTGCTTTGCGAATCAAGAATGACATCGATTCAGCGGCGAACCTAGCCACAAATGGCTTCTGGCGCTCCTTTCCAAGATACGGAGTCATTATGCCCAGCAGCTGTCGCAAGTCTGGAACTAACAGACGAGACAAGAATTTGAAGATCCATGCCAGACAGGTAAAACTCCACTCCACGACTTCAAAGCTGGGATGGCCTGCAGCAACGGAAGCCACCAGGGTCACGGAGGCGGCAAAGTGTTTCTCAAATCTAACACCAAGGTCTCTTGCAAATTGAGCTAATAAGCTGAGCAACGGTTCCATGGAGTGTTCATCCTTCTTCTCGATAAATTCCACCAACAGGCCCATAATCTTATCTTCATGGTGCAGGATTTGGGCGAGGCTCTCAGAGAGGTTATTGATTCGGCGGTAGAATTCGGAGAAATTATCGGACAGGTTCATGTCCACCCAATGATCGAGGGCAGACCGAAAATAGGACGTTGTTTCGCCTTCATCTTCGCCAAAGCTGGCGCGGCGGACTCGGTGGATCGGGTCGATTTTGAGCTTTGCGATACGCTGAGAAAATGGCTCCCATCGATGGTGTTTCGTTGTTTTTGTGCCATTTTGTGTGCGCTTGATGTGCTTATCCCGTGAGCCTTGTGTCACCATCTTGACGGAATCGACAAGCAACAAGGTCAACGAGAATGATATTCGGGGAACTTTTTCTCTGCCCGCATGCTCAATACAAAAAAAGTTGGCCGGCGCCGGGGCTAGTTTATTCCGACACAAAGTGGGTCTAGTCCATATACAGACTAGCGTTGTCACGAGGTGGCCCAAGCTCCTTGAGAAATGCGCCGCGCATCCTGGCGAGAATTACTATTTGATCGCATTAATCTTGCGCCAGGTCGTCCTCACAACTAATTGCAAGCCAAAAGCATTTGTGAAGTTGGCGCGTGGTGGATTGTATCTTTCAGAAAGAAATCCTTCTCCTAAACGCCCCTCTGGTCCACTAAGGACCAGGTTACGTCTTTCAATATGGCTTCAAAAATGTAAGTACGCTCTGATACATGGGTGTAGCGAATGCTAAAAGTGGACATAGCGTCGTTCTGGGCTCTGTCAACTGTCAATTACAGGCAGCGTTCACAAAGCTGGCCAAGTTGCAAGCAAAACAAAATTTTGCGTTCGCAATTATTGTGGGAAATCTGTTTGGAGACTGCTCAACGGAGGCTCAGCTGGACGAAATTTCAGCTCTACTCAACGGTAACATTGGTGTGCCCCTGCCAACATATTTCTCAGTTGGCGATCTACCCCTTCCAACTCGGATAGTGGAGAAGATCGAAGCAGACGACGAGGTCTGCCCAAATCTGTATTTCCTGGGCAAACGAGGGACTCTGAAGACTTCAGAAGGCATTCGCATCGCTGCTCTCGGTGGCACACTAGCGACTGCGGACTCAAAAACACCGCAAAGCTTTGCCACTGGAAGATTTCAAACGACATTTACCGAGCCTGATGCTCGTTCGCTCTTCGGTACACACAGCGCAGATATCTTAATCACCAATCAATGGCCCAAGGGAATCCAAACAGGCTCCAAGGTGGGGACTCCAAAGGATGAGAGCGTCCGCCCTGCCGAAATTCAGTGTTTGGCCGATGTATGTGGCACTTTGAGACCAAAATACCATTTTGCAGCATCAGACGCATTCTTCTATGAACGCGAACCCTTTTTCCACATGCCGACAGAAGACAGCCCTGATGTCAAACCATTGACTCGTTTCATATCACTGGCCACTTTCGGATCGAGGCAAAAATCAATGTATGCCTTTTCACTGGATCCAAAGGCTGAGCCACCTCTTACGATCCCAGCTGGAGTAACTGCATCGCCCCTTTCCAGAACCGCGGCTAAGCGGAAGGGTCTCCCGAGCCAACAGGAATCATTTCGACGATTTGCTCCTACAGATGAGAACCAAGGTCGCCCGCGCAAGCGCCAGCGTGAAAAGGCTCCTCCCCCAGGTCCTGATCAATGTTTTTTCTGTCTATCTAATCCCAACATTGCTACTCAATTGATCACATCCATCGGTGAGGAGAGCTATCTCACAACCGCGAAGGGCCCGCTCCCACCGACCGACTTTTTCTCTTCTCTCGGCTTCCCAGGCCACATGCTCATCATCCCTTTCACCCACTCTCCAACCTTGAACTCCATTCCAGAACCTGGGTCTCGTGAAACTACCTACAAGGAGATGCAGCGCTATCGCTCTGCGCTCCATAAATTGGTAATGGACCGCTCAGGTGGTAAACTTGGCGCTGTAACCTGGGAAGTGAGTCGTTCAGGCGGTATTCACACTCATTGGCAATTTCTTCCTGTCCCAATCGATATGATCCGCAGCGGACTTGTTGATGCTGCGTTCAAGGTGGAAGCTGAAAACCTCAAATACCCACGATTCACGACCATTCCGGCATCAGAGTCAAGGGGTTCTGAGGAAGCCGGTGACTTCTTTAGGTTGTGGGTTTGGAATCCTTCTGAGAAAGCAGACGAATCTCCCGAAGGCGACGAGGTATCTGGGGAAGAGAAGTTGCTCATGCTAGAACTGTCACAAGATTTCCGTTTTGATCTCCAGTTTGGTCGCCGTGTGATGGCAAAGCTACTGGAGCTGGATAAGCGGATGGATTGGAAGGATGCAACACAGACCGCTGAAGAGGAAGAGTCTGATGCGGCAGCATTCAAGAAGGCGTTCGAAAAGTATGATTTTGCATGATTTTGCACTGGAGTGATACCCGACAAACAGGAATTTTGGAGGCATAATAAGCCCAGCTTACCGCGGACAACAAATTTGATGTATTATACGGAGTGATCAAAATATGAACAAGAATTGTTATTTTTTTCGAAATCTAAACTCTAATCTACGAGGGAGATTGTAGTTAACAGCCATTCGTTCTAACAGTCATACTTCCCCCACGCAAAATTCAACAATTCAATGACAATGGATCACTTCAGACCGTTTCCGAGTTCGTATTCTTTCCATTATATCTGGAACATGGCCCATATAAACTCGCCTGAAACCTCATACATCCCGACTCCATGGTAAGTACAACAAGACGTGGCGGGAAAAAGCGTAAATCCGAGACCGAGTTCAGCCGCAACGACCCATCACATCTTCACAAACCCCACGTAAAAAAGCTCTCCATCAAAAAACCATAATGAGAATTCCGCGATGAAGTTCGTCTTCATCAACGTCAAAGAACCCAAAGACGCGCTTCAACTAGCCAAAGATTCCGAAGTGCGATCCCACATAACCCGTTATCAATGGCAGCAATACACAGATCGAAACAAATCCAAGCCCAAGCCCAAGCGCCCGCCACACACAGCCGAACAAATTAGTCCACTTACTTCTCAAAATGTGAATCTCACAGACTCTCCGGATACCTCCGAGTCCGATTCTTCACTCGTGTCTCTAAACCAAATCTCTTTATCACCCCAAATAGGCGGACTCCGAGTTGATCCTTTCCAATCATATCCTGTGTCTACCCAAACTTGGACCCCGTTACTTGTCGATCACTGTAAGTCTATTTCTCAGTATAATCTATCTATCCAGTAATCTAATATCTGCCATTTAGATTTAATACATATGGCCGTTGACATCCCTGAACTAGACCAGCCAGGAAACAGGGGTCTTCTCAGAACAAGCTGGTTCCCATTAGTAATGACCGAACCAGCCTTATTCTCAGTAATAATGCTTCTCGCAGCATCGCACTACGCCTCTTTACAAGAAAAGCCGAGTACCATGAAAATGAACCTTCTCGGCCTCCGCTCCGAAGCCATAATATCCATAAACAACTGTCTAGAGCACCACCATGGACCAGACTTCATACACGATGCTCTCATAGGCGCCATTGCCAAAATGGCAAGCTACGAAGCCATGTTCGGTAGTTTGGAGAATTATAATATTCACATGCAGGGACTTGAGAGGATTATCGGAATGAGAGGAGGGTTGAATGCACTTGGTTTAAACGGTTTACTTCACCGCATAGTGGTGTGGATTGATCGGAATGCAGCCTTTTTGCATGGATCGGCCATGTACTTTCCTCATGCTACTTTTGTTTCGGCTCCGAATCCGGGTCATTTTCTGGGTAGTTCGTGATGGTTCTTTTTTTGCGAGTACATATTGCATAAGTGACAAGCCTGAATGATTTCATAGGGAATATAACTTGTCAATATCTCATAATTGAGTTGTTAAGTGTGGGGCATGCCTAAAACAGATATCACATTCAAGATCCACAATAGCCAATGAGATACCGAAATCGCGACTAAATCCCCACTTCTTTCCTATTGCAGATAACGCATACTAAACGCAATTCAGCTCTGCATTTACTCTTACATCACCACATCTCCCCGAGCTCCAGATGGATAGAACTATAAGTATTTAGCTACCTGATCTACTTAATGAAATTCAATATTCATCTCTCCTCTCAAACTACATCTTCTATACCCAGTATTCTATACCCAAAATGTCCCTAACAGACAAAGTCTCCCTCATCACCGGCGGCGTGAAGAATCTCGGCGCACAGACTGCCCTCCAACTAGCAAGTGAAGGCTCTCACCTAGCTCTACACTACCACACCAGCACAGAAGAGCAGATAACCGAGCTCTCAAACAGTCTCAAGACGAGAAATCCCTCTGTGAAGGTCTCATTTTACAAGGGAGACCTCACAGGTGCTGCAGCAGTAACAAAGCTCTTCAATGATGTCCTCAAGGACTTTGGAAAGATCGATATCGTAATCAATACCGTTGGAAAGGTGTTGAAGAAACCAATTACTGAAATCAGTGAGGAGGAATATGACTCTATGTTCGCGTGAGTACTCCTTGAATCAGTATTATGCGGTACAATGCTAAAACGGAGATGGGAACTAGTGTGAATTCCAAGACTGCGTTCTTCGTCCTCAAGGAAGCAGCTACGCATATTTCGGATGGTGGAAAGATCATCACGATTGTTACGGCACTTCTTGGTGCTTTTACAGGATATTATACCTCCTACGCTGGTAGTAAAGCTCCTGTCGAGCATTTCACTCGGTATGTGTCTCGTCTCTTATTCGGTTACTCTTTATTATGTACTAATTTCTCTTCTTCCTTTTTCTTAGCGGCGTTTGCAAGGAACTTCAAGCTCGAAGAGTCAGCGTTAACAATGTTGCGCCGGGGCCAATGGATACACGTAAGATTGCTCTATTACTGCAAGTTGAACTATCCTGAAGTCGATCTAATACTTTGTAGCATTCTTTTATCCGCAGGAATCGCCCGAGGCGGTGGAATACCACAAAGCGAATGGAATGGGTAACCGGTTGACGATGGTTGAGGACATTGCACCTATTATTCGCTTCCTTGTTACTGAGGGCGGATGGATTACTGGACAGACTATCTTTGCTAATGGTGGATATACTACTCGTTAAGATATGGTTCTGAAGATGGGCGTATTTTAGTTGTGGCGTCTACATAGCTGGTGATGAATTGGCAATGTCGACGATGTGTCCTTGAGTTTACCTAGGATGAATCATGATTTGAGAAGCTAGGATATGGAATATGAATATGACTTGTTTAAAATTTTTTGATTCTTTTGAGGACTTGATACCTATATCCTATCCAAGTTGAAAGAGAGAGAAAGCCTCAGCATAAGCAGAGGCGTGAATCATATACATGACAGGAAAGGATTCCTGCATCAGACCAAACCCAATGGGATTACATGGACACGAAAGAGATCGGTAGGTGAAGGGGACATGGTAAAGGGGACATGAACGTGAGATAGAAAGGAAATGAGAAAAACGAGACAAAACGAAACGACCATGGTATCAAAATGAATGCTCTCCCTCTTAAACCTGCCTGCATCAAGCAGAAGGGGAAAGATGAACCGATGAAGACAAGACAATACAAACGAGCACGAGAGCAATGAACAATGAACAAGAAGAGACTGTCGGATGAACAGTGAACTAATGAACAAGGCAAGATGGAAAAAAGTGAAAAATCATACAACTATACCCGGACCAGCCTAAAAGTTCATTGCGGGACCTCGCCCACTCTGTAATAGAGTTGGGGGACGGTTCCGACTTGGCTCGGGCGAACCAACCGCTTGGCCGATGGGAGAAGACATCGCCTGGCCAACTGGTGCATCATGTGCACTGTACTCATGGTTCATAAAGTCATGGGGCGAAGGAGCCGGGAAAGAAGGTGGTGGTGACGCGGGATGAGCGGGCGAGACACCACGGTAAGGTGGCTGGGAAGTGTATGAGGGCGGGTAGGTTGATCCGACGGATGGTTGACGAGTGAAGCCAACGTTTTGGTGCCCGGTCTCTGTTGGAGAGAAAGAGGTGTAGTTTGACTGCTGAGGCTTGTAGCCCACAGGAGAGGGAGATGTGAGGGCGTGAGATGAGTAACCGGCGGCTGTGTTTACCATTGGGTTTGCACCGCCTGGGCTGTAGTCCTCGTAGGGTGAGGCGTGGTCATAGGCCTGGTGTTGATGTTGGTCGTAGCCCTGGTGCTGGTCATATGGCTGGTGGTCGTATGGGCTTACAGCGGTACTCATGGCAGCACCCATGGGCGAAGCAAGTCCAGGGGAACGAGGGCCGTAAGGATCTTGGGGAGCAGAGTAACCAGCATTGGGACCAGGGGAGCGACGTCCATATGGGTCTTGGGCTGCACCGTATGCTGCTGCGGGGCCGGGGGAGCGACGACCGTATGGATCCAGTGCAGCGGCGGGGGCTGGGGAGCGACGAGCGTAAGGATCCACAGCTGCTGCAGGGGCAACAGGGGAAGGAAGACCTGGCGAGCGACGACCATACGGATCTTGTGTCGCAGCGAGAGTAGCGGCAGGGGCGGGCGATCGGCGAGAGTAGGGATCGGTGGGAGTAAATCCTCTGTATCCACCAGGTGTGGCTGTGCCGGTTCGATCAGGTGGGAAATCAGCGAAGGCATTACCGTGCATTGGCGTACCAGCGCCATGCTTCCGGTCAGGGTTCAATGGCTCCATTTCAACCTCCTCGTGTGCGTTGGGATCCTCGACATGCTTGTCCACAGCGCTAGCCCATGTTGGCATCTCAGGGAGCGCATCTTCGTTAACCTTTGATGAAGGCGACTTGCTCGAATCGAAGGTAGCCGTAGTCACAGCTCCGCGGTACAAAGGCGGTGCTGGTGCTGGTGGTTGCTGATTGTATGATGGGGCCGGAGCGGGCTGGTTGTAAAAAGGAGGTTCGTCGTAGTGCTTGGGTCCCTTGTTTTTGCGACGGCCGGAGGGACAACAGCAGCTGCAACAACAGCTACAGATACGGTAACCACAGCAGATACAGTTGATGACACAAGCGAGAACAGCGATGACAATAACAGAGACAACGATAATCGCGACGATGACGGGCCATCTAAATAAGACGAAACCAATTAGTACTTTCTTTCTTTCGAACAGTAAATCCCTGAGTTGGCGCTCATCCGATCTCATTCCCCAGATAAACTTACTTGCAGTAAGACTTGGCCATACACTTATCCCAACTTGTAAATGTAGATTCAGTCGAGGAGAGATCTCGCGCCAGTATCGGCAAATGGGACAAGCCCATTCTTAACGAAGGCATAATGTACACAGGCTAATAGTGTAAACACATTCGGGGAATCAGATTGAGTGTGCGAAAAACAATTGGAATCCCCATGCGACAGGAATTGACCAAATTAAAACCACAACTGCTGACAAGCAGGGATAACGGTCTAATTCGAGATGTACTCTGCACAGCCCAGTTGAACTGTACAGATCCTGAATCGAGTACCAAGATAAAAGAATGCGGGGCGCGTGTATACAGCACCAGTCAGGGAATGCGTAATTCACAAGATGTGTCAGGCGATAAAAAGAACGAATGGAACAAGGCAGCAGGGTCCAAAGATGACGACGACTTCGAAGATTGAGCGAGGTTCGCGGGCTAAAACGAGTGAGCCAGACAAGGCAACAGGGAAACGAAGTTCCAATTATAGATCAGGTCGCCTAGTCAAGAAGTCTATTTCAATGTCGGATTTCAGACCAGCAACCCCAGGACCCCAAATGAGCGATAGTCCCAGAACGGAGAAAGTTGAAGATGAAGTTGAAGGGAGAAAAAGTGCGCTTTGTTGAAACACGGAGAGAGAGCCCTGGAGGGGAATGGAGTAAGGGTGGACGGACTCCGCAGAGTCTCTACCTATCAGAGACTCCGCATACTTGAAACCGCCAATCCTCATCAGCCAGACAGCCCGCCTCCTCCACCGTTTGCCGATCCACGCAAATTTGACACGAACAGCCTCTGAATAATATGTGGGCACGGGACTAAGTATACGAGGAATTACTGAATGGGAAAATAGGGTGTTGATAATGACTTCATATTGGAATTTACAAGGGAAAAATATCATCATATAGTGATTTCATTGAGTTCTCACAAAGGGGACAACATGTTATCGACAGCCTCCTAAAGGCTTTCCAGCCACAATTAACCCATTATATCCCTACAGGATCTCCATCCTTGATTTTGATGTTCAAGGATCCTGTAATTCTGTCAGGCTTTATTTCATATGTACAGCTGGCCCATAGCCACTCGTGAATGCAGATGTCATCCCCACAAATTCCACCCCAGACATAGCCCGACACAGATCGAATCGAATCATTGTGATCATCAACGTGTGAAAAGCAAAGGGGGAGGAAACAATATTAGCAGAAGGGGAAAAGATGAAGATGCAATCAAAATTACATGCCGCTTGCAATGCATGCAGAAATCGCTCAAAATGGGATAATAAACATCGCCATGAGTATGCAAGTCAAGGGAAAGCACGGAGAGGTGTTTGTGCCAGAGGAATGATTTGTGAAAAAAGTATGTCTGTACATGAGAAGGTGAAAAGTCGATTAAAGGACAGTATTGGTCAAAAGGGAATTAGATGGGTGAAGGGAAAGGAAATGCCAAAATATAGGCAAAAGGTTGTGTGTCCGGTGGACTTGAAGATGAGAAGGAAAATTGTCCGACGTAAGGAAGAAAGGGCCGTTTGGTATCGTAGGCATGGTCGGGTCAGGTCGGTTCAGTTTGTCATCGAGATTACATAGGAAAATTGGAGTTGTCTCAGGAATTATTCATCGTCTGAGTTTGGGTCATGATAGTTGTTTGTTGCCCGTGCCGTTGGGATTCTCATAGGAAAATGTGGCAGGAAAAAGTCGAATGTCCCAGAATTGGTATCGAGAAGAAGAAAGGGTGAAGTCGAAGAAAAGAAAAGAGAAAAAGGTAAAGAAATCGCTAAATCGTAGCAGACTCTTCATCAGGAAGAGTGCAGAAGGAGAAAGGACATCATCAACGGATATCACCAGGGGTCAGAGGGTGAATTGAGAGAATAAACTGTCGAAGATATAGGCGAGGTCGGTGAGTTGAGCGCGCTATGCGCGACTTCGCCAATCGGTGTCGCAAACCAAGGCTGCCAGAGTCGATAATTGCGCCATCCCGAAGGCTGGGAGGGAGAAAAAGTGGTGGTTCAAGAAACTTTTTTGGAAGCCACCGGGAATCAAAGAAGAGAAGAAAAAAGTGAGCATGCCACACGAAAGAAAACACCTCGCTCCAGAAACAGATAAAAAGCAATGGTATTCGTAGAGCGCCGGGGAAGCAAAAGGCAGAAGTTGGTTTAATATGAGAGCATACGACGACCGGGAGTGCGATTGGGCACAGGACTGTCGGCGAATGGAGAGCTCATCAAAAGACTAGCCCGATCATCATCAAATCGGCAGCGCCCTGTGGGGCTGTCTTCCATTCCAGGCGACGAGTGCTGACCAAAAGCGAATGTCTGGGCGCGGTTCAGCTTGGAGCGCTGCTTGACCTTACCAAGACCACGCTCACAGGCAAACTCGTGTTCCTTCGCACTCATCTCAACGTAGTTCTGCGGGTAGCAGAGAGATCGGTGCTCAGCGTAGAAGGCGCTGTATCCACCATCCAAGATGTACATGTCTGGATATGTCAAGTGTGGGTAACTATCAACATTGACAGCACGATCATGGTGGCGAATGTACTTGGCCATGATAGGGGCGCGGTGGGCTGAGTATTCGCAGTGCAGAATCAACGCTGTGCGGGAGTTGGGAGCGTTGAAAAGCTGACCAGCGAGCTTATCCTTGTCATTATAGTTGACGGCACCATTGATGTGGCCGCCTTCATACTCGTATTCGAAACGACAATCAACAATCATGATGTTGTCAAAACGATCACTGAACTTTCCATCGAGGAGATCCAGGAGGGTGTTTTTGACGATGCGAGGTAGACCGTCCGCTCTATCCTCAGGTGTGAAGTGAGGCAGCTGGGGCTGGGGCGGTTTTTCGATGTCACTGATGGACTGTAGGGGTGCATTTGAAGATACCTTGGCCTCTTTTTCGGCAATAACATCCGCCGGGTTCTCAAACATGCTCAATGATCGTCGACATTGTTTGCGAGGACGCATCAAGGGATGAGAAGGCTTGCGAATAGAGTTGGGAGCGGGCGAGCCACTGCTACGGGCGTGGTGGAATGGCGGCCGCAGACGCGGAGGAGCCAAGTTGCTCGAGGAGCTGTTACGTGAAATAGATCTCTCTTGTGGTGGAGAGTCGCCAAACATATCCTCCAGGGATGTAGATGTACTTAAGGAAGTCTTAGCAACTTGGCTGCTGAAACGGAATGGCTGAGGCTTGTTCTCGTTGCCGGAGCCTTTCATTCCAAGCTGGAAGGAAGCAGCCTTGCTTCTGGCCAAGCTGGGTCGGAGAAGGGGAGGACGACGTCTCCTATTCCATTCATTAGCCTGCTTCTCGCGTGGAGCAAGGATATATCCCACATACTCTGATGGAGCACACGTAGGCGCTTCCATTGGAGAGGCCTGGAGCGGACTAGGGGCAGCAGAGAAAACAGGAGAATCCAAAGGAGTGTTCAGGGGTGATGGTGAGTGCACTTCAATCTCTGTAGTTACTAGGAAAGCGGGCTTGTGTGGGAGAGGGCTCATTTCCATGATATCCATACCAGGACCGGCAGGAGAAGAAGGGAGTGGCGGGGTAGTCATCACATCATCTGTTATATCCTCTTAGCAACGGTTCTCTTTCAATGGGTATAAACTTCAATGGAGGGGTCATACCGCGTCCCGCCTGAGCAAGGCAGTTCGATGAGAACAAAGACCGTCGCGGAGTTACCAACTGCGGGCTAAATATAGAGTAAGCTTTCTTTCACACTCTTTCTTCACATGCAACTCATCCCCGCCACATTCAACGAACCTTTGATCAATGTGGAAGTTCTGTGAAAGGTCAGCGGCCAAGCTAGCGGCCGGCGACGAGCCACCCAACGGGCCCATGTTGAAGTAATCGGGCCCGGACTTCTTCATTGACAAATCCTTAAAGTTGAAGCCATTACCACCAAATCCAGACAACGGATACGAGGTAGGAGGTTCCGGTCTGAAGCAACGTCCGAAGAGAACAGGAGTAGGCTGCATAGCAGCCAGCGGGGACGAGTGTTCCATTTTCACCGAAGCTGAACTGTAACTGGACCAAATTCCGATTTGAGGATACACAGGATCTCAAATAATATCCACGTAGACGATACTGAGACACAGAAGCGAAGAAAACAACCCGGTCATCCAGATCAGAAATTCCCAGTTCCCTGTGAACCTTTTGTTTTCTACCGGGTGTATGCTGCCTGCGTTGCTGAGACCGTCCTTCAATCAATGCAGACTCAATCGGCGATTTTCCCGATTTTCCGAACCACAAACGGACACCCAGGTCGAATACCAAGATTATCCAGCACACAAATTTCCCAAAATCCCAAGCCCAATACCACCGTCGGCGAGGATCCTATCGTAAGCTAGTTGTGCAGGAATTAAAGAGGCATGGCCAAAAAGTGGAGTAGGTCGGGGATGTCGGAAGCTGCAATTGGAGAGGGGCCGAAGAGCTCGTGGGCTGAGAGGGGGCGATGCAGTGTGAGAGGTGCTAAGTAGTTCCGGGGTGGCAGAGTAGCAAGTATGAAGTTCCACCCACAGGCAGGTCGGCGGACGATGGGCTAGGAATGGGAATTGGGCGAAGAAGGGCCTTTTTGTCGAGTATGGGAATGTCGTGAAGAAGAAAAGAAGAGAGAGAAAAGGTGGAACAAGCGGTTTGAAGAAAGAAACCTCGTGAAGCTGAAGGGATGGGTCTGTTGCAATGGCAACGCAAGTGGGGAGGATCTCCAGATAGTGTACAGTATACGGGAAGGATACTGTAATCTCGTGAATGATGTACAGTAATACTTTACACTCCGTCCCATACGTAATTTCCAAGGTTCTTTGCTCTGCTCGGGACAAAGTGGAGTACAGATTGCTACGTGCTGCTTGAAATTGTCTATTTTATTCTTTATTTTCGATGGTATGCAATCAACTCATGCTTCCCTCATGTACGTCCACTAAAGGAGTATAGATGTGCGGATTTTTCCTCTTCTCCTACATTTGCTGCAAAGGGGGAGGAGGAGAAGTTAACCGAGTGTTCAGTCTTTGGCCCCAGTCTGGTTGCCCGGACTCCCTTGCCGCCCATCGTCCAGACTACCGGCTGCTCAGCAACCCCAGCGCCTATCAGCGATCTGACTCTCTTCTCCATCCTCTCATTCCTTTCTGAGCTGACCTGTGCACGGTTACCAGGGGTAAGCAAAAAAAAGAAAATTGAAATAAAAAAGGTGAACAGAAGAGAAAAAAGGTCTTACTGAAAGTCCTTGGCACCATGTGTCTCGGGCTTTTACTGAGAAAGCTACACAGTCATTGGCGATGACTCTCCAACACCCTACAGTACATGTAATGCACTATGTATCGACGGCAATCTACTGCCCGTGTCCCTTCCCTCTCTCATGAACCCCCTAGCCCAAATATGGGGAAATGCTTGGATCTCATAAAACATAAATCCTATACTAAGGCGAGGGGATAGTATACCCTTCGGTTCCATGAAACCATAAAACCATAAAACTCATAGGTAAAAACCGTTTTAGGGTTAATACTTCAACGTGTCCCACCTGTATAGAAAAATTTTCAGGTACGGGCGGAGCATATACTATCCTGAGCTTGTGAATGGAGCTTGCTACTAACTCTCCCATGGGTCAAGCGAATGGTCTCCACTTTAGAACTGTACTAGTAAGAATGAAAAGTTCTCTTGCCTCGTCTCCAAAATTTCCCGTGTGTGCCGTCGCAGACTTCAGCTGAAAAAATGGAGCGAGATCGAGCCTAAGGAGCTAAGGCTCCACTCGGTGTTTCCACTTGTTCGGAAAAATTAGAACCTCAAGCAGAGCCCAAATGAGGGCTTGGATGCAAGTGATACGAGGATCGCCCATGCAAGGACACAGCATGACCTTGAGCTTCCAATTGAATGGATTCAAATGCAAATAAAGATCTAAAAAAGAAAAGATCTAACGGTTCTGTCCCTGTCCTGCTTCTGCCTTCGACGTCACTCGGCATTGGCTATGAGAATCATTGAAGTTATTCATGCGAAGAATACCAGCTCGGACTCATTCGGCTTCACCCAAAGGAGTAAACCATCGGATTATTGAGCCCTCATGAATGGTGCGTTGTAACTAAGAACCTGACGATCTTTCCCATAGAGAGTGCACTAGGAGGAGATTTCGGGGCCGATAAGAAATTGCGATGGAGAACAGAAAGCGCCAAAGAAAAAAGAAAATAAGAAAATAAATTCGAAAGGGGAACGAAGCTAAGTGCTTGTGATCACCGATTCCCCGGAGATGACAGCCGAGGTGTTGATTGGAGAGATTCAATGATTGTGCATCATCGCGATGCAAAAGAGTTCGTCCCTGCATGATCTTTACCTAGTTGGGCGGAAGAACGCGATCGGAGCTCGTTTTACCCCACTCCAGGATATCCCAGACTAGGAACAAAGGCTTCAGAACAATTGAACAAAGAAAGAAATAAGGTAGCATTGAGTAAGGAATGGAAGGTTATCGACATTTCCATGAATGGCAGTTACAACTCAATGAAAGATCCTTTGATAACCATCATAGTCCATACTCGAGAGACTGCCCTTACTTGCATTCCAGGTTGATCAAGGGTCCGCGAGGGGATCTTTCAATGTCGCGCATCCCTTGAGCCCCCTTCATAGGGTGTTTCTGGTATTAATTATTGCTACCCCAGAATTGTAGTTTTGTCCCTGGGGTTTCCATCGTCACCATTCGAGTGACACCCACGGTCGCCGGGCCAAACCTCGAAAATGGGGATGGTTCGTGAACTGTTCACAATTGATGTGCTCCGCGTATTCTATCCGAGATGTCGGCTCCGGCCGTACGGAATACGGCACAGTATAGATTATGGATGATGAATTCAGCCAGCTCAGCTAGCCATAACACTTCTCCTCACAAGGCTTGGTGTCGCCAAAACAATGGGGGCGGAGAAAGTTGTTGTGGTCGCGATCACGTCACAAGCGCCTGTTGCTAATCAATATGCCTCGTGGATCCTTGTTCAGCGTCAAAAGTTAGCGAACGCATTGACTGTTATGATCGATCCTTGATGTCAATGCCCGAGGCATCATGAATCGCTTGCTGGGCTAGGAGGGCTAGGTCGGTTGAATCCCGGCTGTACTCCAGGTCACTCCACCCGAGAAACATTGCTGATGGAGCCGATGAGGGATATCAGACGCGACGATACGGACAGGACCAATCAAAATCCCGTGTATGAGTATAACAGTGCAGATTAATTTGCCACCGTGATATGAAGCGGCTCTTTAATGGGCCTGAAACTGCTAGTCAATGGAGCTGGGAGCATTGGTCCAGTCACAGTGGAACAAAGAGGTAAAGCCAAATCCTGTGCCCCACGACTTTCTATTTTGGGAAGCTCGAAACTTCCCCTCTCGTGAAACGCCGATGTCCTCGACTCGGTTTGGTGCCATCCATTGGACAAAAGCCGCATCACCTTGCATGATTGTCCGTCTCAAGCTGCAACCGCTTTGTTGCATGTTGCATACACATAACCTCGTGGCAGATATGATTTTGCGGTGTAGACCCTCACGATATCCTCGGTTTCTCGGGTTAGCGTCGGAATAGGAGGTCTCGACTGTTCATCAATCGATTGCTCGCGGTGACCCCATATTGGTCCGTGGGGCTACGTCACTCTATCATCATCGCGGCATCTCAATTCAATTTAGTTCCATCCGCGATCACAAAGACAACTTGTTTTTGGCACAATACAGTCAATCACCAATGATGACGTTCGAAATCGATTGTTTACATTTTACCGTTTTGAATATTGACCTTTTTTTCCACGCGACGTGACTTGCATCAAGTTGCAACAATAGCCTTCTCGTCTATCGTGTTCCCGCATGAGAGTTCTCCAATCACACATTTCAAGCGCCTGCGTCCTGTAAGCTGACTTTCTTGGACATCCCGCGTTCCTTGGGTTTCCTCGGATCAGCACTATCTATTCGGCCAGTCCGGGCTGTATCTTGCAGGGCTGCGCCACGACATTCAGCACCCCAAGCCAAAGTGGGGTTCTTGACTACCCACGATGATGTGATCCGTCATCTGCGTCACAGCGCCATGTGCAAACCAGCCAGTCGTATCGACTCTCCAGCCGATGTGCCCTGTTGCAACTGCGGGGTTTATCACATCGTCTGCATCCCACGGCGCCTGGACCCCGGTCGCTTTTCCCCTCCTTCCAACTGGTGATGTCAAGACTCAAATCAAGATCGATGTGTTTTCATTTTCCATCTTGCTTTGACTTTTCGCGTCAATCGTAAACAAAACCAAAACTTTGCACGCGAACCATATGCGCAATCCCGTGACCATCAACCAACCACTGACATCAGAACAACAAATCTCAGATCAATATCAAGATTTTATCAATATTTTGATCCAGATGTCGCTAATCTTTGCATCCTTGTATTCTATCCTGTTCTGATCTGTATTCCCATTACTTTGAAATTACCCATACGACGATTCTTGCCCAGGTGCTCTCTATTCTATTTTCCAGCTCTGCTCTCGCTCGATCCAAGCTACTGGTTACTATCACCACCACTTTTTTACCCCTCGGGACCCATCCGTCCCGGCGATTTGTCAATAAATTCTCCAGTCCGGCGTCCCCGATCTGCGGCGCTATTGAATAAAAATTCCCCCGGCTGCCATCACCCATGCGACCATGCCCACCTGGTCTTCGTGCCTGTCACTATCCCACACTAGTCAGTCTGGCCTGCCCCTGACCGTGGTACTATTGTCTGGACCGGCGACTAATACCCTACTCCGTCCGGAGTACAAATCTCACTTACCGCGACCGCACAACCCCAGTTGCGGCGTGAGCGACACTCACATCAACTCCGCGCAACGGTCCAGCACTAACTCAGTTCCCCGTACTCTACCTAACAAAGACACAACACGATACGATACGTAGGAACCATATTCTCTGACCATGCAGTAAATATTAAAATATACCCAGATACAGATAGATCAAACCATACCCATCCAAATCCACTATCTATCAAATAAACCCACGAAAGCGTCACCCTAATCAAATACTAAATTGACATGTTGCAATTGATTGATCCATCCACGTATCCGTCCCCGTCTCATTTTTAGTCTCAACTATTGATAGTTACCCGTAACACAATCCTTCTTCCGGATATAGCAAAAAAGCCAAAAGTACAACACTTACCCCTGATTCCTCTTCACCGTGGGGCCAGCCGCAGCAAAAACCCATCATTCAATCCACGCGGCGTCAGAAATACCCGTAGACGTGTAAACTAGACCTATCGTCCCCGGTACCTGTCATCCGCGCGGAAACGGAAACGCATACGCATGGCCACGATGGCCGCCAGGCCGCGCCGTCACGATATCGACGTATCCGGTACCACAGCATGTAGGACAAGGTTATTTATTCAATGGTTTGCAACTCTGTATTGTTTTTGCTTATTTTGTGTGCAACCTTGTCGCCTTGTAGTAATCCTGACTCCACTTCAATGTAAAATTTGGTTTTTTGTCCCGCTCGTTGCTGGGGTTTCGTCGGGCGTCGGAGTGGGCACGATATATATCAAACTTGACAGTGCATATGTCCATGGTACAACGGTACCACATGTTTAGTGTATACATCCAGATAACCTGATTGTGGATAGAAATTAATTGCGACCCATCTATGTACTGAATTGGGACTTTTAAAGTAACACTAATTACTCTTTCAGGTTTTTAATGTTCCTGCACGTGTACATGGTGATGCATAGCTGCCTTCGGGACAAACGGAACAAGACATATACTACACGTATCATTTTCAACCCACAGCCTCGCCACATCAATGATTTCAGCCCCATAAAAATTCGGATTCACAATATTTTGAATCACCTAACGATTTACCTATCTTAATATCGAAGCTATAAATTCTAAAAGTAATCTTAAATTCCACGTCTGGCCCATTCTTTCCAACGCCAAAGCAATAGCTGCAGCAGGTACCCTGACAACCGTGACGCTATATAGGCTCCAGCATCGGGCAGTTGCAGATGATCATGATAATTTTTGGGTATCAACCATTTCAACAGTGGTACATATCCAGATCAATGTTCTGGTAAAACGACTATTGTATCGAGAATTCAACTTTGGTCTTGGTCTTGAATTGAGATGTATGGAATTCTTGTTCTTGCGCGATGTGAAACGATGGTATTTGGGATCGACATCGTGACTTGATTTCTGTTGGATGGAATGTGAGTTCCAGGGGCAAACCTGGTTTTGTGCTGATGTCATAATTTGAGGTGCGTATTGAGTTACTTTGTGCAATTTGAGATTTGATGTGTTTGTCTTTTGAAGTTCTAGCACTGCCAAGGTTGTAGTTTGTGGCATGGGAAGAATTGTGTTCGGCGAGCTACCTGGGCAACTGGCGCTGTTATCCACTTCAACTTGAGGTTTAAGTTATGGCCCCATGATGTTTTAACCCTGTCCATTAGGAATGTAGGGTCTCGAGAGCTCTGATAGTATTTCCGAACCCCGGCCTGCTTAAGCCGGCTCCCCTTATTCAAATCCGTTCGCTATATCTAGTGACATCCTAGGGAATGTATTTTCGTTACTATATTGAACAGCGCGATCCCATGCACCCAACCACTTGTAAGGACTCCTCAGCCAAGCCTTCAGTTCATGTAAAAAGAGCTGAGCGTATCGACGACCCAGGAAGTCCCGAATCAGTTCTTCAGCTTGACCGGAGCTGTCTTGAATGTCTATTGTCTGAAGAATGGCGATAATGTATGCATGTAAGAACTCCACTTTGCTGGGTTTGAGTTGTCGAGAACCATCATTATGTTCTTGTGGCAGGTCGTTACTTGTATATAGAAACGAAAACACACGGAGCTCACGAGAGAGCCATGTTCAGGCTTGGGACTAAAGTTCGGGGTCTTTCCTGAAAAGTCGCGGAGACAGAGTCCCCTGTATCTTGAACTCAGAGGCTGTTGTTCGCTCAAGCCTATATGGAGAGAGTAGAGATTGTGGCGATAAATGAACCGTCGCTTTTGAAGGGCCTCATCTTCATCTTGAAGTAGTACCTGTTCGGATTGTCCAAAATCGTTGCTTCGACTTCCAGGTAATAATGAGAATTCAGTTGCACTCTCCGAGGCACGGGGCTGCTTGTCAGGCCGCTTTGGAACTTTGAAAGTTTTTCCATGCTTTCCATCCCCATTCAAATCGTATCGGATTTCATGAATGTCACTCTTACATAGTGGGCAGGTCGGATGCTCTTGTACCCAAGTGGCAAGGCATATATAACCAAAATTATTATGTTGACAAGGTTGCGCTTCGCACTGTTCGGTTAAGTCACCAAGGCAGATGATGCAGCATCCATTGGCTTTCTCTGAAGCGGAAGAGGATATTTGTTGAAGAGTGTTTTGCAAGACTTGAGCGCGTAAGTCTTCGTCATGAGTAGTCATTTCCACAGTGGGCCAGAGATTCATCTATTTACTCGAGACACGAGGGCCAAATTATTCGAAAATGCTCTTGAATGACAGTATCCTGAGGTAAATAGAAAGTTCCCAAGTCAATAAATTTAATGGGCATGAATTATATGTACCCAAGTGTGTGGGGTGGATAAGAAAGGGGCAAAGTGATTATCTTTCTCACCAAGTCTAAGAGGCATACCGACGATTCCCCGGAAGATATTGAGCCTGTGCTTTCGAAGCTCGTGAATCTGGAGTCGTTGGTTATGAGATCAAGCTGGTTCCAGAGGGAAAATTACCATAAAATGCAACTACTTTGCAACCCACAAGAAAACCTACCTGCCCTGCGATCCTGTGAGTCACGCCCGATCTTTTCATTGATGAACGTTTCGAAGATTGAATTAATGAGTATAGGTGCCCTCACCTTTGACTGCTGTGGCTACGAGTGGTCTTTTGACGTCGCATCATATTGATTCTTGCTTCATCACCCTGGTTTAGAGAGACTAACTATCGCCGGAGCTAAATTCCAAATGGGTGAGCTTGACGGGCGCGCAGTACCTTTCCGATCAACCCGCCTTCATGAGCTCACATTGTTGAACTGTGGCCTTAGGTCTTTCCACATCGAACGAATGCTTCATTACCCTCACAACTCAGACATTTCACTATTAAGGGTCAAAAAGAAGAACGCCTTGACCATCCCTTCTTTCCGGATAGGAATCGACAGTTGTATATCGATGCTCTCGCATCCCAATATTCATCTTTGGAGACTCTTGATATTGACATTAAATATCATGATTGGGAAGAGCCAATTGATCTCAGCAAATTCTCAGCCCTCCAATCTCTAACAATTTCACCAAGAATGGTGATTGGGGATAATCAATGTGAGTGGCTTAAGCCGTCCTCAGCTTTGGACTGGGCGAAGCGTCTCCCATCGAACCTACAGAGCCTCAAATTTCGCAATGAATGTGGAGCGTTTCCCATATTACAGATCTATGAGACTGTACGCGAGGGTTACATCCACCTTAACTTCTTGACTTGCCAAATAGCTTCAAATGTGCTAGAATATGGCTCCCTTTACTGGGATGCTGGGGATCTTGATTTGGTTGATCCAGAAGGCATCCGAGTCTTTCGTTCTCCAGATGAGCTTATGTCTGATATTCCTCCAGACGGAGTTCCATATTTGCTGGGATTTCGGGGACTTGGCGTTGGGTTCTCTGTCGTCGAAGTTCCTCGTACAGAGAGGCTACCAGGGTACGATTCATGTCCGTGTCCCTGCTGGACATACAGACATCGCCTTCATCCTGAAAGAAGAGGCAGCGCTTGGTAACTTTCTCTGAAATTCAATCACTGGCGCAGGCGCACACGTGGTCTTATATGTACATATTTACCCGGCTTGTATAGATAAAACCAAGCTCTGGAGTCTCTCTCTACTGCTGGCCTATAGAGAAAGAACTTCAGTCTCCAAGTAATAGAGGAGCGTCGAGTGTGAAAACAGATAGATACCTAGAAACATAGGAAAGCCGTTGGTTGTTTTCACCTCACAAGGGGGCGCGTCAAGATGGACATTCCACACCAATGTCCCTGTGTGGATAGCAAACAATCGCAAGGATATCTGAAATGCTCTTCTATACAATAGCGAGATATACAGGGAGGAAGTGACCTCATTGAAAGTCCATTAAAATTTGATTAAATAACGTATAGTTTTCAGTAGCATTTTCTTTGGCTGAGCAAATAAGTGATACCTAAAAAGATATCACTGAAGGGCCTGCCATATTAACATAGCCACGCCTATGGCCAATGGATGAGTGACCGAGAGGCCAACAGGCGCTGAATTCTTGCTGGTACTAGGCGAGGCTGTAGCAGCGCTACTCGTGGTAGCCGAGCCCGTAGTATTGCCTGCAGTTCCACTGCCACTAGAAAGTTCCGTAGCAGATGATGAAAGGGACGAAGATGAATGTGTTGGCTTGGGGCACAAGTTATCATACACAAACTGCGTAGGACTGCCACTACAAGTGGTCGCAGAATTGGCGTTGAATGTGCCATTTGTATACATCCAGCAAGTACCTGATGCATATGGCGAGTAGCTGTCATTCCCCGCATTAAAGACGACATAGCTGCAGGAATCGGCATTTGCACATTCACTCAGGCAGTCCGATGCACCTGAACTAGCGACGCAATCATCAAAGCAGTTATCAGGCGGCGTCGGGTACCCGCAGACTGAGGCAATAGCAGAGGGGCTCGCGGTGGCAGTGCAGGCGCCAGACGTAGTGGTTGTGCTTCCACCGGCACACACGGGCTTGTCGTAGACGGACAGGCTGGGATTGGCACAATCCGAGCTACCCTTGCTCGAATTGAAAGTTTCACCTGGGTAGAGCCAGCAAGTGCCGGAGCCTGTGGTAGGGTTGCCGGCAGAGAATATGAGAAAGTTGCATGGAGGATGGGCGTTACAGTAGTCCCAGCAGAAGGCCTTGCCGCTGCTGGCGACGGCAAATTCTGATCCGGGTTCCGGATAGTCGCAGAGACTGGTGACGAGGGAAGCTGTACAGCTTGCTGCAGTGGCAGTGGAGGTAGTGGATGTAGCAGTCGTCGCTACGGTTTCAGTAGAGACTGCTAGAGCCCGTGGAACTGATAGGGCGATAGAGGCCCAGTAAAGAGCGATCTTCATGGTAGCGAGCGTGGGTAATGAGCGTGTTTAAGATTGAGAAAAGTCTTAAGTAAGACCCAAAGAGTAGCACTCGCTAGTGCGAGCATCTGGGCAGTCTTGCCTATTTATACCTAGTGTCAAAGCACTTGAGGGGTAACACCGAGTCTGTAGTAAATCACTAGTAAGAGAAATTCTTAATCTCACAATGCAACGTCGCTTATATATTGTTGCAGCCTTTCACTATCAACCATTGGTCAGAACACTAGTCTAGAAAAACAAAGAGCCACTAGATGATTGAACGCTCCGTTCTTTCCCCTAGTAGTAAGCCCTACCAATTTGTTATATCACATGGCTGATAGTGGAGCCGAATTAATATTACACCTATCCTGGTGAACTAGGGGGTTTTAGCGTGTTTTCCGGGTTAACATCCAACCAAATTCAAGTCGCGCCGAACCCTTAGGTAGTAATCCCAACCTTGGAAGACTTTTGTTACAGCCCTGGAGCCAGGAGGCCAGAGCCCCGGAGCTAGCCGTGGAAAATGGAGTGTTTTCGTTGGACACACTGTGGGGCTCGTCCTTTTTATTGGGCATAGAAAGGAACGCGCCCCATTCAGTGGAGCATGTCCACTAACCTACACAAGCTGTTCGGGTCTATACAAATTGGAACCTTCTTGGAAAATGTTCATATTCCTTTAAGCGCATTGCGTCTATCAACCACCTGGGAACTTTGATATCTGTCAAAAATCTAAATATGTCTTTTTTGACAGGATATTGTCCTTGTCAGGGGCTTGTTAGGGAGCCTGACAGCCAATGAAATTTGTTTAACCAGATGGCGCTAACCGTATTCAAGTTCGCTATGCAGCGTTCTCCGTTCCAATATTTCTTTTGTATACCCTTTCTAGAATATGGGCAGTCCGTTCTCCTAGGTGCGTAGTAGCGAAGCTTCTTAAGCACAATAATTGAATTCGGTGCGCTTTCATTCTTCTCAGATCTGAGAGCTTAAGGGTTTCAAAAACACCTTCTGGCCACTATGAGAAATTAGGTGACTTCGAAAGAGAGCTTTGTAACATAATTCTGTTCCGATTTCCATGTGTCCACGATCCACGGAGCCCAAACATGCTTGTACACCAAAAGATGCGGAAGACTCATGGCTTGCTCAACGCCTCTCCAGTTCCGTCCTTACTGCCAAATTCAGTGAACAACCCAGGAAGAATCTTGGCCAAATGCGTAGATTCAATTTAGTCATGCATCATTTGGTCGTAAGCCATGGAAGTCACCATGGAGTAGAGCTTCCCACCGTTGCCAGACTGTATGCCCGGAGAGCGATGCATATTGGGGATCCATTCTGCAACTTTTGGCATATGGAAATAGTATCAACTTGTCAACTCTAGGCCATCATCTGTTGACGCCATACGTGGATCATAGTGCAAGTATGTTTGTTGGAGATACCCTGCATTCGTACGTGGCCACAGGCAGACGCGACGTAGCCATTTCGATCGCCAATATACTCTGTAATTGCATGTGTATTTCCGACATATCTTTGATGGTACTTCAAATGAGGCTGGGGAAGAACTTCTCGATTCTGCGCGATTGTCTCCACATGAGCGCTGGGGAACCAAAGTGTATATCGCTCTTTTTCAACGAAGTGCCACTAGGACCACCATTCAATAATTTCAGATGTGCAGGCCGGAAATCTGGTCAACTAAGCAGCGTAGCCTGAGTGAAATCCCGTCTCCACCGGCAGATAGCCGGGTTCAAGCAGACGATTGATGTTAGACAATGGGAGCAAATGAGCCTCGGGAATCGGCTGAATAAACGCGGGCAGCGAGCTCTTGTGAATCATCCATTCGTCAAATATAAATGGCGCGTATGGTTTGGATGAGATATTTTTCAGATTGGTTTCATATGTAGTTCGGGCCCATTCAGGGCGCCAGTCAAGCACGACATGAGAGTCGTCTGCCTTGCCGCTAACGGCGGTAGCGATATAGACCTCCAAGTGGTATGCGCCTGCACTTTGTATTATGCCGCTGCAAGGTTCTCGCACAAGCATGTTCAATGACACAAAAATTTAGTTTTCCTTGATCCTGATCCTAGAACATATGGGCAAGGCGAGAAAGGTGGGAAAAGTGGAGAAGGCGGGGAATCGGAGGTGGGAAAGCGGAGGGGTGATGATATTGATATTCGGACAGAATCTGTCTCAAGGTCTGTCTGTAGCTCTCTGGGCATAGTAACTTTCTGACAATGGCGACACGAGTGGGCCTTGAAAGGGCTGTCTTGTTGCTTCCTTTTCATAATGAAGGCCATTCCACACCTCGCCCACTCGCTTGAGAAATTTCAAGTGGCCGGTAAAATGGCCTCCGACCTAAGATATCTGTCGCCGTAATGATATACAGATGAACTTTTTCTGGCGGGAAACCCGATGATCCCATCGATGCTTTGCTAATAACACGAGATTTCGAGCGGCCTCAAATCCATTTTCTGCCATATGCCGGAATACATGTTGGCACCAATCGAATTTATCCCGATGTTCAAATTCAAGGAAAATTGTTGAAATTGAGCTTGTCACGAATAACACGACTTGAATGCAAGAGGACTTCATACTTTTCTGTAAGCAATACGGAATTGAACGAGCTATTTCGTTCGCGTACATTTCCGATAACAAATAATCGTAATCATTACTTGGGTCGGTAGGAGGGTTGTCATTGGTATGTGCATCGACAATGGAGCGAGCACGGTGGATCAATGGTTGGAGCATGACAAGATTGACCCAGAACATCATATGTAGCATCGCATCATCATGAGGTAGAAAATAATAGGCCAAGCCAAATAGAGGCTCAGTTGCAGGAATGCTCATTTTTTGGGATTTCAGAAACCGAGCTGATTTGCCTTCAGATGGTGGTTGACCTAAGCTCCCATTGCTTTGCAGGTTCATCAGGCTTTCTTTAGCCCCGTAGCATTGTTCCAGAAGTTCTTGACAAGCCATAGGGTCTGAAAGATCGAGTAAATTGATTTCTGACTGTAATTTCCCAATTGAAACTGATATCTGGAGAATTTCGAGTAACGGATTGCCGCTGGTGGGCTCCATGACAAGTTCGTATTCTCCCTGTGAGAGATCCATTCCTCTCGATACTAATATCTAGATCAAAGTGTCAGATAGTCCATTGAAATGTGGTTGATTTCCATACTGTGTTCAATTTCTGTTGGTGCTTGTAGATCGTATCGATCAAAGGATTTTTCGGTGCCCTATTGCGAAAGTGTGTTAATACCGCCATCATCCCCGACACTTGAATACCCCATGATTTCAGGCCAGACGGCGCATAGAATCCCTAATATTTCAAAGAGTATGAGCAGGCCGCTTTTGTACTCAAGGGGTCATATGAACCAGAGGGGATCCGGGAGAATTCATACAGTAAGCTCCTGAAAGATAAATGCAGCATATAGTATGTCATCTGTGTAAGTATTCCGGTGAATCAACCTAGACATGATACCAATAGCATCGTTGTATAATTGGATTCCATGAACGTAGACTCGCGTATCTTTATTTATCCTCCCCAGAGAAAGGCACGACATGGCAGCGAGAGCTTTATCCAATATCTTACCCTTCTGGGGGAGATGGTAGATGCCTGAATGGAGAGACTGTTGTAAATTTACAATGGACGAGGGCTTATCAACAGAGAAATGAAGTTGGATGAAAGATGAAAGCACCTGCGCCCGCATATTCTGACTCGAGTAAATAGGAGCTGGCAAGATAGGAGAGCAGAGGTGACTGGTAGCATGAGCCGCAGGCAGTTGACTAATAGGTTTCACCACTATCTTTCTGCTGGGAACATGGACCCAGTTTCGGTATTCATCATATCCAGGACATTTGAGTCCGCTTTTTATACATCGTGCACATTCGGGATTGTTCTCATCGGCGTCGCACTACCGTAGTTGTTAACAGAACCAACCTGAGATTATTGGAGAGACACGAACCTTCTTCTTTCGCTTTCGACAAGTTAAGCAGCCCTTAGAAGACCACGGCTTGCCACCCATATCTATATTTCGACCAGTCCAATGTTCAGCAGGTTCAAGTTTAGGGCGGAGTTTGATTCAATAAAGCCACGGCCGAACGGTGAAGGATTTCAGTGCCGTTAGAGTGGCCCCCATGTACACTGGCCACCGGGCACTTTTACCAATGAGGTTTTAGCAGTATAAGGGCGGTGGAAGACAGTGAATGTTATTGGCTATGGCTGTGGATTTTGTGTGGGGGTGTACGCAACGGGAGTGGTGAACGAACATTGAAGTAAACCCCTTTATCAAAGCTTGGCGGGAAACCTACTTTAAGTACTTTTTAGTTAGCCGCAGCATTGGAGAGTTCCAAGGTTGAATAGCGCAAGAAAACTATCTTGAGGCCCAATTTGGTAATGCTAAGACTAGTTAAGATCGCCAAATGTATGTCTGAGACAGATTGAAGTATACCAGTTTATAAATAAAATAAATATCCAACCCGAGGCAACATCGGGAAAATTGCCACACCGTGAAAGCATTTGGAGTCTTATAACAATCTCAGACTGTGATATCACTTATTAGGTAGACAACATGACAGACGTGAAGTGAATTATTTTGGACCGGCATGAATGTAGCTGGCGCATTGGGTAGGTAGAGGGGTCCAAAACTCGCTGCAGGCTTATGATAGTCAATCTTAGTGCTAAGGGTAGCTTTCCCTTCTTCAAGTTTAGTTTTGGTGAGGGGTATCTCCAAGTTATGGTAGGTATTTTTTACATCTAACTGAGCGGAGATGTTTGTCTTTGATGACTGGCCTGGGCTTTCTCCAAATGTTAGCATCAGGGGATTCGGGTACTATATAGACTCATTGGGCATATGCGTATTCAAGGGAAGCTAGTCAATAGAGACCAATTAGCTGGCAACTTGAAGAATATATCCAGGTAAAATATATTCAAGTTCCTATCACGACTTGAGTTCGGCAAGGGCATTAGGGGAAGGGAGTATAGTTCATGCGGCGGTTACCACGATAACTCCGACCGACGGTACAAAAACCTTATCAGCTTATCGCAACGCGCTAGTCCAGAAATGGCCAGCCTCTCCCCAAATTTTCTGCGCCGCAGCGAGCAATGTTCCCCAGGAATCAACCTCGCGACCAGCTCAATTGCCAGAGCTGCGATCTCGATTACCACATACCAACATTCCCGGCATCGGAATAACCAACTCAAAATGCCACCCCACTTCTACGCCCCGAGAAAGCGACGTCGCGAGCCTTACAATGTCGACGTGAAGCTCGTAGAGATCTACGAGGACCTGGCCAGCGAGAAAGACGAGATCCGTCTCAAAGCCGCACAAGGCCTCGTCTCACAATTCACACCCGATAAGGACCCCACCGATGATCAAATTAAGAAGACGCTGCAGAGACTATTTCGCGGTCTCTGCAGTAGCCGTAAAGCAGCTCGAATTGGCTTTTCAATCGCTCTGACGGAGATGCTCACTCAAATCTTTACTGTCAAGCGCGAGGATTCGGAGGTCGTGCTTGCAGATGCGCTTCGTATCTGGGAGGCTCAGTCGAACAACTCTGGCGAGACCAGACAGGTAAGCTAGGCTGAAGATTCTACGAAATTCATGATAACTTGGTACTGATCGGAATTCTTTGATTACAGGAACAACGCGACTACCATTTCGGTCGGCTATTCGGTGCCGAAGCCATCCTCAAATCTGGCGTCCTCTTCGAAGCCAGCGTTCCATTTGACTATTGGACCAAGGTCCTCGGCCTGATTTTCGAGCTTGCGCAGAAAAAGCCATGGCTCCGCGAGGAGTGTGGATGGATCATTTACCGTTGCATCTATGACCTCTCTGCTCGCAAGATGGATGTTAAATTCCTGGAGAATACCCTGGAGACCGTATGCTCCCATGACCTGGCGAAGACCCCGGAAGGTGTCGCGGTCTGGCTGGCGGCGAAGGACATGTTCCCCGATGCCAAGTTTCCCTCCAAGGTCTGGAAGCACGATGACCCATTGGACACAAAGGAGCGCAGCAATCTGTCTAAAATTATGAAGGAATCTTCTGCTGAGGAAGATCAGGGCGAGAAGAAACTCAAGGCTTCTGGTACCTGGAACTCCAAGCTTCATTTCGCGTGGGATGCGGTTATTTCGCGGACTACTGAGAGCACTAAGTCGAAGGGACGTCTGTCTTTCAGTGATTTCTGGACAGAGGTCGTGGACAGTAAGTGGAACGTTAAACAAATTATCTCCAATGCGCCAAACTAACTAGTTTTCTTTTCTTTAGATAGTCTATTCGCCTCCGCTTCATCCGACGAACGCAAGTATTGGGGTTTCCTCCTATTCAACAAAGTCCTCAACGAAGGTACCTCTAGCCAGGCATCCCATGTGTTCACCAAAAATCTTGTTCGATGCTTGACAAACCAGCTTGCTGTCGAAGATCGTTACTTGCACCGCATGGCTGTCAAGGCCTCTAAGGCAATCCAAACCCGCGTCTCCACCGAGCCCGGCTTCGCAGCCGCAGCAGTCGGCGGCCTGATGGGTACCGCTGGAGCCGTGAACTTTGACCAAGCCACAAAGACGAAGACCATTGAGAAGATCGTAGCTGACGCCAACCGTGAGGCTTTGGAAGATATTGTTCCAATGTTTGGAAAGCTTCTCACTCACCCTGGTGCAAGCGATGACAAGGTTGCTGCATCAAACCGACAGTTCATTGCCGGTAGTCTTCTCTCAATTGTGCGGGCGAAGGCCTCCACCGGTAATGACGATTCGGAAGAGGATTTCCAGTCTGTTCTGGAGCAGATTCTGTCTATCCTCGTGCGATTCGCATACTTCCCCAATACCGATGATGCTTCCACGGCCCCACAACCTGCTCTCTCTCAGGCAACACAGGAGATGCTGCGCAACCGCATCAACTCCTCGTTAAACAGTCTCCTCACATCACCAAAGTATGCTGCAGCTATTCCTTATGCGGTTGTCAAGCAGATCCGTGATGCTATTAAGTCCGAAGAATATGGAAAGTTCATCATCAATATGGATGACAAGTTGCAAGATTCCGTGAAGACTGCTTTCAAGTCTCTCAAGAAGCTTTCTAGCAAGGTACGAGAAATCAGCTGCTTGCATTGGTGTTAAAATACGTTTACTAACTTTCTATATAGGAGAAGAAGGGCGAGACATCTAGTATCTCCGCTTTCAAGCTCTTGTACTCCATGACCGTTCTGCAGGTGTATAACGGCGACCCCGATGCTGTGTCAATGCTCGACGAGTTAGAGTTCTGCTACTCCAAGTTCATGGACGAAAAAGAATCAAAGAAAGAAGATACCTCCGATGCATCGGACGCCCTCGTTGAAATTCTTCTCAGCTTTGCCTCAAAACAGTCACAGCTTTTCCGTCGCATGAGTGAGCAAGTTTTCGGTGCCTTCGCCGACCAGGTTACTGAGAATGGACTGGAGTCTTTAATTTCGGTATGTACATCAACCTCTCCTTCTTGAAGCACCCTCTAATTTGAATTACTTCTAGATCCTGGAAGCCAAGGAAAGTCTTGCCGGGCAACAAGAGATGTTCGAAGAACAAGATGACGATGAAGACGTCGAGGAAGTCTCCGAGAACGACGATGTCTCGAATGACGATGACGAAGACATGCCAGACGCCGACGACGACGAAATGGACAGCGACGTGGAAGTTGTCGAAGCAGAGGACGCCTCCGACTCCGATTCTGACGAGGAAGAAGAGGAAGAGGACGAAGAAGATGCTGCCGAAGTCGCTGACTTCGAAGCCAAGCTCGCAGCCGCCCTAGGTACCCACCGTGGTGATAAAGATATCGACGCTGAAGAATCCGACTCAGACGAGGACATGAACGACGACGAAATGGAAGCTGTAGACGAAAAGCTCGCTAATGTCTTCCGAGCCCGTCGCCAAGTGACATCCCAACAAAAAGACAAGAAAAATGCTCGCGAGAACATGGTCAACTTCAAAAACCGAGTTCTCGATCTTCTCGAGATCTTTGTCAAGAAGTGCCACTCCCGCCTGTTAACACTAGATCTAGTCCTTCCTCTTCTACGACTCTCTCGCCGCTCCTCTGTGAAGCAGATCGCGTCCAAGGCGAATAATGTGCTCCGCGAATATACCAAGCTGTGCAAGGGATCTGCTGTTCCGGAAATCGATGATATCAAGCCTGTCTGGGAACTTCTGCGCTCTATCCACAAGGAGGCGGCGCATAGTGGGCCTCCCGCTCACGCGACAGCTACTAGCCAGGCTAGTTTGCTTGTTGTCAAGGTTCTTGTTGCGCATGATAAGGCTGAGATTGCGGGTGTTGTTGATGTTTATGCTGAGACGAGGAAGAACCAGCTTTGCAGTACGAAGTGTCATATTCAGCCTTCTTTCTTTACTGACTGGAACAACTGGTGTGTTTCAGCTAGTAAGCAGCTCAAGAACTGAGGATCCTCTTAGGACTTCTTTGAGCTTGCGAGATTATCTGTATAGAGTTATGTGAACGTCAAGTATCATTATTGAAAAGCATCAATATCGAATCCTAAATTTATTCAGCGTTATGAACTACATCATGACTTCAATTCCAAGGCTGTTTTGTATGTGATTTTTTGCACCTGGTAGTAAATGTCATGGTATCAAAACTAAACATATGCATTTTGAGAATGTAACAAATAACCCCACTAAACCAGTAATATACCTAAATTATAGCCTAGAATAAAATGTTTGAAGCTTCCAATCTGCAACTTCTAAGCAGATACCTCCCCGAGACCGGATAGATCCATACCCGGCTCCCGAGATCGGAAAAGCAGTTCAACAGTGGGATCAGCAATGATCTCACTTCCAATCTCGAAGTTCTTCGGTCGCTCATCTCGATCCTTCAGTTTCCAGTCATACTTAAGCAGTAAGTGAATAAGTAAGATCTTAGATTCATTTGCCGCAAAGAAGCGACCCGGACAAGCGTGTAGACCATGGCCAAAGTTGAAGCTTTCAGTGGTGGTAGTCACAAATTGGTGTCTATGCTCATGGCCTGCTTCCTGGCGTTTCTTGAGGAACCGGTAGCCATCATACTTGTCGGCATTGTGATAAATACTCTCGTCAGTGTTGACGTGTGCTGAGACGGCGATCAGTGCTCCCTTCGGGATGACAGTGCCGTCTGATAGAGGGATTTCCTTGAGAGCGAGGCGGTTCAAAGAGGCTTATTCATGTTAGTATGAATTTTTTCGCACTCATATGTTTTACATGTAAACAAAAGCGACTTACTTAAGCTAACAGGGTTCGTGCGCTGGGATTCTTTCATAACACTATCCATGAGTTTGAGCTTCAACAGACTCGTTTTCTTGAGAGTACCATCCTCAGCAATAACCGCGGCAATCTCATCACGGAGAGCTTGGATATACTCTGGGTACGCAGCAAGGTCGTACATGATATTCGTAAGAAGGTTAGAAGTGGTATGAATAGCTGCGAGAGATAACCCGACTTGTCCACCCGTCATATCATAATTCGCCCCAAGGCCCTCAGATACTTCTTTGAACCAGTCGAGAGCATCCGAATGAGTACGAGGAGGATCTTCAGGAGGCATTGTACCATCGCGGATCATTTGCCGCCTGTCAATTTCTTTTTGCACGATGGATCGAGCAACAGCAAGATGTTGGCGAAGTTTCTTCATCTTAGACATAAAATGGTGCACGAAGGGACGCAGGAAAGACGGCCAAAGACGCAGTTCGCGAGAGGCAAAGAAGGCATCAATAGTATAGTTTACGGCAACATTGATCCAATCTTCGTTACGGCAGGCCTTCTCACCTAGGAAGACTAGGGTGGAGACCCGAGCAACGATGTAGGGGCATTTCTGCGAGAAGTTGTATGACGTCCATTCTGGGTTGGACGGCGTGGTTAGTTAGAATTGACCGGGGATGGGTAACGATCTCAGAGATTTTTCTTCTGCAGGTTTTATGCCATACCGTTTGATGGAGGTAAAATGTCTTTTAGTGTGAAAGCCGTTTCCTTAGATAGAGGAATTGTCAGACTACCTGTACAGTTGGTTAGAATTGATCCTTTGAATATTCGAGGCTTCCATACCAAGCGCCTGAGTCAACTTGATTCGAACTGTATCCGAGCCCACTTGGGATGAGCCATTGCCATGGAATGGTTCAAAGCCGGGGATACGCGCAGAGAAGAAGTTCTGAAATATGGTCAGTACTCATTTCGAAAGCTCTATGGGACGAATCTGTTGTTTTACCTGTCGTGTAGCGCCTTCAAAGGACAGATAGGGATGGCTTTTGATTTCATCGATATACTTTGGGTGCAGAATGATCAATGGGCGAATACCCCCCATAAGCTGGAAGACACCTTTGCCCTATTTTCGATCAGCAATTTGGTAAAACAAGATATTGATAGTAGAATCTTTCCCACCTTTGCAAACCCCTCTGCAATCAACTCGCGGGCGGACTGAGTAAAACGCGACTTGGCCTTTTTATTGGAAAGATTCCACCATTCTTTGCCAACTAAAGGAACTCGGAAATAAGGAATTTCATCGGCCAGATCTCCCCAGAAGGTGGATATGAATATAGCCACCAGTGCCACACAAATACCCTGAACCAGATAAGGAGAGTTGATCAACTCAACAAGAACCGCCATGACCACGATGGGTTAAGTAAAAATAACCACAAAAAGTCCAAAGCCTAACAATTAGTAGTCCAATTTTCGAGGGCTCGGGACATTTATAAAATAATAATGAGACTAGTCTCCACCAATGAGACCCAGTTCTTCATACAATAGATTATTGGGTTTCGGTTTCGCCCAAACATCCTATCCAGATTGGACACTTTTCATAGCCAGTCTCGCACTCTGTCTGACCCACATTAGATCGGATGTGGCTTAACTCCCGATATTGAGAAAATAAAGGGGGAACGGGAGCTGAGTGTTCCGAAAAACAGTTCGGCTGATAGGCTAGTTTGACTTCGCTAGCTTGGACCTGACGAAGTACGGAGTCTTCGCGTACGTGAAGGCCGAGAACGAAAACGAGCATCGATCATTTCCCGAAAGGGCATTTGAAGAAGTTTTGGGGGATCCACCATACAAATGACTTGATCAAGACCAATCATGATGGAATCGACCGAGAATTGGTAACACATCAGAGGTGAAACGTGACAAATGCAGAAGTGAGAAGGATAGGGATTCGAGATAAGAAATTAAGAAACATAGAGTGACAGAAAAGCAAAATAAAGATATTGAAGCTGAGATGATGAAGCTGAGTAGAGATGAGTAAAGAGAAGGAAAGATGAAGCCAATCAGCGACAATGCAAACCACCCAAAGCCAAGACTTTGGTTTCCCCGCAATTGACACTCGCTTCTACTCCAACTACTCTCTCGCGTGCAAAGTACTTATATGGTTTCAAGTTACGTCGAATATACATCGGTTACAGGATCTTCGGTTTCAGATTTGGATTTTGCTGGGGTTCTGTCTGGTATCTCCATCAATAAGACGGTTTCTTGTTTGCCTTACAAACCCACTCCTTCAATATGGGCGACTATGGCCCCGCCGTCTCTCCCACTCAATCCACCCATGTGGACCAGCACTCTGAACCAGCTTCCAACGAGATCTCCGTCCTGATCACAGGGTTTGGCGTAAGTGATGAGTGATCTGCGCCCGGATCGAAAGCGTATCCGTATCCGAATCCGAACTAATGTTCTCACGGTGTAACTTAGCCCTTCAAAACCAATCTTGTCAATGCCTCTGGCTTGATCGCCAGATCCCTGCCGTCCTCATTGACCATCCCTTCCTCCAAAGCTAAAGGATGCCCCGCTGCCGACCGACAAGTCACCCTTCATGTCCACCCCTCCCCCATCCCAGTGGCCTATTCGTCCGTGCGTGAGACTGTCCCCGCAATAATAGACGATTACGCAGCAGCCAATCAGGGTCGCCGCCCGGACTTGATCATTCACATAGGCATCGCGACTCCGAGACCCTATTACTCCGTGGAATCCCTCGCCCACCGCGATGATTACAATATCACGGATATCGAAGGTCGCTCTGGTTACGAGGAGGGCGAGAAACGGTGGAAACAGCAAGGATTGCCGGCTTTATTAAGCCCCGGTAGGGCCATCCCAATCATAGAAAGATCGGATGATAAACACAATCTCACAGAACACCGAGGTGGCCCGTATCCGCCAAATGACCATTTTCTGCAAACGTGGAAAGCAAATGCGTCGGCGGGCTTGGATATTCGCATCTCTCATGACGCGGGCCATTATCTCTGTGACTTCATCTTCTACACTAGCTTAGCCTTGGCGATGCAGCAGGGCCAAGATCGCAATGTCTTGTTTTTGCATGTTCCCGGGGCGGCGGAGGATGTCGATATCAAGCGTGGACGAGAAATTACCTTGGCCTTGATTAAGACCATGGTGACCTGTTGGATCGATGAAGTTCATCCTGCATGATCTAAGCGAACTGCATATTAGTGGCTTTTCGACTTTGATTTGCGTCTGACTTCTGCATTGGTGTTTTTTTTCCCCGGGAATATTATCATATAACTACCAGCATTACTGAAGTGAATACATAAGTTAACGCTTGATTGCTTTATAAGCATGAATTCTTATCTATGCTAAAAAGACCTATTTTGATATGTTGGATGCAAAGTGACTAAGATTGAAGTTTGCACATTCAGCCATCCAGCTGGGTATTTACCCCCCTCCCGGTTCTGCGTTCATGCGCAAAGTCGTATCTTGAGTAATTTGTGTCACCCAATTTGAAGCCTGATCTAGGCGATTGGAATTCCCGTCATCAGCGACGCCATGGCCGCTGGGCACAGGGCATTTTCAAGAGTGAACCAAGAATAATGCGTATCAGGGCCACTCTCATCTTGTTCGATCACATCTTGGATTTGAGCTTTATTCTTGCAAAAGATCTTTGGCTCTTTGCATGCGACATCTCCATTCTTCTGCAGATAATCCTGCATGATCTCAGCACAGCTCATGACGATTCGACTTATGGCCTGCGTCCCCGGCTGTGCAATTCCAAGAGCTTGTGTATTTTGCGCAGAGCCTCGAGCAACATGATGAACAAGAATAACCAGGCTAGAGATTAAAGATTCATCAGGCATGTACGCTGGTGTGAAATATTGAGCGAACTTATGGTCCTCCTTGGCTTTGATAAGCCTGAGCAGTTCAACGCAGCGTTTATGCATCCCAAAATAATTGCATAAGATAGCGGGCTGTTCTTCGAATAATTTGTTCTTTATAAGGGCAAGAACTTGTAACGCGTCGATGCTACGGGCGTTTGCCCATTTACGCTGGAATATCGCCTGTGAATTGTTGGAGGGTACAACCTCCTTGCCCTTGCCCTTGGCCTTGGTTTTTTCTTTGACAGCTGGCTTCTCCGAAAGTTGATCCAGAACCGTGTCAATGCTCGCGATGCCATGATGATTATCCGGGTTAGGCATGTACGGGATATATTGCTCCCGGTACAGATTCGCTACTGTGGTCGTTAACGTGAGGAGTCGAGCATTCTTTCCATCGGGACGATGGAAATCCCGTCTATTGCGTGAATCGCGGGCAAACTTTGTAGCAGACGAAATTCCTGTAGCCAATTCAAGTCTGTTCAGGGATTCACTCGCGTTTTGAGGTCGAGAACCAACAAAAAATGAGATTCGCCGTGGATCTTGATGAAAGCTTCCATATCAGGCCAGCTCAAATTCTTGTGCATTGGACTCAATGTGACAAGATTGTGCAAGAATGCTAATTGCTGGACATCATACCATTGGGTGATGAGTTGTTGGCCAACGGACTGCATTCGTAGATTGAGGTGGAACAAAATTAACCCACTGAGGAGGCCATGTTGATTTAGCAGGAGATGCTTTTCAGGGACTGGAAGACTCCTCAATTCTCGATTTCTAGATCGAACAAACGAAAGCATGTCGTCAATGACCCACGCTTGTACAGTCGTGTGTATACCTTTGATCTCCTCGTCGCCTTCCTTTGGCCAGAACTGAGGCTTCGGGTGTGTTTTGGAAAGCTTGAAATAGTCGTCGATAATTCTCTGAATACGCAGTCCCGACATGCGAAGGTCTGCATATGCACTCATAGAACTGTGCCGCATGATATGATGGATATCAAGCAGAATTTGACAAGCAAATGCGAGGAACGGAGTAACTCTTTTATTCTTGACATATTCGAGAATAGCTTCAGTGATTGTATCCGGAGCGGGTGTCCGAATGTTGTATGCATCCAGCATACAGAACTGGGGCAGTAACTCGAGAAGAATGATCTTATCCTCCTTGAATTTCTGGCCAGCAGACATCGCCTCCCTGTTTGCTTTAGGATTGTAGATACCGAAGTATCCCTTCTTGAATACAGGCAAGGTATCACCATCATCCATCACGTCCGCAAATGACTTCAGTAGGATCGTGGTTGTCATCAAGGTCCAGTCAGCTATATCAGCCGCATTCTCGTTGTATGGAAGACCGACTTCCATTGATGGGCCCCTATCACCACCACGACTTAGGCTTGCCAATTTTAACACTAGTTCCTGAAGAAGTTGACCAGATTGGCGAAGGGAACTCCCCCAGTCATTCACCACATCCCGAATAAGGTCCCGTGCAAGCTGCAAAGCGCTATCTGTCACCACAGCGGCGTTCATGAGGTCGATTTTCTTGTCGCAGTACTCCGTCCAAGTATGGGATATGAATACCCGCGTATTGTGCAGATCTTGAAACATGCAGTATGTCTTGAATAAGATGATGCCGACTTGTGACCCTTCAGCTTCATCCTCGTCCTCATCAAGAACTTGGACGTCAACAATTTTCTGGGATTCAGGGAGAGCCTCCGGCGTTGATTCGGATTCCTGCGGTTCCTCAACGGTGAGAACTGCAAATTTGTTGTGGAACAGGTCGATTTCTGCATCATCGACCGCAGCCTCAGAGGTGGCAGGTGGCTGCTTGGCATTGGGATCGGAGGACTTGTTCACCTTCCATTCCAAGATGTCACAGATTATCTCCAGAGCAGAAACAAAATGAGCATGTCGCTCATTGTTTTTGGTGTCTCCCTGTCCCAGGAACCAAGAAATAACGTGCTTTCTGAGCTTAATTGCTCTTCTGGCGAGGGCCAGAATTGGCCTCGGCACGGTTAGAGACGACTTAGCTATTAGCTCGGCGATCACTTGAAGCTCTTTAATGCTCGTGAAATATTGAACTGAACCTGAGATAGAGGGGTCAACTGTCTTCTTTTTGTTTTTGTTTTTATCTTTGCTTTTACCACCTTGGGTGGCTGTGCCTTGGTTTTCAAGCCCGTCTGGTTTGTATCCGCACTTAACAGCTGCTTCAAGCAGCGAAACCATTGGTGTCGTCCTTGTAGCGTTTGTAGCTACTTTGTAGGAATTTGGGCGGCATAGTGATGGTTAACTGAATGTGTGGATGTGTGGATGAGAAATTCAGAGAGTATTGTGTGTTGATGTTGAGCACTTGAGCAGTGGCTAGTATAAATCGAACCTACTGGGCGAAGAGGACGGGAAATTAATGTTCCGGGCTCTTGGAATTCTATAACGAGATGAGCGACTAGTACATTGCAATAACTCATTAGTGTAAATTGGTAGAAACAGAGGAGTTTAAGATATCACATGTGCAGAAGCTAGCCAATATATATGTAGTTCTCAACCATGGATGCAATTCCTATAACCTTTTGTGTAACATGAAGCGATTGACGTAAGAAGCGGCTCAAGCCGGCAAAACGGAGCCGCTGGTCAAGCCACCAGCACTAGTTCTGACCCTGAGGTATGATGACTCTTCTCCCCCACAAAAAAATATTCAAACCTCTTGCAAACACAATCAATTGATGGAAATGATTGAGGGGACATCCAAAGCCTCACTCCTGCTGTTAGGACTGGTCATCCTCCTTCCAGTCCTCCTCATCCCACAACTGAAGGGATGGATCCGCAAATCATCCACGCCGGCGAATCGGCTGCTGGACCTACGCTTCTGGCGCTGGCACCCCAAACAGTCAACCGAAATTATATCACTGCGAATGTACCCAATTAAATCATGCCGAGGCTTCGAAGTGCAACGAGCCACTGTCAAAGAGCATGGTCTCGAGCTTGACCGGCGCTGGATGCTGATTGATGCTTCGAAAAACGAGTTTGTGACTATTCGCCAAACGCCCAAAATGACCCTGATTGGAACGGCGCTCAGTCCAGATGGAAATGACCTCATGATTTCGATTCCACGCCTGGGCCTAGAACGCGAAGAATCAGCGGGTGCATCCTCTGATCCCAAATATGACGCGACAACAAACACAATTCGCATCCCTGCATATCCCACTCAAGAGTGGCTTCAAGCTCACACGTCTGTTGCAGACGTAAAGATCTGGGGTCATGATACAGACGGATATATATACTGCGATGATATAAATGCTTCTTTCTCGTCTTTCTTGGGCTACCCCGTCGCATTAGTCTACAAGGGCCCCAAGCCACGCGTTGTGCAAGGGAACGGCTCACTAGAGCGAGTCGGCCGCGTGCAGTCAATAAATTTCCCCGATGAATTCCCTGTTCTCGTCGCCTCGGATGCATCGCTGAACGAACTTAACACGCGTTTGCGCGATAGGGGCGCGGATCCTATTACTATCGAGCGCTTCAGGCCTAATATCATCGTGCGTGGTGAAAAGCCATGGAGCGAGGACTTGTGGAAGCTAGTACGAATTAAGACAATTTCCTCAAAAGATAGCGGCGATGCTGGTATGCAAGAAGACCAAGCACCGCTTCTTATGGATATCGTGACGCGATGTGGCAGGTGTCAGGTTCCGAATGTTGATCCGGACTCGGCGGTTAAGAATAAGAAGCAGCCGTGGGATACTCTTATGTCGTTTCGGAGAGTTGATGCAGGGCTCAAATATAAGCCTTGCTTTGGGATGATGGGCATGCCGCGAAAGGAAGGGGTTGTTGAAGTTGGAATGCGCTTTGAGGTTTTAGAGGAGACTACCGAGCATCGCTACATCATGTAGTAGCTCTGCGCTGGCTGAATTGAAAGCGTCTTCCAGACATTATGGACTTAGAATTAAAGATTCAAGGTAAAATTTTCATCAAAAAGTATCATTCAAATCATATCAAACAGATCATGAAACGCATATTAACAGTACTAATTCGCTCTTTCAAAAAAAAAACAAATGCAAGTGCCTATGCAAAGCTCGACCTCATGCTGGAATCAAGAAATGGGCTCAAGGTGACTGCAAGACGCATAGTAGCTTTGGTACTCCCCATCACCCCCACCGCAAGTACCCACTGGAATATCAAGGCGATCCTGCTGGCAGGCATCGTCGCTATAAACGCTGACTAGTTAAATTTGTTAGTTATTGCGACCGCGGAGATTCACATATAACAGCGACCACTATAACAATAAAAATAAACGATGATAATAATGAACTCACCCGTGCAGTTATTGATGGCGTACTCAAAGCTCACAGACTCGATCGTGCTATCGCTCAAAGTTTGGCATGCGTTGACAGCATCTCCATAAACACCGAGCTCGCCCATGTTCTCCGCAAAACATCCGGGCGCACCAAAAAGACGGAGCTGTACATAACGAGTATTTGCGGGGGAAGCGGGGGAGGGTGCAGCGGAGCCGCTCGCCGCAAGAGCAAGAATGGAGGCAGCAATAGTAGCGAAATGCATTATGATGAAGTGACGAGAAATAATCTAAAGCTCGGGTTTAGTTAGAGAAGTTGAATTAGAACTAATATTGTGATAGATGATGTGTGACAGTTCAAGGATTCCAGATGGTTTAAATAATTCCTCGTCGAGGCGGAGTGAGACATCGATCGTCGCCACTCCATGACCTCAGGTATCTTGCATAGCATGATGAGTGTTATCCGCCCCTTTACTGTCTCAGATGACAACCTTTGAACTCCATTGATAAACCTTCTCTCCTTCCAGACTCGATACCTGATGCAGGAAAATAACAGCTTATTAGGCCTCCCGTTGCCTTTTCGCATGCGTGACCGAGACAATCTGCGTGGACATAACTAAAAAAAGAATCAGAATGAATCTGCTGACGAGATGGTTAGTATATTCACATACGTTGTTTGTACATAAGCTATGTGTTACATTCTTCTGGGCGGGTTATAAATTTCCCAGCAAGTGTTAACGAGTTCTTCACCTACTTTTTCCTGTGTACTCCTACTTCATACAATGAAATGAAGAAATTGAGAGAATTATGAGCTATACTACCACCTGATTTCATACGATGGCGTGGAAGATTAAGATGAACAACCGATTTAGGTGGGAGGATACGGCAAAGAGCGTGGTCTTAAATCCAAATGCTTATTGGTCTTCAATCCCGAGGGAGAAATTGGAAAACAGTACCTCATGAGCGAGCCCTGCTAGTATATGGCTGAAAGGTTAGGTTGGATGGTACTTCTATGGTTATGACGGTGGATGACTGTAGATATACGAATGTAAGAGTATGGGTTAAATCTCTTGATATTGACTAGACTACGGGGGAGGAATCATTACTTGTGTGGTGAAGACTTAGTACTCTTGAGGTAAAGAACTAAGGGTTACTATTATGATATCTTCAACGATATAAAGGACAACCATCTGTCTGAAAATGTGGAAGGTAGCGGCGGCCTCGGGAGAAATATAGGAAGTTATCTTTTAGGCAGAGCATGCTTAATGAATGGGGTCTCTAACTTGATGCTGGAGAATACTGGTATGTATCTGGACCATAGTCAGTCTGATGGGCTGTCTATGTCTTGATGCGTTGTCTTTTAATATCATTGTCATTTGGGGCTGTATTGCTGATAAGTTCTTTATGCAGATAAATAGTACTAGTTGAGAACGTAGCACTGGCATTTAAAGTATTCAATTGTGTAGTATGTGGAGGGAGGTGGTGTTTACAGTGCTACTAGGATGATGTCCCTGAAAGTATTTGCGAAGAATTAGTTGTGGAAGGGCAGCGGAGACTGGAACGTTCATGTCCACGGGTTCAGAAAGCCAAAAAAAATTGCTCCCCCTTGAAGATGATACCTCTGTCAACATTTGCGACATCGGTATTGCCTTCCCAACGGTACTGCATGTGGTGAGGAGTACTGCTAGAACTCGATAGATTGTTGAACGCGGCTGTGAAGGAATCTAGTGCCTGACAAGAAACGAACTTGAGTGACGAAGCTTTGAAAGCGCAAATTCAGATGACTTGTGATGTTGCGCTGGCCAATGTTATGGATCTCGACGGATTTATGAGGATCACAATGCGGGGTTCTTTGTTGAAAAAGGAGTTGCAGCAGGTGTTGCGTGCCGATTTGTAGGTGACATCTTTACATGGGCAGAAGAAGTAAGGGCTCAGTAAGCGGATTTGCAGTTAGATACTGTATAGGGGATTAATTTACATAATTTGAGATTTACTTTCGCATTTTACAATAAGCTCTCAGTATTTGTTACAGTCGATAGCAAACGGCTTCAACCCTTCTGATCGCTTTTTTGGCCCCACTACCATGCCCCTAGCGCGGATCCTTTTGCTCCGGCCCGACCCGGATACGATTGTCGTCGTGGGGCCAAATACTGAGCCATTACCCCCTACAATCATATTAGCAAAGTATAACCAAACTAAATAAACGCACTCACAAAACCATGGGCGAATGTCACCCATACATTAGCAATATTTGATACTTGAATGAAGAGATATAGAGGCATCAAAGTATTTTGCGAGTCGCTTCTCACTATAAATGAATAGTATCGAGCACAGAGCTCCAAAGACAATCAAGCAAATAACTTGTGCTGGATTCCAGGGAAATGTTACACCACCAAGATTCAACCCTAGCACAATAATAAGAGTCATGCCAAGAAAAAAGATACTGCCGAACCAGTCAATTACTCGAATGCCATCCATAATCTTCGTCTTGGGATTGTGCACGTCCAAGGAAAAGAATATCAGAAAGGATGCAATGCTGGACACTGGTAGATTGATGTGGAATACCCATCTTCAAGTGACGTGTTGAGAGAAGACTCCACCGAGCAATGGCCCGATTCCGGCAGCACATGAGCTCCATCAGGCCGAGATATGAAGGGTACTTGCGAGAAAATATACGCATCGTTTTCGAGAGTCATTGGATTGGCTGATGGAGTTTGATGTAAAAGTGCCACTAGCCACAGCACTAAGAAGGATAAAAGAAAAAAACATGTAGCCTTGAAACTTGATTAGCGCAAGTTCCATAAGCTGAAGGCCCTGCAAGGTCCATCATGCAAATGTCGGTAAAATGAACGGCTAGCGGTGTAGCTGACGTACCACAGAATTATAGCGATCCTGGGCGTGTTTGAAAAATTAATGGGCGTGGAATAGTCCCGACTGGCGAGATAAGAGGCGAGTCTTTATAATAGATGATTAGTGATGACACGCCTCAAGCTGACAGGTGTGCAGAGGAGGTATTCAAATTCCGCATCTCCACTGATCTCAATAGAATTTCCCATCATTTCCCATCATTGGCCGTCAATGATTACATTTCGGATACCTGCCCGGCCAAATGACGACGTGAAACTGTTATTTTTTTTGGTTTCCCATGGGTGTATGCATGGCTTTGCAGGCAATGGAGCCGATAGGTAACGACGCGTTGGCCGAGATCGAGGAGATGCCAGCCGAAAGAGGGGTAGCCAACGCGCTCGCGGCTATTGTCCAGGCCCCATCAGATAACGTTACGCCCTAAATTTGACATACCATTAGTGGAAGTCTACACAAATTGCTTAAATCACACATTTTTTGTATGAATTCTAGCAGAATGAGAACAATAATTTGTATTTCTCGGCTAAATTACCTGACTAGATACATGCAGATAAAAATAATTCATAATAGACGAGGAAGCGGCCAATGGCCGTGTCTGCTATTTGTTATCTACTACCAGTACGAATACTATTCTATGTCCAAATACCTATGTCAAGTTGATATATCGAAAGGCCAGCAGCAATAATGCACACTATAGGTGATCTGTGATCGTTTCTGCATACGCCACTTTAATAGCTAAGTTTCATCGCGCCTTAGTGCTTACCAGCATTACACGAGACGGCTAGACTTCCTAACCAATAGATATCATAGAAATAGAATAACTGCGCCCTCAAATCCCCAGTCGAGTCTATTTAAACTCACTTGCAAGTCTCCTGTGAAATGCCAAGTCAGAAATATTTCTCACTGACTTATAACAATGGGAATAACGCAGAAGCTCCCACGCACCGGACTAGCCGCCCTCCTCGCTAGTCTGGACATACCCTCTGAAATCGAACTACCAAACGGAGCTGTTATTAAAGTTGGAGCCGGAGACCCCAGATATCGAGTGATTTTTCGATCCGAAAATGCTTTACGCACACCCATGACAGAATTGGGTGTCGGAAAAGCCTATGTTTCCGGTGAAATCGAAGTTGAAGGCGATCTTAATGCTCTATTTGACGCAAGAGAGAAACTTCAAGATAAAATTCCCCTGCGACAGAAGTTTCAATTTCTATACGACTATCTCCGAACAGCAACGGATATGAATGCCAAAGCGATCGGGGACCACTATACTCGTGGCGATGATTTTTATCTTACATTCATCGACAAGCGATATCGATTCTACTCGCAAGGCTTATTTAAAAGTCCAGATGAGACAATCGAGGAAGCATCAGAGCATAAGCTTGAAAGCATGTTCAACGCCTTAGACCTCAAGCCCGGACAACGACTTCTCGATATCGGCGGTGGTTGGGGAGGAGTAACGCAGTACTGCGGTGCACGCGGTGTGCATGTCACGACACTAACATTGACATCAGACTCAGCCCGCTTCATTCAGCGGCTAATCACCGAAAGGAGCCTCCCAGGGCAAGTCTTCCTGCAGGATTTCCTGACCCACAAACCGGAGGAACAATACGACCATATCGTTATCTACGGAGTTATCGAGCATCTTCCTGATTATCGCCGATTTGCAAGTAGAGTCTGGGATGTTCTCAAGCCTGGCGGAAGAATTTATCTCGATGGTTCAGCGGCTGTTACCAAGTATGCTGTTAGTTCATGGACAAGAGATTATATTTGGCGGGGAACGCACACATTCATGACTGTTCAGGATGTCATGGCTGAATTTCTGTATCATGGTTTCGAAGTTATAGAAGTATCTCGTGAAACTAAGGATTATGAACTTACTATGCTGGAATGGGCGAAGAGGTTGGATTCAGCGAAGGATGATGTTATCGCGGGCTGGGGAGAAGAGACGTATCGAGTATTTCGTCTTTTTCTCTGGGGCGGAACTCATGCATTCAAAACGAATGCATTACAGGCCTACCATATTGTTGCTGAGAAAACCAGTTCTGGTTCAAGTGGCCCACGCCCATCGACTTATCGTCGCATTGTTCAGTTCTTGGGTTCCCTCCGTTAAAATCAAAATTTACCTTAGGTAGCCTTGAATAACCAAGAAATAAGACCCTAGCTAAACCTAATCTGCACAAGTGCAGCTTATGCCAAGCGAATCCCCGCCAGGGTCCGGTTAGAGCGGCGATTTCTGTGCTAAATCTCGAATACTGATTGGCTGAGACAACAACTCCGTAGTCTAAATTTGGCTAAGCGTATGCACTAATAATTTCTAAGTCTAGCCCCTTAGTACCTAAGGGACGCTACTGGACTGTTGTCGCCCCTGATTTATTCACAGATAAATACTGTATGGGGCTCTCCCGGTTTGATGATCTTTTCTCTTTTCTCTTCGTCCCCACGCTCTTTTCAACGGTTCGGCCATACCATACCCCCATACTTGATCTAATCCCCGGCTGTTTCATTTTATACTTCAACTACAATGCATTTCAATTACATCGCCTTGGTCGCTGGCGCTGCTATCGCAGCTGCCGATAGCACCGTCACCATTTTCCTCCCCGGATTCGACGCGCAGTCAATCGATGCGAAAATTTTGGGTTCGGTACGATGATCATGATCTGTACTCTAACATTTGAATGAAGTAAACAGTTTACTAACATCCACTCAGAGCAAGTCAATGACCACCTATCTGCTTAACTGTCCGTCCAGTGAAGATTCCAATGACTGCGGTCTCCCCGACACAGGACTGCCAGTTACCGCAGACGCTTCCACCGTCATCTTCACCATGATCGCGGAGGACGAGTAAGAAATGCCAAAACAATTATCTACAAATATCAAATTACTAACTCATCTACCCGTAGGACAATTGCCGAGACTTGCACAGTGGAAGGAACAACGTCCGCCGGCTGCTGGGCCACGGAGATCACCGAAGGCTCAGCTGTGAGTACTATCAGCACCAAAGTTGCCATCGTGTCTCTCCCTTACGGCGGGTTCATGCCTGTCCACGTTACCGCTACTGAAACCGGTGGTGCCTCTGCTACAACTGGTGCCTCTGTTTCCACTACCACTGCTGCTTCGACTGCTTCTGGATCTTCTGGGGTTGCTTCTGAGTCTACCGGAACTGCTTCCGAGTCCACTGGTACTGCTTCGCATGCTGCTTCCTCTACTCCGGAGGGTACATCTACCTCTTCTAATGCGGGTATGCCCATGATGACTGCTAACCCACTCTGGGTTGCTGGTGGTGCTGCCGCTTTGGCTTTGGCTGCTATCTAAGTATCTGGGCTGGGACCATTATGATCATGGTTGACTGTACATTTCCTGGAGATGTCCTTCATTGGTGTATTTGAAAATAATTCATTCCCATATATAATAAGTAGATAATTGAGCTTCACTGTCGTGGCTTTACTTAATACCTATATATACCTATATCTACATATGTACCATTGCGTTTTCATTTTCATTGTAAAAGGCACCTGGGTGCCACTAGGATCATACTGAGGTTATTACATTATCTATACTACATTACGGAGTTCATGAGAGAAAATATATGAGAAAAGAATGAGTAATGATTCATTGATTGGTCCCAATGATAGACCAATCTAAATAAGTAAAGCCAAAAATAACACCCTCTTCAAGCGCTGCATACTCGCAGGAGTTAAAAAAAATGCAGAAACAAGAAACAAGAAACGCCAGCTCTGGAGCTTTCAAATCTGTAGTAAATCTTGAGATGGGCAAAAGGCATTGATTGAATAATAAAGAAAAAGAGACAATCACAAGACATGTGATTCTCAATTGCGGTCTTCTTCCCGCTGTTCTTCTCGGCAGTATCAAAATAAGACAAGCCCAGAATCACAAGTAATATCTCAGTCGGTGGATGAAAGAGGATTAAGGTCAGATGAAATGCAGAGTTGTAGAACAGAGCAGAGCCTAGCAGATGATATTAAGAAGGAAAATTCAATTCGATTGAAATGAAATGAAGACAGATGGAGAATCGAAATGTGAAAATCATGTGTAGAAAGCAAAAGATTGAAATTGAAATTGCAAAAGCACTGGCAAAGGCAGATAAGAGAACCAAACACCTCGCTTGCGTCTCGGCATGTCATTGGCCAACAGCATTTCATGTGCGTCGTTTCATTTCGGTTCGTCTATGTGTGTTGCATATGTATCGTCGTGCACATTCTTCTTTTTTGGAGTAGGGGAGTGAGGCGTGACATCGGTTCAGCGGAAAAAAAAGATTTTTTGTGGGCCTAATGGTAGGCGGGGGAGACCGAAGAGAAAATAGAGAGAACTTTCAAGTCGTGCTGTAAATTTTGGGTCGGACATGTCAAAAGGGCATCATTTAAAGCAAATGTTCAACCGCAAGAACAAGCAACGACTGGCGATGGTTGACAAATAGGAAAAGGTGGGGACAGGTATGTAGAGAATGGAGTGCACGATGGCATTATGTTCAATATGGGTATTGATTGGAGAGTTTGGTTTGGGTTTTCCGGGATTTTTGTTCGTTTTTTTGCAGTTTTTTTCTGGTTGTTGATGTCGAGGCCACGTCAAGTGTCTCGAACTGTCGGAGAGACGAAAAAGGAAATGGATCAGGCGCAGCTGATAGGGAGTGAACTTGCACTGGAAAGCAATGCTAACATCTGTGTGATACAAGATGTATGAAGATAAGGGAATGAATGTATGTCCTGATTGGTGTTTGATGACACTCTGGGAGGCACGGAAGCCAAAAGCTTTACAAAGAATTGTTCAGGTTTCCCACAGAGCTGGCTGCTCAGCAGTAAATAGTAAAATCCAAAGCTTGTTTTTTTTTGGAACAGGATGCATATTAACGCGCCCCACAGAGAAGAAATCATCATCGGATCAGGAGAAAAGAACCCATCGCAATTTTCTCTTCGGGTCAGAAGAATAGGTCGGAAGTTTTCGGGAATTTGCTCAAACGAGCCAGGGATGAAGCGAACCTGGAGCTTGAGCCGTCTTCATATCGTTACAATCATCAAAAAGGCCGTTGCTGTCGTAATGGGAAAAAAATGTTGCAAAAAAGGGGGCGGCACAATAAACCCCCTCTTTGCCTCGTTCAGGTCATCATGCAAAATGTGGAAAGACTATCGCAAACGAATTGACGCCATAATGGGAACGTAATGGGAACGGTAATTGCAAATGGGGACAGCGAAATGCGCATCTAACTGCGCATGTAAGGCATGCTAAGGATTTGCCGGCGAATCCGCTCGGCATCCGAAAGCCCCTCCTCGAAGGGGTTCTGGAGGGAGGTGGGTGGTCCTTGCGGCTTGACCTGCTCTTGGGAGGGAGAGGGACCCATGGAGCCTGGGTAGGCTGGGAGACCGTTGTTGGAGAAAGGATCAGACAGGGATGGGCCATGTCGAATAAATCGCCCAGGTGTGGTACGACGCTTGTATACGCCTTCAACCTTGAATGGCGAGCCCAGTCGCTTGATGTTTTCACCGCCAAGACTCAACAACGGGTTGACAGGAGGCTTGGTCACAGGGGTAGTCTCTTCAGGCTCGATTTGGGAGGAGTTGAGAGACGAGGGAGGAGAGAAGAGCTGACTGACATCCCGGGAGCTGCCACCCACAGCACCAGTTGTAGCACCGCGGTTGCGAATACGGACGCGACCGTGACCAATATCTTGGAATTTGTTGTCACGGAGGTAGTTGTTCAGGCGACTGTGGACTTCCTCCTCGGAGGGGTCGTTGTCGACGTACGTCTTGGGGGAGAAGACATCATCTTGATCACGGGGAGTCATATCAAAGTGAGTGTTGCGTCGTACACGGTTTGGAACATGGACAGTCTTTGGTTGAGCCGATGAAGGAAGACCTTGAACCGGACGATTTGTGCCGCCGGGGCCCCAGGTACTGTACACGAATGGCGATCCCAGACGTGGGATGCCGGTAGGGTCAACGTTGAGATGTTGATTTGAGGGTTGGGCAATAGGTGTTTCAATATGGCTCTGTACAGGGTTGTTGAACCAGTCGGTTTCCGGAGCGGGCTCCTCGGCAAGGCGGGTCAGGGGAGTCGGGTTGCACGGTGTGATCAGAGATGCACCGAGGTCGCGTGTACCATAAGCAGTAGTATTAACAGCATCAAACTCATTCTCAGCGGGCTCTGGACTGCAAGACTGCATCATACGCTGATAATGAGGCATGATGGAGAACTTGCTTCGGCAAAGCTTCTTGAGGCGCTGGCGGGTCTTCGCGTCAGACTTAGGCCATGCTACCTTGGAAAGACCCTCAAGTGCTTTCGGTGTGGAGCTCCCACTGCGATCTGAAGGCTTGGTTGGCAGTGTCCTAGCCAAGTACTGCTTCTTTTTCTCCCAAGTTTTCTTAGCCCGGCGTGCCACGCGTGAGGTGACTCCCAGAGGTGGGATGCTTCCAGGGGTCATCTTGAAGGGGGTCATGGTCGGATCCTGCAAATAAATCTGGTAGGTGTTCCAGAGGTGGTTGTCCATCTCCCGAGTCCATGGCTTGCTGGTCACCTTTGATCGTTGAACCTTCTCCTTTTTAGGTAGGGTGGGAGACGACATCTCAGTTTCCTTGGGAAGTTCAAGGTGGAAGTATGGCTCGAAAATATCGCTTTCCACACTAGAGCAGCTCCCTCCGATCGAGGGACGCGATGCAAAAGTCTCGATTGACTCCACCGATGAATCGGAGATGTTAGAGCAAGCGGAGCCCGGGCGCTCAATATCCTGAGGCAGTGGTGTCTGATCCCACGAGGGCCATGATTGACTTTCCTCGCCTGATTCGAATTCTGTACCGCGGATCTGCGCAGGAGGTGTCTTGAAAATCATACGTTGACGTGGCGGAGCAAGGTAGCGTTCATCGTTGGTATGTTGCTGTTGTGGTGATGAGTCCACGGGCGCGTTGGATTGACCCACTTCGATCGATGGTAAGGGTACGTCAGAGGAGGCCCCGAACCCCCCGAATAGAAAGATGTCGGAGTCGATAAGCGCGGCGACATCAGTACCACGACGCGGGCGCTGGCGAGTATTCGGGAGTGAATTTCGGATATGACGTGGGGGCGATGGGATATTGATCTGAGTGGAGGGACGTTCGGGGGTCCTGGGCTCATCGAACGAAGGGAACGTGAAGTTCTTCGGGAGCGTTCGCGAAAGCTGACGCTGAGCCATGGTGATCAATGACTCGTGGTACAGCTCGCGAGGCACGTGGGGTCAAGTCCAGGAATGTGAGGAAGTCTTTGAAGTGATGTTGGGGGAAAGGGTAGATTGATGCGTGGCTTCGAATCGGTGAAGCGCAGGAGAGTCGTAGACGGGGAAGTGAGATCGTGAGTCGTGAATAAGAATGGGGGGAGAGGATAATAATAAATCAGGAGGCAAAAAGGAAAAGTAAAATGTCAAGCGAAAGCAAAGATTCGAGGCGATTGAACGAAATAGTTGAAGTATGTGATGTTGCGGAATGCGACTACTGGGGAATATCGGGGATCACCAGATCACAACTGCGGCTCCATCCCGACCACGAGTTTATGGAAAGGAGGAATTCGTCATCACCTGAACGCGAAAGAAACAAAAGAAAACGAGCTGCGATAAAGATCGCAGAGGGGGGGTGGGGGGAACGAAACAGGGCGAGGAAAGGAAAATTGGTGAATGGTGGAAAAGGAAGGGAAGTGAGAGAAGGGGAGGAGGAGGAGATTGGGCGCTGGAGTGAGGCGTGTCGGGAAGGAGCGAGTACCGGGTACTTCCAAGTTAGGCGGGAGAGGGAACACCAACAGTGAGCAGCCACTGAATGGTCCAGGTACTCTGTACTTACAAAACTACTACACTAACTGGCAGGCCCACTCAAGTGCTAGCAAATCCTACTACCAAAAAGCGCTACTCGCGACTAAAAAAAATCGTGTAATTCTGTTTTTCTTTTTTTTTCTTGCTTCATAAGTTTCTCTACCTGAATTCTCTCCTGAAATGTGTTGAGAGGATTCTCTTTGTTTAGATTTTCCTCGAGTCCTTCCCATCTCGAGGCTGCAGGTTGGACCTTACTTGATGCACGCTGCACTCGAGTCGAGGAGGTATACAAAACACCCACTACTTCCCTATCTATACTAGGAGACCTCCACGACTTGGTAAAAAGAGGGGGGCTGGGAACCTTTGAACCTTGGAAAGATCAATGCTCCATCCACTTCCAATGCTCCTCATTGGGAGCTTGAAGCCCTGGAGTCCACCAAGGTACAGTATAATGCAGTAAATGTACGGTCGATCGTGGGCTTAACCGAGAATCCACCCGTTGAGAAGAACGAGCAACCTAGAATCAACCATAAATCCCATCTGCAAGGGCGTCACAGCCAGAGATCTCCCCGAGAACGGGCAGCGTAGCGCAGTGATGTCCAGTGCAGATATTTCCTATTGCTTATCGTATTTATTTCCCCTCTCAGTCTTTCCTCCTCCTGATCTACAACACAGCATGTAAGACATGCTACATGACTGAACTTATTCCTACATCATCATATAGATCCAGACCAGCTAAAGATCTGGACTCTGATGCCCAGATGGCTCCATAAATGCTATCATGTATAAATATAAATATAGCCTTGGGACCAGGAACGAAACCCACAAACTCGCTCCATTTCATTTTTTTTTTCGATCTCATTGTGCGGTGTAGCTAGCGCCCCGTGGACTCGTGGGGCCAGAATTATCCAATATAACTTCATTGGGGAAGACAAAGGTGCACGAGGTCAAATCTCCACCGACGCGTTCGCGTCGCGTATATATATTACGGTTTGGTTACGGCAATGTGACGGTAAACACGCGCGATTATTACACGCTAGTCCTATTTGGGAAGCTCGGGCGCTTCTCAGTGCGAACCTCCCTTGGTAGAATATTTGATTGCCCCTAGGGCCGTGCTTTAGTTTGAACGGGCTATACTCTAGGGCTCTTAGATACTACAACAAGGAAAATATCTGGAACATACCTGTCACCCGTGCACAAATTGTCTCCAGCAAGCATTGATTTAATTTCATCACAGCTTCAGCTCGGACCGCTTCTATTCTATACTCAGCATCTCGCATGAATTCTTGCTGGCATGTCTCATAACGGAAAGTTCAGGTAATAATCCTTTGGGTTAATCCTGTTGATCGAAAACAAAAAAGATGCATCACAACAGCCAATATTCTCTTTTTTTTTTCAAGAGACTAACTAACCTTATAATCGTCCATTTCTTGTCACCACCTTCAAATTGGTATTAGCCTGGAGCACTTCAATAAATTTACATAAATACTAGTAAAAGCAATAAGAAACTTGAAGGAGCCAGTTTTTTGAGACCTTGGGAAATACCTGTGTAAATATGTATCTATTATGCCGAACTTTAATTAATATACTCAATCAATATAATTTTGAAACTTCCAAAGTTCCTCGGGGCCCAAATGATGATTTGATCTTATACCACCGGAACCTGTTCACATGGTACAAGAGTAGCATCATCAAGAATTTGTCCTATCTCATACTGTGTCTAGAATATGTCAGATTTGCTCACATCGAGTATTGTTTCAGCACGCACACACATATCTTGGTTTTTCAATATAAGGAGGAGGAGTACAGTCCTCGCTAACAATCTGAATTGGCATCGTAAGAGGCAAAGTCATCTTATACCTCCCCGACGTCAAGCTAACACGCACAGCATACGTTCGAGACGCGAGACACGAATAGAAAGTAGGAAGGAACAACTTCTTAAGCGTCCCAGGCACCCTAATTGGCAGAAACAGACTGGCCTTGTATGTAACGTGCCCAGCTTCGCTGACATCACCCGTAGACGTGCACCTTTTCATTGCAGAGTGAGTGATCGCTGAAGACTCTTGAATATATTCCGCCTCTTCAACTTCCGTCGAAGTTTTTTCCCAGACTAGCTTTTCTGATTGCCCAATGTCTAGCCTATTTGAGGTTCGGTAAGACACTATCAAATCGGAACCCATTAGGTCCTGCTTCTGTTCGTCTGGGAAGTATCCCATATGGCCCAGTGAATGAGTGGTAGTCGCTTCTAACGAGGCGTATTGAGCATATACATCAGGAAGAGGCACATTGGCTGATATCGTTGTAAATTGAAGGTCGACTTTTATCATTGAACCAGAGGTAGACAAGCTGTCGGAGAGGAAAATAGGCGGTGGCTGAGTAACTGAAGCTGTTATGGAAGCCACGTTTCGCGAGAGGATATTCTTTTTGACGAATTTCTCGTGTGACATGCGGTATATCGTGCTTTTTGAATCAATGCAAAGTGGAGGTCGCTCAGGAAGATATGGCATCACTCGAATAGGATGACTGTTCTGAATATGACTCGGCGATTTGGATTTCTTTCCCGGTAAGATCAGTCGTGCCTCGATGAGATATTCAATTCGTACACAGCGTCCCATTGAATCGTCTGATACCCATGATCCCACTGTCGGAGGTAGCTGAAGGTGTCGCTCGCGAATTAAGTCATCTTTGTGTTGGCAGGCAGCATCGGGTAACCGGGTAGGAATATTGAAGGCAAATGGGATGATGTAAGAATTGCCAGCCTCAAGTATGCGATTGTTGGGAGGAGAGTCTATGGAAATTGGCAAGCTGCGTTGTAAGAATACTTGCATTGATGGTAGGACGGCATGTTGACATAAAGCAACTTGTGATGTGCTAACTCCTTTGAAGACAAGGCCTAGATTTTGAAAAGCGAGATCGGCTTGGGAGGTAATTTCCAGCCATCCAGAGACAAATGAGCCCGATGTGTAAATTTTTGAATCGAGGTGTTGATCAACCTTGATCTTCAGGATGGGTTGATGTTTTGTGCGATCTGGAACCAATTTGGTTTGAGGGCTGAGCCTTCTACAAATGGACATGATGACGGAAGTCGGGTTTGAGTCAATGAGAGAAAATTCAGCTAAACTGACAAATTTCCCACAATTGATTCTTCGAGAGCACTAGCCTTTCTTTTATATGGAGCTACTAAATAATATTTCGTTCGCTTGAAAATAATCCAACTCGGTTTCTAAGTCCCGATTCTTGCTGCTGATACGTTCTTTCGGGCGCTCATTGGCTATAGTTTTCCGAACAATAGACCCCCACGGGCCATGGGCCTCGCCCGAAATGTGGGCCCTTCTCCCACTGCGACTATGTACTACCAGCCCTGGAGTGCCGGACTCGGCTCATTGGTCATAAGATCCGAACACGCAAAGAAGACAACTAACAAACAGGACTTGATCACCCATGTGCAGCTCGCGTGGTATGCCAATCCTATCTAAGCTACCCTATCGATAAAACTCTCGCAGTTGGACATCCCTGTAAGGCAATACGTATACTAATTACGCCATTGAAGTTGTAGTATGAATATTAACTCTGAATTATGCAAAAGTAGTCATAGTCTGAATTATAATAATAAAGCGAGCATAGTAGCAAATAATTTTGTATGAAGATCTATTCAATAGGGTAATGGTTAACCCTACATCGCGCATGTGGAGTTGGCCCCTCGCAAATGTTTTGAGACTGCATAGGTTCCTTTCTCAAATGGGATGGAGCAGTGATTCTTTCAAAGGTCAAACCCGTCGCCTAGGCCAGCCAATAGGAAGTCCAACGCAGATGGGAAAGGCATCATATCTAAGCCCTCCGTTGGTATATCTAGATTGCTAATATCGGCTCCGATATCGTATGACTGTCCTTGTAAGTGGTCTCTCGATCTCGATTCGGAAGCAAAACCCGCGTTCATTCCAGAGTGGTTTTGATCATCATACATCGATCTCTGTGCCGTGGATGATGGGGTGAACATCAAGTTGTTCGGACTTTCGGCAGTATTAGAGTTGATGACAGTCGACACGGCCATGGGAGCGTAACCCAATGAATGTTCGAGGCTCTCCCCATGCGAAACATTTGTTTGATCGTTTTCGAGATCAATTGTAGAAGGATATTCCGGCTTGCGATGATCATGTCCTCGGCGACTGTCCCACTGGAATAGCCGGAGGAGACTCCTCGCGTATATCCAGAAGTAAGAGAATTCTCGCAGTGAGAGCAGTAGTGAATGAAGCATACGCCTTGACTTGGCCTCAACTAACGGGTTAGCTGACGTGAGTTCAGAACTGACGTGAACCAAGGCAGTGAAAAGTGGATACAACGATTGAATCGGTAATTCGCTTGTAGCAGACCTTGCTCTGACGAACTCATATATAGACGTGATGACCACAACGGCATCTCCACATATATTCAAATCGCTCAGGGCGTGAGGAGTATGTAGGCTACGGCCAGGCTTGGCGAATGATCGGTGAAGAAGAATAAGGAAGTTGTTATAGTTGAGGTGGAGAAATGATTGCCAATTATCGGCCTCCGGTTGGGGCAAACGAAGACACTCAGGCAACTGAGTGATGAATTGAGCCAAAGATTGGTCGGCTTGTCTTCTAGCTTCTGCTTTTTCCGCGGGAGTAGATCGTAATGCTATAATCCGACGCATTGCATTTGAAAACATGACGCACAATCGAGTATGTTCCATTACAAAAGCAATGTTCGCACCGGGAATCCCTTCAAAATGACACTCTTGAAGTGTGGGAGTATCAGACTCGTCAAGTCGCCTTATCAATGATCAGAATTAATTCTCGTGAGACTTCGAAAATACTTACAAGGCTTGAGGGCGGCCATAAGCTGTAGATACCAAAACGTCCAATTGGAAAAGCACCCACCACAATCGAACCCATTCTCGTTTGTGGATGGCCGACATTGAGGATTTGGAAGCATCCCGGTGCATGCCTAGTCCCAATGCCGTCCGCGTTGCGAACCCAATCCAATACCATGAGTTGGAAACAATGTCTTCTAGATTGTCACAGTGGCAAGTTAGGAGTAGTGGAACCTGAACATATACCTTTCTGTCCTCTTCAAATCGAGAATCGATGAGCAACTTTGCTTGCCGAAAGCAGTGAGACTTTAGAGATCTATAGTCATTATGTGGGGAAGCTAACACATGGGCGCCGACGAGAAGGACAGCGTGAAGGAGAGCAAGTGGAACGGACTTTGTAGGGTCCGTGGACTTATATCTGTTCATAAAGTCCACTTCATCGATAATTGGCCAACCCGGATTGACACGGGTGAAGTAAGCTTGGATCAATTCTTCGATCACAGGCTTTTCAGGGAGCTCGAGTGCTTCGGCAGGTATATGATGTGACTCGCGGGCGTGGTGATAGCTCCCGAAATGAAGTTGATTGAGGTCAATATGTTGTGAACGTTGTCGAATCAGGTAATTGATGTTAGAGAATTCGGTGCCAATGAAATATAAGCGATGATCCGGACCGATCTCAGTAGGTTTACTGGTTTTTTCATCAATGAGATCCACTAGATTTCGTGTCTCTTGTTCATCGAGGCATTCGTAATCCCCAAAGGCAGTTGGTTCTGATTCTGAGTGTCGGCCACGTCGCTGATAAGCGTGTCCTTGCTCTCTGATTTCGTATTGTAAAGAAGATCTTTGATCAGCATGAGAGTCCTGGGTACGGGGAGAATCTGTCCATCGGGTATTGATTGCTCTCAGAGTTCTTGGTGACGTGGCGACTCGTTGCTGGTGGCCCCGAGGCTGGATTGGAACTACTACCCGGCGGCTTTGATGGGCCTGAGTAGTCTTCGACTTCTTCTTTTCATAAATGCGGCAGCTTGGTTTTCCCTGAGCTTCACAATTGGAGCATGGTGAGCCCTTTGTGAGAATATCACAACGCACTTTGCGCTGGTGGCATGTAAGGCAGGCTCTGCCGTCTGTGATGATAGGAATATGTTAGCATTGTGTGTTTTAACCTGAGACTCAAAAAATAAAAGAGCGCAACACTGGAAAAGACCAGCCAATGATCTAGCTATTTCACTTTTGTTGTCGGGAGATGCGGGGGATGTCATACTGGACCTTCGTTTATTAACCGATGACAAACGGGTACCTTGCTGAAGAGGGACAGATGAGTGACGCCCTTCCGTTGTCATGGCGCATGAATATAAAAAAGTGCAAATTCCGTGGTAACCATCAAAAACCGAATTGTGAATACCGAATCAATGCTCAATGATTGAGTCAACAGAGCCAATGAAGCTTTAGCAGTGTTCCCCCCAGCTCGGACACGGATACGATCACGGCAGAGTGGAGTCGACACACGCCAATGCAAGAAGGCTCTACACCGGCTGGATCTACCAGGCCGATCTATTGAATATCCCAAATGATTGATCACAAAATCAACGAAAAACTTCTGGTTTCGGGCGGTGCGCAACGATGCAAATTTTCGGGAACTGGTGGGCCGCAACTTTCGTTACATACAGCCGTCGCAAGCTTTGTACAGAGGCCGAGGAGTAGGGGGGATTGAATCGGGAATCCGGAAAAGACGGACCAATAAAGGCCCTTCCATAATCCCACTTTCGGAAATTTGGACCAACTGTGGCTCGTCTCCACTTCCGACTGCTGACATTTGGAGGCGAACGGAAACATGGAGCTACGCCGAGGGCTACAAACAGGTAATAGATTGTAGAAATGTGTAGAAATGTGTAAAAAGAGGGTAAGTTTCTCATATGGACTAGCTACATATTTATATACGATATACCCCTATCAAGCAACCATCAAGAATAATATTACGCGTCACTAGAGATAATGCTCCACTAACCAGAGTCTAAGTACTTTCAGAACCCCAATTTGAATAACGTGCGGACTCTCAGGGCTGTCACTAACATTTTAATATTAAATCTTAATCAGCCTTGGACTATTTATTTTATTTTCAGCAATGGGTTAGTGGCTAGGTACTTCTACCTATTTGTAACCCCCGCGAAGTCATTGACATGATCGAGTGTGAACTTAAGCGATGAAATTGAAATTGAAATGGATGTATAACTTATAATTTCAACCCAATCATCAGGTTCCCTCATGCCTATCCAGTGCTGTTGTCGTAAGTGTATCCTCCATACTCATACAAACAGATGCCAGCAGACTTGCACGGTACAGCGTCATCACATCAACATACAAGTCTTTACTGGTGCAGCTTTTCCAGCTGCGCCGTCAAAAAGTTCTCCCCATCAAAGATCCCTCCCTCAAAATAAACATCCCCTACTTCATTCATCCGAATGAAGTAAACATTATACACTTGAATATCCAACATGCTTAAGTGAAGCCAGGCAATAGCGCTCTTCTCCGCTACAGCCTTCACCTCTATTTCGTGAAGAACAAGTGGTACTGATGAAATTGAAGCAGCTTTGTCCAAAGTACTTTTGATAAGAGGGGCGAATTGGCTTTGATCTGTCATATGTCCAACTTTTCCGCCCGCTAGGAAGGCGAGAGGGGCCTTGTAGTAAGTGGCCATCTTGGCAGAAACCTCAGTTTTATCTTCAGAGGAATTTCCGGAGATGACGACGGCAGAATATTCCTCCATGAATTTCCGGGCGGCCGTGACGATAGCCGACGTATCTTCTTTGATTGACATGGTGGTTATTTTGTTGGATCTTGACTGGGGGGCTCAAGTTGTTATAGGCTGGACGATAGCAAATGGTTGAATACTGTGGGATGAATGGATAGAACAATACTGATAATGATGCTAGGAGAACCTGTATTTATAGGCTGTGATGGATACACTGCTACTGCTACTATACATCAACTCTTGCCCTATACTGTTCCGCTGTCGCCCGTGAACCTCCGCGGAATATTCGGCCGAACATATTCTGCTTTATGCCCCTTCTGCTTTGCGTTTCCTTTGAAGGGGCTATTTTAATGGGAATACAACAGACGTCAAGGCTTTAGTGAGTCAATTATTATTCGTTTAAATTGAATCCCTGGAAATTTAGCCAAGGCTCAAACTTTTTGTTTATGTTGCGCTTCACTAGAATTGAGAAGAATTAAAAAAATTGTTGCCACGCGACCTTGAATTTACTTGAGATTATCATCTAGAGACCGTAAATTTTCTATCTAGGGCCGATGGTTCATCTCTTTACATACTACCGGCTCAAGATTCTGAAAATGACTATCCGAAAATTGCAGAACAGCATCGTTCAATCCCGTTCAAATGAATTCCATACTTGCGTTTCCTAGCCATGAGAATCAGTAGAATTTTGGGGGTGGTCTGGCACTCATTTATATATCTTCATTTATTCTATCTACCTTCAGAATAGAATTTACCACGATTTCTTACCCTGGCGGTTACTACTAACGCTACTACTACTACTCTCAAGTGCTCCGGCCTCCTGGTATTTCTTGCATATTTTACACATCCTTTCACCTTCTGCCAGTGTCTTTCCTCTGAACTTTCAAGCATCATTGCTCCAATTCCGAACTTGCTGAATTGATCAAATCACTGTGGTTTATCTCAAGGTATCAAAATTCTAGCCGCCAGAGGCAGTGACTCCTAAGTTGGGAACCAGATCAATGTAGTCAAATGAGTATGTCTTTGGTAATTAGATCAAATTGATCACAGGAGAGTCAACGACTCTCATGGAGATTTAAAGGGTAAAGGAAGGAAAGGAAAGAGACCAGCTTCGTTCGGGACGCTCCACTACTATGGAGAGGAACATAAGTGGTAGATAAGAAGTCGAAGGTGCAACTTTTTATTCCGATGTTCACATGCTCACAAAACGGTGAAGCCGGTTGAGTTGGGTCACATTGGACGTTTTCACCCAGTCCAAAGCTTAAACCATAGTACCCACCCTGGCTAATAGTAAGGCATTGAGGCACCGGGGAAATTTGGAGAAAGGTCTTTGTTTTAAGAATCTCTGTCAGTCTCGGTCTCAAACTTCTAGTACTCCGTGTACTGACACAGCCGCACAAACCTACCTTTACGTATAGGGTAACTAACCCCAACGTAGCGCCAATATATCTCTGACATATAATTGACAAATACGTTCTTTGAATACAGCGTGGATAATTCTTACCGCTTGTTCATTTAGCACAGATGCCCGGGTCGCGGGTTTGCCGGCGGCGAGTTGAGGGGCTTTCGGTCCAATTCGGCCGAACAAGACCGCCTTTAAGTTCGCACCGAAAACATAGGGGAATGGGGCCTTTCTCCGAGAGGGGATTTTCGGCGCAATGACCCCCATTCGCGGTATCTACTTTTCTTTCTTTCTTTTTTTCGAGTGAAGGAAACTTGAAGAAATCCCATGATAATGATGACCAACATGACACCGGACGGACACCGGCGGAAAAGGGTTCGGAAAGGAACGAAGAGCTGCTCGGAGTGTAAGCACTTGTCCCCGCGATGAAGCGCACTTCTGACAATATGTAGGTAAAAGAAGAAAGATCAGATGTCTTCCTTCTCCAGATCCTTCTATATGCATCAATTGCGAAGACAGGAATACGCCGTGTCTCAGCCAAGAATATGTTGATGATTATCACTCCCGATCTACCGAGGATCTGGGGATGGCCCACCGAATGGCGAGAGTAGAGTCACTATTAGAGACACTAATACACAAAGCTTCTCATAATGAAATCGATTCTTTGGCATCTTCCTCAATTCCGGCAGCGACGGCCCAGGTGCGGTCACAGCCTGTCTTTGCCTCTCTAACTAACGATATTCTAGTGCAGGCCGACATCAGCCCTGCGATAAAATCCGAGAGCTTACGCCGACAGTTGACTGCGATGTTGCTTTGTCAAGAAGATGTGGATTATCTCTTCGCATCCAGCCATGGATGGTGGCTTATTCAACAGCATATGATGCCGTATCTACAAAACTCGGATGAGAATGATTCTCGTGGGTTGTTTACTGTCAGCACTGTCTCAAAAGAAAGTCCTATAGTAATTACGAGACTCCTCCTCTGTATTTCAATCTGCATCCAGCAGCTTTCATCTAAGGTTGATATACAAAAGCTTCAGACAGCTGCACCACTTCGAAGAGCGATGAGCAGTATCGTGAGCTTTATTGCCCATAACGTGACTTCTGATGATGAAATTACCGGAAGCCTCGAGGGAGTTGAATGTCTCGCACTTCAGGGGATATATGAGGTTAATACCGGCAATCTTCGACGGTCGTGGCTTTCGTTCCGAAAGGCTATCACGGTTGCCCAGCTTCTGGGTTTACATAGAGCGGCGCCAAAGGCATCTCAGAAGGCATCCGAGGAGAATTCGGATCTTCAACACGCAAGAAGAAGTCATATATGGTATCAGATTTCCAGAGCAGTAAGTTGTAAATTTTCACAAGGGTGTACAGAACCATGCTTACCGCGCTAGGAACGCTACCTGTCCGTCATGCTTGGTGTACCGTCAAGTACAGGCTCCGCAGCATTCAACCTGCGCGATGGCGCCCATTTTTTATCTACAGAAGATCTGTATCACAAGAATTTATACCAAATATCAGGGCTCATACTTTCTCGTAACCAAGATGATTTTACTCATTGTTTTTCTACGACCCAGAGAATCGGCGAACAGCTCGATTCGTTCGCGAAGCAGATGTCGCCAGGCTGGTGGGATATCCCTATGAGCTTGCCTTCCACCCGCACAAAAGAAGCGTCAGTCGAGTTCGAGCGCGTGATGTGTCAAATATGGCATTTTGAGTTAGAAATACTTTTGCATCTGCCCTTTATGCTTCGCGCAGCGAATGATCAAAGATACGAGTTTTCGCATATCTCTTGCTTAAATGCCAGCCGAAATCTTATTAAAAGATGGATTGCTATTCGCGAGAGCCATGAGACCCTTCTCTTCTCTAATCTCCTCAATTTCCAGGGTTTCACAGCAGCGACCACTCTCCTGCTTGGGCTGCTAAGTTTCACAACGATATCTGGCCATGTCATCTCCCAGGAGGAACAGGAGGATTCTCGGCTTATAGAGATGGTTGTTCGAAGTTTCGAAGGACTCGAACGCGATGAGACTGGTAAATCCGTTAGTTCTCAGAGCGTCTCGATCATTCGCACCCTTCAAAATTTCCTTCGTGACAGAAGCATATCACACAGTCTGTGTCTTGAGATACCATTTTTCGGAACTATCAAGCTTGCACGTAGCTGTGCCTTGCAGCCCTTAGAAGGTGAGCGGCTTCTCGGTGCAAACGGGGGCAGAAGACCCTCTTCATCTCGATTCGATCAATCGGCCCTATCTCCAGCAGAGATGAGAAGAAATTGCATTTCGACTTCGACTTCTCATGCTCCCGCTAAAGAGCAAGGGCAGGCGGAGAGTGAGAACAGTGGTCATTTTGTAGATGATATCGATACGTTTCTACAGCTGTCTGGAGGTCAATTTCAACATTTTGAGGATTCTTACATTCAAAATGATATTCTTACAAGTGGATGGCCAACTCAGGAAATGGAGACAATACTCTTTGATAGTCTAGTGGATGCGGATTTAGTAGGTACATGGAATTCTTTGTGAGATGGATCCTGATTTTCCGTTTTCTAGCTTGATAAGGAAAAATCTATGTTTTTAATAGGATTCTTTATAGGATGGACTGTGGCTATCCCTAATTCTATTTTAATGCAGCCAGATTCTGATAGAGCTATAGGATAGGCTATCGTTCCTATGGATTGTTAATGGCTACTAACAGGATATGCCTCTTACTAGTATGAGAGGCCACGAGGGGCCTGAAGTCACCCTTCAAAGTTTCAAGTTCCCGATACATATAACACTCCGAGTCGTGCACGTCAAATATCATGATAGTTTTAACATATAGCTCACTGAATACTAAATCGATGCATCAGATCTGTATTCAAACTAAACAAAGCTTTATGTACCTTAAGTGGTAATGCGTCCTTTTGGTAGTCGGGATTTTCCGCTAGGGCCTTTTGTAATTCTTTCAATAATTCAATGATTTTCCCCCATACCATTGGGAGGCTAATTGATAGAAAGATAAGACAGGAAACGGCTCTTTGCCAAAATTCCGCTCTGTCATATCCCAGCCCGCCTCCCCCCCTATCTCTAAGCATATATAGAGAATGATCGGTCAACTTATGTAGAGCCGAATGAAAGTGGACAGGACTATCTCTGAGGGCTACGAGCTCCTCAACCACAAGCTCATACCTTAGCTCAACCGCTTCTATCATTTCAGTAATATCATCAAGTACTGCGGGTAAACGATAATATGGGTGATCGTAAATATCCTTTCGGATGCTTCCAGGGGGTACTGGAGCTGGTGAGTGCTCGGGTGATTCAGGCAGATCCTCGAGCGGGTTGCACTTCATCTCATTTTTTAAAAGCTGGTTACAGCAACGCACTGAAAATTCGTATAGACGAGCTTGTATCTTCATAACCAAGAGACCAGCAGGAGCATTTATACCAGAAGCAGCTCCTCTAGCCTTTATAAACTCCTCTAAATTAGCTGTGCGGCCACAGCTCTCTGCTTTATTGAATTCCTTTCCAGCAAATAAAAACGAGAATTTGTCAGGTGATAATATCCAAGATAAATACATACCCCCGTTCTTGCCAGAAAACAAGAGTGAGAGGAAGTCCATGGCCCAAAATGAACCAGGGAGGCTATTAGCTCGAGAGTGAAGCATTATAAGAAAGGATCCAGTCTTCTTATCGGTCAAGTCCGTTGTTGATATAAAATGCCATTGGTTATGACTACCTCTCGCTTCGTGAGACTTGAATCCCAGCAGCATAGCAATATCTGGTCTTGAACTTGTATTGATCTTTTCCGTGCCTCTCAATTCTGGTTCATCTTGATATGTTGCTTCCCAGTTCGATGAAAGGATATTTTCTCTCTTTGCATAGCCATAGTGATGCCATCGGTCTGAAATCCTTTGTTCATAGTGGTTTAGTATTTTTCGCAGATCGTTATAGTAACGAAAAATCTTCTTCGCCAATTGATCACGAAGATCCTCAGCTTCCTTGAGAGTCAGGAAACAAACTGGCATTACTTCTTCCTCTTAATGGAAGATACTAGTATTAAGCGATTCCGCAAAACGAAGGAGCTTCACTGTCCAGAAATCACGTGCTTCTTCAGTAGAGTTCGCAGCGTCTAGCCGTTGACAATTTGTCCCATTAACTTCCATGATCCATGGGAGCAATTTTATCAACTTTTCAAGCTTGTCTTCTTCTTTCAGGTTGTTAACCCCATGTTCAAACAAAAAGCGCAGTAATATGGCCTCGTCCGGCCTGTAGTGTCGAAGCAAAGCGGTTACATCTGATGCCCATTTCTTTCTCTGGTTTTTATTATGGAAGATGTGGCCCGTAGTTACATCAATATGCATTAGCAATTCCTTTCTCAGCGCCTCGTATCCGTCATCGTCCAATCGATAACCCAAGTTTCTCTTGTTTGGCTCATTGTCGCTCATACTGCAGAACTATACAGCCGCTGGATTTTCCCGTCTCTTGTGGAGTGATTTATGTTGAGCATAGAATTAACGTTGTTTATAGTATCGGTTAAAAACATAAATCCTGAAGATATTCGATAAAATTTGCAACAGCGCGAAAGTTCCAAGGTTGTTTTGGTTCTGAGACCTATAGATGATTTGAACCAAAGGGGGACTTGCTATTTGCAAGAGAAATAAGCGACTATTTATTTTGTTTTTGGGGACTTGTGATATAGCATCGAAAGAAACAGAATAGATGAGACATTCTGTGCCGAGTGGCTCAAATGTTTCCAATGAAAGGTTGTCGGGGTGGAGACTATACAAGGTTTGTCCTTCAGTCGCAGGAAATATTGTGAAAGAGTTCAGATACTAAATGCTTTCAGATCTTCGCATGGGTCTTTGTATAAGGGTTATATTAAGTAGTGACACCTAAAGTTTGCTTTTACTCTTCAAAGAATCCACACTTGTCAGCAAAGGTCAACATCCCTGATACTCGAATTATGAACCCACGAGGGCCAATTTTTACGTTCTTATCATGGCTCTGTTTTGAAGGTAATACCTTTAATAGGAACTTGGATGTTAATCACAAGAACTGCAGACTCGGACCTAGTCCAAGTGCACTCGAGGTTGACAACTATGGGCATGGCTGTGCGAACACGAGTATGTAAAACCTTGAAGGGAGAGAACATAGGATACATGAGATTATTCTGCATAAAGAGGTTACTGGCCTTGATGAAAACGCCCGGGCGCGACTACTATGAAACAAAGAACTATGCAAACACTCGGATGGAGGCTAATCGTCTATGATTTGGATATTTGGCATCGTTTGTTATCCAAAGTGAATCCTTGGAAGATTCGAAAAAAATATTCGAGAATGATACACATTCTACATCTGTACATCCCGATAAGTTCGTGGCATCATGATGGGAAGAGGAGTAGCTGCACATGTGGCTATTTATGCCACCGTCTTCAACTGAATGGTGAGTTGTATGTGCAGCACACCACTCTAAACGCCGACCTTAACTTCAAACATTGGCAGTGATATTCATTCGATTTAAAACTTTCCAAAGCAACCTCAAGACTGTTTCACCAAACTACCCCCAACGACTATATTCTGCGAGCCGTGGGCTATGGCGCACAGAGCATGATTGAGTGTGCTCAATGATACGGCGGTACATTAGTCTAGGGTGGTCCTAATGTACCGCCGTATAATGAGCAAAAGAAATACGATGATAAATGAAACAAAGCGATCAAAGTCCCGGCAACAAAGAAAGCAAAAATAACGAGGCATTTCCAAGTTTGGACCACTTACAGGTTCATAGAATGGAAAACAAAGAAAAAAGGATATACTAGCGATAGAATGAATTGGATGTCTGTGTCTTGTGACTTTAGCATAAAGAAAGTAATATCTACTAGACGAACATAATATGAACAGTTGCCAATGGTCAATGATGGAATGAAATGACATAGACAAATGATAAAAAATGACAAGAACGCGGAAAACAACTGTATGGGTATAATGTTTCATGATAAAACAGATGGGAATTATAAAAAAGCAAAGAAAGAGGGAGGGGAAGAAATAAAAGAAAGGATACAGCAAAGAAAAGGATGGCTATACAAGGCCGATCAGGGTCTTTCAAGCTTCTTTTTCCGATCCGCGAGAAGTGTCTCAATCTTCCGAAGCTGCAAGGCAAGACCTTTCTTCTCGGCGTTTACAACAAGCCAGTCTTCCATCTTATGACGCACATGGCGCATAGAGTGGATGACGGGAAGAACGGGGGGCGTAGTACCGCTAGGACGGCCATCTTGTTCCATCTGAGTCCACCGCTCAGAGCCAGGATTCAACAGAAGATCGAATACTTCGGCCCAGAGCTCTCGATCCCAATAGCGTTTCAAAGATTCGCGAATACGGTACGTATGAGCTGTGCCGGATGAACCTCCAGTGCTGCTCCTAGCAGGCATAGACTCGATGTGCTTGCCAAAAAGTAGAACGTGGATCGTACCAGCAATACCGTAAAGGTCAATCTGGTGTGTCCAAGGTCGTGCCTCTCGGATTTCATTGCACTCGTGCGTTGCTACCTCCCAGTCTGCTATGAATTGCACAGAAGGCTGAAAGGCATGCATGTCAATGCTGCGGCCGAAATCAATGAGGTCAAGACCCTTGCTGCGCCAGCCGTGATAGCCGTTGGGAGAGTAGTGTGCATTATCACGAGTGTCATCAGGCTGTTCGTTAAGATCCAAAAGAGACATTGCCGCGGCGGGGTCATTTTCCGAGCTAGCTTCATCAAGGCGAACAAGACAATTGTCAGCTTTGATATCGCCATGCAGTATGCCGTTGGCGTGAAGGGCTTCGACTGTACGCAACAGTTCAACAGAGAAAAACATGGCCAATGACTCTTCTAGACCGCCTTCGCTATGATGACTAGAGGTAATAGGGGCATTGCGAAGGACGTTGACGAGGTCGAGTAGAGTACCCTGGCCTCGATAGTCCTCCACAAGAAAACTTTCGCGCTGATGCACGTGTAGTTCATGCGCTCGTACGACGCTGTCTGTAGCACGGGTATGATCGGCAGAGTGTCGGAGTCGATCATGCGCGGTGCGAATCATGTAAAATTCCCAGGCACTGGAAGGCCCATTCTCGACCTTAATAGCCTCAAATGAATATCGTGCAGCTTTGTAAGGGCTAACCGTTTTTGAACATGAGTCCATGCTTCCAAATGTCTCTTCTTCGTCATCTGATTGAAAATGGCCGGTTTCAGAGCTGCCAATACTTTCTGCGAGATAGACTGGAGCGTATGCACCAGCACCAAGCTCGCGTCGAATAATGTAGCTGCGCTCCGCACCGGGGAATTTAAGAACAGGTGTATCGAACCCGTCATTGGCGCCCTTGGATTTTCGGATGTGGGTTCTGATGAACTTCTGAATCATGGAGGCATAGTTACTGTCCTTGGAATGGCTATGATACCCCGAGTAATTTTCCAAGGGCGGCTCCAGAGAGTTCAGAATCGTGTTACGGATACCTTTATCCGTTGGATTGCATTGCGCGTCCTTAATGATGGCTTCTCCCCTCCGGCGAGATTTAGGAACAAGTGTTTTGAAAGCAGTAGGGCTGAATGGTACGTCCGCTGTGGAGGAAATAGTGTGGTCGCCATTATACGGTGTTGCTCCTCCTACCGGGCTCTCAAGGAGATTGCCCATTTGAGGCTTCGAGGGAGTCTTTGTGTTGTACAAGTGGTTTCGTGCTGCCGTCTGAGAGGGTATTGAAGATTCGGTTCGCTCCACAATGGGAGTCATAAATGGCAGACGGTTTTGTGCCATTATCGCTGGATCTCTGTAGGTTCCACATAGCGGTGCATAATCTTCAGGCATCTCTGGGACGAAACGTTCTCTTTCGGGTGTTCCATGGGATGATTCATCGACGGAACCATCATTAAGAACTGACTGGCAGGTAGTATCGATACCTTCATGCCCAGGAATATCTTTGCTGACACTAAACTCGGTCCAATCTCCATCGACGACGCTTTCAGCCTGCGTATTGTCTGCATATTCAGTATCGTCGTAGGACTTGTGGAAAGTGTGCGTTTCTTCATCAGCGAAATCACTTGAAGCAGCCGACATGTGACCGAAAACCGTGCTATCAGCATTACTAGCAAGATCATCGTCTTCATAGTCGCTACCATATAAGCTGTCGGCTGCATCCTCGGTCTCAGCTTTCAAGGGTTGGTTGAAAAGGTCGTAGATCTCATCTGTAGCAGCTCGAGTATGCATGGTCATAGTTGGCTCCCGAGTACTCTTTCGCCGAACCTTTGAGTTGGTGGGCGAGTCGAACTTCATCTTGACTATTGATTCAAATAAGAAATTGATCATCCATTAACCTGATGAAGAGGTAACACTTACCAGTTTGTGTCGTCTGTGTCTCCCCGTGTACTTTCGATCGCCGTGCTTTGTTCGATTTGCTCTCTTGTGATCCGTCCTGTTCCTGAAAGTGAGATTTCCCATGTTGTTCCTCGAGAGCCAGCTTTTGATCTGATATTTCTGTTGCATCCTCAATGGGACTGGGCGCTCTTGGCTTTTCAATGGGGGGCTCGGCACCACCAGCGTTACCGGAAATCTGCTGGAGAGGTTCTTTTTGTTTCCGCCAGTTTTTACCGGTCCACCCACGTCTCATAGCCCGGAGCTCCTCAAAGCTAATTTCGTGTGCAGGGTTGTTTCGGTCAGGATATACTGCTTCCAGGTCGACGAAAACACGTTCTCGACGACCGGTTCGTGGGTTTACCGCTTCCCTTACATGGTGCTCGGGGATCTCCTCTGGTGCACTGGACTCTTGACTTTCTTGATGATGATTATTTGGATTTGACTGTATATAAACGATTGAAACAAACAGGTTAGGCCAGCAATTAGTCCTATGATCGTAAATATACGGAAGCCTGGAATAGGGGGAAGTAATTTGAGATTGCGCACTCACCTCATCCCGGAAAATAGCCATTTTTTGCGATGGCCCTGATTTCTTTCCTGCCTTCAAAGTCTCTCCAACCCATGGCTTTGCCTCCACCCGGTTCTCCTTTTTGCGCTCTTCCGTTGTCCCAATACTCTCCCAACCTTTCGTAGACCCACCGCTTGTAGCTGGCTGACTGGCAGCACTCTCATCTGCATCCGAGAAAATAGCCATTTTTGGTTTTCCAGATTTGGTTTTCGGGGGAGCTGTCGTTGAGGCCGAATCGCGAGCTGCCGCTTGAGGATCCGCAGACCCATCCGCAGAGACAAATGGATCCATCTTTGCGGCCAGCGCAGGCCGAACCTTCGGTAAGGCAGGTGAAGAAGGCCCCGCATCTTGAGGCTGCTGCTCATACCGGTGCTGAAACTCACTGTATTTTCGCAACAATCGCTCCGCTGGCCGAGCCTCATGGTCGACACCAAGTCTGTAAACTTCCTCCGCTTGAGTCCAACGCCCCGCACTTTCTAACCATGCTGCAAATTCCTCGTAAAACAGTGCCAGTCCCTCGCCGATATGGTGTCGTGACAAGAATGCAAATGTCTCTCGTGGTGCATCGGAGAAAAACCGGATATAATGCAACCATATGCGTAAGTACCGCGGATCGTTTTTGTAGTGGGTTGATGAAAGAAATGATTTCGTGGCGCGCTCAAGTAATGGTAGGAGACGAGACTCGGGAGTCGCTTGGGCTGATGGGTACGCGTTCAAGGTCCATTTAACATAACGGTCGTAAACATCGAGGGGATCGTCTGATTCTCCAATTGTCTCCAGCTCGCTTTCGTATTCTTCACGAATCGCATCGTTCAAGGTCCTTGTGTCATTAGGTGTTGGTGAAGCATATTTGTCGTTACTGCCACCTGAAAAAATACGGGCGAGTTCTCGTGCTGATCTACCTCCTGGGAGTGATTGCACGTTTTCTTTTTGAGCTTCGATAATGTCGAAGTCGATAAGATCCCCAGAGCCGGCCATCTTGCTGAGGTTTCAAAATGCCCCTTTTGCAAGCGCTGGCGATTCGATCTGTGTTTGTTGGCGAGAATAAGAGGGGGACTTTGGAAACTTTGTTGCTAAAGGTGGATTTGGTTATCGATAAACATCACATGACCGTTGCCGCGGTGATCAATCCCCAGTGCTTCTCGACAACGAACCTTGCTCATCGATTGCTTTGCGTTTTACATAAAATTGTTTAAGAAGCAATTTACTTGAGTGCCGTAGCCTAAAATCAAATTTAAGAAGAGAAGGAAGACCCCCTCAGCAATTCCTCGGCTTAACTACGCAAAGGCTCATTCTTACTGTTGCTTGGCGCCGGCCCAGTCACTTTTGGAATAGCGTATCCAATCGGATCAAGGACCCATCCAATTCTGGAACACTGGGTCCATCCCGAGACCTTCCTCAAAATATATCACCTCCAACCACTCTAAAACCGGAGCGCCATGTGTTGCGAACACGAGGAAGAAGAGACTCACAAGAGTGTCGATCCAAAGGGCCACAAGAGAAACCTAAGCAATGGCTCAGCCAATGATTCTCCAGTGAGACGATCAAAAAGGCAAAGATCAAGCACCAATCTCAAAGAGCTTTCCTCAGACGACTCCGAGGCAGACGAGGAGACCAAGCCGCCTGCAAAGTCTAAGCAGACGAAAGAAACACGGGCTAAAACTTCAACCAAGAAGGCAGTTTCTGACGTCAAGACTGTTTGTCGCGAGCCTGAGTCCGCTGACATCAAAGCGGAAGAGCCTGATATCTCAGCTCCTACCCAGAAGGCTAAACCAACTGCTAAAAGGGGAAAGAAGAGCAAAGAGGAAAAAGAGGCGGAAGTTATGCCTTTAGCACCGCGTACAAAGGGCTTAAAGATGCTTGTTGGTGCTCATGTTAGTGCTGCCAAGGGTGTCTTCAATGCGATTCATAACAGCGAGCATATCGGGTAAGCACTATCTTTTCCCATCAGACCCCCCCCCATCCGGAATCTAGACTAATGTGTACCAGAGGGAATGCATTCGCATTATTTCTGAAGTCTCAGAGAAAGTGGGACAACCCAGCTCTGTTAGATGAACACCGCGATAAGTTCCGCAAACTATGTGCCGAAAAGGGCTACGACGCAGGCGCGTAAGTAATCTAAAATCCGGAGCGAAAAGCAGTGACAGACGTACTAACATGACTAGACACATCCTTCCACACGGCTCATACCTTGTCAACCTTGCCCAGAATGACAAAGCAAAATCCAAACAGGCCTACGACTCTTTCCTCGACGACCTCCGTCGTTGCGAGGCTCTCGGCATAAAGCTCTACAACTTCCAGTAAGCAGCATTACATCGGTTAGCCGTCCACCCAAATAGCTCATTTACTAATACATCTACCAGCCCCGGAAGCGCAAACCAGACCCCACTCCCAGAAGCTCTATCCCGTCTAGCAAGCACACTAACCCAAGCCATAAAGGAGACGTCAACCGTCATCCCAGTCCTTGAAACAATGTGTGGCCACGGAAACACAATCGGCGGCGCACTCTCCGAATTCAAGGATCTTCTCGCCCTAATCCCGGAAAAGCACCACTCCCGTATTGGTATCTGTATCGACACATGCCACAGTTTCGCGGCAGGATACGACCTCGCTTCGCCGGAGGGGTTCAAGGCCTTCCTCGATGAATTCGAGGAATTAATCGGAATCCGATTCCTCAAGGCACTGCATCTCAATGACTCCAAGGCTCCATTTGGTAGTAAGCGAGACTTGCACGCTAATATCGGTACTGGGTTCTTGGGTCTTCGCGCCTTTCATAATGTCATGAATGAACCACGGTTTGAAGGATTGCCTATGGTTCTGGAAACACCTATTGATCGGGTAGAAGGGGAGGGAGAAGATGAAAGTGATGGTGAAGGCGGAGCTAAGAAGAAGGGGAAGAAGGGAGCCAAACGGCCTGTTGGGGCGTCGGCACCTACTGTTCCTGATCCGGGTGTTTGGGCGAGAGAGATCAAGTTGCTAGAGTCGTTGATTGGGATGGATGTTGAGGGGGAGGAGTTCAAGATGCTCGAAGCGAAGCTTTCGGAGGAGGGGCGGGAGACGCGGGTGAAGCAGCAGGAGCAGTATGATAAGAAGGTTGAGACGGAGAAGAAAAAGGAGGCTAAGGAGAAAGCTAAGGGGCAGAAGAGTCTTGTGGATATGATGAAGGGTAAGAAATAATTGCTGTACAAATGTGAGAATGCAAGTGAGCTCTGTGTAAATTAGATATCTATCTTGAATTCAATAATGTACTAAGTAATGCATTTTAGTGAGAACTAAACTGACTACTACACTCACCCATAAACGCTCCTACCCTTTGCTAGAAACAGTAGGTTTTGAAAAGGTGTTTAAAATAGTATTATATTATGTCTCTCTAATAGTTTTTTTAAATATTGATTTGATTCTCTCTTACAATACCTTTAATAAGGTAATTTTAGACGCTTAGTTGGGAAAACGAAGCTTTATAGCGGATGAAGATGATATGGTATTGAGGTTGGGTGTGAAACACGTGCCGCATTTTTACTATTATAAATCAATGAATTCTGCCAGTATTTTTTAATGGCGGTGGGATTTTCTGAGTGCATAGACGTAACCGTGCCTGAGACAGTAATGGGAGGTGTCTCCAGGTCCTCCAGCACGGCTAGTAGAGACTTGTTTTCATCTTCAGAAAAGGAGGTAAAATAAAGAAGAAAAAGACAAAGATTACAAGAAATTGTAAAAAAAAGGCAATACGAAAAAAATTAGCATTGCCTGGTTTCGATCCAGGGATCTCCGGGTTATGAGCCCGGCGCGTTTCCCCTACGCCACAATGCTGATTGGATGAAAAGAGCTCCATTTTTGACTAGATAACCAAAAGAGTACAATGTAAACAAGGTGTAGTGGCATTTCCTCCCTCGTTTATAGATACTTGTTTTTATGTCTAACAAAATAGGTAACGTAAAAGAAGAAAAAGACAAAGATTACAAAAAATTGTAAAAAAAAAGGCAATACGAAAAAAATTAGCATTGCCTGGTTTCGATCCAGGGATCTCCGGGTTATGAGCCCGGCGCGTTTCCCCTACGCCACAATGCTGATTGGTGAAGAGGAACTCTAATTTTGATTAGATGAGGGGAAAGCTCAGAATAGTGATAGGACCTTGGGAGTCAGGACTAATTGTGCCCTCCTGGATTATGAAACTCCAATACTCTCAATAAAAAAGAATAGCAGATTTAAACCCATCGAAACCACGCGAAGCCCGGATCTTGAGCCAGGGAGCCCGAGGGCTTATCTCCGAGCTTCATAATCAGATAGCCGTCTGCTCTGCCTCGAAGCTATGGACTCCGTTCAATAATATAGTCTTGAATTGTTTTGTATAATTGAAGCTAACTATACTTTTTATATTAGCTATACCTGTAATAATTTTAAGCTATTTTTATTATTCTTGTAGTAAGTTTAATAGGTATTAATCTATTTTAGTCTTTACTTAATAGTTTAAGACGGGGGAAATATTGATTGGTTGTGTTTTACTTATATTCAATATATTATAAATATGGAATATTTGTGTAACTTAGTTTTATTGTTTGAGGATTTTTATTGTCTTAATAGTAAGCTAGGGCGCTTGATTATGTATGTTTATAACTTTGACTTTAAAAACAATGTTGATTCCAAGGAGATGAAGCTATTTTATACTGTGTGCGATAAATATAACCTGAAGCTGAAGCCAAGTGAGATTCAGAAACGGGGAGGCAAGGATGACTGTAATTATGAACCTAAAGACCGCCATGCAAAGATAAAAAAGCATTCATCTTTCGGCTAAACCCAAACACTCGTTTCTCCATAAGACAAAAAGCAGTTACATGAAGTATCGGTGAACAAGAGACCCAGACATGAATTCAAATCATTACAAGGGGCCGGGTATAAGCCCTAGCAGGGTCTGAAGGCAGGCAGCATGGGCCAATCACCATACAAAGAGGGGCCCAGGAGATGAGCAGAAATGCATTATTCCAAAAAAGTCATATAGGTAGATCGGGGTAGGAAATGTGGTTATCAAGAATGAATGTTGTGAACTAGTTGTTGGCAGGGGTTGGTTGCCGTACTGGTGAGTTGGATTGAGTAGAGTAGAGATCTGGAGATGCGTGTCGCGCAGGCGCTTGTAATGTGTGGAAAGTCTGGGACATCGAGGTGATTGTCGGAGGGGCAGATTTAATGGGAGAGCTTGGACCATCATCCTCTGGGATGGTGGAGGTGGAAATGGACAGCCCTTGCATAGCGCCGCCCGCACGGACACGGAATGAACGCCGCTGGTCACCTGAGCCCGACGCATGCAAGTCGTCGTCGAGGTGGTCACTAGGTACAGAGCTGAGAAGACCCGTCCGGGGATTATCGGCACGGTTGTGATCGCTGGTCTCACCGCCGCTTGGGTCGGTATCCTCTGTATCGGACTCTGGGCTACCTTCACGGCTCCAGCTGTCCTGTGCCTCCTGGCGCATGGAAGAAATCTTCATATAGTTGTAGCAGGCGATACTGCCAATGGTCACCACGAGACCAGTGATATTGACAGCAGTCAACTTGTCGTGGAAGATAATACCTGCAGCGCTGATCGTGACGACTTCCTTGAAGATACCGCAGATACTCAAGGTAACCACGGAGGAGCGCTTCAGCAGTGCGAACTCAGATGAGATCATACAGAAGGCTAAAATTCCGGGGAATATAAGTAGACAGGTCCCCTGGAGGGTTCCATAAAGATCGGCAAGTTTAAGAAAGCCGTGATGAATCGCATTCGGGCCTTCCACGGCCAGAGAGATAACTATGAGAGTAACAAACATGACGGGCGTTAGGAGGAAGAGAGTTGAGAAGGGATTGGACGTTGCTGGATGGCGAAGCAGAAGGATTTGCGTTAAACCCCATCGGAAACCGGAAAAGAAGGCAGAAGCGATGACAAGCGTGAATCCAAGCGCATTGAATGCAGTCTCGCCAGCGACCATCATCACCACACCAATCGTCATTGTGGCGATAACCAAGATCAATTTCACCGAGGGCGACTCGAGGCGAAACAGGAAAGCAAAAAGGAGGACGAAGGCGAGTGCGGAAGATTTACACATTGTGAGGAAGGTGAGGGAAATGAATTTTAATGACATGTTGCCGAGGCCAACGTCGAGGGATGTGGCTGCACCGCAAGGGACGAGGCGGGTAAGATAGAAGAATTTTGTGAGGATTGGCTCGGACTCATCGCGATCGATCGGCGAGTTCATGGCAGAACTCGGTGGATGCTGCGGGCGCAAAGATGGGAAGATATATAGTAAAAGAGCAGAGAATGTGAATTGGACGGCCATGTGCAGGCTAGTGGTGAATAAAGGGAAAGGGAAGATCTTTTCTTCATCGGAGAACATCCACTTGTTATACTGCAGTCGAAAGAGGACATTAGCAATCCATTCATGGATAAAGGAGATAGAGATATCAATAGGGATTCAACTCACAATGGAGATGGACAACGAGAAGAAATACCACATTAGGATCAAGCCTCCATTGACCATGAGCTTCTTGGCCACATTGCGATCTGCCAGACCAAGCTGCATGATGCCATTTGATGATTTGGTGTCTGCGATACGAGCATCCAGTTTGCGGCGTTGCCTGCGCCGTCGACGTCGCTGACGTTTCTGATGTGCTGTAAGGCCTGTTTCCTCATCATATTGATCATCATCCGAGCTCATATCCAACTCGTGAGACTCTATCGGTACGCCTGAATTATCAGACGCATCGGTCTCATCAGCTGTTAAAGGCTCTTGTTCGTCCCATTTGGATCTATCTTCTCCTGGTCGGAGACTTTCTTCCCTCTGTTCCGAGGACCCCGGCGGTCCCGGTCGGTTTGCCCCTGTAAGCACCGAGCTGCGCCGCCTGTGGTGGTTGTTGGCGGCTGACAGCCCCATCTTGGAAATGTGATGGGGGCGTTAGACGCGGATCGGAAGGGATGGGGTGGAAGAGGCGAGAAGTGTGTACCCCATGTGCGGCCGAGGGGGGGAGGAGTTCACGCGACAGTAGGCACACCCTATTATTGCCGGGAGAAACCTCGACTCTTCAGGGTTGAGGGAATCAGAAGAGACGAGGGAGGGTAATAAATGCCAAGGAAAGTGAGTGAAAGGGTATCTTTTTTATTGAAGAAATACGAAAAGAGAGTAAAAGGAATGAAGGTCGTAAAAAGCGGTCACGAGGGAACAAAAAAGAAAGTTGCTGAAGAACACAAACTCAATAAGGGCCCTGGGCGGTGATGACCCTTTTCTCGGGGCGGTTTTTTGTTTTCTCCTCTCCCTCTTCAGTCCCCTGCTAGTTGATTACTGGACGCCACTACTCCACTTTGCTTCTCGCTCCACTGTCCGGTCGATCCGGGGTCCAAAGGGGAAATAAACCAAGAAACCGCCATGGAAACACTCCCATCTATTATGGGATGATGATTGGTAGGGCTTGATTTCCGCTGCTATGGGAAATGGCAATCTATGGGCGAGCTGGAGGATGTAAATTAGCTGGGAGGAGCTGGCTGCATGAGTCTTCACAGCTTAAAATTTGCCCCGAATGAGGGGCCAGTCAGCACACGGACAATTTCCATGAAGACCGGCACTTTGGGGCTGATCTTTTGGATTCAAAGTTCATGATCAGCGCAACATGCATCGATGTTCAATCCCGCTTACAAGACCCTCAAGAAAGCGACCATTCCATAATGATGATGTGTGCGCGAACTCATCGGTTTGGCGGAGAGGGCGACAATCATTGGCAGAGCCATTCAATATCAACATGACCTCAGCTAAGATTTATTGAAATTATCATCATTATGTCGTTATTTCCCAGGGCTTCCGGACAGGATATGGAATTCATATATTTCCCACCGCATGGCCTCGTGGAAAAATTTCCGCTGCTTTTTCCCACTTCTGTCCGAACCTCTGTCTCTATTTACAGAGTCGTGTTTGTGTGACTAAATCATTACATTAATCCTCTCGACAATATGTCAGATAATCAATATAACGCAATCGAAGATTACGGGTTGATTGGTGATATGCACACGTGTGCTCTGGTGAGCAAGGGGGGCAGTTTGGATTACATGTGCTGGCCGGTGTTCGATTCGCCTTCGGTATTTTGCCGTCTGTTGGATGACAAAAAGGGAGGCTTCTGGTCAATTGACCCATACAAAACCGTGGTCGACCCCCATAGCAAACAGCGATACTTGCCGTACTCGAACCTGTTGGAGACGCGATGGACAAACGAAGATGGTGTCGTGACCATGCTGGATTATTTCCCGGTGACGCCCAAGAAAAGTGCTATGTCAGGCCGACTGCTGTCTGGATATTGTCCATGCAACGATCCCGGTACCAACCGTTTCAAGTCTGGACTACAGCATTCTGGCGTTCTGAGAAAGCTGGAATGCAGTCGTGGATCGATGGAACTACAAGTTGAAATGTTTCCTGCTTTCAACTATGCACGAGATTCGCACAACACTCGGGCCAAGTTAGAAAATGATATGCAAAAACATCGACTGCAGACGGTCCACTTCGAGAGTCCGACTGAGCGTCTAGAGCTTGAGATATTTGCCGACTCGAGAGAGCCAGACAAGCTGGGGTATCCAAAGGCCAATTTTACATTGGAGGAACGACAAGGCTTGCAAGGCCGAGGAATAGTCGCTTGGATCAAGATCTCTGAAGGACAGACCATGCACTTCATCTTGCACAGCCCCGAAAAGGCCATGCCTAGTTCCGCAACCATTGCTGCTTATTTGGGCAAAATGGAGGAAGAGACTTCTGACTATTGGACGGATTGGACTCGAAAATGCGCATTCCGAGGCCACTATCGCGAGACCGTGGAGCGCAGTCTTTTAATTCTAAAGTTGCTCACTTATAAGCCAACAGGTGCGATCGTGGCTGCGCCGACCTTCTCACTCCCAGAAAATGTTGGCGGTTCCCGAAACTGGGATTATCGCTATTCATGGGTGCGAGACACAGCTTTCACGCTTTACGTCTTTCTGAAGATGGGATACAGTCGGGAGGCAGAAGCTTATGTTAATTTTATCTTCGACCGGATCTTCCCACATGCAGCCAAGGATGTTGATCCCGAGAGCAAACGGCCCTTCCTTCCACTTATGTTCACCATCCGAGGGGAGTATGACATACCCGAGGTGGAACTGGAACATCTCGACGGTTATAAGGGAAGCAAGCCGGTCCGTGTCGGCAACGCCGCCGTCTTCCACACTCAGTTGGACATCTATGGCGAGCTGCTTGATAGCATCTATCTCTACAACAAGCATGGAAATCCTATCACTTACGATCAGTGGTCTTCAATTCGACGAATGGTGAACTATGTGATTGGTGTTCGAAACCAAAAGGACATGTCTATTTGGGAGTCTCGTGGCCAGATCCAGAATTTCATTTATTCCAAGGTCATGCTTTGGGTGGCACTTGATCGCGGGATTCGGCTTGCTGAGAAACGATCCAGTCTGCCGTGTCCCGATCGCTTCAAATGGGTCCAAGTGCGCGATGAGTTGTATGATGAGATCATGACCAGGGGCTTCAATAACGAACGCCAGCATTTCTGTCAAAGCTATGAAAGTCCAGAGGTTCTCGATGCCTCCATCTTAATTGCTCCTCTCGTCTTCTTTGTCGCACCAAATGACCCGCGGTTTATCAGCACCCTCAAGAAGATTCTGCAAAGCCCCGAAAAAGAGGGGTTGTCAAGCGCTAAAATGGTCTTTCGATATGACCATCAAAAAGCTAATGATGGTACGTGCCATTTATACAGATTTTTAATATCTTTCACTTTCATATCTATTGGTTTCTCTCTTTGTGAGCTTTTACTAACTTACGTTTCACAGGTGTTGGTGGTGGCGAGGGTGCCTTTATCATGGTTACCTTCTGGCTTGTCGAGGCCATGGCTCGTGTATGTGAACTTTTCCTCTCCTGTTTTCTTCGTGCGACATGCAGAAATTAAATTCGCGCTAATTCCTTCTCCGTAAACAGGCCGCCAAGTTTGATGTCCCGATTCCGAATATGTGGAAGCTCGCTCTATCCCATTTCGACAATATCCTGTCCTATTCAAACCACCTGGGAATGTTCTCTGAAGAAGTGGCCATTTCAGGCGAGCAGATGGGCAACACACCCCAAGCCTTCAGTCATCTGGCGTGTATTAGTGCTGCCATCAACCTAGAAAAACTGGGGCGAGGCTGAGTCTTAATGAATCATGGGGATCTTAGACTGCTATGTGTTTTGTTGCGTCAAAAATGATTTTATGTAGTTCACTACAAGTCCAATAGTAATAATTCAATCATGCGTGAGTATCTAGTACATGGATACCTCAGGCTACTATTCATAATGTTTCTTTTAAATGGTTGGGCAAGTTCCAATTTTGGGCTTGTTCTTCAGGCACATAAGGTAGCGAAAGTATCGTCAAATTACTACTTAATCTACAACCGTGTTGTAAAAACTGTTGGATATATACATAGTCCTATTCTTAATTCCTCAACTAGATCCCAGGCTTCCAAACAGATTTCAGCGTCTTTTGCTGGCTATCAAAGTTGGTACCTCAAACTGTAGCTATAGTTTGGGCCAGATGGTGGCGCTTACCTAAACCATATCCGGTGATCAGCAACGGACCTCGGGAGCGACCCAGCTCACTCCACTAGTTTATCGCTCCCCCAGACCCCTTCGTTCTCCATCCACCCTGCACAACATTTCTCAACTGATGCGACGTCCGATACCCCGAGCCGGGAGTTCTTACTTCATTTAGGGCTGGGAGGGCTTAAAGTACCCGTACTAACCTTAGCTAGCACCTGTCCTATCACCCGGCCACGATAGGAAGATCCACCCCGTCCCCTGATGGCGGAGACCAGCTCCGATTGGGCTCGGCCGGCCTCCGATGTCTCCATGTCCTCTGATGAAGATGACTTTGTTTCAAGCCAAAGCACTCCTTCGATAGAGCCTGAAGCTTTGGCTAAACAGCGACTATTATCTTCCCCTTTCAGGAAATTGAACCTCGAGGCCAATTCAAGTGAGAGCTCCGACCAAGGCGTTGCTCGGACTCGGACGTCCATACTCGGCACTACGGAATCGATGTTATCCAACTGCAATGTATCACCTTCTGAAATGACTGACGAAGAGGTCGTTGAATCACCCAAGAAACCACTTCAACTTTTAGAATTACCTATTGATGTATTGAAGGACATTATCAAAGAAGTAGGATCCATCTTTGTTTGACAGTATATGAATTTGGGACACAGCGTTAATATTTGCATCTTACTAGGTTACACACACCAATGACCTTACCTCTCTCGCCTTAACATGCTCTGTAATGCATTCCTTGACGATTCCTCACATGTACTCTCGATTCGATATTGTCTGGCCGGAGTCCTTACATCCGGCAAACGAGGACTATTCTGGCGTAGACGCGCTGTCATATGGATTATCAACCTTAGTGATGGGTGAGGATGTTTTCCGACGTGGGGAACGTTCAAGGAGTCCCAGCTGGCCTCTGCAACGTCATGGAAACCACTATGCGCAGTTTACCCGCACTTTCTCGATCGGAAACGGTCCACTGAGCTGGGTGCAGGAATATTCAGTGAACAGAGAGGTTGGCAAGATGCTGGGGACACTGGTGGCGCTAGCTGTAGCGAGAATGATCAATCTTGAAGCTTTCATATGGGACATGCCAACAGGCGTGGTTCGCGAAATATGGCTTGCGCTTGCTTCTCTGGCCGACCAACCCGATAATAATTGCCGCCTGGATCGAGTGTGGGTTCGCTGGCATGATAACTCAGATAATATTTTGCGCGTTCCGGCTGGGTCGGCAGCAGCGTCAACACTGGAGGGCCGACTACTACAGAAATACAAACACGTGGAACATCCCTCTCTATCTGTCCTACCGCCGCTTAGGAGTATCGCTGTTCTCGATATTGACGAGCCGGCCTATGTGGAAGAGCTTGCTGTTTTGATTGAGCGTTCTCGCCATCGTCTGGTTGAGTTACGCATTGGGATTACATCAAAGGCACACAGGGCTGACTGGGTGCGCTGTGCTGAACAGACCGGTAATCCTGAGGATTCCACCTCAAGCTGGCCAAAAATTGGTGGTCTTCTTAGCATTCTCAGCAAGCGCGGATTGCAACCAGAGGTGGACGACTCTGTAACGCCATCCTTGACTACCACTGGCTCTTTGACCTCAGAGGGATCTACAGTGAAAGACGCGAAGAGCGATAACCCAATTAACCACCATAACTCAAGTGCTGTACCCGATTCTGCCCCGCAGAACATAAAGGTAGTGGAAGTGACTAACAGCAAATCCCTACCTCTGAATGCGTCCCATCCAGCTAGATCTAATGCAAGTGTTCCATTAAATCTTGAGGTTCTGGAATTAGAACGAGTTCCTTTATCTATTCCGCATCTCCTGCCAACAATCGATTGGACTCGCCTTACCACTCTCACGTTAATGGGCTGCGAGGAACACGAAAACCTCTGGCGGACGCTTCGTCGAAAATACGCACCACCTCAACTACCCCCAAAGCGAGCACAGGCAGGTGAAAGGCGCCGATCAAGTCTTAGCGCACAAGACTTTCCCCTGAACATCCAACATCTTCGAACAGATACTGTAACTCCATACTTGATGCTTTTCATCAAAGATACTCTGGCTCCAAATACTTTGGAGAGTGTTTACCTGCACCAGACTCCCGATGCTGAATCGAACGTTAACATTGAAGCAATTTATCGACACATTATTCGAAAGCACCGCCTAAGTCTCCGGAAGATTCTTGTGGATGCATCTGATCGGCTTGTCGATACCCAGCTCAACAACCCGCGATGGCAGAGATGGATGTTCAACCATGATATGGTATCATTTGTTACTAGTGGGCGAATGCCACAGTTGAGAGAATTGGGAATGGCCTTGCATTATCGAGATTGGGTAAGAAATCACATCTTTTAAAAAGATAATCTCCCCAACACAACCGATCTAACCAAACGTCCTCTTAGCATTTCTTTCTCCAAAGACTACCGAAAATGACGCAATTACGGGCGCTTTATCTACCATACATCGGAAAGTTTGTTCACCGGGACTTGAAAGAGCTCGCCATGCAAGTCCTTGATATTGTTAGCATTCGCCCAGAGCTCAAGATTACATACATCGGTCTGCTCACTAAATGCTATCAAATCCTTGAGCGAACGGGAGCGGGTAACGATCTTGAAATGGACGGACCTCCATCAGTAAATTCTTCCACTCATCCTGGCGATGACGGATTATCTGCTTTTGAAGATGATGAGCCAGTGGACATCAGCGATGACGAACATGATCTACCACGAGTCTCTCATAGCCAAACTTCCTTGCTTGGTTACTCTGATGATTCTGAAGACCTCGAAAGCGAGCCTGATGAACCTGGTGCCTCTAATGTCCACTTTCGATTACAGGAAATCCTCTTTTATGACGACAAGATATCAATTTTCAAGGTACGGCATGGTGTGATTTGATGGGCGTTTGATTTGATACATCTTTTTTTCTTCATTGCTAGCTACTTGCTTCTTTTGTGTTTCTTCATTTGCTCCCCTAGCTATTTTGAGCATCGAGCCGGAAGGGCAACCTGGCGTTGGCGATCAGATACCTTTTTCCATTTAGTTTAGTTCCAATTGCTTTCAAGATACCATATGACGATAGGCTAGCGTGAAGATCATTCAAATGCCATCCACACATTCCAATCAGCTTCCTTATCCGTCCATTCCAACGATATCGTTCTCCTCGTACTCCACAGGGAACAAGTCGTTTATAAAACTTCATTGAATCCCATGCAAATCGGATTTGAATGTTACTCGCTGGACCTAAATGCATGCTCAAGCCCCAGTTATGAGAAATTAATCTCGCACTAATGCCGACGCCCCAGTAAATTCGGGTGGGGGCCAAAGACCCTTGGAGACCTCAGACAATTAAAAGACCCTTCCACTCCAACACCTTAGAACTCCTTCCTTTGCTTCTCACCGGCTCGTCTTGCTCATTTTTCAGCTCAATATGCACAAAATCATATTTGCCGCCGCAGCGCTTGCTGCCACCGGATTCGCATCAGCTGGCAGTCTCCCAGCAGAGCTATCAATCATCGGCGTACCATCCCATGTTCTAAATGTGTCATTCAGTACCTCCAACCAAACAGTAGAGGTCCACCCAGGCAAAACGCTCAGCAAAGGCCGTAATTATCCCAAAAACTATTCATAAAACAGCCTAGAAAGAATATCTACTAACACAAGAACAGAAACCGCAGACCAACCCCATCCAAACCTGAACGAGTCAGGATCCGGCATCAAGCAAAATCAAAAATACGTCTTCATGATGATAGACCCAGACACCAACGCCACTGACCCTCTCTCCGTCGCATTGCACACGATAATATCCAACGTCAGCACCTCAGACTCGAAAGGGGACGTCGTAGCCGAATATGTCGCCCCCATGCCGCAGGGTACATCACCGCACAACTACACACTATTACTCTTCAGCCAGCCAGATAACTTTAATATCCCCTCTACCTACGACTCATATTTGCCTTTGAATCTGTCAAATGTCTTGAATCGGGTCAATCTCCCTTTACGGCCATTCATGAATGATACCGGACTGTATAATCTTGTGGCTGCGAATTGGTTCCGCGAGGGCGCAAATTCATCGGCTACTGCTACGACTTCGGGCTCCGCAACGCCTACCGGGAGTGCGGCACAGACTGCTACGAGCAGTTCGGTTGCAAGCCTGGAAGCTATTAGTGAAAAAACTGTCTTGGCGCTAGTTTCTTTGTTGGGGGCCGTTTGGATGGGAATGTAACGGTCTTGGTACTGTTGCCAGGTCTTGTATACCTAAGTATGAACTATACATATGAAGTTGCATTATGATGGATGATTCATTAAGCACTTTCATGTTCATTTATATACTTCCATGCACCCACTATGATGTATGTGGATGAACTACTACTGGTATGTATCACCAGTAGGCACTCCTGGTATAGTATTCCGGGGTCAACTTGCCGTGTGGAGAAAGTGGACTTGGCCCCCACGTTGTATCAGTAAAGGGCGCGCAACATTGAGTAAGACGGTGCTTGGATATTATGCCGATTGCCAAGATTTAGCTATTTTCTACTAGGTATGATGTTGACTGGAGATGATACATCCTAATTTCTAGGTTCTAAATAATAGATTCTCCAATAGCACAGAAAACCCCCGCTTCAATGTCGGTTCGATTATACGAGCATGAACAACGATTTATTCACAATCAAGGCACCAAAATGTGCAAATAGACCACATATAGACACTTATACTTTGAAACCATCTTCACGCTTGATCGATATTCCCACCTCTTTCTGATTTGAATCCCAGTCAGGATCTTCCGGCACTGTCCACCCAAACCAACGAGTCAGACCTTCTGCAATGAGAGGATAACAAGCCCCAATGCGAAGTACACGCTCATTATCCAAATCCAAAATGGTACCAGCCCGTCCAGAGAAATGATACTTCTGTCGTCCATAATCAACAACAAGATCAGCAGCTTCAAGAACCTCAGGCTCAATATCCTCAACACGGAACTTCTGCCCCTGGCCGGTTAAATTGGCACTACTACCAATCATAATCTGGTCGTTAAGATCATTCAGTCTTCCCAACTCCCGATGAAACGGACTCTCGGAGAAAGCCATAGCCAATGTACCCTTCTTCGTTACTTTATCCAACGTAGGCAATAAATGACTGGGCAGCAACTCGTCAATGTTCTCTCTCATTTTCCCAACAACACCAATAGTGACTCCCATCTCTTCGAAAATTGTGCCAGCAACCAGGTACTTCTCTTCTGGGAGATCGTGTAGCCGCTTGTGTAGATTGTATGTTCCAATTATTCCGAGCGAATGGCCTGCTTTTCGCTTTTTGGCAGCGAAGAATCGCTCAATTGCTTCGACGCTAGCGGCCATCATGCCGTATCCGACGTCTGTAGGGACTATTATGACACCGCCAGCTTTGAGGGCCTCGAATGCCCTTGCGGCATCGCGCTTAGCGTCGGGAAGCTCTCCTGGGGCGGGTATGACCTTCCGCTGGCGAGGTTGAGTTGACGTGTTTTCTTCTGTCATTTTGTGTTGCAAATATGTTGAGAGGGGATGTTGAAATGAACTGAAGAGTTATGTTAAGATGACGTATAAGTAGGGGGATGGAGGGGCTTGAAGGTTATATGGTGGGGATAAGCCAAATGGGATTTAGTGCGTGCTTAGCAGTTTGGGGGCCACTTTTTTTTGGATCAATTAGGAGTAGATGTTCGGCACGGAATAAAACCGGGCAGTATGTACTGTTGCTGTTATGCATTCTCTTCACGAAGTCCAAATTCTTCTCACTCCAATTTCAAGTACGCTTGCATTAAATCTGGTAAGACTGGTATGGCCGGTCGATCATCCTAAATCTTCAATGGGAATAGCGAGTGCCTGGCATATGCTGAGCATATGCATAAAAATTAAGACGATAAATCATATTCAATCACAGATTCTCATCCTGTTTGAATCATCGTCATAAGTGGTATAGTATAGATTTTGAACTCCTAGGTTATCAGTTGCTTCGCTGGAAACCGCTCTGCGTGCCCTGCAGTTGATCGACTTGCCGAGATACTTCGGGCCTGACGATCATTCCCCGGGGGAGCTTGGATGGGAGATTTCGGGGTGATAAAAAATTACAATGGAGAAATTAGAAGACAGCGATTTCTTTCTTTTTTGCTTACGACTGGGCCTTCGCCAGCGGTAGACAGCCCATTTTCGGGGTCAGAAGCAAAGAAAAGGAATTTCAATGCAAAGTCAAAAAAATGCAAATTCAAGGAAAGGAAAGCTGCATTGCAATGCGAAAAACAAGACGGAAGTGGCTTCTTCATGAGACGCAGAGCTGAGTTAACAACACTGGGGTGCTATATAGTACATAGAGGCAATATTCCAACCGTGTACCACGCTAGCGTCTTATAAAAAAGGTTTTGGGTGATATAGTCAATACTTCCACGCCTTCCAACAAGAGCGGCCGAATGGTGTAGTTGGTTTATCGTGTATCGTTCAGTAACCGCGGAGCACAAATTTCCTTTTTAGGATAAGCGCATCTACGTGTAGCTTGAAATTTGGTGGCGGTCATTGATGTAAAAGTCCAGCTTTCAACCATCAAATGGCCGAATGGTGTAGTTGGTTATCACGTATCGTTAACAGTCACATGACTTCCTTACCGATAAGGTCCTCGGATCGAGCCCGGGTTTGGTCACTTTTTTTTACTCTTTTCGTTTTCTCTTTTGCTTCTTGTTTTCTGTTATGAGCGCCGAGAGAGCGGGTGGAATACAGTGGCAGTACTAACCGGTACGGTGGGAGGTGGCAGAACGGCCACCGAGTCCCACATTACATCTGAATGGTTGCTGTAGCTTCCTTTCCCTCTCTTCGTAGCAATATTAACATATTGAGCGCACTGCTATCTCAGTGTTTTGGCCAGTCCAACATTCACTCATCGCCTGAAAGATGGTATCTCGAAAACACCTTATTTGCAGATCTATAGACTAATATGTATAAGAAGACCTTTAACGCAGTTGATATGTCTGCTCCACGCCTTAAAAAACTTTCCTGTGGTGCCCTCAGGGGGCCTCCGGCGTTTTGACGAGCTAGGACGGCTCAGATCTGCATGTTGTTGATGCCCGTTTAAATTTTTACATGTTTTGTTTTGATTGTCCTATATTCTGATTGTGTACGGTAGGACCGGGGCCTGCGGCCGCATTCTTTCTTCTTCTTTTTTCTGCCAACGTTGATTTTCTTGTTCCTTGAGACTGTTATGTGCGTTCTCGTAGCATTGATATCGCCATTATAGAGTTCTTTTTGAAATAACATTGGAGGCTCCGGCTACCCTTTTAATACTTCGAGTAACATTGCGTCATCTTCGGTACCCCTTTATCCTCCACCACTCTCACACAAACGGATGTATTGTTGGGATGCTATCCGGAGAGGAAATTGAACCACACAGCGCTCGCTATCCTTACTTTGTAGCTCAGTTTCTAACAGCTTTGCCGCTCCTGACCCTGGGATATACCTGATCTAGATCCAAAAAGCGACATTAGTATGTTATCTTATAAACGTGCCCCATGATTCTCCCAGTCTGCTGCAATTCTTAAGACGTCTGATCTCCCGGTTACCATGATATTTTGCCTTAAGATCAACAAGAGAAATTTATCTTATGTTGCGAAGGTATATCTTTACTAAGCGTCTTAATATCCCTTGGTGGGACCCTTTTTAATGGGGATGTAACGCCAACCAGCATGCTGCTGGAGCATGAAGCACGCAACTTTTGAATTATTGTTAGAAGTGGCTGTCTCTGCCAATTTACAGCTGAGAAGCTTTGATGTGGGAGGTTAGTATAGGGTCCTGCGTAGTTGATCCCGTAGTATGGGTCTAAACCCTAAGCAGTTCGTGGGATAGTGGCATTCTAACTATTCCACATTCTTGTAATTTTCTAGGTTTCTTTAATTTTAAAATGGCAGACTCAATATTATTAGTCAATTCGGAGGCCAGGATTTTTGGAGGGCCAAATAATTCAAAAGCTCCTAGATCTGAATGAAGATGATCATCCTGGGGGCTCAAACATACAAAAAAGTTCATCGGAAATATTCCGTTCTCTTGTTCTTTTCATTCCTCACTTACTGCACTTCCAATGGCTCCTTTCCTTAATCAATTGATACTCACTGTTATTAAGAGTTTCAAGAAGTGTGCAAGCAGCTGTGGTTAGGATTACAGGGCGGCAATGTACTACTGGGGAACTCTATTAGTGTCACACTCGGCAAGATATTAAATACCTTAAACTACTAGGACTGGCTTCAAGCCTCTAAGTATATCAAAGAGTAGGTGATAGAAACTTTTGCCCCATTGAAGTCCGTTTCCATGATTATCAATGTTACAGCTTGTATGAGTATAGATCAAAATCAGCTGGATCCTTCTGCACCGATAACCACTTATTGACCTGAGCTCGGAGTCAATACAAAGCAAGTGATCTGGTCAAGCATATTCAAATAACTGGTACTTTGATTTCAGGCTTTCTATACAGGCATCAAAGCAGCATCTCTCGGTTTCATGGCCTAGTAACTACTTGTCTATGAAGATCCGGGGACATGTGGGATGGAAGATCATCCAACAGATTTTAGGGAAGTCCTAAGCAGATTTCAATTGTACTAAACTGGTCAGTCAAGTTTAGGCTGGTTGCCAATGCAATATTGGCCAATTGGTAATATTCGAGACTCGATTGAAAAAAGAAAAGAGAAGAGAAAAAAGCTGGCCTTCCAGGAATATACCGACCGACTGCTCGGATAGTAAGTTGACAGGATTGACCCGGGCTTAGGAGTACACCTTTGATAGGGGCTAGATGTTAGCTTTCAAAACCCAGAAACAGCCTCTGGCTGTTACGGATCAAGCCTTGCTATATAAGCGCGATCGGATACTAGGTCTCCAACCTGGTATTCTAGGTCTTTTGCCCTAGTCACAGCAGCTACTACTTGGAATGATCCCCATTTTAGTACGTCCGTGACACTAGCCACATTCAGAGAGAAAAGGTCGCATTTAAAGACGTTGCTCATGTAGCCCCATAAATACAGAACTCGATTGAAACATCTCCAATTACCGTCTGATAAGTAACATGAGAAAAAGACTTTGGATGATATGGCATAGCATGGATGGGCGAAGTTTATGCGCGGCACCTTGGATACTAGTAGTGAAATAGGAAAATTTGGCGTGAAGGGGCGCTCGGTTTCAACATGGATACTTCTAGGGCTGTCACCCCAGGAAATAATTGACAATATCTATCCCTTGTTACATCCTCTCTGGTCGCAGCGCTGGAAGGAAGGGGATACGTCAATTTATATTTGTAACAATTTCTTTCTACAAGCGATGACTTGAAGATTAGCAAGCGGTATCCTATCGGCATCCCAATATGCAGTCTCAAAAAGTAAATCCGCGAGCCAAAGCACCGAGACATTAAGAGGGATTCGGGGTGTAGGATTATTTCTGGTACAGAGCCCCCGTCATTACACCGGTAGTTCCGAAAAAAAGATGGAGACAAGGGAACAGGGGAACGATGTATGAGCTGGTTATAAAAAGAAAAAAGAAAGTGACCAAACCCGGGCTCGATCCGAGGACCTTATCGGTAAGGAAGTCATGTGACTGTTAACGATACGTGATAACCAACTACACCATTCGGCCATTTGATGGTTGAAAGCTGGACTTTTACATCAATGACCGCCACCAAATTTCAAGCTACACGTAGATGCGCTTATCCTAAAAAGGAAATTTGTGCTCCGCGGTTACTGAACGATACACGATAAACCAACTACACCATTCGGCCATTGGATTGCTGGAATCCCGGACTTTTACACAAATTAGCACCCCCAAATCTCGATAGATCCGAAGTCTGTCCGACATAGGCACACCAATACTCTTCCTCTCGAGAATCTGTAATGTAGTCCATATAGCCTCCTTCGGTATGGGGCCAGGGGTCTTGCTCTCGCTCTTGGGATAGCTTGATGGTATGTAGTCTATTATCATATGTCAAGATCTTATCCACCGTTGGCTGGAAATGAAGCTTGACTTAATTCTCCACGGTTATGGTTTGACCCTGCAGTGCAAGTACCCGCGAGTCCACGGCATTCAGTGCAATATTTGAAAATCTAGCAACACCGCCCACAGCTTCAATAGCTGCGCGGCGAGGAACATGATTGATCAGATTGCTTTTGATGGTTCCGTTGTGCAGACTGTATACGAAGGAGTTGATTATAGTTGGAAGATGCTTCATGGCAAGCTATTTTGCGATCATCTCGATGATCTCCGGTGTGATATAAAGAGTAGATTCCATAGCACTAGCCCTGGAGATTGGCAATTCCTTCGAGTGCAGCCTGAGGACTTCAAATATTGTATATATGTCGATGGGTAGGCTATCAGTCAATGACCGTGTAGACGAGGCTTGAGGAACGGTTATATGAAGGTTTTCCAGGGATTCGGGGGCATCGTCAAATGACTCCTACTATATATCATGTTTAGAACAGTCATGCGTCAATATTACATACTAGTATATCAATTGATTAACGAAAAAAAGAAGCTGAGGAGGAGCACTCGGCACAGAAGAAAAGAGATGTATGGAAAGCAAACACGGTTATGCTAGGCAAAACTTGAACCACCGGCAGGCAATCATGTCATCTGCGTTAAGCTCGGGCCATAAACTTGAAGGTTCAAGTTCTTGTATCTCATACCTACCACCTAACCAATTTGAATCACCACCTTGCCATAGTTCTTCTTGTTCCATAGGTACTGGAACGCCTCTCGTGCTTGGTCGAATCCAAAGACTGTATCGTCGATCACCGGTTTAATACCAAATTTGTCGATAAATGCATTACACAATTCGAACTGCTCTGTTGGGCCCACTGTGATCCCTCTAACAATCGCCAAAGTCCTCAAACAATCCACGAAGCCACACTTCCGTTCAGATTCAGCACCTCCAAGGAACCCAACAACCGATATAACTCCCTCCATCCGAATAGCCTTAAGTGATTCTGGCATCGTCGTCTCGCCTCCAACTTCAATGACGTGATGAACACCTTCCCCACCAGGTGATAGCATCTTCGCACATTCACCCCAATTAGACTCTTCGGTATAGTCTATAACATGTTGCACTCCCATATCTTTCAACTTGGCTATTTTATCCTTCGAAGATGTAGTTGCGACAACGGTGGCACCTGCTGCGAGAGCAATCTGAATAGCAAAGAGACTAACCCCTCCAGTGCCCTGAGTGAGGACCCATTCTCCGGGAGTCAGAGCGCGACCCTTCAAACCAAAAAGGCAATTCCAAGCTGTGACAGCAGCACAGGATAGTGTTGATGCCTCGATACTAGTCAAGGTATGGGGAGCTCTCACTAACGCGGTTTCATGGAACACAGCATACTTTCGCAGAACACCGTCGGCTACGTTCCCAAGGCTGTAATTGCGCTTCTTGGGTGAGGTTAAGCCGGATTGATGTGCTGGATTGAATGCTGTGCAGACGCGATCACCGACTTGGAACCGAGATGTTGATTTTCCAACAGCAGTTATTATTCCGGCGGCATCGGAACAGGGAACAATGCCGGCATGAGAGGTCATCGGATAAGCACCCATTGGAATGGCAACATCACGGTAATTCAATGACACAGCTTGGATCTCTATTAAGCAATCTCGGGGTCCAATTTCACTGACAGATGCTTCATTGTTGCAGTGCAGGCCTTCCCAGCCTCCATTTGGGGCAACTGTCCATTGTGCAGTTCTGTGATCCATTTTTTATTGAGTTCGACGACTACTGCCTGATTGAAGCAACGGTTGATTTGAAAGTGATGTATTTTTTCCGGACTGATTAAAGACACTGTGCTCACATCTTTATACGTCTTCTTCAGAGGTCTTCAGAGGTATTGCGATCGATTACAAATACACTCGGAAGTCGGCACGGCACGCATCCTTCATACATGATAGGGACGGGATAGCAATGATAAGGCACGAACCAAGTCGGAATTGTGCTTCGAGAAAATCATTATAAGCTGAATCTGGGGAGTTTATTACGATTGTTGTGCACGTTCCTTCCCGTGGATAGTCATCCCGGTTTAGCTTATACATGTTGAAATGCGCAGCTGGTCACCTCTGAGCCCGAAAGCTTCCAGAAACCCTGTTTTTATAAGCCTGTAGAGTTTGAATGTTCATATCGGAACTTATTATCAACATGTATGCAATGCTGAATCACAAATTTGGGGGTATGTATAAACAAACATAGATAACTCAAATCCACATGCACTTCGATATCCAATCTGATTTCCAACAAAAGAAAGACCCTTAATCCAATTCCGAATCTCTTCCGAGACACCGGTTGAAAACAAAATAAATATGCCGACAAGTTCTTTGAACCGAACCGATAATAACTTCTTGACCGCTTGTTTTGATACCTTGAATTCCAAATTCTTTCATCTGACCAGTGCCAGCATCTCATCTCTGTTGGGTAGAAAATTCACCTGTATCCTCCGGTAAAAACTCAAGCCTTGCGCCATCAAGACCAAGTTCAGGAAGACGAGGTGGCGATGAGCTTCGTGGTCCAGCATGAGCGTCCTGTCCATCCACCTTATCTTCCTTTCTTTTGGATCGGAAAGACCGAAACCATTCCCCCACTAGATTAAATTTTGTCCCACCCCGCGAATCTGCATTTTCCCAAGATTCGTCGCCCTGAGTCCGGCTCGGCGCTTTTTGAAAGGAGAATCTCATGCGTGAGCTGCGTTTGTTGATCGACCGTGTGCTGGATGCGGAAGTAGAGTTGTTTTGATTGTCCGGAGCATGATTTGCGTCATCGATTGAGGAGGATGTGGTTGTCGGCGACCGTGGCATTTTGTCTCCCATTGCTTTGGTAGCTTTGGGGTTTTGAAATTTAAAAACCGAGGTATCAGACGTATAGACGTTCAAAAATGCACGTGTACTTCGGGTCATTCATTTGGTTCGATCAAGTGCATGTTGTGAAGAACAAAACAAGTCTCCTATTTTGCAGTGACGCAAACTATGGAATTCATGGGCCGTGGGAGGGGCGGGTCGTGGCAAGTTATGGGGCCAGACGAAGTGATCTTCATGACGATGACTGGCCAAGAAGTTGATCTATCATGTAAGGAGGCCGCACAGGAGCCTGGGGTTCACCCTTCCCGTCTCCGCTTTTTCACTAGTGAACTTTCCACGGGCACTTAGCAGACTTTTGTGTTATGGCGGGGCTAGATTTGCCAATAGTTGAAGTACCTATTGAGATTCGGTAATAAAGGCTCTCCTAGCTTTTATTTAGAGGTAAGGCGAGGCTTGAGGTTTATTTACCCCCTTATAAGCTCATGAACTACTCCGTCCTCCAGAGCTCTATACACAATTATCAGTGACAGCATATTGCCCAATACAGTTTAGCGTTCCATTTTTAGGCTTAGCTCACTTTGGCATACACATACTAGCGCCTGATCTCTTAATTTAGCTGCTCCATTCTGCACCAGCCATTTTCTGTTATTCCATGTACCTCACGGTTTGAAAGAGAGAGAAAATCACTTGCTCATTTAATACTACCTACAAGAAAAAAAGACCGAGTGCTATAGCTTCCCTCCGCCGCCTGAGCTGGAGTTGAAGGAGTACTCGGTGGACTCTACTATCTGAAGCACCTTCTTATTTGAATATTCGCTAAAATAACGACTGATTCCAAACTTTATGATCGTGCATTTTTCAATTCAGCCGTATACCAGTTCTGCATTGCACGGATGTCATAACTGAGAGCTACAGTATCAAAGGTCTTCAAATGCTCCTTGCTCAATGTACCATCATTCGATAACCGAGCGACCCATTTGCCATGCTTTCTGGCCGCTGCCACAATCTTTTCAATCGCATTTACAAACTCTGGCTCATCGCCCTTTGCTGGGACATATCCAAGAACTGATAGAGCGAGATCATTTGGTCCGATAAAAAGCATGTCTATAAGAAATCAGATCAGCACAGTCATCATCCTCCACGAGCTATGGGTCAACACTAACCGACACCAGGAACGGCGCAAATCTCATCAACATTCTCAACTCCCTGTTTTGACTCAATTTGAAGACAGGTAATGAGAGTTTCATTGGCTGTTTGTATGTATGTCGGGATATCAATGCCGTGGGTAATTGCTGGAAACGCCGAGCCTTGTCCACGAAGTCCATGTGGTGGAAATTTAGAATAAGAGACTATGGTTCTTGCTTCCTCGGCTGTATTGATTTGAGGCACAACAATTCCACTGGGAATTTCGTTAGAAAACTGGTCAATAACATAATGAAAACTTTGTATTTGACTTACTGAGCACCTGCGTCTAGAGCTCTCTTAATCAAATCGCAGTGGGTCATCCTGAGACGCACCAGCGGTGACACGCCCAGCGCCGCGATAGCGGCAGTAGAACTGTGCATTGAATCATCACTGATATAACCATGCTCACAATCTATGATGATGCCCTTTGTGATTGTCAGCGAAAATCTCTCATTTCAAATTTTGGCACAATAAGTCACTGACATCGACCCCAGTTTGGGCTACGATCTGTGCGGTACGAAACGACGGTAGTCCCAAAAAGGTCATTATAGGTTTCGCATTATTTTTGAGGGCATTGAGTAGCCTCAGCTGCGGATTATGGGTTAAGATTGCCATCTTTGAATTGCTTGAGGCCGTGTACTGTAGTTGTTGGTAACAATGCTTGGGACAGGCACTAATTTATACCGACCGTGAGTTCCCAGAAATTGTCTTTGGGAATTTTGATGAATGAATTTAGTATTATAATATCCAAATAAATAGAGCCAACGAAATAGTTATATAAGACCGTGGCTTGTTTAGCCCTCCCAAAACCTCTGGATTTACATGGTCTCGGGGAAATGAATTCAAGCCGAGCAGAACCAAACGCCGACGTGCCTCAAACACCCATGGGGCCAAATTCTTCAAATCATGCAATTCCAACTATCCTCCCGGGTACCATCCGGCGAGCTTCAGCCTAGCCGATATGACTTGACAGGGGTATCATCGGAATATTTTCCGTGTTCATTGAACCGATATTCGTGTTGAATGGCTTGATCATTCACCATTGTCTAGATAGGGAGCGAATTATTCTCCAAACTACATTATGATCTTTCAAAAATTTAAAAAAATCATTAGAGACTTAAAAATGACCCTTTCACTCTTGCAAATTATGTGCAATAAATGGATGAATCCATAGAGAGCCATCTCATTCGAATTGAGTTGGAAATAACTTTCTCTAAGTTACCTATACTCCAAAATTTATTCAAATTCTTGCTTCGTGGAAAATCGGTTCATAATAATCACAATTTAGATAAATTCAATACTAAGAACTGTCTATGATGTAGTAGAGAATCTTGCAAATTTATCCGGTTTCCCTCACAATAATCTCCTATCAAGTCCTATTGCTTGCGTTGAAGTGTATGGTATCCGAGCTTCTCTCGCGCCTCAGCAATCGTAGCTCCACTAGCAATTAGATCTCTAATGCCGATTTCACTTTGCTCGATTTTCTGCGCAACCTGAGCCACCTCACGCGCCCGAGCTCGTGGAACAATCACAACGCCATTCGCATCGGCAACAACAATGTCTCGCGACTCAACTCGCACTTTGCCAATACCAACGGCCTCATTCACAGCAGCCACTTGAACACGATCCTTGCCGGTGCGCATCCAGCGACCAGCCGTGAAGAGTGGGTATTCATCTTCAATTGCACGGTTCACATCACGACACACACCATCGATCACAGTTCCAGAAATGCCTCGAATACCAGCATACTGAGTCATTATGTCACCCCAAACGGTACAGTCAGTGCGACCGCTGTTATCGATGACTACAACATCGCCAATGGCCACATCGTCGATGAAGTCCCCGACACTCCCGGGTGGATCGCTGGCAGGTACGTAACGAATCGTAAAAGCTGGACCGACGGTTACTTGTTTGTAGTCCGTCAGAGGCATGATTCCAAAGGCCTGTCCGGGAATTCCGAGTTTATCGAGCGCATCAGAGACAGCAGGTGTATCTGACTCGGCAAAGAGAGCTACGAGCTCTTGGTCTTCAACAGTGGCCTCTTTGGGATTCCTTGCAGAGGCCGATTTGGTAGCATCTGATGGGGGGCGAATAGCCTCAAATTGCTTATCGTGCATAACCTCGGTGACGGGTTGACCCCCTCGAACTGCCTGAACCATTCCATTCTGCCGACGATCGATCTTCTCACCCAGCTCCAAAACCTCCTCGATACGGTTTGCTGGAATGAATACCGTTCCACATCGGTCGGCAACCACATAGTCATCTTCGTTAACTGTGACACCACGTATCTGTACCGGATTGCCCGCATCAATTTGTACGAGGCGATTTCGGGCGCTAACCATCGTTACCCCACGGCCGTAAACTGGGTATTCAATGTCGCTGCTGCCGTCTATATCGCGACTCATCCCATCAATGATAGTTCCGCGAATTCCTTTCTTCTTTGAGGCGTTGGCGATAATGTCGCCCCAACAAGAGAGTCCATCTTTGCCCCCCGCGATCACCAGAATACGGTCGTCTGTTGTGACCGCATCGATCACGGGAGTTAATAAATGGGTTGTGGGTGCTGTGCTGGTCTTTGGTCCAACTTTAACTGTGCTGGTGCGCCCGACGATTTTTGGACAGTTCCAGAGTGGCTTGAGGTCGTATGCGGTGCCTTTTAGATTGAGAAAGTCCAAAGCGTCGGACACTGTATTGGTGTCGAGTGCTGATAAACGTTCAAGAATGCTGGGTTGCGTCATTTTGTTTATCGGAGATAGGTCAACTTCAAGGTCATGGGAGGCCGTTCAAATATTGTTATTTTATTATGCGGGGTTTCCTTAATACTTATATGCATCCATTGATGTAGCTTTAAGTTCGGCCAAATAATATGCTTTCCAGTTAGCAGCTGTCATGGTGACTGATCCAATCCCCGACTGCTGTCGGTAAAGAGGCGTCTTCCCGAACGCCGCGAATCCACGGAATAGTTCTTGCCCGCTGATGAACAGTAATTTGCTAGGAACTTGCATGCAGCATGCGGAAAATAAAAATAAAATTCTGAGGTTAAAATAGGTTAAATTATGATAATTAACAATGATGCAATCTTCATAGTTCGGTCTATTCTATACTATTCTGTTCTATCCATTTTCCCTATTCACAAGTTTTCTTTACTTAGTTCACAAAACTTGAGTAATCCGTCCCAGAAATCCCGCCATCCGACGATACATCTCAAGAGGATTCGAGTACATAGGGAAATGTCCACTGTTCGGAATCTCTGCTAATTCAACGCCTTCCTTCTCTAATCGTGAGAGATACGAGAGCCCTCGGTTTTCCTCGCCAAACATAAACATCTTCGGAAATGGCAGCGCTAGGAACATGCCTAGTAGATCCTCCTCGTCGGACAAATGTACCATCGACTCAAAAATGGGCCGTACAGACTCGGCACGCACCCTAGCGCGCAGAGTACTAGAATACAGCGGACTCGAGAATGACTTTGCAGCGCGAGTGCGATTGATGAACTCATTCAGGAATACCTCCGGATCATCCGAGTGAAACGTGAAGATTTGACGGCTCAAGAAACAATCCTCGGGGGCTAGATTTCCTTTAATATCCAGGAAACTCAAGACTCGATCCGGATATCGATGCGCAAGAAACAAGGCAGCTAAGCCGCCCATTGAGTGACCCACAAGATGGAATTGGGTGATGTTGAAATGGGCTAGAAGGGCTTCTGCCGTTGCAACGAGGAAAGGGATGTCTGTTGCGGATAACTTATCGCTCGTCGTGTGGCCGCAGCCTGGTGCGTCGAAGGCGAAATATCCATATTCTTGTAGGTCTTTGTGGATGAGTATGTCGGCGAGGTCTTCTTTGCAAGAGCCGAAGCCATGAAGGAAGAGAATTGGTGGTCGGGAGTTGAGATTGGAGACTGTAGATACGTTGAGGCTTACGCCCTGGACTTGGAGCGGGATGGTGGAATAGGTGAGCGACATCTTCAGGGATCAAGACCAACTTTGGAGTTAGACTGGTCTCTCAATTTGGGTAATTATGTTTATATTAGGACTTTTGAGTCAAGACATAGTTAAATTGATGTGCATGACAAGCTTGTTGAGTGGCGGCTCGGGTAAATCTCATTTCGCCGACAGAGCATTCCGAGGCTTTACTAGTGTAGTGAGAATACTAGTAACCACCGAGTATCCACATATCCATGGGGTATTTCAACCTACCCTGGATCGCATGTTTATTCTCTTCAATCAATCAATCTTTTCAGCCCGAATTGGTTCCGCTTGATCTTATTCGCTCTGAATGCATACTAGTCCATACGCTTTTAGATTGTTCTGATAGAATAGTATCCGCAAGCCGCCATAATCCGAGATTTAGCCCAAATGTGTTGATTCATTGAACAATTCTTATCAGAACTCTAGAAGTACATATATACCCTATCTAATTAGATAGCAGACCCAGTCTCCAAATATCACTGCCTTGTCGAGTTAAAAATGCGATCTGTTATACCCCCATATCTCCAGTTAAAATGGTAATGTAACCCAACCTATAGGTACTCGATCTTTATTATGGAATCATGCGCTCTATTGGTTTTATGGAACCGGGAGGGTCCATGTGTCAATCGAAATAGCATAGATATGTTAGGAAGTCTAGTATAACTAACAGCAGCAGGCAGACTTGATGGGGGTGAGATTGGGCCGGATGCTAAATTATGCCTGCTTCCTTATTCCGCAGAAACATTGATATATTTGATATCAGCAAGATAATACCCTTTCTTACCTCTGTAATCCCCCCAGTTTGCCTGGATGGCCTTTTTGAACTTCTCTGCTTCGATAGCGGAAGTTTCAACTCTTGTTCAAAATAATCAGCCTCGGTCTGAAGGTGATATAGAAGAACATACGTAGCCGTCATAGTACCTGCAGACCTGTCAAGAGCCTCGATCTGGCCTTTGGTGAAAGAACCACCCATTTCTTGCACCATGTCTTTCAAAACAGTCATCAAGAGGCCGTTACTACTGGCGCATTAGCATAGTCGATATGGGTGCAATGTTGATAGGACATACACATCACCGCCAATTATCGCACATATATCCACCAGTTTGAACCAATAGAAAGCGTGCCTACTACGTCACCAAGCATGAATATCCAAATCATGGGATTCATTTTGTCTTTATACAAATATACGGTGAGATGTGGCAATCGCCGGAAGAATACTTATACACTCACGTGCACCTATCGTGCTTGGAGGAAAGGGTGGCTGGCAGAAGATCTTCGGTTCGCACATTTCACTACGTATTAGATGTACCACAGGAGCTCCTTCCTGGGCACACAACGCTTTCTGGGATCTTATGGCCTCTCTATGGCACCTCAAGCCTTGGACCGGAAGGTCCTGTGATATCTCTCTTAGACCTTTATCATACTTGTGTAGGGTGTATCTTTGAACCGCAGTTGCAGTAGCGTCTATAAGCTCCCCCACGATATGATCCAGGGCCCCGGGCGTGTGTGCGCCTGGCCATGGTCCTATCTTTTGCTGTATTTCCACTTCGATTTTATTCCAGTCCGCCCGATCGTATGCTTTCCTCGCTTTCCGACTTGGATTGTGCCGGGCTCTTAGATTCCATTCGGAAAAGGTTGCACGATGGTCCGAGCCGTATTTTTCGTGGTATAGATGGCATTTTATCAGGTTGGGTCTGTTTGTTACTGTTTGGTCGATCGTAGAAGACCTCCCCGGATGATTCAGAGACCAGGAGGTCGCATTTCCTCGGGGAGGCAGCCGTGGAGGCCTTGGGCCTGGAAGAAGTTAATCAACTCGCTTGCATCTTCAGAGAAGCGAGGCAAGATGTGATTACCATCCCATGTTGGAGTATTGTGTTACGATTAGTTTTAGAATATATATACTTCTTATGCTCCTTTTGCTCGTATTCTGTATTTCCTTGATTTCCTGTGTTGATCAGGGAAAGATATTGATGTTTTGCTGTGGGTTTTTCTGACTAGTATTCTAATATAGGCCTATTTCCTCTCTTTACTAGGTAAGATATAGAACCCCAATTTGTTAGAGTTAAGAATTACTAATATCCTCGGGGAATTCGTTCTAGAGATGGGGTGTGGCGTAGAAATTCAATATAGGTGTCTAAAAGTTGATAATGGGTATCGGTCACTTTCAGTGCTTATGTAGCTCAGTTGGGATAAAGGGCTATTATTCACTTTAGCATTATCGTTGGAAACTATTTTATTAATTTTTACCCGTCTTATCTACATTCTTGTTAGGTAGATAGATCTATTAAAAATAGAAAAAGAAAATCCAGAAAATAAAACGACAGCTGCAGGGTTCGAACCTGCGCCCACGAATGGAATTGATTTCAAGTCAATCGCCTTGGACCACTCGGCCAAACTGCCATTAATGCGGAATATTCCAAAATACGACATCATGAGCGGCCTTAACATGTATACTCATCGTAGACCTTGTCAGTATATATTCGGGCGTTTGGTTTTTGGTCTCGGAAAACTGTTTTTTCAAGGCTTCATCACAAGCTTCATGATGTCAAAACGAGACCTTCTTATATTCCAGGGCAGTCTGGCTGAGTGGTCTAAGGCGATTGTTTATAAGGAAAAGAGAAGGAAAAGGAAAAAGAGATGGAGAGATATAGAAAATGTGAGACCCTGCACAGTGGCTTCCTCCACTACATCAATCCTGGCTGCGGCGCATGAAGGCATCCTTCCCGCAAGCCACGGCCCGGATGCAACAGCATGCAACAGGATCAGAAATGGCCCCTGGTCGTTCGTACATGAGGCCGTAGGTGTTACACAGCCAACAGCGCGGAGCATGGAGGATTCTAGCTAGTAGTTAGTTTCATGTATTATAATCTCCTTGGGAGCTGGCCTTTGGAAGGGCAGCGATTTAGTTCTTATATCACCTGAATACTAAGTCCATCTTGCAGAGCATCTTGCATCTTCTTCTATCTTTACATGCCCTCTCTTACTATCAGCGACGTATTCAATCTGGTCTCCGTTTGTGCCCTTGCATTAGCGCTGGTATGACCTTCCGGTATATAAAAAAATTAATACTTAATAATAGAGAGAGAAAAATAAAACAATCTATATGTTTCAAGTTAACATCATAACCCCAAGATTACAATTGAGGTAACTAACTAAAGCTAACAATACAACTAGCCTATTCTTAGAATAGTAAGCTATCGATACTTAAGTAATACTAATCAGAAAGTGGAGGAAGCTAGTCTTAACTACTAGCTGACAAGATATAGACAGGTCGGAATCAAGAATACGAAACCCCATCCGCAGCGGCGGAGCTCGCTTACTATTCTTCATATCGAATAAACGAATGCCTTTCTTTATATCGGTAGGAAGTCTTCATATTAGAACTTAAGATTTTACAATATCGAGCCTCTTGTGCCATACTGGTATGCACGAGTCGGTATACTGCTGATCTTGATGCTTTTCCGTCTTATGCGTACTAGTACTAGCATTTGTCGATGTCATACTTCAGATACAAGATATACTATACAATGAATTGTTTTATTCTCAACGACATTTTCGTTCATTCGATGTCCAATCTTGTATATACTACTAGATAGGTTGGTCATGAGACAATTTATATATTAGTTATGCACATATCAAATCGCCTTGGACCACTCGGTCAAACTGCCCGTATCTGAAGTTGGGATCGAGATTTCGACCCGGGAATTGGGTCAATTTCTACTTAACCAATTTTTCAAGCCTATTGTGATCAACTTATCCCTCGAAAACCTTCATATAAGCGTTCCTCAAGCCTCATCTACACGGTCATTGACTGATAGCCTACCCGTCGACATATACAATATTTGAAGTCCCCGGGCTGCACTCGAAGGAGTTGCCAATCTCCAGGGCTAGTGCTATGGAATCTCCTCTTTACATCCCATCGGAGATCATCGAGATGATCGCAAAAGAGCTTGCCATGAAGCATCTTCCAAGTCTCCTTAATCTCGCAAGATTAAATCGAACTTGCTATGCCTGTTGCCGTCCATTACTCAACTCGATGCCGTTTCATGATATCATGCTAGAGATCCCGCAGAAAGCATCACAAAGGGACTCAGAGATGCAGACACCTTTCGCCATGTGAGACAGAATGAATAATTCATGGAGTCTCGCAGCTGAAGACGGCATGTGCACAGCTTTCTTCTTGCCCCAGAGATGGTTCATCGGGGGCTCAATGTAATATTAGATGGAAATAATGGAAACGCTTAAGCTCTCAAAGAGTAATATCATTTCAACGTTCAATAGTTGTAGACACAGGTCAGAGAAAGCTCCTACCGACGAAGCTCAATCACTACGGCCTCAGTAGAGAACAAATTTAAATGTACATATCCACCACGAGGATGAACAACCTCAGTCTCATGCTCGCCGAACTGTCCAAGTCTGCCATTAGACGTGTAATTCCAGCTATGCCCACCCCAAGTAATATCGTTGATAGAACTGGCTCCAGGCCCAGTCAAACGCTTCACCTCAGCAGTACTAACATGCTTCGGGACATCCAGAGCAAGCTTTTGAGTAGGACGCGCATACGAAGTTGTTGTGTTCCACTCGTCCAAGTTGATAACGACGTATCTCACCAGAACACCAGACTCATAAATAGCATACGCGGACAAGTCCCATCTATTTAGATTCAATGCTTGTACCTGGACATTAGGGTGTCGTCCAATCACATCTGCTGCAACAAGTTGACCATATAGCGGTGGTCGAACACCAGGTTTCTGTCCGTTATACTCAATCGGGACCCAACAGGTATAACCGAAATTAGTACCCTGAATCAAGTTGAAGCGGCTGATACTCTATACAAAGTGTTAATTCAATTAATATTGCAAGATGGGGTGTTTGATAGCTTACCATGCTCATTCCATAGAGAAGGTAATCAACCAGCCAGAGTGAGCTTCCAAAAACGCCCTCAACTTGAGCCATATTTAAATTAACGTAGTCGCTGTTTGTTTCACCCAAGAGAAATGTAATGTTGGGATCGGCAGCATGGACTACTTCCATGTCTGTGGTGTATTGAGTGAGGTTTCCGACAACAGCATTGTGGTTCATGAATGAATCTGGGGGAAATAAGAGGTTTATTCACAAATCACGGTCACATAGGAATACTTGCTTTGTAGACGAACCCACGCCTGATTTCCTGATGCATATCTGGAACTAAAGTCAGAGCAGAACAGGTATCCGGTGCATAAAAAGACTTACTGATGTAAAGAGACAGTTTTAACATGACCAGTCTTACTAATTCCATCATGGAATGCCTTGGCTCTGTACCAAATCAGTACAACGAAAAAAATTTGCTTAAGTATGCCTCACTCACGTCGAGAACGAATCACCCTTAGACACAAAAGTCAAAGCCTGAAAAATCTTCCAATAGTCCAGTCCATAACGATTACCCCTCAAAACGCGATTAGAGATAGCATCGGCGAAACCCGTCCACTCGCGAACATAATCTGCCGTTGAATAATTCAATGGTCGGACATCACCAGGATAGAGATCAGGTTCATTGCCAACTTCGAAAGCAACCAGGTTACCCTTGATATGATTCAAAGCGACTCGTGCCTCGGCAAGTGCATTGTCTAACGCACCGCTCTTGTTGTTGGCGAGGTTGACTTGGAATGTCCAGGGAACGCCGGGGAAGCTTTCAAATCCCTCGAAGAAGGTCGGGCCGACGTAGACTTCAAGAGGAATGCCATTGGAATATTCGGTGGATAGAATGATTGATTCGGTCTGAGACGCGTTATAGATTGCTCGATCCCTATTTTATGTTTTGTGTTAGATTAAAGATCAATTGAGCAGTGGGCTTGATTAAACACTTACGCAGATGTACCGCCAACGCGGATGTGAGGATAAGCACCAGTCTTGTGGTGGAGGAGTTCGACTATATCCCGAGAGAATGTGTTCGGGGTGCTCTTATTTCCTATCAAGTATTAGCATCTAGCAAAAGGACATGTTATTCTTTGTGAACTTACCCGCATAATCAGCGAAGAAATGAATCGGCAAGGAAAGCGAAACAAAGTCATGTTGAACAGGTTGTGAAACTCCCGATGATGCTTTCGAGGATGCCTGTATCTTGATAGCTTTATCTATAGTATGAGCGGATACTAAAGAAGTATACAAGGCCCCGAGGGCCAATGGCATAAGACGCATGGCGAATAATAGTAATAACGAAAAGTCCGAAAGAATCCGTTCAGTTCAACGTCAAAGGTCCAACAAAAATGGAATCACAGCACATTTTAAATATCTCTTCTATTTACCTTCCCCAGACTACCCCATCATTACATTGGCACTAGTATGGTGTCATTAGATTTAGGCTCTCGCATCGCATTTCGGCTTTCGCGTGGGACTCGGGTCGGATCTCGCCTGTTGTCACAGCACATATGTAAAGAACATCTCGTCACCCCGTTAGAATCGCGAAATATAAGCGATATTCAAAATCTAGAAAGTTAATAATATGCAAACGCCAATTTTACATTCGTGTGTGTAGACTACTATATTGTCAACCACAGACACGAACCCGCCGATTGATGGTTGCGACGTACTGTCCGATTCTATGGGCTCCTACGGATAGTACTGCGAAGGGCACGAAACATGATTTCAAATATTCATATTCCTCATATACCATGTCATCAAAGGCTAATAAAAGAAATTACATACTGAGACAAATTCCTTCGCTATGCTCGCACTGTGCGCCAAATATCAAAATTTATACATTTCCCCGGTTGGGGTTAAGAAGATCCCGCTCCAGCAACTCCGCCTCAATAGCAGCACGACGACCCTTCTCATACTCGCTAGAGTTATCCTTGAAGACGTGGTCCATCTGTTCAAGAGTGCGACCCTTCGTCTCAGGTACAAAGAAGTAAGTCCAGACCCCAGAGAGGAGACAGAAGACGGCGAAGAAAACGTAAGCTCCGTAGCCAGTATCCTCAACAAGGGGAGGGGTGATGAGACCGATGATGAAGTTGTTCAGCCAGTTGGAGCAAGTGGCCAGAGCTACACCCTTTGCACGGAGAGAGGAGGGGAAGATTTCGGAGGGAATGGCCCAGGGGATTGGTCCCCAGGTAGCTCCGAATGCAACCATGTAGAATAGGAGGAATGCTGCACTTGTCCAGCCTTCTGCTTGGTGTGATGACCAGTCGGAGCTGTAGAGACCGACTAAGACAGCAATTACAATCATAGCAATCGCCATAAGAACGGATCCAATCATGAGGAGCTTTCGACGGCCGACTGTGTCCATGGTGAAGACACTAGTTGTGACACCGACTAATTGTAGAACGTTGAGAACACCCGACATAACAAGCTGCATACTGGAATTGAGGCCCATGGTACCGAAAAGAGTGGGGGAGTAGTAGATCAGAGCGTTGATTCCGACGAACTAATGACTGTTAGCAACTTTGAAATGTAGTTTGTTAATATGCTTTGACTTACCTGCTGGAAAAAGCAGATCATAATACCGACGTGAGTACGTCTCCAGCAACCCTTCTTGAAGCAATCGGCCCAAGACGCCAATTCCAGAAGAAGGGAATCCTTCTTCGACCCGCTCTGTAAATTGGGGTGCTTCTCAGCGTTCATCTCTTGGTGGAACTTCACTTCAGCTTGAATATCCAAGAACTCCTGACGAATGCGTCGGTCTGTGGGAGGCAAGTTGCGCAGTTTGCACAGACTTTGCAGGGCTTCTTCGTTGCGGTTCTTAGAAGCTAGCCAACGTGGCGAGAAGGGTAGCATGATCACACCAGCGGCCAGAATGAAGCCTGGAACCATCTGGAGCAGAAAAGGGAGACGCCATGCCCATTCTCCGGCCATGTAGCGTGTGCCATATGTGATCCAGTAAGCGATCACGATACCAAGAACGATGCACCATTCCTCAAGGACAAGTAGTGTTCCACGGCATTCCGGCGGACCTTTAGTAAAGATAAAAGTTAGTCTGGGTCATGTCACGCGAGATACTCATAGATATATGGAAAAAAGAGATTGAAATGACATACTGATTTCAGATATATACAATGGTGCAACCATGGACAGCATGCCGATACCGACACCACCGATCAATCGAGCTACCGTCAACATGGAATACTCAACGGCAGCAGTTTGCAAGATTGAACCAATAGTGAAGATCACAACAGCAACTAGGATTGAGTATCGACGAGAGATTTTGTCCGCAATCCAACCTTGATTCAAGGCACCAAGCAAAGCACCCAATTCAATCATTGCAGTCAATAGACCTTTCCAGAAACCCGCGCCCGAGCCAGCGATGCGGGGGAATTCATCCAGGAACTGGTCCATGACCAAAATAACCGACACGACACCTTGGTCGTAACCGAAAATCAAACCACCAAGCGTAGAGCAAGCAGCACACATGAGGACGAATGGATTGCTCACCAGCCCACGAAGACCAGGTGGACCATATGGTTCACGGTCTGCCGTGATGTCCTCGGCATGGTGTGTGAAGCCTTCGATTGTTCCATCATCTGGTGAGAAGGTCTTCGATATTTCTGGTTGATTCGCCATGACTTACGAATCTATGTGTAGTAAGTTGAGAATAAGATTTAAGCTTGACAACCTCGTATCTGGGGAACAGCTCCAGAGACAGGCTGGGTCAAGTTGTATTTATATGAATTTGGTTGGCCGGGTAGTATCCCCATATCCCCCATGTTTGATCCACCCCCTCCTTTTTGACTGATAGGAATCAGTACGGTTCACTTTGGCTAAACAACCTTTGTGATTGGCCAAGAAGCCGGATGCCGATGAAGTTTGCGGGGGCCCGAGTCGGGGTTGGGCGAAGTACTATGACGGCAATGCGCGGTTTTCATGGTTGGATCGGAAGGATTGGACCGGATGGGGAAAGGATAGTGGTGGATCACCCACGTAAAGGTTAAAACGTGGAGTGGAAGGCGGGGACGAGGTCGTAATAGCGTGAGGCCAATTGGCGTTCTCGGGCGGCTATTGGAAAAGAAGACTCGCAGGGCGAGGGTAAACTGATTTCCGAGCTTCTAAGGCCTTTTAGAATTCGCCATTTGGAGGATATTAGGGTGCTGATTGAAACAAGACAACGAGAAGGAACCAGGATCACCTTGTTTGCTGCATGGACCATTGCTCAGGTGGTTACTGGCGATTTGCCAGTGCCTCCGAGGTTCTGCTAGACTAGATACGAATAAAATAGATATAGGTTCGAATAAATGAATGAAGCTTGTAATCAATTTGTAGAAACAAGGTTCCTCTATACCACAAGAATGTCCAGATGAGGCCTAACTAGCAGTTTATTTCGTCAGCCTCTTTCCCATCTCTCTGCTCCAACTCTCGGGCTTACCCCGAAACTCTCTTGGCCGCCCAATCCTGGTTAGGCATAACCGTGCTTGAGCCTTGGAAGGGGTCCATCGTATGCAAGGTCAGAAGGATATTCGAATATCCGGTCACGTTGGGCGCGGAATAGATGCATGATGGTATCCCGCGACAAAGCGGATGATATCTGCATCTGATCGTCCTGACACGCATTACCGAATGATGCAAGTATGTATAAAATGAAGCCTCATCACGATTAGTAGGTTAGTCTCAAAATCCCCATGGGGTAATGTTGTTGGTAGACCCAATTTTCTTTTCCTCTTTGTAAGTCGTGGCTGATCGCCCCCGCTCTTTCGTCGTGCTCTTTCCGCCTTTCGAGGGGTTTTTTAGAGCGAAGTGGGACCATTTCCCTTCCTGCTTATTATTCTGAATCTCGGAATACTGCCTCCGGCCTCGGGTCTCCAGTCTTTGTCTTTTACGGATTCCTATTTCCGATTTTCCATCGACGTCACTTTGCAACTTCACATCCAAGGCAAAAACCACCACATCATGGCGTCCTTTATGGAGGAGCTATGGTCGAGCATTTTCACGCCAGGCCCCACCCCAACGCTGTTGATCGCGACCAACGTTACCTTTGCTGCGCTCCAGCTCCTCTTCCTTGTCCTCCTCCTAGCAACGTATAGCATCCACTTCGTCGTCCTCTCGTTCCTCAGCGGCGGGTTATGGTTCTCGATCAACTGGTTTGCGCGAGAAGTGCAGGCCGTGCAGCGAGCGCAGGAAGCCGACAAGAAAGCACAGGCCGAGACAGCGAGTATCGGGTCCGATAAAAACAGGAAGAAGGATTCCGTGCTGGACAGTGCCGATAGCGAGACTGAGACCGAGAACTTGGTCGGCCAGAAGAAAACCTCCGCTTCCGCTTTGACAACTGGCAGTGCTGCATCGGCCAGCCAAGATGCCAAGAAGCGCATCAGCAACGGTGGAGATAGTTCTGGATACGGAAGCACTGATAGCGAGTGGGAGAAGGTGGATCAGAACTAGGAAGAATATCTACTACAGTATTTGGCATGGTTCATATCTGGTTGGGCCTAATTTTTGACGCCTTGTTTATGAACCGCGGTCACTATGTTCGAGGTGACACGATACCCCCCTTGTCATATGTCATTAAGCGTTGAACCTGATTTGAGCTGTTGCACACATTCCCCATACACCTGTCGATTTCATGCGCAATCTTTGTTATCACCTTGCATCGGCCTTGGTGCTTCAGATATGCCAGTCTTGACAAACTATTTGGCATCACGCGAGATTTGAAGAAATATAGCTCCATTGTACTTAGAAACTATGTGATAGCAGTTTATTATATCGCGGAAAGCCATACCTAGGGTTTGTATTTAGCTAGCTATAGGATCTGACACTTCAGCCACCTTCATTGTTATCGCTTTCCATGTTGGCTATAAAATGGACATCACGTGACCATGCGACCCATCATGAACGGTCAACAACTCAGAGGAACAACACGACCTCAACAATCGCGAAGTCGGTTTAATATGACCACCAGATCCTACAGCTACACAATGCTGGCGAGTTCTTAATAATCATGTTGTCTACAACTCCTCTAGCCGCGGGACGTCGACGCGTCTTCGGCTCTGTTTTCTCCCCCGCGTCACTCGAAGCTCGGCCACCATTCGCATCTAGTTACGATAACGACCAGAACTTAGCGGCCTCATTTCAATCCTCCTCTACCGTCCAAAACGATTCCTTCGCGCCGCCTTATCAGAACACGGACAACACATCGGCCCGCCAGGCATGTAAAGAAGCTTGGTCCGCTGCCACGGCGTATCTATGTATACCGGACCAGGGCTTTGCGCACATTTATGAATCAAGAGGGACCGATGGAAGCGAGGCATTGAAAGACTCGAACCGACTTAGCCCACCCTCGAAGGAGACTGGGGAGGCGGTCGCTTACTTGACTGCTTCGGCTCAGCATGGGCAGACTTCGGGTCAAAGGGATTTATTTGAATGGTACGGTGATGAGATGCGGAGACATTTTCTCACGAACCTCCGTGGGGGTCTTCATGAAGTAAGAGCTTAATGTTATACTAGTTACTACGCCTGTACAAGTACTAACGAAACACAATTGAATAGCTTCTCAAGTCTCCCGAGGAAGAAGGTTTGCTGCGGACAATTGTCGACTGTCTACAGTTAGCTCGTCGAATCTACCTAGCGCCAATTGTACATTATGTGATGCCGCTCATACCCGTCGCTGAACAAGGGCGACTTTTAACTCAACTTCAACGCGTCTTTCATACAGTTGTCTCATATTCATTACCCTGGGAACAAATCGCAACCCTTTTGGCCGGTGAGCTGGCACGCAATGCGTTGGTTATCTTGGGGATCGATACTTTGCTTGACAACTCGGAATCGGAGAACAATAGCCACGATGGCATGGATATTGACCGACAATATTCCGTATTGTACGAGGATTGGGTAGATGCGAGTCCAGAAACTCGCGCATTGATCATGGTCGAGGGAGAGCTACCGAACATTACTGTAACCCGGGATCAGCTGCTAGCCTTCCTGAATGGTCTTCAGCTTGTCGGACTTGGTGGGGATAAGGCGCAGAAAGTGTTTGCCAGTGTAATGAACATCATGATGAGTGAGTTTGTACGTGCGGCATACAATAAGCGTTGGAAACGACCGACCGCAGTGGCTCAGCATTTGAGGTACTGGGTAGAGAATGTCTTCTCACGTCTTGTAGTTCAAGTGCTTGCTATCATCCATACACCTCCTGTCGGGAACCCGTTACCGGGCGCTTTGGACGTGAGTTTCGGGGATGTCGAACAGTGGCAAGAAATTGCAATTGCACGTCTCGGTGCACTTCGTACAAGCGAACTGTTCGATGTCATTGTTGAGTGGCCTCTGAGTTCTGGTGCAATTGAGGATTTGCGACAATTTACAACACATCCGGCAGCTCGAGCACATGTCACTCAGACCTTTATTGCGCTTCTGACCCAGCGTCTTTTACACCCTGGCGCGTCTACTGTGCAGATATTGCAATTATACATATCGATTATTCGGGCTTTTCATCTCCTAGATCCGAAAGGTGTCCTCTTGGATCGAATTGCACGTCCTATTAGGCGTTATTTAAGGGAACGTGAGGACACCGTTAGAGTGATAGTCGGTGGATTGTTGGCAGACCCATGTGCCACTGCAGCTACTGAGCCATCGATGTCTTCGTCTGGGGAAACCTTGATTGAGCTAGCGACGGAGTTAACCAGGGCACATCAGTTATCGCTTAATCAAAATAAGAGTGAGATGGATTGGAATGATTTGAACTGGATGCCGGACCCCGTTGATGCTGCGCCGGACTATCGGAAGTCAAAGAGTTCAGATGTTATTGACAGTCTGATTAGCTTATTCGACTCGAAAGAGACATTTGTCAAAGAATTGCAAACGCTGTTGGGTGATCGTCTCTTACAGAAGCGTGACGATTACGATCAGGAGATATCTGTCCTAGAACTACTGAAAGTACGCTTTGGTGACTCAGCTCTACAAGCATGCGAGGTTATGCTTCGCGATATTTCAGACTCTCGACGTGTCGATGCCGTCGTTAGGAACGACCAAGGCTTCAATAAACCTCCTTCCCGCATGACTTCAAGACGCATACCAAGACCAGACATCCCTGAACTTCATACGAAGATTCTGTCGCGCTTCTTCTGGCCCGAGATCCAGGATCAAGAATTCAAGATTCCCGATGAGATCCGATCGATGCAAGAGAAATATTCCGCCGGATTTGAATCTCTGAAACAATCGCGCAAGCTTACGTGGCGGAATGGACTTGGTCAGGTCGCCGTCGAATTGGAACTGGGTGATCGCACCTTCGCAGACGAGGTAACAACATGGCAAGCCACGGTAGTCTATGCTTTCCAAGGCGACTCCGAAGAGCCCATCGCAAAAACTGTCACTGAGCTCGCAAGCGCATTGGAGATGACCGCCCCCCTCGTCCGCAGCGCGTGTCTGTTCTGGGTAAGTAAACGAATATTAGCTGAGACCCACCGGGACAGCTTCCGAGTACTTGAAACACTGTCCACGGAGAACGAACAAGGTCCAGGCGGCGACACCGGCTCCATGGCAGAAGATGAGGCACCGGTCGGTGACGCAGCAGCAGCAGCAGAAGCTGCGGCCGCGGCTGCCGCTAAGGAAACTGCAGAGGCTGCCGCCATGGAGAAGATGAATCTATACTGGCAATTCATTGTGGGAATGCTCACCAATCAAGGTGCTATGCCTCTCCAGCGCATTGTCATGATGTTGAAGATTGTGGTACCTGGTGGGTTCCCATTTAGCAATGAAGAACTGCGTGAGTTTCTGGCTGGAATGGTGTCTCGTGGGAAGCTGGAGATTGCTAGTGGTGGTAATTACAAGCTTGTGCATTAATATGGGAGCGTGGTATAGCATTTTTTCTTTTGCCTGGCGTTAGAGATGGTTTATGTATACCCCATAGAAGAAGAGCTTAACTCTTAATGTGAAATGAACAATTCAAAAGTCCTCAGTACCCTTATCGCTCCCTCTTTCACTTCACTGTAGTGTCGAGGGCTGCCTAATACCCTCGCTCCCCTTCCACCTTCTCTCGCCTTCTTTCTCTCACCCCCAACGAGCTTCGTCCTTCCATCTGATGGTTTTAAATTCATCCCACTCCTCTTCATCTGATTCATCCCACCGTCCTCCAACCATGCTACTGTCTCAGCCCCAAGCTCAGATTTCCCCTGCGCTTCAACCCCGTTGTGCGGAAGCACTCATCTCAACTCAGCAACGCGCTTTTACCTGGCCTTATCCAAGGCCTTATCCAATGGAGACTCGCCTTCCCGAGATCCGCCTTCCTGAGAAACGTCCCAAGACCAAGTGTGACCTAAGTCTGACTCCAGCAGTCAAAAACGAGATGGAAGGAGTCCTCCTCTAGCCGATTGCAACAACCGACATAACGCCAAAACCAGCAAGCTCGGATGAATCTCGGGGCCGCGAACAATGATATCCCTTGGCCTTAAACCCACATCGAATCAGCAGGCGCGGCAGATGATATCACCGCCAAACTGGGCGTGCTCATCCAAGACCCATTGATGGCAAAATTCAACGAGGAGCTTCTCCTCTGTGGAAAGATCAAAGCTCTCCGACGCGCAGTCGACACCAGCGAATCTGCTAAGCGCCTCATTTCACGTCGACTCACTCTCGCCGAGTGGATGGAGCTCGGAACAACGCTCACTTGCTCTCCTTCTATGGAAAAGACTATTGAGATTTTGATTGGGGATAAGATCTCTGTTGTCCACGATACCATCAATTGCATGAAGTGTTTCTGGCCGCTAAGGGATCTAGTCGATTATATGCCTAGCGGATATGCGAAGTGGGCGCTTCAGGACTTGATGGATAGCTTTTTTGATGCAATCTATTGATTCATGATCATTTGACTGTTTCTTGAGTCCAGGTTTTACCTGGTTGATTCTTGATTCGGATGTCTCATGCTTGATTTTCGAAGTGCAATTTTCAAAAATAGTCACAATTCGTTCGCTCATGTATCTATCATCTACATCTTTGACTCTGCTGCATTCTATGCACACCATGAGATGGAGATGGCCGACTGGCGTTGCTGTTATAACAAAATCAGTAACAAGATCTATACCAGGACTCATTTACGCCATAATGGTCCTAGCGAGCCTAAGAATGGGTGGGCGGACAGGTATTGCCTTTATAGTATTTACTATAATACAATTTACTCGACCAATCACAGGAGTTCAGGTCGAGCTGTGCGGCAGCTGTGAGTTTAACCTTGGGAACTAATCTAAGAATATTCAATCATAAACCTGCACTGGCATGATTGATAACAGAGCATACTCTGATATGTACCACCTCGTTGATAAATATGCTCCATTCGCTAATAATGAAGACCCATTAAGATTGAAGGGGTCTGAAATGGCATCTCTATGTTCTGAGAGAGATCATACAACTGCATAATTGATACGTGTAAGCTCTTGCAACTTGAAGACAAGCCTTCACTTTGCATTGGCTCTTGGGGATATAACAACGGTTTTTTTAAGTATAATTGAATGATCATTGCTACTATTGAACCGGTTTTGAAAATTTAAAGCATCCAAATATCTGCATGTTATAAAGAACCTCACATAAAAATCATTATACATCAGTCTCAGTAAGCTCGAAAGAAAGCACTGAGATTCAAATCCAGCTTTAATAAGCCGTCAATCTACTCCGCATCAAGTGGCGCAACAGGCGCCTGATCATCAACCTGAATCCCACCTCTCTTCTTCTCATTACTATCCCAGAAAGGCAACTTCCACCCACCCTCATTCTCAGGTGTAGCAAGCCAAAGACGCATCAAGTGTCGTCGTGGCGCAGGGGGGGCATGGTCTGTGTAAGCAGTTCTCGCATGCAGAATGTGCGCATTAGAAAGGAACTGGATATCTCCGATATCAAGAACCATATGAAGAGAGAGTTTGTTGCAGGTATCTTCTAGGACCTGAATAGCTTCTGTTTGTGCGGCGCTGAGAGGGGGGATGATTCCTGCGTCTGAGAAGCGGGTGAGAGAGCGGACATAGTATGGGTCCCATCTAAAATTATTTTGTTAGTATGAACATGTCTTTTGAGTGGGCGGGTGGGAAGCTTACTTTGTGTAGACGCGGCCGTTGTCGCGCTCAAGGTAGATTACGCTTGTGCGGATGTATTCATCTTCACCCTTGCTTGTTTCGCCTTTGCGGTCGAAGTACCAGATTGGTTCTGTGAGGGTCTTGAGGACGTCTGGGCGCTCAACTGCGAGGTTGTTGTAGACGTTGTGTGAGGAGACGAGGTCGGATTCGCCGCCTTCCAGTGCCTTGGCGATACATAGTAGTCCGACGATGTCGGAGTCATCGGCATGGAAGAATTGACTGGGAGATTGTTAGCTTTTCTATTTTCTATTTTACCTGTTCTGCATGCAGTGAGATTGGTGACATACCGAGCGTTTGTGCGGTAAATGCGGACCTTATCGATTTGGGTGGCATCTTCGCCGAGATCCTTGACGTGACCCAATACATGGCCGCGACTGTTCTGGCTAACGAAGTAGCCTAGGTAAGTGCCCAGACCCATGTATGCAACGGCCGACTTGTGGTTTCCCCATTTTTGTACAGGAAAGCCCTTGAAGAGGATAAATCCTTTGCCGTTGATGAGGTCGAGACGGAGTGTCTCGAGGTATGGTGCGAGAACAGGGACGCGGAAGTTATTCTTATGAAATGGTCAGTATCATTTTCTTTTGGTTTTTTGTGTAGGTTCTGGGTAGCACGGACTTTGCTGATACCGGTAAGCGGGGTCTTAGATTGAAGGAAAGCGTCGGCTGCGGAGCTCAGTTCCTCAACTTGGTCCGGAGTGAATTGATGTGTCCATTTCTCGGGCTTTGATCTGTACTCCTCCGGATTCCAAACTGTAGGACCGGTAATTTGCTTAGGGAATTTATCAAAGGGGGCGATGTGGTCGTAAAGTGGTGCGTGCTGGCCTGTAGTCCTCAAACCATCGGGGAAGATGTGAAGCGGGGCATCCTTGACGAGATCATGCGGCGCAATAGGTGCCGAGGCAGTGGCAGCGGGGGCCATTGTGAACTTGAAGTATGATGCTTTTGAGTGGTGACGATTTAGGAGATGAGAGGTCACGGGTGAGCAGAACGCGCTTATTCGAATGATGCAACAAAAGGTCCGAAATGGGCGATCAAGTACTCTTTATACTTTTCTTTGTTTAACTGGTCTCAGGCTACCGGCCGAGATTTACGTGGTTGGAAATGTCGTTATTATACTTCTCGTCTGGCTGAGGAATCGAGTGGACAGTATGGCGTGCGAGGGTCGAGATCGACATTCCTATAGGATCAAGGACAAATAGCAAATGACATTACTTTTCCACTCTTTTTTCAGTGCCATGGGATCCAATAGGAATGTTTGGCACGAAATGTTTTCAATGTGGAGGAATTCCGCTTTGTGAAGTTCGTTCGTTGTAAGCTGATTGGGGGGATCCGCATCATGATGGCGCAATCTATGGGGGTTGATGTTGTGATGGGGTCGATCACGAAATGCTTCGGCTCATCGAGATTGATAACCGTGAACTCCCTACCTCAATCATAAGCATGCATGTATGATTGCTTTTTTCATGATATCTGCTTTATTTATAGCTTATAAAAGACATCGAGAATTAAAGTAGACGGTGTGTAGCCTGTGCGTAGGAAGTGATGTTAGATTAAAGACCCCTGCCGATGTATACTTGCCCATGGGGTTATTTTGATCGCCCATTGACACTTTAAAATTGGCCAATGCTCACAATACTTTATTTTTATGCAGGGTCACTCGGCCGACAGATACATGTAACAGTATTCCCCATATATCCGCACGATTATCTCTAGCATTTGAAAGTCAAACATTTGGTCGCAGCCGACGAGCCGATATTTCGGAGTGACTCGTCATCATCGCTCAGCCTTCAGGGGTTGAAAACACCTAATTATGAGGGACTTGTCGCACGAGAAATCTCATGCGGGATATTCGTGACTATAAAATCAGCGATTGCAGTCAAAACTAGAAACTTGCACTGTGCGGTCTTTGTCAGAATGTATTGTTCAGGAGTTGAGGCTCAACTCGCATCTACCGAACTGACTGCTACTGAAGAATGATCTATTTTTTTTCTCTTTGTATGAAAAATGTTGATTCAATTCTCTTTCTTGAAAAGACTTGTTAGAAATCTTCATTCAATTTCGATGATTCGAAGTATACTACTCCCTGACATACGGGGTTCCTACGTGTCTAGCACTAAGCGTGAAGAAAGCAACACTACTACTCCGTACACATTTAAAATGTGTGCCCGGATCAATCGCCGATATTACTAATGGCAGTCCCTCAGCCAATCTCATTCACCAGAGACAAGCATTCGATTCCCTCTTCTGGCCTCGATTCTCCACGCAATGACTAAAAAGAATCCTTATCGGGTATGCGGATCCGACCCCGCGCCCTATCAGTAGCATTCAACATACATTTTCCATAGGCCTCGGGGGATCCATCCGAACTTGAAATTCTTTAAAACCAATATACCATAGACACAATAGATTTCCCTGTAACATAAATCGTCTAATCTTCCATAACGTCCAAAACCGACCTAGAGCCTACACATAAATGGCTCCTCACCGCGTTCATGTCGCCGTTCTAGACACCGATGTCCCCTGCTTACCAGTGTATTCCAAACGAGGCCTCTACAGCTCGCAATTCAGGGTCCTCCTCCAAGCAGCCGCAGAACGAATCAACAAAAATGCAAACGTGAATCTACGAAATGGTCCGCTGAGTGTACACGTCACAGCCTTCGACGCTGTAGGCGGTTCCCTCCCACCACTAGAATGTCTACGCACCTCACCCTTCAATGCCTCCGAGATACAAAACCATGGCCCATTCGGTCCTTTCGACGCTATCCTAATCACTGGCTCGATCAACTCAACCTATGACTCTGACCCATGGATCAAAGTACTAGAATCGTATATCCAAACAGTTCACTCCGCATTCCCGAACGTCAAGCTCTTCGGTTCCTGCTTCGGTCACCAACTCATCGCGCAAGCCCTTCTCTCACAACCAAACAGTGAACGGACGCAAAACTTAACCCACCACGTCGAGAAATCGGCCAAGGGCTTTGAAATGGGTATTCACCCAATCACCCTCTCTGAATCATTTACATCGCACTTTCCCGTCTTCGACGAAAGCACCAAACCGTTCCGTGTCCAGTTAATCCACGGCGACATTGTGGTTCCTACACCTATTGCGAAGTCTCTTGCAGCTGCGTCGGGTGTTAATGAGGTTCCCCTCCCATCGCCGTGGATGAGTATTGGGAAGAGCGCTGCATGCGATATTCAAGGCCTTTATTGTCCTGGTCGTGTCCTTTCGTATCAAGGACACTTTGAATTTGATTCATTCTCGAACCGGGAGCTGTGTATCGAATTCGCACGTCGGGCGAACTGGCCTGCTGATCTACTTTCTTCATATGTGGAGCAGATTGAGCGATCGAGGATTCCTGGGGCAGAGGATGATGATGATGATTCTAGGGTTGCTGCTGAGGCAGTTTTATTATTCTTTGCTGGGGAGGATGGGGATCAAGCGGGTCCGATGGATCAGTCTCAGGTGCCAGCAATGAATAAATTGAAGTCTATTTCTGCTCCTGGATTTGATGTATTGCCTGATGGATATGTTGCATCTAATGGCATGCTTACGCCTCCAATTGATTGAGTATTCAATTCATGCGAATGAATGGGGACCTGGATTTGGATGCGGAAGTTGATACATGATTAAGGGTTCGCTGGAGACCGATATTTATACACATACAGTGACGCACTGTACTGTTTGGGGTTTATGGCGGATGAAACAGAATGTTTCATGCTTCATTTTGTGGAATTGAGTTGATGACTTGCATGACAAACTGATGAGATCGGTGGAGTGGGTCGTTCTCACCAGGCAACCGAGTACGCCACTGCAAGGGCCGGCTTGCTGAGCCAGTATTCTGAGACGCCTGGTGAACCGAACATACATTAAGGTACATTCAGTATCTGGCATTATAACCTGTACAGTTGCTACCCCTTTGTGGTGGCAAGAAGGAAAACCTGGAAGATACAAGGCAAAGGAGTTGCCTGATGGCGATCTGAGACGCAGCTGGTATGTTGGATGGTGGAGCAAGCTGGAGTCATTCAAGTTTTAATGCGTTCACGTTATACATACATAGATGGTTTCCTATTTAGAAGTTAATATTTGGAACCAATGTTTGAATATTATATAGATTGTTTCAAATAGCAAGAGGAGACAATTTTGATTGAATTCGATGGACTTATTAGCTAAGGAATCAACGTGCATTTCAGTTGCTCTACTATCGCCTTTTTGGTTTTTATATGAAGCTCATCTTGTTTTATAGAAGGTAGTATAAACTCCGGTTACGAAATAGATCCTAGTAAGTTGTAAACGAATACTGTAGATAAAATAAAACAATCCGCCGTATCTGGTCCAGTCCGGGGATCAGTTGGGTTGGGTATGAAGGCATAAAATCCGGAGTGCAGAGCTGTTTATGAGAAATCCACAAAAACCCGACATCTCCGATAAGCTGAACAAATGGTCGTAATACTAGTAATCCGTACCTCGTACATTCCATTTCAAGTTCTTCCCGAGCTCAACACACGACACAGCTCCACCTGACCCGCTCAGCCGCCTCGGCCCAGTCCACACAAGGCAGAACAGCTAGGTATAGCTAAGCTAGGCTAAGCTAAGCTAGGTGGGCAAGTAACAGTACATACAGCATACTCCGTACATTACAGCTGAAGACAGCTCCATGAACGCCGAGTGGGAAAGGAAGAAAAAGAAGGATTTAATTTTGAATTTTGTGATTTTTTTCCTGGTGAAGCTGATCCCCCCTCCTGCACGGCCATCCACATCCGGGATGGCGCCCTTGCCGCTGAGCCCGATCACCAATGAAGAGGCAGGTAATTGGAACTGGGAACTCCACCGTGCACCCGTAATAGGCCAATCAGGATGCTTTGGGGTTACTCTTTTCATCGGCATGTGCCCCGGCGGAGCAACTGTTATACGTCTGCGTTATACAGTGTACGGCGCTGATGGTAATACAGTCTTCGTCTTACTGTACGTGACCACTATTTAGAGTTGGAGCTGGCGGGAAAGGTCGGAGATACCTACCTAAAGGTCAGTAGTATTTGATAGCTAGGGTTCTTCCTTATGGGGAATTTGGGGGTTCTAGAAAAGAGCAGGATTAGATTGGATTGGATTGGGAATTGGGCTGGTAGCTCATCGTGGTCACATTCACGGTGTTGGAAGGTCAAGCTGAGCTGAAAGATATGTAGCCCTGTCAACCTAGTTGAGCCTCGGTATGCAGGTTTCAAGTTCTTTGTGGTTTCAGGTCTTTGTGCAGGGTATGGAATGCTTTGTTTCTTCGGGGTTTTCTTTGTTAAGATCGAGAGAGTTAGATCTAAGATGTTAATTATGTATTGATCTCCTTAATTTTTTGATAATTTTTTGTTGAATTTAATACAATTTAATTTTTCTAAAGTTGATTTCACATTTTCGCGTAATCATACGGTAAGGTGGCACGGTCGCCACCGGAGCTTCCCTCCTTTTTTTTTTTCCATAGCTTCTGGAATCAAATTTCAAGCTTGGAGCTGGGGAGAGCTGTTCCACTGATAACGCTATCGCAACGTTTGAGCTCTCCCCGCTTCATGAAGAACGAATGAAACAAGACAGGAGATTTAAGATGAGAAAGACATGCGAACCTGTAGATAAAAAAAAGAGGAAGAAGAAAAAAGAAAAAAAAAAGAAGAAGAAGAAGGACTCAACTAAAGCTAAGGGCTAAGGAAGGAAAATTCTGCTACGGCGTGGCACCGAGCTTTCCGGCGTAATTCCAGAACCGTATGCTTATCGGTTCGACTGGCATAGCTTAGAATTTGGGAACATCCATTTGAAGCCATGTCATGCATACAACCCCCTCTTTCATATGGACATGACTTCTTCTTTGAGTCTGATGTATCTGCACAAGAGACTGGTGGAGGTACAGTGTTCTAATAATTACTTATAACAATCTCCTTTCTAGCTTGACTGGCAGGTGGGTACCTAGGGAGGAGGTACCTCAGTTCCTGCGGGGATGAAATAGAATACGTTAATTACAGTAAAATACCCCCGGCTAACAGCAAGCACCATACTACAGACGATGGCGGATCGAGTTCCTCAATTGTACTTGTACTCGTACTTTACTTAATCGCTTTTTTCCCTTTTCTTCTCTTCTCTCTTTCCCCGTAGAGTCAGAGAGCATTATCCTGGTGATTCTTCAGCCCTTTTGTGAACTGCTTCCTTGCTCTTGGTCATTTACTCCTTCTCTCTTTTCCTTTCCTTTCCCTTTACACCCACACCCCCTCTTTCTCACCTCCCCCCAGCCCAGCCGAAAAAGAGGGACCCCTCGCCCCCCCCCCCCCCCAATATATGCAGCATGCCTCCCCGAAGCTCGTTGACCAGCTCTTTCTCGGTCACCGATGCCAACAATGAAGTGGTTTGTCCTCTGAAAAATAATGATGGGTCCAATTGTCGCAAGCGATGTCTGGGAGTGAGTTGCTTCCCTTTAAACTTATCCCCCCTCCTTTACTCAACCCCACCCTGCTATATCGCCATCCGCTTTGGCGGCAACTTTCGCAACACCAAAACAAGAAAAAAGCCCGATATATAATAAACTATGCCTACACGCAATTATTCAAGCTGCGGAAAAATCGCTATAACTATTTCCACCTTGTCTAATTACATTTATTCAATCAGGAAAAACGTTATCGCTCCATGCAGGAGCATATCCGACGAGCGCATCCGACTCACTACATCCCGAAACTCCCGGCCACCGAGGAGAGCTTCTTGTTAATGGTCAACACCCCGCCTGACCAACGTGCACATCTATCTCCCCCAGATCCTACTCCGCCTAGGCGCCGACATGGTCAGTGTACGACTATTTGCTGCGGGTCCCGCCCAGATGACTGACGGATACCTACAGATGTGGCGGATAGAGACATCTATGTCGCTGACGCTAGTTCCCCGGCTACACCTCGAGCTCTTGATGAACCCCACCCTGCTGCGGCCACTGCAGCTGTCGCTCTGGCACAATTGCACCATCATCGTCTAGCATCAGACTGGGATACGGATATGGTATGTGCTCTTTTTTCTTCCTTTCCCTTTTTCCCTCAAAAATTTTTACCTTGTGTCTTCCCCTCCTCCCCCTCCATAAAAAAATCCCCCCCCACGCGATCCCTGTAGCTGATCGATTCTCCCCCACACTTTTCAGGACGCCCACTCCGACACCGATATCACTCAGGATCGTATGCGCTCCTCTATTGAACTGCCGTCGCTGCGCGACCACTTCAAACAAGAATCTTTGACACCATTCTCGGCGCGACCGAGAGGTCTTTTGCCGTCTATCCTTAATCATTCGCCACCCGGTCGCTCGTCCACGTTGCCCCCAATTCAGCGCAAAGACAAAGTGTCACGTCCCCGGAAGTCGTCCATCACACAATCGGCCCGCAAACCAAAGCATGAGCGTACAAGATCAAAGGAGTATGCTCGACGACCCAGTCTTGGCGACCGTAAGGCTTTATCCGCGGAGCCGCAGACAGCAGCCTGGGCTCAAGGTAAACGATGGGAAGATCTTATTGAAGCAGCAACATCAGCTACAGAAGCTGATGATGAGCATTATTCAGAAGTATGTTTGAACCGGAATCTGGCTATTCATACCTTTTTTTAAATTCCACTTACTTACCTTCTTTTCATTCAGGCTGGTAGATCTCCAACTATTGCACCGTTACTCGCCAACGTCACTTCAGCACCATCTGGACCTGGACCTAAGAACCGATCATCGTTACCTCCAGCTTTCCAATCTGGAGGACTTCCACCTCTTGGATCACACCGGGCTTTCCCACCTCATTCATATGCTGCATCGCCTCTGCACAAATCACTTACCCCGCCACCATTCGAAGGACCCCGCAGCCATCGCGATAGCGATCTAGAACCATTCCCATCGATTGAATCATCGTTAGACTCCATGTCCACGGCATCAGGAAAGAATTTCCCCTCGTCAGCATCCGGAATGGCCCATTCCGTCAACTCAGACTCAAGTCCAGTCTTGAACCTCATTCCGCCCGTGAATTCACGACAGCATCACCGGTTCTCCAATCCAACCCCGGCTTCATTCCGCAACAAAGAAATCCAAATCTACTGCGCCCAATGTAAACTGCCGCGTGTTCTAAATGAATGCTTCGCTTGCACAGAATGTATTTGCGGTGTCTGCCGTGAATGCGTACACATGTTCATCTCAAGTCCACCAACCTCCTTCCGCAGTCCAGGAAATGGAATGAACAACTTCACAAGTCAAGGACCAACAAGTTACCCCACTTCAGCTCGGGGGTGTCCTCGATGCCGGACGGTCGGTGGTAAATGGAAAGCTTTCCAGCTGGACTTTAAGTGATTCCCAAAGCTTTATCAATGAACTTACTTGATGGCTTTACGCATGTTATGAATGATGCCTCTTATACATGGTCGCTCTTTGTTTTTTTGACCACTTTATATTTCTTGATTCCATCTTTACGCGACAACGTGACAACGTGACAAGGACCAGCAAGATCAACAGACTTGGCGTCGTGTCACTTCATCTATATTACTTTTTCTCCTTCCCTCTCTATCTTTCGGTGCTGATTTTTGATATTCACTCTGCGAAAAGCTGGCCTTTTCTTCAATGCAGATCAATGCAGATGGTCTTTTCTTTCATTTTTGGTTTGGTTTATTATCGTTATTTTATTTTTTTATTTCTCTGGGTGGCATATCTGGGGTTTGGTATATGTGGTTCATACCTGTGTGGCCTTTTCATGTCGTTACTTCTTTTTCTTCCTGTTTCACTCCCTTCACCATGAAATATGCGCTGGTTCCGTTCTGGTTTTGATTTTGGGTAATTGACTTGACGCCTCATCGATGCCTTGTACTGCAAATTCATGTTTTCTTTCCCGCTATAGAAAGAGATGAAGCAGATATACATCTACCTAACCTATCTTCAATTGGAAGGTTAGAACATAGTATATAAAACTTGAACTCTGATCACATCGAATTTACACTATCTCACAGTATCCAAAACATCATAACCTTCCTCGTCAGGTCATCCATGACTTCAAGTTGAACTTCAACCTTCGACAACATTCAAATCCATCACCTGGGCACTGAATCATCTACTCAGCCCAAATAACACTACTCAACCCAGTCGCAGTCCCAGGCTCCCCAGAATCCCCAACATCCAAAACGGCAACCTTCTCACCCAGATCCCCCGTCTCCCGATCCCGTCTAACAATAGCAACATTCGAAGAAGCCTGATTCCCAATCGCCACAAGATCACCCCGACGATTAATAACCATAGTTCTAGGAACAACACCCCACGCATCAGTCTTCCCCAAAACACTAACCTTCTCATTCTTACCCCTCTTCAACTCAACAATCGAATCATTCCCATCAAAGCCCCCATCACTCCTCACCGAAACATAAAACTTATCCCCAATCATCCTGATCTCAGCCGGCGTCGCACCCTCAGGCATATCCCCGGTATAAGGAACAAGCGTCTGCTTCACCTGAAGATCTAAACATCCCGATCGCGCATAAGAAACATCGAAAGAGTTCATCGTCCCCCCAATCTCATTAACAAGGTACATCACTGTCTTGCCCACGGCAGCAACTTGGCGCTCGTGGCTTGGTGCACCAGCGCCGTTTGTGCTGTTATTGTTGTCTGTGCCGTCTGTCCAGAAGAGACCGTGGCGGGGACCAGAGCCAAATGTTACGTTTAGGGGTGGACATGTCTTGAGATGGCCTGTGTGTGGGTTTATGTTGTAGATTCGGAGTAGGTCTGCGCCTAGATCGGGGGAAATGAGGAAGGAGCCTGTTGGGTCTAGGAAGACTTCATGGGGATGAGGTGCGTCTTGTTGGGATGTTGCACCTTTGTGGGACATAGTGAAGTGGAGTTTCTGTTTGGCGTGGCTGTTGGATTTGAGAGGGAGGGCGTAGGTTGATACGGCTGATCCTTCGCTGGAAGATGTTAATTTAATGTTTTCGTTTCTTCGCAGATTGCGATGGGATGAGCTTCATGAACTTACTAATGCGCAATAGCAATATACTTATCATCTCCTTCACCCTCGTAAATAACACTGTTCACACCTCCACCGATGGTGTTGGTCTTTGCGATCTCCTTCAACTTTGCGCCGGCACCAACAGAATACGCGCTCAGTGTACCGTGCGTACTCGCGTCCGCTGTCCCATTCTCATCAGAGCAGTAAACAATTTTACTCTGCGAGTCATAGGTTAACCAGCTTGGCATACCACCGCATGTCTTCTGTGTATCGGATATGGATAGCTTATCCCCATCGAACGACAGTGTATAGACATTTCCATTGTAATGCGTTACCCAGAGATGTGACGATTCGGCATTGGCATTTTCTAAATGCTTAGCTTCAGGCTGAATGTTGAGATTTGTTCGCGCTGATAATGTGCTTGTTGAGAAGAGCAGGGTTGATAAGAAGGTGGTGCTTGTTTGGAGACGCATTTTGAATACGTTCTTGTCTTGAAATAATTGATTGTTTTAAATCAATTTGAGGTTCAAGTTCCAGTTGATGCGTAGCCAATAAGTAAATCTTTATTCAAGCAGGAAATCACAAAAGGAAGAAAAGAATAATGTATGTCCAAGTAGTATCCAGAGGATCCGAGAGGTTGGCATGGCATGCAATAACAACGCGCACGCGAGCCGGGTCCTCGAATTCCGCTCAAACCCCCGTGCAGAAGTGTAGTGGTACTGGATTCATGACGAGTGCCGAGGCGGCTTATTGAGGGAGGGATGGGGGTAATTGGAATGGATCGACAGTGACTTTGGGGGTTGTGGATGCATTGTAGTGGAGTTTTGGTGGGGATTGTGAGGGGTTGGGAGTCAAGGGGCTTGGCTGCAGAATTGCCAGTGAGGTTGGGTTGGAGATGCGAAGAAGTTCGTTTGTTCATTTCGGGGTTAAATTAATTGGCAATTGTTTGTATTTTGGCAATATTCTTGTTTGCTTGGGTTAGGGGATAGTGGGATACTTCGTGTTGACTGGTAGTATACACTCCTGAGCTACATGACCTATGCGGGTATATTTCGGGTAAACAGCATGCTGATCGGCTTCACTCGAATTTCCTCAGATTATGATGATCGAAGCTTGTAGCTTATTGAGCCCGGAGAAATTGTTTGCTTGTTTTTTTTGCTTTTTCCTTGGCCCCCGTACAAAGTGGCTGAGAGCTGCAGCTTCAAGTGGGGCAAGGCTTGTTACCCTGATGAGGGGCTGATACAACCACGATGTCTATCACTTCATGGTCAGATTATCAGACCGACCTCCCTTTTCTGATAGAAGGGGTCCCAGCCATCCACTTTTCTAGGTTTGGTTGATACATAGTGTTGCATCAAGACCGTAACCACTATGGACTCGGCCGTGTCGCTCAAATGGCCCAGAAATGTGGGGGTACAGATGGGCGCTAATTATGGCAATACTCACATCCGCATTAATAACGGTTAGCCTCTTATTCTCGAGAATTATCCTATTGGTTGACTCGCTGATAAACCCTTTTGGTTGACTTCTAGGAAATCCCGAGGCGACACAGAATTAGTATCACCCCAAGATATACCGTCAATCAATAAAAAAATACCACCCCCACACCAATATCACCCATAATTTTCTCCAGCAATAGACACAGCCGCGAGATATAGTGAGCCTGCAGCTCCTGAATAGCGACCGGATCTAGGAAAGATAAATCAATCATGTTGCCATAGGCCTCCATTAGCTGTATGATGAAGCTGCGCAAAATTCCTCCAGCGCCATAATACTCGCCCTCGGGAGAAGAGTGCAGACCACAGTATAATACAAATAATTTCCCGATTCTTTCTTTGCCTTGGGTGAGAGATTTTGTAAGTTCATGGCACTTGTAGCTCATTGGTGATAGAGCGTTTTCGTTAAGAGAATTCATTTCCATGTCGTTTATGATAATTGTTTGAGATTTAGCAGTCACATATCAATCTCGGGGTTCTGGCTTGTTCGCGACGTCATAAAAATGTTCTTTAGGCTTTGGCATCAGTGTTCTACCAAAGGAACCCAGCAAGGATGAGTCTCGAAGATGAATTGGAGGGACAGGATTGTCGTGCTTCGACTGTGAAATTATCGAATCGCTGTTGAGAATATCAAGAAGGTGCTGCATTGCGATAATTGTCCGTCCTTTCATACATTTCCCAGATAGAAAGATCATATTGGTCATCACATTCAAGTTTTGATTCGGGATTTGTTGAGATATTGCCAACTTGCCTCCAAGTCTATGGGTCAAGTTGTTGAAGTTCCCTAGTCACGCCATCACCTTAGTTAATAAAGAGCAAAAGCAAACTATAATAACGGAAGAGGTAAAGGAAGTGAATGCATGGCTGTGGTAACGAACAGTCAAGATCTAATTTCAAGCCTCGGAGCATCTCCTCTAGGCTATCCATCGTAGTGCCTTTCTCTCTGAGATCTGAAATGACCTCGGTAATATCATGTTTGAGACTAATGACATTTTGGTCGATATTTTGAACTTTGATATGGAGTAGGACCTGGACACGTTCTTCAAATTTTGACGCTTTGTCTTCTATATTCGTTGTCATCTTAGCTTCTAGTTTTTTTTTCCCCGTAATCGTTCTGCTGGAAAGAAGGCTCTGAAAGATTGTGCTAGAAAAGATCAGCATAGAGCGCTCCGAAGTATTTCACCCCTGTATGCTGGAATTACCAAGAGGATTCGCCGTCAACCATATAGTAACGCCCCTGACAGCCTCCAAGATCGCAATATACAGATCTACGGACCTTTGCCGCAGAATGCAATCTCCACTGTAAACTCGAATGTAATGATAGGTGCTGTCGATGGTCTCAGAAAGACTGCTGAATAATTTAATAACGGATTCCCGAATTGCGTGCATTCTTTTCGCTGCCTATCATTCGCAACTCAATAAGCGACGGTAGGAATGTTTAGATGAAGAGAGATAAGAGACATACGTTAAAAACCAGTCTCAGCCCACCACATAACAGGGATCCATAATCGCCGTTTGGGAGTAGCTCAAGCAGAAACTCTAGCCGACTCCAGACACTCGAGAATGCCCTCCCCGCAGTCTGAAAAGGGTGTCGCCATGTTTTACCGTCATTTTGATACTTGACGAGGGCTTCAGTAGCTTCGCGCTGAATATTGTCCCAAGTCAGACGACCAGACAAAACTTCTCTAGTATCAACATCGGTGGTTCGTGCAAGGAAGGTCTGCATGTGGGTACGAAATTCATTTGTGCACTCGACTAATCTGAGTAAAGATTTTCAAAGGTTAGAAATTTTCTAAGCTGTAAGTGGTAAGAGAAAAATGGGAGTTGAATTTTAGATAATGAACTATTAGTACCTGGCTGATTAATCTGGCCGCGTGAAGTCCTCCATGTTGCTGAGACTCTTGTCGTTGATGAAGGCGTTGTTCTCAAGCAGAAATTAATTAGTTAAGTTACTACTAGTATGCCTTTGCCGGTAAGGTATCTAAATAAGTTTCGGCGGGGCTTCGGGCGAGTATATCAACAGTATGGGAATAAATTGATGTATAGAGAGTAAACGTAACAAAAAAAGTATGTATGCATCCTCTGCAAATTAAATCATGCCAATCGAATGGAATTCTTTATAGAAATGGATCGGACCCAGGAAGATATCAATTCATTGAACCCACAGGGCCTTGGAGTGAGCCAATCATAGGTCATATGCCAGAGGCTAGCCAATAAAGTTGTGTCAAAAAAGCCACAAGCCCGAAACAACAAAAGTCCCGAGCTCTCTGGAGACGCGCAATATCTGCCATTTACAACGTCGTGAACCTGCAAGAGACAAGTGGAGTTCTCGGAATAACAACATTATAACAACAATTTAGAAATAACCGCCTGAAAATGGGCGATTGACGAAGAAAGTCCAATGTGGTGATATTGAGGAGTTTGTGGCGATTAGTAGAATCTATTTGACGCGACCTACTCGGGTCACTATGGATGCACTTCACGAGCTACAAAATTCCAAGCAGAGCTTTATGCGCGTCAACCGACAGCGTGGAATCTCCGTTCAACGAAAAAGCCGGTCTACCGTGTCTTGTTTCCCATGTCGACAACGCAAGGTGAAATGCGACCGTCTGGCCCCTTGTGGCCAATGCACCCGCCGCAGCTCAGCTTCTGCGTGTGATTATTTGCCGAATTCCAGCAATGCAGAGACGTTGGCATCAGTCTCACCTACAATCACTAGTATTTCAACCCAGGGAACTATAGGCGACATTCAGCCAGACCCAGTCGCTCCAACAGATGAAAACTTGGTGCCTCCAACGCCCAATATTGATCATACAAAAAGTCCTGCTATACTATGCAACCATCCTCCCCCAAGCACACCAGTCCCAGTAATGGGGAGCATTGAATCTCTCACACCATCTTGCTTTCATGGCTCAGGGACAAGAACTAGGTATTTTGGGCGAAGTCACTGGGCGTTGACGCTAGACATGGTATGGCAAGCTTCTGGATACTGATCCCAACGCCGGTCTAACAACAATACCATAGTTTCCAGATCTCAAAGCCCATCTTCAAAAATACCATGGGGTTAAAAAAGGACAACCTGGTTCTGATCTACATGAACATCAAGGTGTCAGATGCGCGAAACAAAAAAGACTTCAAACGACATATCAAACGCACACGCAGCCGAGTTCACAGACACCAAGATTCGAAACTCTATTGCCACCTCGCAATATAACAGACAAGCTTGTGGAAATCTACTTCTTGACCTTCGAAACAACTTTCCGTGTCCTCCATGCTCCCCAGTTCCTAGCCGAGTATGAGGCATTTTGGACTCCGAGAGACAACACATCCTCCAACAGTTGGCCGAGAGATGTATTTGTTGCCAAATTACTTGGTGCAATAGCATGTGCGACCTCCCTCACTGACTCCGGTCTCCTCAGCACAGAAGAGCAATCTCACACGCCAAACCAGACAGCCAAACAGTGGATACAGGCAGTAGGATCGTGGGCCAAAACAGTCACTACATATGCAAAGCTTGATCTGGACTTTATTCAAGTCATGTGCCTAATGCTAATTGCACGACAGGCAATTGCTTATGAAGGTGATCTATCATGGCTTGGAGCAGGATCTCTAGTTCGAGAGGCGATGATGATAGGCCTTCATCGAGATCCTAGCAATTTCAAAGGCATATCACCGTTCCTTGCAGAAACACGCCGGAGACTTTGGTATACAGTCATGGAATTGGATCTTCAAGCTGCTTTGGATACTGGTGTCCCGGCAACAATATCCGAAGATGAATTCGATTGTGCTCCGCCGTCAGATTTGAATGACGAAGATTTGTCTCCTGATTCGATTGTGGTCCCTCCACCGAAACATGCTACTGTGTTGACTAGGACTTCCTTCCAGGTGTCACTAGCACAAAGCCTGAGCTCTAGAATCAAGGTTGTCAAAATTGTCAACCGGGTTCGCTTGAAATCAACGTATCAAGATGTTCTAGATCTTAGTGAGATTATCACAACAAATCTTTCTCAGTCCCCATTTCTTGTCCCCGATCATGATTCTGTTGCGGATGAAGGATCATTCTACCATTTTCGAAAGTCCCTATATCTTTTTCTTGTGTATCGATACATTCTCGCTCTCCATAGACCCTTCGTTCTGAGCCTTGCAGAGGTTCGAACGGAGATGTATACGTTTTCTCGGCGGATATGCATACAAGCATGTCTATCGCTATTATCACCTCTCAAACTGACTGAAGATACATCACTCGGGACACAACAGACATATCCCCACATTCTGCGCCTTCGAGGCGGCATGTTTCGAAGCGAGCTGTTTCACGCAGCTGTAACCCTCTGTTTTGAGCTTCGACTACAAGTAAAGGACAACTTGTTACCGGCGCTTCCTGGCGCTACCACAGATTACGCAACTCAGAACAATAATCAGCGCGATATCTTGTTGGATACTGTGAAAAGCGCCATCAAGTACTTTGAATTCAAAGTCCGAACCGAGAAGCAGGCCTGTAAAGCCTTCATGCTTCTCAACATGGTCTATGTATCCGCTCAGAGTGAACTTTTATCGGGAACGGGAAAGCATAGTAACTGCGGTACAACCACCAATGATCTTACTTTGGAGAATGCATGTCCACTTGCAGCTCGGCGATGTCGGGAACTTCTACTTGAAGGCGATGGTCAAGCAGACTGCCAGCATTCGGAGGAGAATTGGCTAGGGTATCCAGGAAACCCATTCATGGTAAGTAAGCAAATATTAATGTTGATACTAATGGAGGCTGACTTGATATACGATTCAGAACAAAGAAGTTACCGAATGCCAGGTCGAACATGGAAATGCACAACCAAATACATCCGTACCGATGAAGCCAAGTGATTCAGATTTAGTCTCTACAATGCCCATTGGGAGTTCTGATCCCGATTTATTTGTGAGTAGCATATCCAATCATTAACAACTGGTGAGTCCTTACTAAAAGCCCATATCTCAGGATCTATCATTTGACTGGGGCATGTATCTTGATCCGACATACTTGGACGAGAGCGAGAATCTATGGCCCTTGATGGACCCTTTGATATAGACTTTCGCTGCTTCTATAGCAAGTCTCCGACATGAATTGTCAATGAGATACCCCCGCTAATTCGGCTTCATTGCCCATTTAGGAAGGCAATATCTCCGAAGTGGGGCCCGTGTCCTTCAGCCACCGGCTCATTGGGAAAGTTGTATCACTAAATCAAGGAATTTCAAACAGAGAAGCTCAAGCAATCAGAGATATCGAATATATTAATAATTTAAAAAATTTCTATAGTGGTCATCATTATAATAGTGAAACTCGCCATGGCTTGCAAGTTGCATCTACATGATCCAGTACCCACATCATTGACAACAAGTTTGTTCCAAACACAAACTTCCACAGCCAGCTTTACACTGGTTTAACGAGTCATCCAAACTAGTTTGCCTTGTAGCACCATTTCCTGATTCATCGCTCACATTCGCACCAGTACCCTCAACTGAGTCGGAATTCGAGCTCTGTCGTTGAATGTACGCCTCCGGTTGCAGGGTAATAGAATGAATACCATACTCATGTAGACATTCCCTGATTGTTTTGGCGATATTCTCGAAATCAGGTAAAACATCACTATCCAACACAATGTGTGCTGATGCAAGAGACTTTTCTTGGTTAAGGCGCCAAATGTGGAGTTCGTGTATTGCGAGGATGCCGGGTATCTAAGGATTTGAACAAAGTCAGAAGATCATGATATTCTAAAACGAAGATTAAGGCGTTACCTTTTCCAGATCATCTTTCACATCATCATAGTCTACACCTTGAGGTGCGCTTTGAAGGAGAATAAGACCAGATTGTTTGACTGATTTGTTCGTAAGCATTTGTCGCACACAGATCAAGATCAACATTGTACTCACTGAGAGGGATAGAAGATATGAAAATCATAATCGCAATACCCATACTAACAGCAGGGTCTGCATAAAATCTCCCACCATATTTCGCGAACCAGATAACTGCCGCTGCAATTATAACACCAATATTGTTCGCACAGTCACCGATGACATGGATCAGGACACCCATCATAGCTAAGTCGCGGTTCTTGCCTTGGGATGGAGCATTTGTAATTTTGATATGGTGATTATGATGAATGTGCTAATTCAATAAGTACCAAGAAATGAGATAGTTAACGCAGTTTACATACCTTCTCGTTTACTAAACTGGCTGATGCTGAATCTTCCGGCGTGTGAGAACTTTCATCGTGACTATGGTCGTGGCCATGTCCGTGGTCATGATCTATGAAAAGAAAAGAAAAACACTTAGTGTTAACCTGTATATGCGATGAATAGCTGAAGAAGAACTCACCATGTAAAAACAAAACGCTGATAATATTCAATCCAAATCCCACACAGCCCATAAGAAGGACTAACTTCGGTTGTTCAACCCCTTCACGAAATGAGTATTTACAATCAATCAAATATCCCGCAGACAACTCAGACTCACGTTGTAAAGAAACAAATCTCTCAAGAGATTGTAAAAACACACTTATTCCCAATCCGAAAAGCAGGACACCATTGAAAAAGGCACCTAGTAGTTGAATCCGCTGCCAACCAAATGTAAGAGCCTTGGGTGGTGTGCCTTTCTCGGCAATCTGGATTGATCAGTTCAGTACATCTCCATGAACCGAGATTGAAACAAAGATGTTTTGCTTACTATTGTTGCAGCAAGAGCAATTGCAAATCCGACGAGATCATTAAGCTATTAGCAATCACGGTTAGCGTTAATCAATACTTGCAGTTCGGAACTTGAAGTATAACATACATAGTGGAAAGCATCTGCAATCAAGGCTAGTGAGTGGGTATAGAAGCCGACTAGAGGAAATTTGTTAGCACAACACCACAAGTAAAGCCTGGTAAGGAAGATGATAAGTCCGCGATCACATACCAGATATCTCAGCAATAAAGAAGCAAGACGATATGCAAAGAACAGCGCTTAGTCGCTGAATGCGAGTGATCTTGAAACCCATGACGAAGTGTATGCCAGTTTATGCTTAAATACAATGCTGTGAGAATTTTCTTCGGAGGAATTATCGATACGAGCTCATTCTTTTATATGCAGATGGCAAGAGCTAAAATAACATTATGTCACGGAGTTCGGTGATAAATATTTCCTATTTAGGAAGGCGTCATATCCGAGGCCACGGCCATTCCGGCACGTGACCTTTACCAGGTATACCTGATACTTTAATTCACTAGAACTCTTATCTCTAGAAAATTCGCTGGAATTAAAGCTTAAGATCAGCTGTGCAGTACAGCCTTATGCATGTCAGATACTTGATATCTCCACTTGCGGGCCCATTTGCGTTGCGTTAGATCTTTTGAAGTGATGTGTACAAAGTACATACCTTGGTATCATGAACTACACATCACCACCCTAAATAGGAGATGCATTCCAATTGTTAGAGGATGCAGCAAGGTAAGCTGAAGTATACCAACCATACTATTCATAAATTTAAGTTTTTGGAATCCAAATTGGAAAATAAATCAGAAGCTCAATGGAATAAATCATTGTATCAAGATATCAAGTAAGCATAGGCTAGAAATGAAATAGACTTAGTCCAGCCTAGAGCATAAATACTCAATAAACCCGCAACATAACGCCAGGCTCATCATAATAATCCCAAGCAAAACCAAAAAAAGACCTGATCAAGAAAATCAAAGGGCGGATAACCATCCAGCCCGCCTAACCACCACGCTCGCTGAAACAGACAAAGATAATTGACAATCGACGAAGCCAATAAAAATAGAAACGTGAGTAAGTTAAAGGCGAAAGGCAAAGGGCCAAATAGAATGATAGCAACGAAGGAAAGATAGAAGAACAAGTATCCTTGTTCTGAGATCGAGAGATCTCTGCGCCGGTTAGACCGAAGTGGTCAATAACCAAATTCCAATTCACAAAAATAAGCCTTAAGTAAATCCTGGCCTCCCGCCGATTTTTGTGTTTGGTCGCCTGCGATCGTAGATATAGATAGTCGTACAGTACGTAAGACGTAATGGGCGAAATAGAAGAGTCGTGAAATGAATAATAGTACAAGAAGTCGTTCGACACTTGAATCGGTGTCCGTTTTCGATTTCAAAAAGGTATCATTGCACAGCATGGCACTTATTTACCGGCTGAGAGTTGACCAGACGGCGCTGAGCCATCCGGTGGGAACGCCGAGCTCGGAAGGTTGGACAAGTGAGAATTGTGCCCAGTCGCCTCCATCTAGGAATGCCATGACATCGTCACCGCCGAGGCTTGTGGATAGAACGCTCGGCGACAAGAAGCTTGTATCGGGGGCTTCGGTTGAGGTCAAGGGAGGTGATGGGGCCAGTTGGGTGACTGGGCCTGGTGGAGGAAGGACGGGCACGTGTGGGGCAGCGTTGATTGGAGGTAGAGACTGTGAGTATGGAGGGGGTGGTGCGGATGGACGGGATGGAAGCCAGGAGTTAATTGGCTGCAGTCGGTTGCTTGTCGCAGTCATATACTGTGATGGGGATTGGGTGGTGGCCGCCAGGGATGGAAGATTGGGAGGTGATGAGGAGGAGTTGTACATAGGGCCATCTGGGTGGTGCTGCTGCAGAGACGGCAATGAATAAGGTGACTGCGATGGCATTGGACGATTGGTGTTGGGCAAGGGAAGGCTTGGGCGACGGTCTCCTTCGTGACCAGGGAGAGGCATGCCGGGGCTGTTGACAGGAACCCATGACTCGCGACGCCCGCCAGCACCATCCATGGGATGATCACCATCACCGATGTCACTCTTCATAGCATTGCTTCCAGCATCACTGAGATTAGTCAGACGATCTGGCATTAGTTCGCCACCAATGGCAATTGCTGTTCCGTCGTCCTCGATCGACTCCTGCAGCTGGTCTTCTAAAGACCCAAAGTCCAGGAAGAGCTTCTCAAGGAGCTTGAATTCCTCCAAGCCTCCTCCGAAGGCGCCCTCTCGGATTGGCCGCACGCCATTCGAAGCGGCATGGTCAGATGCATCAGACATACTATCCAAGCGGTTACGAGAATAACGACGGAAATCGCGCTTAGCTCGGGAGAAGTAACTGTGGAGACGGTTCAAGGTCCGGAACCATCCTATAGACATCTTGAGACGCGGTCGCATTTCCCGCAGAATGTCGAGAGCCTTTCGAGCTTGCACAGCCCCAGGCAAGTGGCTATCATGGCTGGCAGGTGGAGACCTAGCTGCCAGGAGACCATCAGGGTCCATGTGCGAGAAATGGAAACCGTATACACCAACGAAGGCAGCATTGTAAATGGCGAATCCGACCAGTGGATTCTCGATGAGAGCACCACGACCTTGACAGGTCGCAACGAGGTCAACCATCTGTCGGGCTGCTTTGAAAAGCTCACGGGCACTGTCGCGCCAAAAGGTCTCAGATGGACCGTTGACCTTGTCCGATGGTAGCAAAGGCTCATCCAAAGGACCGACGGGCTCATTGCAGCGGAGTGGCAGGAATGGAATATAGGCACGGTGTAATACAATGACAGACAAGAAATAGACAACGTGCATCATTGTATAAGACGCAAGCGTAGTCTTGTACATGATATGGGTGTCTGTATTTCGGACCGAGTACTGCAAGTTTCGGGATAGGCTATCCTGGAACTCATTCAATTGCATGCGAAGAGTTGCAAAGCGAGATTCTGGGTGCCATGGGGGATACTGCTCGGTTCGTCGACCACCAGCACAAGACCACTTCGTAATGCTTCCCCAAATGCGGATGATTCGAATAACTCGACTCAATACTGATTCTTCGGCGCCGACTTCCCAGCGATCAACATCGTCCTCACTAGAGTCCTTTCGGCGTGAGATCGGGGACCATGCCTTACCATCAGGAGTTCCATTCGTCTGGGGAATCTTTTCATCGCCGAAGCCCAAACTTTGCCGAATGCTCGGGATCTGAACGCCCTGGGAACCGAAGCTTTGCGGTCGGCGTACCGTCGGCTCATTAAGTCGGGCCGTCCTCACACGCTCTCCGAAAGCAAAAGCATTGTCACTCGGAAGTTGGATTCCGAGATCCTTGACGTCGATCATGCGCGGTCGATATTTCCCACTGCTCAAACACCGATCCAGAATGAAACAAGCCCAAAATGTCCGGCGTTTCGTCTCTTGCGCGATAATATCATCGGAAGTTTGCTCCTTGGGTTCCATGCGACGGGAAAGACCGAAATGGTCGACTTCCATCTTAAAACCGGGTGATGATCGAGAGAAATCACGGGGAGGGAACTCGTTCTCTAGTTCGAAAGGCAAGCCCATAGTCTGCGCAAGTCGGATAGCCATACCTACGTAGACCCAAGCACTCTTACCGCGGCACATACCCCATTCATGAAGCGCAAGCATCAATAGAGCCTGTATGCGAGCCAATTCCGGAACAGCCAAACTTGCACCATCCATGCCGGCCAGCCGGCTGCGTAGCGCTGTCGCATAGAATTCGGAAGCCGCAAGAGGATTTGACGGATGACTGGGAGATGCAGGGGAGTGAAAAGCGACAAGTGGTGGGTGGAAACGAGCGGTCAAGGCAAGCACGCCGAGTGGGATCAACGTAGCTGATGGATCCGCTTTGGAGACGGAACTTCGCACCTGTTCATGACCATCCACTTGGACTGGGGTTGGCGGCGCGGGTGTTGAAAGCTGACGAATCTGGTTGAGGAAAGTAGCAGGGTGTAAGAAAGGTAGATGTGTAGCGAAGTGCGACTGGAATAGATCGAACACTGATTCCCAGACCTTTGCGGTCAATATTGAGGCATCGAGGGCATCCAGACCGGTCTTGGATCCCGGCGCGGTACCGGTGATACCGGGGATTTTGCGCTGGCGTGGTCGCTTTGGTCCATCTCCCCAGTCTCCATTCCGATCGTCCCCCTCTGCTAGCGATGCCAAATCTCGTTTACTTCCACTAATGACGGCTGGGGTTGGGTAGACACAATCTCGGCCGGAGGATTCGCAGGCCCGGCAGGTGGTATCGATGCCGGCATTGACACACTTAATCTTACTGCGCCGGCATCGAGCGCAAGCGATGCTGGATCGCATGGTTGGTAGGTGTTTGGCAGACCCCACGTGTGCGGAAAAGGGTATCGGGACGTATGCGCTCAATCTGGTTTATGAGTTCCCATTTATCTCTGCTTGAAGGTGAAGATAGGTGGGAAAAAGGCGATTCGTGGTACGGGGTTGGAAGCCGGGGGAGTTTTCTCTCTCTTTTTTCTTCTCGCTTCCTTCGGCGTGTTGACTCTGTACGTGGTTCGGCCTCGGTCTCTGTGGCTACAGTGTGTTGACTCTTGGTCTTTTTTTGATGACGTTGTTGGTTGATGCCTAGAGCATGTCAGGATAATGAACAATAAACATCGGCGACTTGCACCACGCACCTACCTAATATGGGGGCTCTTGATAAACCTCTGAAGGGCGAATATGTCAAGGAAAGGAAGAGTGTGGGGGAAAAGAAAGTGCAGGTCGGGGCACCGGGACCGGGAATGCAGTTTTGGGGTCGGGAGGGAACGGGGGACAATGGAAAATACAAGAGGATAAATGATTATTATTATTATTATTATTATTATTTTATTTTATTATTGAATTTTATTTTATTCTGTGGGGAAGGTCATTTTTAATTACCCAGAGGAAAAAAGAAAAAGAGAGGGAAAAAAAAATGGAGCCGAGAGCCGCTGGGGAACTGGGCATTTGAAATTGCGGAGGCCCAAGGTATGCAAGGACGCGCGCTGACTTGATTCGTGGAGAGTGGAGCCCCCAGGTTTCCGGGTGCCGAGCAGTGTTGGGGCCGAGTTTACAAAGAGTGTGGGAACAATTGAAAAAAAAACAGTTGTGGGAACGGTTATAGGCGGTGGGATTATTGTATTGAAAATATAGATATTATATCGAGTGCATTACATTATTATAAACAGATCTAGATTATGGAAATTTCCCATCTGCCATCTTCCTCCATACTAAAACCGACCCCGTACATCGATCCCGTACACTTACCGTATTACCCCATGCCCTTCCCCCCCAATTAGCCCCATGTCCGGGTACCGAGGATGATTGATATTGACTTCCCCCGACACCGACGGGTTAGGCAGTTGAAGACGAGCAGTTCACAAATAAAATAAAAAATAATACCCCAGATCCCTCGGATAACATACATCCTAGTCCTGGCAATCATGGAAAATCACAGGAAAATCCCTTGAAGAATTCTATGTCTGGTTTTCTCTTCCATGTTTGTCTTGGGCCCGAGCTGGCCATGATCTCATGATCGTCACTCTGCTCAACCCGATAACTCCTCCCGACATCTCAACTCTGTACCGAAATCACCATAGGTAAAACCCGTGGAACATTTCCAACACTGCCATGTCGTACCGTGCTGGTCCAAGTCCAGATGAGAACACTGCCCGGCTGGAATATGAATTCCTACCGTCGCTTTCCGTGCCAGCCAGCTAATTACCCGGGAGGAAAGGAAGCGATTCTTCCCTCTCTCCCCTCCGTACGGAACACAGTGATTACTAGTACTCGGGTAGACCACGGACCCCACGGTGGATACGGGGAAGGAGAGGACCCAAGAAATGGCCAGGGCATGAGAGATCTTCGGAACACGACAACACATCTCGCCATAGACGGGGAGAGGGGGGAAGGACAGGAGGGATGTCGGTGGATTTTACGGTTCCTCTAGGATCATCCCGTCCTTACCTATTGCCCACGGACCTTGCTGGGCTCTTCTGGGCCTCTGGAACCTCGCGCGGCTGATGCCCGATCGGCAAATGCTCAGCCAGCTACCAGTTAGACAGATCGAAAAACATACGGAGTGAAAAACACAAAACGCAAAACGCAAAAAGCAAAAAGAATAATTAAAATAAAATAAAATAAAAACGGACCCAAAGATGACACCGGTTAATCCAATCCAATTTGCCCGCCCGGACTCGGGAACTCCTGATCAGGTAAACGGGACGAGGTTCCTCCACTTTCAAAGAGAAATGGAATAATCAAAAAGGTGTCGGAGAGTACAGCGACATTTGCAACGGTGGCTTGGGGTTAGACCCAAATGCACTCCACATCTAGGATGGTTAAGTCCTAGGGCTATAGGTTTCTTCCTTCTCCCACATGGCAATCCATCAATATAATTGGAGACCCAGAGAGAGGATCCACGAAAAAAGAAAAAAGGTACTCCGTAAAAGAAAAGACAAATGGCGAAGATCTCTTCTACGGAAAACGAGGGGAGAAACCAAACAGAAACAGAAATGAGGGGAGACCCAAGTTCGGGATGGTCCCATCTGTGATCCCTCGGGTATACAACAAATACCTGGGGGAAAGACGGGGACAATATCCTCAAATGGGCATCAGTGGACACCACTGACACCAGTAAGGATAGAAAGCACAGTTCACATTCTCGTAAATGCGTCGCCCCCGGACTTCTTTTTCTTTTTCTACAATTTCTTTGACTCACGCCAATCAACCCACAATCCACTCTACTTTCCCTTCCCCCCTCAATCCATCCAATAGATCGTCTTGAGCTGGTTAACCCCGGGGATCCCCGCGGGGAGCCAGCGAGATCCGCGATTGATCCTCGTTCCTCCAGTCCGGAAGTTACATCAATTACATCAGTTACATCTGGGGCTTTTCTACATCCATCCCTCGCTAACACGGTGGCGGCCAGGGATCGGCCTACTCTTCTGTGCTTGTCCGTTGATTTCTGACGGCGGCCTCCGTACCGTGTACCGTGTCACGCCAAAAGAGAGTCCGTGCTAAAAAAGAAAACTGCACCCTCTTTGTCCCCGGTAATCCCGCGTTTTATGTTATTTTGGTTGTGTATTTACTTTTCTTTTTATCCGTGCAGGGTGCCAGTGGTTCGATGTGTTTTTGTTTCTGGGGTTGTCGCTCGAACCGAGCGGGATGAAGTCCAACTAGTTTGTGCTTCGTTTCGTTCGGAATATCTAGTAGCGAACTTTCACATCCATGATCTCACCGTAAAATGATCGTATCACCCGGTACTTCAGCTGATCCTGATCCTGGTGCTTTCATCCAGGCTGCAGCAAACGAGAACCCGATGCCGAGCTGCATCGGCGATCCGATTAGTTCGTGATAATAACCTGTTTTTTTCCTCTAACAAAAAATAAGACTGGAGTATTATTTTACTCCAGGTTCGGGATGCATATAAAGAAGATAAAAATAAACTCTCAAGGGAGGAAGCAAACAAAAAAGGGAGGGAAAGCAGTAAGTAAGTCGGGGGAATCGGCGAATGTTTCCTATTTCTTACTATTTCTCTCCTCCGCACTCAACCTGGATACTTCCTCCGTGTAAGTCCTTTCCCCCCCCCCAAAGTTACCCAAAAACCCCCTTGCTCCTCTGAAATGGGGTGACACACGGGAAAGTCCTACACCGAGAAATTCCCTTCTTTTTTACCCCACGGCAGTCCGCGTTTCGGCCCCGTCCGACTGGCGGTGGCAGTGATTGGCCCCCAGCCTCCGAGGTGTCAGCGAACCGACCCCCGGGCAACCCCGCATTTCCTCAGTTTATATTAGGTAAGTCGGCTTAGACCCGATTTATAGTAGAAGTGGGAGGGGGAGAGGAAGTACATAGAAGGAAGGAACAGCCTATACCGAGTCTATCAATCCAATTCCGATATCTAACAAACCACCCCCGTAGACAATTATTCAGGGTTAATCTGCTTCCCCAACATCATAGATCATGTGCAAACCCGAATCGGGGACGGGGATATTCCTTTTGCCTCGTGTCAACAGGGCTTAGTGGGTCCTCATTTAACTTTTCCCCCGGTGGATATTATTCTCGAGTACGGATCCTCCGTCCTCCGCCAGAGTATCCCTCGGAGCAATCGAAAAGTCTTGGATGCGGAGAAATTAGCAATTAGAAATTAGATTAGCGCTTAAAAGGGAATATTTAGCAGAGCCTAAACCTAGAACCCAGAACAGCGGCCCGTATCCATTCCTCTCCGTACTTTTCTCTGCAACCATACCAACTATGTCGTATATCTCGTCTACGGTGCATTAACTTGAACACTGTACACTGCCATGTGTATAACTACTACTAGTACTACTTCAAATGTCAGATACCGACTTTACTCCGCACATCCCACTCTATTCTATTCTATCAAGCCACATCCATTACAATGAAATGAACACCCCCACATCTCACTCCGAGATCTCTTCCTGGCACATACATTCGCATAGGTAAAGGGTCAATTTCGGGAATCTGTCTCCCACACCCCGGAGGACAGTTCCCGCCTACCGCCCACCCGCCTCTATGTACAGTATTCTCGCAACTAAGTCTTGGCTTCTAGCACTCAAATAACAGTGGAGCCGACATAACGGCGAAGTACCTACTGGTCCCTTCCTATCCATACAGAGACATCCCACCCTTAATGTACCCTTACCCGAACACCAGGACAACAGATCCAAAATCCTAAAGGAACAACTATGGAGCAAAAGACGAAACTAATTATTAATGATCCAGACTCCCCAAACAAACTACACTTATTGGTTCAAATAATAATAAAAAAGCAAAATAAAATCACAAAACCGGCTAATACCAACCAGCTGACCAGCAGAAAAAGAAAAAAAGAAAAGTGGTTCCCGCTTTTACGGAGCAACAACCGCTGCTAAACAACCCCCATTCTCTTTCCCGTTCCCCAATCCCACTCATTACCCGAACTTCGAAGTTGTCGGCCTTGGCCCGAGCCCTGGGATCCAGAACAGGGGATCAGCACTGAATCCCTTGCGCGTCGGATTACCGAATCGGTCTGCGTAGCCTCTCGGGGGACTTTGGGGAAAGCCCTGACTAACTACGGGGAAAGATGCCCGAACATCTGAGATGCTTTGTTCTCTGTACAGTATCCATTGAGTTGAACCGCCGCTCCTCTCACTCGTGGCTATAGGTAATATCCTCCAATCCGGAAAATTTTCCGATCGGGATTTGCGGGATCCTATCCTGACGCGGAGCCGACCCCGACCGCAGATACAATCTATCTACTGTTCTGTTCTAGCTTAGTTCTAGTGAGTAGCCACGCAGAAGCTTAGCTTGGTTTGCATTGAATACCTGGAGTATACTAATTTCTCACTGTATACCTAACCTAGAAGATCAGGCTAAAATACTCCGGATTCAGTAACTTTCACGCGAGGAATGCTGCCAGTGCAAAGTTACTATGATCTAATTTAACCCCCACATCGGTTCGGGTAAAAAAAATCCACTTCTGGGATCCCGATTCCGAGTGCCCCGATGGCTATGTCATTGCCGGTACTTACTGGTTGTCGTGTGCTTGATTCTTTACCCAGGCTTGGCTGGACTTGTTTCCGGTTTCTATTTTGATGTACTTGTGTTGGTGATGAGGGATGAGGTAATGGGTTGTTGCCAACTGGTTTGGCAGTACTACGTATTTTCGTGGATGTTTGAGATATACACCAAAAGTTCTGAAATCAGCTCGTCAATTTGTCTGATTTTGCTCTGGCTATGTAAAATATTCAATCTAAATCACATCCCAATCAATCATCCCGGTCAAATAATGCTAATATCTCCTTCTTCTCGTGTATAGAAGCAATATCCAAGGCTGTAAGCCCCTGCTTATTCTCTGTCCAAGGGCTAAGGCCCAAATCAACAAAGATCTGAAAAAGATTCGCTTCATAATCATCAGGCTCAACGCCCCCATCCCGATATGCAATCGTATGCAAAAGTGTATTTCCATCATTATCAATTTCCCGCAGACCATGCCAATCAGCCATTTTCGCACAGTCCTCTGGATTCACGTAACGATCTTCCACTGGATCGAACCCTCATCCATGATAACTCTTCGCTGCGTTTAGAAAAGTAAAGAGTGCCGTCTCTCCCTTCTTAGTACGTGCCGCCGGATCGCAGCCAGCATTCAGAAATCGGTTATAAAGGTTCCAGGCATCGGTGAAATGATCTGCGCCTTGTTCTGTTTCAAACTGGAACTCTTGGTCAATGTTGCTGTAGTCCATCAACAGCATCGCAACATAGTGGAGCGCTGTTTTGCCATTTGAGAATACCTCTAGTGGGTTAGCGCCTGTATCGAGGAGAGTGGCCACTATCGTGTAGTATAAAGCAGTCGAGTTATCTATGTACTCCAGAGTCGCAACCAGCATCGAATACGTAGCTTTGATTCCTATATTTGCTAAGTCCGCATCTCAGTGGTGTATGGCCCTCGTTGTTGCAGGGCGTGGTCTCGGCACCGTGTTCTAGAAGGGCCTGGATGGCTTGGAGGTAGCCGCTGCAGATGGCGTAATGAAGTGCTGTTGATCCGGAATCATCCATGGCTTTCACATCGGCACCGAGATTTACGAGTGCTAACACGGCTCTGCCTTGATCCTCTTTAGGGCAACCCATGCGCACTTTCATCAGTGGGGTACAGCCTTGTCCGAATCGAGCATTGAGATCCAGCCCTGTTGAAACAAGACGTTGAATACGATGGTTTGCACGGCAAATTTCATGAAATGCGGTCGATGTATTGTCGTGGAGTGGGTGGAGTGGATTGGCGCCATATTGAAGAAGGATGGACACGGCTGCATCGCTCGACTTTGGGTCCATTGCCCTGACCAGAGGATTGTCTTTATTGGTGCCATTTGGATCTGCGCCAGCTTTCAACAGGATCTCTAGAGCATCATCACGCTTGCTGGAGATTGCAGAAAGAAGCGGCGGTTCATGGTCTTTATAGCCAACTGACAGAAAGCCCCCTCTTTTAATCAGGAGACCTATGATCTCAGTTGACCGGTTAACCTCAATAGCAATATTTAACGGGTACCCATGCCGAGATGAAGTAGGGTTAGGATCTGCACCAAACTTGAGAAGAATTCTGGCCGTAAGGTCGCGCCAATGGCAGGTATGTCTGGAAGGTAGCGCAGTGTGGAGAGGTCCCACATTCAAATTGGTGTATTTACTATCTTGTGGTTCATTTGGCGTCGGTCCGGCGCGAAGAAGAATAGAGAGACCATGGGGGTGCCACCAACGCGATCCACCGGGTAATTTGTTTAAGGAATTTGTGAAGGCCTCTTTATCTGGGACCTCCGGAATGAAAGTGGCTAGGTACTCAACCATGGGTATATTGCTTAGGTCTCGATCAGTGGCCTGGTCCAGGAGGGAAGGAAGTAAACTGGGCACATCTTTGACATGCGGAAGCACCTGGGCCATAACAGAATTCCAACCCCAGCGAGCAGCTAAATGAAGGGCCGACTTCCCTTCATCTTCGACAAGCTTCACTTTTTGGAAGCGAGTATCTTCTCGATTAAACGCTCGTTGCCAGTTGAGAATATCCTCTCGAAAAACCGTACACGATCGTCGGGGAGTAAAATGTCGTCTATTGCTGTCACGGGGGCTGATTGACCGAGAGCCAGCAGGAGCTCTGCAGAGGCATCAAATAGATTGTGATTTGGGGTTGAGGTGGAATTTGACAGTTCATCGACAATATCAGCACAGCCTAACATCGTTGCCACGTCAATGGGCCAATGGCCGTTTTCATCAAGACTGGTTGGATCTGCACCGGCGGCCAGAAGTAGCTGTACAACCCGACGACTAGACTTGTTAGAGCCGTCATTTGCAATCACGTTATTAGCTCTCGCTAGTTTCTCTCGCTGTATTTCCCTCGGGTATCGACGTCGGTAATCATATTCCAGTTCCACTTGCGAGGGGGTGGCGTCGTATGTGCTTTCGGCTTTTCTAGCCTCTCGTTCACAGTATGATTTTGTTGCTGCATGCAAGGGTGATCGATTTCGTTCATCTACGATATTCGTATTTGCCCCTGCATGAAGTAATAGCCGCACACACCCGGGCTCGCCAGATCGACAGGCATAGTGTAAAGCAGATCGTCCTTTCAGGGTCAAGCAATCGATTTTGATCGATTTCTCAGAGTAAATCTCAATTAAAGAACCCAGAGCATTACTTTGGCCCGCATCAGCTGCAAAGTGTAGCGGGGTTCTTACCTGGTAGTCCCTGGCCCGTATGTCGGCCCCAGCTTTGACCAAGGCGAACGTATTAACATCAGATATAGCTGCCGCTAAATGAAGTGGAGTGATTCCTGCCCGATCCTTGGTATTCACTTCGCACCCAATTGAAGGCTGAAGAAGAAATTCCACTCGTGTTAGGATGTCTGTAATTTAACCCATACCTTTCCCCCTTCCAGCCGCAGTCTTCGATTGCGACTGCAAAGTGCAACACTGTTCGACCCTGGTAGTTGAGAGTATGCATTGGGCACCCCAATGCTAAAACATCGACTTGATCTTCTAGTTTCTCCCACTCGGTACCATTCTGTATGAGTTGATGAAAGATTGAATTGCCATCTTTGCCAAGAGCATTTGGGTTGGCTCCGGGCTCGACGAATGTACCCGCAAACTTTTTAAGCCAAATTCCCCACGATCTTTGACCAGCCAATGCAAAGCTTGGAGTTCTCAGTTAGCGCCCAGTTCAAAAAGTCTTATATGAAGAGTCTCGTATGGACTGAACTTATTGGAATTCCCTTCATGGTCCGTTTCTTGGGCATTAAAACCAAAGCGCAGCAACATTTTGAACATTCTCTGACAGATACCCCCACGAAGGTCCCATTTCGAGAGCGCTATCAGTAGCGCATTATTCCCTGTGAAATCTCGGTTATCAATAGACATGCCGTGTTGGACCATTGTCTCGAGAACTGAGAGCAGACCCTTATATGCGTCGTATTCATAAACAAGCTGGAGGAACGGGGTTCTACCAAGATTATTTTGGATGTTTATCCGATTAGTCAAACCGGGGCCATAGTCCCATGAGCCTCATGAGGAGGGGGCCAAGCAAAGTGTGAGCCAGACAGAGCGCGACACGGTCTTGCTGATCACCGCGCGTTGTGGGGCTATTGGCCCAACATCAAAGAGTAGGAAGAATTGTCCAGGCGTACACTCAATGAAAGAGTATTCAAGAAAGCTGTTCAATCATCGTAGAAAACGCTTGTGGATCTGATTGTTTCCGTGTTTTCATTTCATATAGTTTGAATGAAGTAAAATCCATGTCGCTGATAATTCGGTGCAGTGGATTAAGTACCAGCCCCCAAAAACGCCTCCTTCGATTGAGCATCTGCAATCTTCCGTCATAGTACCTAATGTTGGCGATTATGCACAGTACAGATGTTAATTTTTGCAGCATGGGAGAGTTAACGATATTGGGATTTCGATGTTGAAGTTATGACTTCGGAAACAAGGAGGGAGGTGAGATCGGTCACGAGGTTCTTTCCCAACCAATCTGGAATTCCCGGAGAAGATGTTGATTCCACTGTGTTGCCTCGGCATTGGTGAGAGAAGGAGCGGCCGTATGTGTATCCTCCGACATGATGAGAGATGGCAGACGCGCCAAAGAGGAACAATGGGAGATGTGTTGACGGAGTTGGCTCCTCCTATGTTGACTCCTTTCGGATGTGGGCATGCGGAGTGTACTGCGTCAACTTTCTCCATTTCACGCTATTCCTTAAATAAATCAGTGTTGCTCTATAAGATTAGCTTCTCGTGGTCATTTGATACGAAGACAAAATAAAATTAAACGTCAAGACCTAGCCTACTATTCATAATCTCAACTCAAAGCAAATTACTTCTAGATTTAATGCACCCAGAATTACACCTGAGATGAAGCTCCACTTAATGGTAAAGACCCAATAATATGCATTAAAAACTGCATTATATTTTCGTAGTAGAGAAAGGAAGGAGTATCAAGATCTATAATTAAGAAATAATACATAAAGAATGGAAGAAATCAAACCCAAAAACCACCCCGCACATCATGCCCGTCATACTGCTGGCTCGCAGAGCCGATCAGAAGAACCAGGCAGCAAGGGCGATAATAAGATACATCATCATAAGCAGGACACCCTCCAACCAGTGGGATTTTCCATCACCGATGAGATAGTTCACCTGCAAGAAAAGGATATTAGAAAAGTTTGTTATAGTTGTCAGTTTCGAGTAAACACATACCAGAAGGACAGACACGAAGAGCAAGATGACTTGGAATCCATCGAAGTTAAGAGTCATGTTCTCAAGACCCATGATCCATCCAATAACAATGATAAGGGGCAGGACGAGCAGCGCAATTTGCATGCTAGATCCAACAGCCACACCGATGGCAAGATCCATTTTATCCTTGCATGCAACAGTAACAGCAGTAGCGTGTTCCGCGGCGTTACCAACAATAGGCAGGAGAATCAGACCAACGAAGGTTTCGCTGATATTACCAGTAGCAGTGAGGGCACTAATGGAGTCGACCTATTGAAGCAAAATAAGTTAGCTTATATTCATCCATAGTGGTCGAACTGACCGTTTAGTTTTTGGAATGGTACTCACCATGAATTCCGCACACACGGCAACGAGAGTAGTGGCGATAGCAAGCGTAAGGAAAGCGACCCAGAGCATGAGCTGAGGCTCTTCGGGCTCGTCATCTGGATTTTGCATTTCAATTTGCTCTGTCTGTCCACCACCCATTGTACCAGCTGACATTCTGCCGATTTGAGCGATGTTGCGGGTCGTGTCTCCCTGTGTAATATGCTGGCGCCGTTTTTCAACTTTAGGACTGGGGCGGTTGTACATCTCGGCGTGGGACTTGAGTTGGAAGAAGAGGTAGCAAGCGTAGACGATCAGGAGGAGAATACTGGTGCCTATGATTTGTTAGTATATTTTTGATAAACAAAAGAGAGAGAGATTTGACATACCTCTTGAGATAGGCGCAGTCTTGTCCTTGTTTCCGTCAGACCAGTTGTGGAAGGCAGTAGGAATGATCAGACTGCTAACAGCCAGGGCCAGCAGACTGGCCGCTGTCTGTGCAACGGTGACGTTGAAATGTTGTTCCACACGGTTGATACCACCGAAGAAGAAACACATTCCCATAACAAGAAGCAGGTTGGACAGCATACTTCCAATGAGAGAAGTCTGGACAATAACAATCTCCTTCTTGACCAGGGCAATGATACCAACAATCAATTCCACCGCATTACCAAACGAAGCGTTCAAAAGACCACCAATTGTTTCTCCAGTTCGCAGAGCTATCTCCTCGGTTGCAAAACTTAGCATAGCAGCCAAGGGAATAATAGCAATGAAGTTAACCACGAAGATAGCAATTGGATTAGCATCGACAGCATGCAACGCAATTCCAGCCGGCGCAGCAAGTATGAGTACGTTAATCCAAGAATTCAAGATAGTAGCTCTCAACTGCGACGCGACTGTGAAGTTCGGCCCATCGGAATCCTTCACGTCCTCCTCGAGGCCTTCTCCATTTTGCGCAGAGTCATGGCGCCCAAATTTGCCCAAAATACCCTTTCGCTGTCTGGTTTTGCCAGTTTCCAGATCAGGCTCAAAGTCCAGACCCCGATCTGTGGATACATTAATCGGGTGTTGGCTGGCGTCTGATGGCTCTAAGCCATTAGCATCGCCACTCGCCGCTGTGTATTGATCACTGTTGCCTGTTCCAGGAGGGAACGTGCTAGCATGACTAATGCCATTTTCTCCCCGGGTTTCCAGTGGGTAAGACTGGGCGCGCTGAGGGCGTCTCCGGAACTTCTTGAATGGATTCTTGGAGGGCTGCTCGCCATCCTCGTCGTACCATGCCAAGTTGCGGGCCTGGCGTCGATAGATATCTAGGGGGTACTATATTAGCACTTTGTTTTCTTGCAGGATGGCTCAACACTGTTGTGTTTATGGCTGGGCTCCAGCCTAAATTTATATGAGCCAGAATGCATTCCATGACTTACGCATTATTAAAGTGCAATATATGAGTTGTGTTGAAATATGAGGTTCTGCCGGCGATGTGTCAATAATAAGTATGCCTTGTCTCGCTCTCTTTTGTGTTGACGCCAGAAATAGACACTGCCAGCCAGTACTTGGGTGCTGAAGGGTGAGATTCAGGGCTTAAGAAGGGGCAATATCAAAAAAGACGACTGCCTAACAGTTGGGCTGTGCTCGCTTCACCGACGGTATTTTCTGGCGCAAGCGCGCGCAATCTCAGTCGACTTACGTGTGAAGAGAGGTTTCAAAGAGGGAAAACGATACGGTCGTGAATGGATGTGGAGTTGTAGTTTTTGCTAATACGATGACAACGTGGCTGAGCCTCAAACTTAGCAGCCACAGGATGATATTAAGGCGAAAACTAAGCTGATCGCAGCAATCTGTTTCTCAAAAGTCGGGTTCCCCGAGAGAAAAGAAGAAGAAAAGAATAATAAGAAAGGGCGAGGCTAGCGGCCAGCAAGGGAGGGAGAATGGATTTTCAAACAAAGAACGACATTCACACAATTCGACGAAAAGTGCAAGGATAAAGGAGAAAGAAAAAATAAAAAATCGATAATTCCAGGGGCCGCCCGCAAGAGAGATGTCGGAAATTGGAACTAAACTTTTGACCAGCGTGCATTGGTGTCTGGGATTTTCAGTGTTGTGTGGCTGTGCCCAGGGGGCGATCGTGACGGAGTGGAGATGAAGCTTGGCGCTGTCTTCGCTTCAAATTACTGACGCGGATCGATTTGTTTCAAGAATCAACAGATTCACATGTTAGAAATTGGAATTGACCCCCAGTCTGACAATATCATCTCGTCATTATAACAAGCCCCAAAAATTAAATGGTCCAATGCATCCTAGATTGGGCCGCCAACGGTGTCGGAGTGAGTTGGCAAGTCCGCGGGGGGCCACGACAACCCCCGAAGCCTAAAACCAAGGAATTGAGAAAGGCTTCACGAGAACGAAGCTTTTTCTCGGGATCTTGGCACCTCACTCGTCACAGACAGTTCCCTCTCAAACCGGCCGATCGCTTCTGTCCAGATGCTATTCATACTGAGGTCACACTGCATGATTGACCTCCAGGATTCTCATTGACACCTGTGGCACACCGGAACTGGGCCACGCCACATCCCGATCGCTGATTGGATCAATCGTGGCGTGCAGGAGGGCTATTCATTTGTGGGGTCCGCTTTGTGATGGGTCCGAGCGGACAACTGAGCAATCAACACGCGTCATTCCGCATAGATTATGTATGGAGTAAAGTAATCGCTAGAGCAGCAGCGCAAACGCCACGACCCCTTACTGCATAACCGTGGAATCAAGAAGAGAAACGAAACAAGCCACACGCGTCTGCAATGTGTCACGTGAAAGAAACCAGTGATAGCTGAAGTTCCAGACTTGTTTGCCCAAGTGTTTCCATTGGAATGCGCAGCCCTGGAAGGGCAAGGGGTGTTGGTGGCTCTTATATTTTGTGCCAATATTACCCGGGTTTCTTGGTGTCAAAATGTCAGATCGGGCCAATATTGAGGCTGCGAATGGGGAACGAATATTGTACGTCGGTGGCTTGTGTACACGGGGAATCATCCGAAGGCTGCACGGGCGGGTAATGCCGGACGGACAGTCCTAGCTCACAATCAGCTCTTCATTGTTAGCCACAAGCCCTGGAGTAACCACCGGGGTCCAGAATCTGAAAGGCGCCAAAGTTCACTCGGGCAGTGACTTGGGCCTTTTTCATAGACATTTCATGGGCCATTTGTCGTCAGACACCCAGCAAGTGCCCGGGTGGCTTGTGTTGGGCAGCGCCCATCACGAGTTAGTAAAATAGATTTGGTAGGCAGGTGGTAAAATGTTTCCAGATTGCTCAATTCCTCGAATTTGGACGCAAAACGTAAAATGGCAGTGTTTTTCAAGGCTGGGGGGAAGATGAAATAGTTCAGCCCTACGATGTGGGTGGGAGAAAAGGAGACGGTCGCAAGATGGGGCTATTTATTTTGGGCGAATCCTGGCAACTCCAGCACTCTGATTTGCCTGTTTTGCGAGTTTCGCGCCATTTAATTTTGCTGCCTGCGCTTACTTTATGCCATGTGGAGCGCTTTCCCAGCGACAGACGCACTGCTTGCGCGTTTCTTGTAGGATTGACTTCATTATTGCATTTTCTAGATAAATACTACTGATCGGTCTCTAGATGTTCATCTGAGTTACTAAACTTCAAATGCTCTATAAGCCGGTAACATATTGGACTTTATCTTTTCAATTTCACTAGCAGTCAAAGTAGTATTGAAATGGTTGAGTAGTTCGAGCTCCCAGCAGAGATTTCTAGCTTTAAGTTCAAGCCGTACATTCTCTTTTTTTCGACTATGCTCATACTAATACATTGAAAGGCAGTGGACTTTTTATTATTATACCAAATTCAGCCTTGTACATCAAACGCATCATAGACTCTACAATATACTGATCGCAAGCTTCTAATGCTGCTCTAATACTATGTAGTAGTAAAACCTGGGCTTATTAAAATATATTTTTCGATATACCAATTGTAACCTTTTGATTGAACTCATCACCAGTTCTTCAACATGTAGCCGCGGGTTTGTGATTCTAACGCATCATGGATTACTTCAAATGCCGATCGTAGACTTTCAAGATTGTACTACTAACACATGAGATAGTTCTTCGATATACCAATTATAATCGTTTATCCATAAACCGTCGTGAACTCTTCCATATACGGTCGCAATACTGTACTACCGACATATCCTGTGATTATTACCCCTTGCGTTTCAATCTCTTAATCTGGAAATGCTGTGACATGTTATTGCTAGTTACAGTCATTGTGCAGGATAATTCCTCCAGTACCCGCCAATAGGTATAGTCTTGGCTTCCCATTACGATATACAAATTCCGGTTTCGTTATCACCTGCAGGAGAACAGAGCGGAGCACTAGTCTTTATGCATGAGTCTTGAAGAATCTCAAAATTTGGTAGAATCGGGATACTGCCTTCGCAAAATGCTCAGTGAAAGAGAGTAGGATGTTCTTTTTTGTTCTACTTAAAATGATAAGTTTCCATTCTCAAATTGCGCAATTTGTCAAATAATCTCTCCAATAAAGTTCTTCATCATGCATTCAGTTATAGAATTTCTGTCTCTATACTTTGATACACTGATTTCAACTATCAGATCATGGATAGAATATGTGAGCCCTCGGACTCCGTACTTGAGCCTCATCAAAAACCTCAATACCCAACACGCGAGTGTTCATAAACTACAATATATGATCCACGAAGATGGAGCAGGATCATGGCCGCCACAGGCATCGTATCGAGATTCTTGGCCACCGGAACTTCAACCGTACCATGATACCTTCGTTAAGCTAGCTCCTTTAGTCCCGGTTTTGGATCCTTCAATGGAGCCAGATATCAATGCGGCAAGAAGAGATGAGTATCGCCAAAGAGTACAAAAGCTCCTGGAACAAAGCATAGATGTTGCGGAAGTGACATCTTTACTTTCGGCGGCCGTGGGCAAGGAATCCTCTGTCATGACGAACGAAGCATTCAATGGCTTCTATGCATGCATAAGTGCCTTGAGACATGCTTACAGGTATCTGGGCCTATGGCTTTTGATCATTCCATGTGCAGCTCTAACAGTCTTAGATGGGGCACTGTGCCAGTTGTTAAAATAGTGCAGGAGGAAAAGATCGTCAAATTCCCTACCGAGATTGATGTTCCTTGGGATTTTATCTGTCAGAGATATGGAATAGAATCAGGAGGAGGCAACACGATGTCTAATTTTCACTGCAACTTTGACAAGAAGAATGGAAGAGTTATCTATGCGATTAATGGTAGCTTGCCTGAGCCTATACCCTCTGCCGAGTACAATTTGATATACGCATTCACCGAGCCAGAGAGAAAGGTAAGAAATGACACTTCGCTCCTATACGTGACAACTCTAACATTAAATAGGCACTTCCCACGTACTATCACATAGTTCAGTCGATAATTTGTTACGAAGAAAATCGCATTAATGAATGCATCCAGCATATGGATAAGATCATACCCCATCTTAAATCCGCCTTCAAGATTTACTATGAGTATATCGTTGATTCAAAGATCCCCTACAGCGTCTTCACAGCCTACATACAAGGGTTTCACGGCTGGGCAGCAGGAGAGATAATCAACGGGGAGTATGTTGAGTATGACGGTACTTCCGGTGCTAATTTGGTCATGTTCGTCATGCTTGACTACTACCTTGAACTTAAGCCATTTCTGAAAGAAGACGACTTTCCTAAATACTTTTCATCTGCTCAGAGGTCATTCCTTGCCTCTATCAAAGCGAACTCTTTCAGAACAACGTCGACAAAAGCTGGACATCTCGATGTTATGAAGCAATTCGAGACCTTAGCAAAGCAATTGCGGGTATGTTTTTCGATTCACATTGAGATATCTTTTCTGACTTTCCTCACTTGCAGACTTTCCGCAGTGCACATAGAAAGCGTACTAGGAAATATATCAGTGTCGAGCGACCTGAAAGAGTAATAATGACTGCTGGCTCTTCGGTGATGGAATCTTCACAGAAAATGACGACTCATGATCTTGTCGAGGAAGTGGACGCTGGTTTGGCTGAGAAGATGATCAATACTGGCTAGATGATCTGAGCCATCTGGAACCAGTAACATATTAGAGAAATTGCTAGTTCTGATATAGACTAGAAATTCATATCTCGGATGTTGGCATAAATCATGATCTTCAACATGTCTTAACCATGGAAGGTTGGCGAGGGGCACCATCCAAAGTTTTGACCTACATACCCATAATGATTCGCGCTTATTGGTAGAATCCTAAATACTCACGCTAACCCAATATCTACCGATGCTGCGCATGAACCAAATACCGAACTTCGAAGGCTGTACTAGTCTAGTTCAACGTCTCCCTATATAATTATGAGTTGCAAGCTAGAAAAGCGTTTCAACCAAAAGGAGTGGGTTGAGCTGAAAAGAGGCGGCTTTAATGCTTTGAACAAGAGTTACTCGTTCGTGTGGAATGGGAATATGTATGTCATTACGCGGATGAAGGGATCAGAAGTTGTTGGGGGATCGAGACTTTTGAGGCATTATAAGGTTGTTGAGAAGGATGGGGGCGAGGTTGTTGCTACTTATGTTTCTGGGAAGGCTGGTGGAGCGAGGAAGGGGACTATTACGGTGCAGAGGGGGTTGGATGCGAATTTGAGACTTGTTGTTGTTACTGCGCTTGCGGAGTGGAGGGAGATGGCTAGGAGACAGCAGCGGATTGCTGGTGGTGTTGTTGTTGCTTAGTGGGGATACTTGGAGTAGAAGGACCTTTGTGTTCGGACTTTTGGAGTTATGTGATTTTCTGTTGATAAGGCCTAGGGTCTTGAGGTCCTTATATTCAAAATTTGGTGGCTTTTTGTGACACATAACAGACGTGTTTGCGGGTGTATGCATAAATATGGATTCTTGTTTAGACTGGGAGGGCGAGATGAGATGAAAAGACGTATCACATCATTTGAAGGGTTGAAATAGAATAATTCCTAGATATGACAGGTCTGGTCCACGAAAAGAAAATAATCTTGAACTTCTCATCTTATTTAGTTGCCTGGTTAGATTTGAAAGGAATATTGAGGACTGTAGTTGATCGAGCGCGTCGCTGGCAGAGCTGCTGATGGCCCAAACAAAGCCCAGTGCTATGTACTGTGTGGCAATCCAAGCGCCAGAAGGACAAATGGCGCACGGAACACTTCGTATCAAAGGAAAGTCACGCCCTGGAGAGTCGATACGGGGTACGAGGCACCCCATAAGATATTGAAGTTTGTTCCTGAAGCTCCACGGTCTCGTAGATCGCGAGCTCGCAATAACGGAGATAAATAGACAAAAGGTTGCAAGATTGCAGATCCGAGAAGATCTTTATTTTCGCTTCGATACTAAAGAAACGACGTCTATTCCATAGGCTGCGAAAATTCAAGTATAATCAGTGCGACCAATCGTCCAAGGACCCCTCTGCATATGACCGACCCTTGGAGTTAATCGAAACGAATCATCCAGCCCTATGCCCACTGTGGCAACGTGCAAGGTCGAGCAGTCTCAAATCAGAGCTTGACAGGGGACGACGCGTGGATCAAATCTCACATTTTTGTGTTTTCACAGGAACGCGAGGGGATCATCACTATGATGTAGTTGATATGCGCGCGACCCACAGTGATAGTCAGGGGTAGGGGATAAGAGACGGAAAAGGCTTTTCAAAGGCTTCCTACGGGGTAATATATTTACAGGCAAAGACTTCGAGCCATATCTTTTCTAAGTGACGCCATCGGCGATTTAATCATTGGAAAGTCTCCTGTGTTTTCTCCCGTCCGAGTCTGACAGGCCGTGCCTTTGATATGGGACGGGCGAGGGTAGCCCCACCCAAACCGACCGCACATTTTTATTCCGTGGATTGTAACTGGCTGAGAATTGTTTGAGGATTTCAATTTTGATTGCAGGACAAAAGTAAGCGAGAATTAAGATAGCATTTGCTGTATGTGTACTTCGTGTTGATGAAATCGAGCCAAAATACAGATACATACACTGTGCAGATGATGGATTGACATGCGATAAACGTTTCTGCCTGGTACTTCTGGTGATTTGGTGTGAAGGTTCAAGTTCTGGAATGCTGTACGCTAACACGCGGGAGAAGGTTGAAATCCCCGTAGTCTCCATAGTCTCCATAATTATGCAACCCAAGAGTTAGTCGAGAGAGGGCTGTGAGTCTGGGCATGATCTGGGCATGGAAAGTAGATGGCAGGCATATATGGATGTATCCTGGATAGATACATCGACCAGCACATTCTTTTTAAAGAGCCAACAACCGGTTTTCAACGGTCGGAGGTGCAAGGTTTAAAGTTGCGGAATCTCCAAGGTGGTTGACAGTTGGATCAAAGACACGTTCCCAAGCCATAAACAATGCTCCGACAACAGTTCCATGGCAGGTAGCATTCCATTGAACATCATCACCACGCCGATCGCCCTAGCGAAGGACAAGCTTTTTTGTGTTGCAAGTAGCACGTCCAAAGGGGATGGATAGGGGGAGGTCTAGATGCAAAAGCTGTATATGAACCGTGTGCATGCGCCTTTTCTGCTGGAACCAAGTGTAAGATACCAATGGTACATTGTCAGCACTATTATTCGAGGTAGCTATATCCGAGACAGTGCGTTAATTTCGTTTTTCCCATTTTTTCTATGTATATTTATTTACCAGAGCCAAGAGTTGTCCGTTGTAATCAAGAGTGGGGCCTAGACCCTTCAGCCACTCAGGGTCCATGAATCCACCTGAGACCGCGGGCCCCCAAGAAAATGGACCCTCTAGGACCCTGAGACGGTCCAGTCAGGGTCCTAAATCAGGGACGGGTGGGGCTATGGGTAGCCTAGCGACTTACTAGCGAATACAAAGTGGAGGAAGTGTTGTCTCAGGGGCGCTAGAATGACGCAGGGTCATTGGCGCAGGGACCGGTGGCGGGATCTCAGGGTCCACTGGGGACCGAAACAATCATGAAATCGACTTCGGTGGAGGGGGGAAATGGCACCCTCGGGGCCAATGATGGGTGTTGTTGTGATAGATACAAGGTCTTCCGTTCTCGATACGGAGGAAATCAGTCTCAAAATCATCCTTTGCGAGGCTGGAGCCATGCCAATCACCTTCTTATGACAGTCAATTGAGCTCCATTGATGTGCGGATGGGACCAGACACAGCCCACTTGATGATGCGTCGTCACAGTCTCTGCTTTCCCACATGTGTTTAGGTATCAGAAGGGGTAGAAGTGACTTGGTCTTATTATGGGGTTAAGTAGGGGAACAACATGTACCCATGGACCCTGAGGGTACTCACCCCAGGAAGCTAGAATCCCACCCTGAAATCCCCTTTTTCCCTCTTTTATGATATTTTTAATTATTTAATTATTATTATTTAATTTGAAATTTAATTTTGATTATTTGTATCGTACATTATGGAGTAAACTGTGTTCCACTTTCCCTTAGGCCCAATCATCTCAACCCCCCTGTCTATCCTTAGTCTTCCGGTTGCTTCTTCTTTTCAACTTCTCCCTTTCCTCTCTTTCTCTCCTTCAATCACTTTTCTCTTTTTTGTTCTATCCTCAAACCAACCCCATCATACCACAACCCTCCAGAACGGCTTAATTGCCCTTCCTGTCCTTCGTTTATTGGGTTTCTATTATATTCTCTCACAATTCGCTCACGATGAAGTTCTCCATCGCTGCTGGCCTGTCTCTCTTGGGAGCGGCCATTGCTGCTGATCTGCCCTCCATTGAGATCAAGGGCAAGCACTTCTTCTACCCCAACGGTACTGAGTTCTTCATCCGTGGTGTTGCTTACCAGGCCGACTACAACGCTCGCAACGGCGGTAGCGTCAAGAACGCCTACACCGACCCTCTGTCCAACCCCGACACTTGCAAGCGTGATATCCCCTACCTGCAGAAGCTGCGCACCAACGTCGTTCGTACTTACGCCGTCAACCCCAATGAGTCCCACGCCGAGTGTATGAACGCGCTTGCCGATGCTGGTATCTACGTCATCAGCGATCTTTCCTCTCCCGCGGAGTCCATTGTCCAGGCCGACCCCACGTGGAACGCTGATATCTTCGAGCGTTACGCCGGAGTCATTGATGCTTTCCAGAGCTACTCCAACGTTATCGGTTTCTTCGCCGGTAACGAGGTTGTCAACAACGCTAGCAACACTAATGCCATGCCCTTCGTGAAGGCCGCTGTCCGTGATATGAAGGCCTACATCAAGGCCCAGGGCTACCGTGATTCCATTGCCATTGGTTACGCCACTGATGACGATGCCAGTGTCCGTGAGAACATCGCTAACTACCTGATCTGTGACGACGCTTCCGAGGCTATTGACTTCTTCGGTTACAACATCTACGAGTGGTGCGGTGACTCCAGCTTCGCTGACTCTGGATACAAGGACCGCACTGAGGAGTTCGCTGACTACCCCGTCCCTGCTTTCTTCTCTGAGTACGGCTGTGTCCAGGGCACTAAGCCCCGTCCCTTCACCGATGTTCCCGTTCTTTTCGGACCCCAGATGGAGGACGTCTGGAGCGGTGGTATTGTCTACATGTACTTCGAGACCGACAACCACTACGGTCTGGTTTCCGTCGACGGTGACTCCACCTCTGTCTCCACCAAGCAGGACTTCGACAACCTCTCCTCCCAGATGAAGAAGGCCACCCCCACTGGTGTCTCCATGAAGGACTACACTGTCTCCACTACCGTTGGCCGTAGCTGCCCTGCCACCACCTCCGACTGGCACGCCGCCACTGCTCTCCCCCCTGCCATCAACAACGACCTTTGCTCGTGCATGTACGACTCCCTGTCCTGTGTGCCTGTCAGCGACATCAGCGAGAAGCAATCCCAGAACGCCTACGACTACATTGGTGGAAAGGACAAGAGCGCCTTCGACGGTGTCAGCGGTAACGGTAAGACCGGTGTCTATGGTGCTTACAGCGGCTGTAGCGCCAACCAGCGTCTTGCCTGGGCCATGGACCAGTTCTACTCCAAGAGCGGCGCTAGTGCCTCCGCCTGTGACTTCAGCGGTGCCGGTACCACAAAGAAGGCCTCCACCGCCAGCTCCTGCAAGTCCCAGCTCACTGCCGCTGGTACTGCTGGTACTGGTACTGTCGATGCCACTCTCCAGGCTTCCGGTACTGGTGCCTCTGGCTCCGGCGGCTCCGGCTCCACCTCCAGCGCTGCTGGTGTTGCCCTCTCCGCTCCCCAGGCTGTCAACGTTGGTCTCCTGCAGACCAGCCTCTACGGTCTGGTTGCTCTGGCCACCGGTGTTTTCATGATTGCGCTGTAAATCAGCTATTAAGAATTTTTTTTAGAAATTCCTTCTTTGTATTTGCGATTTTCATTTGAATGTTTGGTGCCCATGTATTACACCGCTATGTGATGCAAATAGCACAAAATGGCGCCTTTTCTTGTAACCGTCAGTTGTTCGGTAAACTGTCCATATCTAATCTCTTTTATTCTGGCCCTATATCAAGCTGGTGTTTGTCATCTTAGCCTAAATGTCTTGTCTCTTGATACTTTCTTCCAACTTGTAGTTATTCATGAAACCTAAAGTATTAGATCAACGTATGTATGTCTTGACCTTGCAAGGTTATGATAATGTCGATTTAGTACTGGATGGCCAGTCTCTAAGCTGGCCGTCAATTTAAGATCCATTGACAGGATCTCGCCTTAAGCTTTAGTTAGCTCACTTCCAAATTTCAAGGCCGTGAGAGCATCTCCATAAAATGATACAAAGTACAGTCGATTTCGAAAACATTTCCCCTGTGGGAGCACACGCTTTGTCTCTCAGCCCATACCCGAGTATGCGCTAATCTGTATTTCGTTTACACTAGGACGACCGCTACTTTGGCAGCATCACGTCTTGAGCCATATTGGATTTCAAGTCTACTATAAAATACCGTGAATCTGTACAGAATGTTCTAGGTAGGGCTTCCAAGAGGGGAGGGGTTGTTGCCCTGGCGATCTGGCTTGGTCCATTCTGGCCTTACTTCTTCTCTTTCATACATAGCCTTTGTCTTTATAACATCTTCCATAACACAAAAACTAAACTACTGCTGTAGAGGACTAATCAAGGTAGGCTGTGCCGGCATACAAGCATGTTGATATTCCAAAGGAATGATCAAAGAACAACGCATGTTGATATTCGAACGGACAAATGAATTACCGAGGGTTCCAGCCCCGGACCCCTCACGTGAAGCGCATGAACAATGGTTGATATAAAATGTAATGAATGCTTGGAAGTAGTAGTCTTCCAAGGATTAGTCTGTATAACTTCACGAAAGAACTCTATCTAATATCACCACTCTTTATCTGCCTGACCCTTTGACGTCAACCTTAACAGTATCCTAGAGATATATAAAGACATTCTTAATAAAATCCAAGAAGAGCTATATATAGAGAAGTTGTAAAAGCTAGAGAAAGAGAAGCGTAAAGAGTATAATATTACTAGGCCTAGAATACTATATCTACCTATTAATATTAATATTCTCCTATCTTACCCTCCTAGGGTTAACACAACAGCTCCAAAGCCGACTATTGGCTTAGCTCAGTCGAAGGATATAGGCCCGTGAAAAATTTCCAGGTTCAGAGATGTTGTTGTTAAAGAATATAGTAAGTGGCTTATATTAAATATTTCTAATAAAACCCTCAAAGCTGTTTTTTAACAAGTATCCGACGTAATGCTATTAAATGGCTTCAATCTTGAGCACATCTACAGTATAAGGATCAAAATCCAGAGTTCTTCGTTAGCAAGAGGATCAAACCCGGAATTACCCGAAGTTCTATATAAAACATCCGTGACTGGATAGAAAACGTAAAGAAGGCGATACCCGTTCTTGAAGTGGTATAGAAAATGTGTTGGCGTTGAGTGCAGTTTTTTGGTGTTGTTTTAGTTTGACTTGGATATATTTATTAAAATAGAGAATAGAGCAGGACATTGCTCCTATGATAATTTCAGTGTACACTATTCTTTGGTATTCGAATTGGCGTTCGGATATCGTAATATTTGGCATATCTGCGGAGAAGAGAGGAAATTACCAGGCTAGCAAGGCATAGAGGACGTTGGACAAATGATAGGAGTGAGTGCTTAGCAGCTTTCAAGTCACCTGATGGTGGAGCTGAGATTACTTGGGGGAAGTTCAGTACCCATTTTGACCAAGAACCCAAACACAGTGCACGGCGGGTTAACGATGACCTCTCCATCTTTTGAAAATGCAAATTCGGAATTCCAGGTGGGGATAAATCAAGGGTCGATATACCTTTCCCAAGGTAAGTTTCCAAGGGCATGCAAAACAGGTTCCGGCGAATCTTAAAGTTGACTAACAGTGGCTTCGCCTTCCTAGAGCGATCGGAACCCCGCTTCGAGCCTCTGTCAACTGTACCATTCCAGCGCGACCCAGACTTCGTTTGTCGTGATGGACCCCTCAACCAAATTCACCAAAGAGCCTCTCTCCCGGGGGCCAGAATAGTCCTCGTCGGTCTTGGTGGCGTTGGGTTCGGGGCACACACGGTCTCAAGGATGCCTTATTAATGCTGACAATGGAGTAGGAAAACACAGCTTGCCATCGAATACTGCCACTGGGTGCGACAAAGATCTCCGGAGACGTGGGTTTTCTGGATTCATGCGAGTAACGCGGCCCGCTGCGAGAAAAGCCTCCGGGACCTTGCCGATCGAGTTGAGATTCCTGAGCGAGATGACCGCAACGCGAATATATTCCAACTAGTCGGGAAATGGCTACAAGACAAGAGGATTGGAAAATGGATTCTCGTCCTAGATAATGTCGATGATGACGAGCTCATTCGCAAACCTTTAGCAACCGGTACGGAGAGCCAATCAAGCAGCCCGATCAATGCATCGACGCAGCCGCCGCTATGGTACCTCCTCGAAAGCTCAAATGGCTCCATTATTATCATTAGTCGGAGTAAAGGAGTAGCGTTGAACATCGCTAGTCCTAAGAATCTCATCGAAGTACAACCAATGGAAAAGTCTGAAGCGATGGACCTGTTACAGAAAAAAGCAGATATACCTGCAGAGAGTGAAGACATAGCGCCCCTGGTGGAGGCCCTTGAATTCATGCCACTTGCGATCGTACAGGCTGCCGCCTATATCACGCACCGTTCACCTCGATGTTCAGTATCTCAATACCTTGAGAAAATCCAGAAGAGTGATAGGGAAGCAGCACAGCTGCTTAATTACGCGGCAGGCGTTCTTCACCGAGACTGGGAAGCCAAGAACTCTATTCTGGTCACTTGGCAAATCTCCTTTGACTATATCCATGGTCTAAGACCGTCTGCGACAGGCCTTCTTTCTCTTATGAGCTTTTTTGATCGTCAAGGAATTCCTGAGAGCATTCTCCGAGTCCGGCAAAGCCAGGAAACTCACAGAGATATATCCCCTGGAGAAAATGAAGATAGTTCCGGTGAAGAGGGCGAAGGCAGCTTGTCTGGCTCTGACACTGATCAGTGTTTTGAAGACGATATTAGCACACTTACCGACTTTGCATTAATTTCAATCGGCGAGCAAAGCACGGTATTCATAATGCATCGACTAGTGCAATTGACCGTGCGCACTTGGATGAAAACTAATGGCCAGCTTGAACAGTGGAAGAAAATATTCATCAGTAATCTATATTGGATGTTTCCAACCGGGCAATACGAAAACTGGGAAAGGTGCCGATCGCTCTTTCCACATGTTTGATCGGCTCTTTCCAACCGTCCCGAATCACGAGATTCTCTGGAACAATGGGCAACGCTCCTTTATAGGGGCGTTTGGTATGCGCAAGAAATTGGGAATATAACGGACGCGACAGAAATGGCACTGAAGTCAAGAAAGCAGAGATTGAAATTTTTTGGCGCAGAAAATGAAAAAACCCTTCAGAGTACTGCAATATTAGCGGCAGCATACAGTGACGAGGGCCTGTGGAAGGACGCTGAGCAGCTCGAAATGCTGGTGATGGAAACTCGCAAGACCAAGCTCGGCGAGGACCATCCCGACACACTAACGAGTATAGCCAACCTGGCGTTAACGTATAGCGCTCAGGGCCGGTGGGAGGAGGCCGAGCAGCTCCAGGTGCAGGATATGGAGACGAGCAAGACCAAGCTCGGCGCAGACCATCCCGACACGCTGACGAGCATGGCCAACCTGGCGTTAACGTATATGGAACAGGGCCGGGTAGAGGACGCTGAGCAGCTCCATATGCAAGTGATAGAGACTCGCAAGACAAAGATTGGAGAGGACCATCCCGACACACTATGCAGTATGGCCAGTCTTGCTTTCACCTGCAAATCTACAGGTCGAAAAGCCGATGCTATGAATTTGCTGAGGATCTGCGTAGCTAAGCAGCAACTATTCATAGGTCCTGCTCATCCTGACACTGTGCTCAATTCCAACACTTTGCTGGAATGGGAAACTGAGGAGCTTGGTACCGATTCGCATTTCATGAAAAGTACCTCGGTTTATTGATGTCATAGCCAATGGCTTTTGCAGTGGGCGCGTTGTGTACAGTCAACATGCAAGTCAAGTTTGAACATAATTCTAACATATAAACGGACTATACGTTACATTATCAATCATCTACAACCTCAACACCCAGACCTACATGCCTAAAATGGCCCTAAGCACTTTCTTCTCTTACCCCAACCTAATTAATACACCATTCAAAAAAAAGGCCGTATCCTTAAGCGGGATCTTCTACGTAGTAGCTCCAATTACGTCTTATAAAGCTTTTTAGCTCCGCAAAAAACTCTTCAATTAGATTCAAATCCGGTAAGTACAAAAGCAAATAAACCAATTTACTCCTACGTCGGCACACATCTACGAAAGCCGCTCCAAATAGTAGAAAGATATATTATCTATAACTGAAATAGACTTCAGCTCCGGCCGTCTACCACAATATTAAAAAAAAATTCATCGATAAAGTCTTTAAGTATAGAGGCATCCGTTAAGCTACGAAAAGTACAAAAAAAAATTACTATACTGTCTTAAGTATATACAGATAGAATTTGATACCACTCATTACAATAGAACTATGTATAACACTTATTTAAGTACTACATCTAGTAGTAACCAGCCTTTCCGTCAAAACCCAACCCGCTTATCACATCTAGATTCATTAACATAAATAAGGTAGTACGACTCAAAGTCAGAGAGATTATAAAATATAACTCTCGCAAGTCAGTATTCTACTCTTTAGCCTTCTATTAAATAGTCTTTCTGGACCAGCCTTTAGACACAGGGGCCCTCCTAATACTGGAGGCTATTGCAAACATCTGGAATTTATCCTATAGAAAGAGAGCCATCTCGTCGATGTACAAGCCTAGCTTTTCGAGCAGATGATCGCACAGCGCTTCTAGCATCGTAGATGTTAAGCTTCGTCTCCGACTGTATATATTAATATTGAAAACTCGTTACTCCAAAGCTCATATATGAGTCAAATCCAATCTCTAAGTCAAAGTCGGCAAGTGCACTATCCGCTGTCGGCTCCGACCCGACAGCGGCCCCACAAAGCATTAGCGATGTCAACGCTTAATATTGCTTTCTGAGTCTAGTACCTAAGACCCCATTGTCTCCATTCTGTATTCCAGATTCCAGATTCTAGATTCCACATAAGTGCAAGCAACCTCTGACTCACATCTTTGAAGGATTGAATCCAGAAAGAATATTTAAGACAACATGTATCTCATCTTACATCTTCATTCGATCACAGCCCACGAGTATTCCAATTGCTCGACTTCACCTTTACCAGACCTAGAAGCCTGGGCTAGCAACTTGAAACACATTTCAAAATGGAGGCAATCAAACAAGTCTTCGCGACCTGCAAAGCAGACAATCGCGCCGCGCTGGTTACATACTTAACAGCCGGATACCCCGATATCAATGAGACAGTTGAGATAATGCTCTCAATGCAATCTGGAGGCGCAGGTATGTTAACAAAGAATACCGAGACCTTTCAATGGACTCAAATAAGTTAACTTTATACAGATGTTATCGAGCTCGGTATCCCATTCACAGATCCTCTGACGGATGGAACAACAATTCAGAACTCAAACGCCGTGGCACTTCAAAATGGTGTCCGGATCCCAAATATGCTCTCCATGGTCCGCCAAGCAAGACAGAAGGGACTATCCGCTCCGGTACTACTAATGGGATACTACAATCCTGTACTTGCGTATGGAGAGGAGAAAATAATTCGGGATTGTCGCGATGCAGGCGTGAATGGATTTATCATCGTTGATTTACCGCCAGAGGAGGCAGTGCGGTTCAGAGATTTGTGTAAACGGGATGGGTGAGTTGACTACTATTACTTTAACTTTCTATCCAAAAATGGCTAAGTAATGGCTAACAATATAAAAAGGCTTTCCTACGTTCCTCTCGTCGCACCCGCAACTCCAGACTCAAGGATGAAAATGCTCTGTGGAATTGCGGACTCATTCATATACGTCGCCTCTCGGATGGGAGTAACCGGTGCCACCGAAGCGCTGGATGAAGGGCTAGAAACACTTCTTAAGCGCGTCCACCTCTACACAGGGGATGGTGTTCCAGCCGCAGTTGGTTTCGGGATCAACACAAGGGAGCACTTTGTGAAAGTCGCACGTATCGCGGAGGGGGTGGTAATTGGCAGCAAAATCATCACTGTGCTACGAGATGCACAGCCTGAAAAAAGAGCCGAGGCGGTCCAAGAATACTGCATGCATGTTAGTGGACGAACAGAGCCCAGAGTTATCTCAAATGAACCTGCAAAATCGCCATCGCCATCACCATCCAAGGACCAAAATGAGCAAAGCGCACCAATTCAAATCACCCAATCAATTTTGAGCAACGCAGACAAACATATGCGCTTCGGCCAATTCGGCGGCCAATACGTTCCGGAAGCTTTGATGGAATGTCTTACAGAGCTAGAGGAAGGGTTTCAAAAAGCAAAAGTCGACCCAGCCTTTTGGGCTGAGATTCGCTCTTTCGACGCATACACGAATAGACCCTCGAATCTCCATCTCGCTCCGCGTTTAACAGCCCATGCAGCTGGTGCGCGTATCTGGTTAAAGCGCGAAGATTTGAACCATACAGGAAGTCACAAGATCAATAATGCACTGGGACAAATTGTCCTAGCGCGTCGACTGGGAAAGACGGCTATCATTGCTGAAACAGGTGCGGGACAACATGGCGTAGCGACAGCAACGTTGTGTGCGCATTTCGGACTCAAATGTACGATTTTCATGGGTTCTGAAGATGTCCAGCGACAGGCGCTGAATGTGTTTAGGATTAAATTGCTTGGCGCAACTGTCATTCCTGTTCCTGGGGCGAAGGGAGAAAAAGGCACCCTTCGGGATGCGGTCAATGCTGCGTTTAGAACGTGGGTAACTGAGCTTAAAACGACGCATTTTGTTATCGGCTCTGCATTTGGACCATACCCATACCCTGGGATTGTGCGAACACTTCAATCTGTCATTGGAACTGAGACCCGTGAACAGTTTCAAGCTGAGAAAGGGAAACTGCCTGATGCCGTTGTTGCATGTGTGGGTGGAGGATCTAATGCTTCGGGAATGTTTCATCCGTTCTTGGAGGATGAGAGTGTTGCATTAGTTGGAGTTGAGGCGGGAGGTAATGGGGAAGAGATTGGACAGCATTCTGCGACATTGGGACGTGGAAGTGTTGGTGTTTTGCATGGGGTGAGGACTTACGTGCTTCAGGATGAGGATGGTCAGATTTCTGATACGCATTCTATTTCTGCGGGATTGGATTATCCCGGTGTTGGGCCGGAGTTGTCTGCTTGGAAGGAGTCTGGACGGGCTAGTTTCATTGCTGCTACGGATGAGGATGCGTTGGATGCTTTCCGGTTGTTGAGTCAGACTGAGGGTATTATTCCGGCGTTGGAGAGTGCGCATGCTGTTGCTGGGGCTGTTAGGGTTGCGAGGGAGCTTGGTCCGGATAAAGACGTTGTTATTTGTCTTTCTGGGAGGGGAGATAAAGATGTCCAGACTGTGGCTGCTTTGATGGGAGAGACTTTGGTCTGAGAGAGCTCTAGGGGTGACCTATTTGATGGTTTCAAAATTCGATATGTATACTCAAGTGCTGTTCTTAGCCTATTTAGATTTGATATTTCAAATTCAACTCAAATGTTCATATTCAGCCTTGGAACAATCCAGAACCTTGAAAGGTGTATCTTGATATAAGAAGAAATTATGTAAAATTAATTATCCAACCTGGTGTTCAGGGCCAGGTACAATGTGTACTAGTAGTTATCTATATGTGCCCATTTATCATGATGTAGGGACCCCACCATCCATGAAGGTAAAAGCGTCTCGGAGTCTAGCCCGGACTTCTAGCCCATTAATTTTTTGCCCTCTTCGCTAGACGCAAGATGGAAGAATTGAATCTTCCGAATAGCATGTCCCTTCCACATGAGGAGCATGACAAAAAAGAACGAAAAGACAGCAAAGAAAGCCATCATTCCATATACCCATCCAACATCCACAGCTGCAACCCACGGGTTGATATAGAAAGTGATAGTCAACCCATAGACAATGCGATAGGCGCCAATCACAATGCCCGCCTCAGCAGGATAATTCGTAAAGGACTCAACGACATAGTTAACGGTAACAGGCACACTGGCCAATGAGCCGATAGTTACAATAAACACTGCAAGAGCTAGGACCATGTAATGGAGATGATACTGGAGTGCTGCACCAAAGATTCCAAGACCAATTGGGTTCAAAATCAGACTCGGTATCCACAGGACATGAAGTCTGTATTCGGGCTTCCAGACTCCATTGTTGTAGCGACGGGCCAGCGCAAGAGGGAGTCGGTCATTGAGCCAGTGTCCGTAGAATTGGACGACAATGATACCAATCCAATGGCAAAAAGTGAAAGCGGCGTTTTGTTTCAATGAGAAACCGTAACCACCGGCTGAAACGGGCTTTTGAAGCCAGACGGGCGTGAGAGCGTTGACACCGACATAGAAGCCAAAGGAGATAAGCGTGAATACTCCCATGATGATTGTTACCGGGCAAATTCCAATCAGAAAGGGAGTGACGGCAATTTTAGCCTATGAAATATTAGTTTAGCTCCCTTGATTAATTTATTTCAAAGATGACAGGGATATGTACCGTTTCTTTCCATGTCGTTGGGAGTACAACGTGATGTCCAAAGAAGAAAGTAGCGAAGCGATTAGCAACAAGACTTTGCGGAATATCGGGATTGCGATCGAAATTTTCGCGGTCAAATCCTGTTTCTTCAAGGAAGCAAAAGCAGCAAATGAGTGTGAATCCAAGTAAACCGACGGTCCACCAGAACTCCACCGGGAAAAACACGTCGGCGGAGATAAAACCGGAGAAGGTCGGACCAGCAATGGTACCAAATAGGAATGCCATGTGCAGAAAGGTAAATGCCCGACCACGCTGGTGTAGGTAGAATAGATCGGTGACGATGCGCGGGCCAAGAACCGTAGGTACTGCGCCGAAAAATCCGGAGAAAAGGCGAGACATGATAAATGGGATGTAGTCGTTGGAGTGGGTCATGACGGCTCCCCAGACCTGACAGATGAGTGTACATAGTATACACCAGAAGATAACGGAGCTCCGGCCAAGGAGGTGAGATATAGGTGCGAAGAAGAACGGGCCCGCTGCCATGCCCGCCAGGGCAGCGGAATTCTGTAGCAAGTTAGACGTATTCGTATAGTCGTATAGAGGTAGAGGTATAGATGCAACTGTAAAACAAGTGAAGAGATCAAGTTCGTACCGCATATGCTTCTTGTATCTTATTCTTGCCATACAGCTTCTCCTGATCCGCAAGGTTCAGTTGTCCCGACAGAGGCGCAACCGCGCCAGAGAAAGACGCGAGACATAGTACAGCTGCGATGAGATACTTCCGCCTCAGAGACCAGTTCTGTTTTAAGGTTACGGTTAGTGCCTAATACCCCCGGCAAATTCGACAGGATGATGCATTATCACGACATACCAGGGGGTCGCGGGGGTGGGTACTAGGCTGAGGAATAAGAACGAGGTGCTCTTCGTGGCTTGGCCCATCGACCGCAGAGTCAGCTTTAGGCTTGCTCTCGATATCCTGTGGACTTTTGACGTCCATTTTGCACACTTCCTTGGCCTTATTGAGCTCTAAGCAGAAGCACACGTGCAGGAGGAGCTTTGGAGCTTGAGAGTTCCCTTGAATTTTTTTTAAACGAGATCTGCTATGTCCAACAAGGAGCTGAAATTGTCTTGGCGGGGGCCCCAGGGCAATTTTCTATTTGCTTGCCGACCGGGGTAGACGCGTCACTTAGTGGGTTCGGGGTTAAACTAAATACAGAAAAGGCTTGTATGTTTTTCAGGGATTAAGATTAGGGATTATTTAGCACAATAGGCTGATATAGCGACCCAGGCAGGTATCGAAGAAGGAACGGGATGTAGCAGATCTTGGCCAGGAAGCTTGGCTGTTCAATAAGTGGTAAGAACCTCGAAGATCGGCCTTCTCCATTATGATCACGTCTAGTATTCGTCTAGTATTCGGCTGCGACCGAGATTGAAGTCCGATCAGGGTCTCAAGGGTATCGACTTTGTCATATCGAGCTGTGGAGTCTAAAGAGCCAGTTTACCTTCCCTGCAGGAGAGTAAAGGAAGATCTGGGGCCATTCACAATCGTTCATAACAAATCGCGACCCAATGTCGAAAAAAGGCTCCACTTCGGAGAAAAAAAGAGAAAAGAGAAAAGACAAAAGAGAAAAGCTCAAAGCTCGAGACCCACGACTTCGGCAACAGAATCAACCGCCGAGCAGCCCAACATTGAAAAGATGGCCCCAATCACGAAAAATTCATGATCGACATTCACTTCCCATTTCACATAGAAAGAAAATATAGACATGCGACATTGCATGGAACCGATCAATCTCTACTAATTTTCCATTTATACATCCCTACCCCTTCAATATGGGACCTAATCAAGACGTGGAAGCGCAAAAGCCATTGCCGCAACTCAATTCCCCGCATGACTCAGATACAGAGACAGAAGAACCCAAACCTGACAAGCTACAACCACCAACTGGCTATGCTATCCCATTTTGGCGAAAATGCTTAATTCTCTTCGTCGTCAGTTGGATGACTCTTGCAGTCACTTTCTCAAGTACATCTTTATTACCCGCCACACCAGAAATCGCAGAGGAATTTTCAACGACCTCGGAAATTCTCGATGTGATTAATGCGGGGGTGCTCATTGCCATGGGCTTTTCGTCATTTATCTGGGGCCCCATTACAAATGTATTTGGGCGGAAGACTGCTTATAATGTCGCTATTATTATTCTTTGTGGCTGCTCGGCTGGCACGGCTGCCTCTATCAATTTGCATATGTTTATTGCCATGCGCTTGCTCAGTGGATTCACGGGGACCTTTTTTATGGTCGCTGGACAGACTATTATTGCCGATATCTTTGAGCCGGTTGTTCGTGGGACAGCTGTGGGTTTCATGATGGTTGGGTCGGTTAGTGGACCTGCTATTGGTATGTTTTAATATAGATTCTTCTTTGTCTAAATAAGCGAGAAACCCCGTGGAGACTAACAAAGATCATAGGTCCCTGTATTGGAGGTCTGATCGTCACCTTCTCCCACTGGCGCATCATCTACTGGCTCCAGTTCGGTATGACCGGGCTTGGCTTAATACTATCTATGCTTTTCGTACCAAGCCTCGAAGAAAAGAAACAAGGAGAGAAGAAACAAGTTCGGAACTTATCCTTTGTCCTGAGCATGTTTAATCCGCTCCGCATATTTGGACCCTTCATTTACCCAAATATCTTTCTCTGCGTATGTATCAACCCCCATTACCCAGATACCCCTGCTAACAAATAAAAGCATCTCACTTGCGGTCTCCTAGCAACATTTCAATATGCACTACTGACATCCGCTCGGACAATCTTCGATCCCCGTTTCAACCTAACATCCCCATTAATCAGCGGTCTTTTCTATCTTTCACCAGGAGTGGGATTCCTGATTGGCAGTGTTATGGGCGGCAAATTGTCCGACCGCGCTGTTAGAAAATGGATCGTGAAGCGCAATGGTGTGCGTCTCCCTCAAGATCGCTTGAATAGTGGCTTGATCACTCTGTTCTTAGTGTTACCCATTGGAACTCTGATCTATGCCTGGACACTGGAAGAAGGTGTGGGTGGCATGCCTGTCCCAATCATCGCTGCCTTCTTTGCTGCCATCGGACTTTTGGGCTCGTTCAATGGATTGAACACATACTCGGCTGGTAAGTGGTATCAACATGAATTTATCATGATTTACCTCTAACAAATTTATCTACAGAGGTCATGCCACACATCAGATCTGAGGTGATCAGTGGTAAATATGTTGTGCAGTATTTGTTCGCTGCTGGGGCCACTGCGGCTGTTGATCCTTTGATCAAGGCGATTGGGGTTGGTTGGACATTTACCATTTGTGAGTTTAACGATGATACACAACCTTGGAATATAATTCTAACATGTCCGAATAGGTGTGTTCTTTGCCCTTATCGGGGGTGTGAATGTCTGGATTATTACAGTGTGGGGGATTGACATGCAGCGATGGGTAGAAGGGAAACTCGGCGTTGAAGCAAAGCCTACATGATTCAAGTTTTTATGACGAGACGCATCTAATAACGCGACGATAACGATATAGAAGATAGATAGGCATAGATTCAAGGTAATTATACATCATACATCATACAACTTATACATTTGCATCAAAATCAGTTCTCATAATACACCCAATATCGTTATCGCATTGTTAAGACTGAAATATTCACGATATGGTAAACGATATCGTGAACATCTCTAGACAGTGTGTGGTGTCGATGGTCGATGGAACATTACAATCAACACAGCTTATGGCGTCATTAAAGCCTATAGACCCCCAAATCCTGTGAAGAAACGGTCTTCTGTCCGAACGTCAAAAGAGACCGTTGTCGAGTCCCCACTACGGAGAAGCGATATCACAATATGATTGGCTTCGGCGCCATTCCCTCTTGAGCCTTCGGTCGAAAACTCCGACGCCTCGGCAGGAACCGGAAATCGCCGAGAGAATCTAACTGAGTAACTTGAGCACCTCCGAATCTCCTCACTGACCAATCCCGAGGCCTGTAATGGGCTTTACAAAATGACGCGAAGTATAGGGCTGAAAAAACGACCACTATCCGCCGAAGATGAAGATGGTCAACGACAGAGGAGGAAGTTTGTCGCGTGCGTAAATCCGAACCGTGCGCAGAAGAAAAAGAAATACCGCTGATCATAGGCCGAACAGATGTCAGCGATGTCACGCACATAAAATTAAATGCTCCGGAGAACAGCCATGCAGCAAATGCTGTGCTGTAGGCGTCGCAGAGGAATGCGCATATGCGTCTCGCGATCGCCAGGTCAAAGTTAGCGAGAAGTATGTTTGACCTGCCTTACCATATTGTATTTGTTTTTGGTTGTCGGATCACACGAATGATCATCGGGGAATGGTCTGTGCTAAGGTTGACGGCTCACTTTCCAGGTACCTTGACCAGCTCATGGCTGAAAACCAGCGCTTAAAAGAACAGTCGGTAACTTCGGCCGATGCGACCGAAGCACAAGATCCTCCTCATACGGAAAGGTATGTCATATCCCAATCATACATAGGCGCAGTATGCTCATTAGTATACCCAGGACAGTCTCACGTCCAGCAGAGGCTCCAGACGCCACGAGTATACAAAACCCTCTCATAGGCGACCGTGCCTGGTTTCATCGCTATGACCCGTCATCGCCGCCGATATACGTCGGCGAAGCGGCATGTTCGGCTTTTGCTACGCGCTTTCGCCGTTTCTTGACCGGCAACAATGCAACTGCGCATATCACTAGAACGCAATGGACACGCGAAGAAACAATCGTTGCTGCTGCGAACGAAGCCGATGCTGAATGGCCTAGTTTGCATCATGCTCGCTTACTGGTTAGGATCGCAATCCACCAGATCGGATACTTGTACCATCTTATGATGCGCAAGGCCACGTTGGATAAATTAGAGGAGATCTATCAAACGGGTAACTTCTACTGTGTAACGAACAAGTGCAAGTTTTTTGCCCTGTTTGCGTTTGGGCAAGCTTATTCCATTCGCTCGGAGTCGACCTCTGGATCTAGAGTCCCGGGAATAGCATACTTTGCAAAGGCCATGAGCTTAGTTCAAATTCTCCCAGAGCGAACAAGCATCACTCATCTGGAGACTTTGTTGCTGCTTGTAAGTTGCATCTATCCCTGAATTCACAACAATGATACACTAACGCTCATAATCATAGTCACTTTTCTCATATTATCTCAATCGTCGTCACTCTGCATATGTATTGATTGGAACTGCCATGCGTCTGGGCTTAACCATAGGCTTAAATCACAATATTCCCGAGTCTCAGCTTATCGACCCTGTGGAACGACAACATCGCATTGAAATCTGGTGGACGATCTATATTTTTGATCGTATGTGGGGCTCCAAGATGGGTCTACCCATGCAGATCCTTGATGAGGATGTTCACGTCGATATGCCAACAAATATTTCTCCGCGCTGGAAGCATGACGAAGAATTGTCTGATACTGAATATATGACAGCTAACATAAAGCTGGCACGTATAGTGGGGGAAACGATCACAAAACTCTACAGCCGCCGCAAATATCAAGAAACATTTCTTCAACGCGTGCAAAAGCTTTTAAAGGCCCTGAAAAACTGGGTTGATGATTTACCCGAGAGTCTGCGATTGAACATGGAAGACCTGGAGTCGAGCAAGAAACCTCTTGTTTCATTGCATATGGCATTCAACCAGTGCATTATTCTTACCACACGCCCAACACTCCTCCATCTACTTATTACACTTCGCAAAGCCGAGTCCACGGGCGCAGGCCAAGAAGCAGTCTCACAGCCCGTCCTCACACTCAGCGAAGCTTGTATTCATGCAGCCCGTCATTCACATTCTATGATCCTTACGCGCTGGATTAACGGCACGATGCCAACATTCGGCTACTTCCACGCACACTACCTCTTCTCATCCGCACTTACTCTAGCAATGTCGAGTTTTGTTCCGATTGGAAACGCGTCCGATCTAAGTGGATTTGACTCTGCACTAGACCTATTACGTTCCATGACGGAGAACGGAAACCTAGCTGCTGCTGAGTTCTACACCAATCTCGAGCAAGTAAAGGTTTGCCTAGATGCATACAGAGAAAATACGTGTACCCGATCGCGACATAATGAGGGACGACTAGATAATAACCTGCAGCATGTTACAGGCCTCGTTCCCCAGTCTACAAATAATATTCCGAGTACGGTTCCTGCGCTCGGCCCCGCTCCAAACGCAGTGCCTGTCCCACCAACATCGCAGATGACTTCATCTTCTATAACTCTCTCAAACCCAATTTCTGGCACCCCTGCAGCTTTGGTGTTACCTAATGAATCTGAAGTTCTTTCTGGGCAGCCACCGAGTGGCGCTGACACGTATGCAGTACCTACCCGTGATAACATCAGTGGATACACTACGGAGATGGCATTTTTGGAACCAACGATGCAAGATTTCCTAGCACAGTCTGATATTGATCTCGGGTTATTGCATCCCGTTGATACGTTTCTGAGCGAAGCAGAGAACTTGTATACCTGTCATGAGCTATAAACATAAGCAAGACTGGAGAAAATGCGGTTCAGACATTGCGAAACCCGAAGGAAAGCAAAAGAATTGACGGAAACTGGGACTCTTCCCATAAATTGTAAATAACGACAGGTATATGAATATTATGAATCCTTCTCAATCAAACGCCATAAAAATCACATGCATTATTCATTAGAGTAAGTAGTCATCAAAGTTTCGGGTTGATTTTTATTTCCTAGTAGGAACCTCTTCCATCGCAGGTAACTCAACGGGAAATTCTTTACCAGATCGCCTAAAAGGCAATTTATAACCAGTGGACGTATCTGGTAACTCAGTGGCAAAGCTTTTAGCTGGAAGTTCCTGACTATATTGATTATACCCCGGTGGTGAAGCATGATAGCTGGTAGGCATTTCCGACCGAGAAGAAGACAATGATCCCCACCGCGATATACCAGTCGGTGACTGTGGAAAGGACATAGTAGGCGACATTGATTCTGTATTCATCCGGCTTCGAAGTCGTGAAGAATCAGACTTATCGGCAGGATTGAAAGTCTTCAACTTGCCATCTTCAAACATAGCCTGCAAGGCGCCTGAATCAAGAAGCTCTGCCTTCTTAATCAATCGATCCACAAGAACCTTCGAAGCAGCTTTTAATTGACTCTTCACAAAAGACATCAATGCGATACTGCATTTGATCTCGACTTCCTCGAGAAGATATAGCCCACTTGCTGGTGCATCGGGTACGCGTTGCGGATCAAGTGGTTCATCAGGATGATTTCCTCCAATTCGAAAATTACTCTTGAGATCGATTCCCATCGGAGGATAGGTATGTGTTTTGAGTCCCCAGGCAGCATTTTCAAATGAGCCTTTAAAGCTTATCTTTCCGGCCCCCAATTTGCCGAAGCCGGGAACATATTGAACCCGTTGTGCGATCTCGTACCAGGTTGAATAATATTCGTCTGCGTGAGCAGTGCGAGGGGCGGGGACCGGGTGGTGATCAAGTACAAGTGGATTGAGCGTGATTATTTCGCTGTGGCTGTGTAGGATGTCCAGAGCTAGTTGTCGTGGGACATTTGATGGGAGGGGCGTAATGTTCGTGTATAGTTCTTTCCTTTGCATCATATTGAGAGATGTTATTCTGCGACTGGGGACGATCGTGTTGAGAGTGAGACGGACAGGGAGAGGAAAAAATTCGAATGAGTCCGGTTGAGTTGGAGCCTCGTATTCTCTGCGCTTATGGGATGAGCTGACTGTTCCAAAAAAAAAAAAAATAAACATTTAGTCTGATGGATCCTGTCAGCTTCTTCCCACGGTCTATACGACACACTCCGTTCTCCGTGCTCCGTGCGTGGAACCCCTCCACACCTGGACACGCTTATGACTTTCAGAACGCGTGGTGATTGGTCAAATCATCGCCGAATGGCCTATTGAGGATTGACTTCATAAATGCCGACCGTTGTCTTTGATATTCCAGCCTTGTAGGAATTAATTTTTAAAAGAATTCCTTTGCAACAGGCTTTCAATGTCGTTTATCGAATAATGGGAGACTTCCTCAAGGATACCTGAATATATTGCTATTTAACAGCTTATATTGGCAAATTTTCTCATTAATGCGATGAAACCGCTCAACGGTTTCCTTTTTCTTCTTTCTTTTCTTTTTTGTGTATTGATTCCCTGCGCGATGCAAGCATTTAAATGTTTTAGCAACCCACAATAAAGCGCACAATACCCGGCCCCGCACTGTGATGTATCTGCACATATTTTGTGTTTAAGGCAAGCAGTCAGTCAATTATTGCTGTTCAAAATCCGAGGTTCCAAGAATCCGCCGCTATTCCTCGTCCGCCAAGAGGTTTGATACACTAGAAAAGCAAGCTATTTTTGGATGGCATGGCTGATAGGATAGAAGACGAGACCCTTTAGCGACTACTTTTCGGAAATAGTGACATCAAACCCGAGTGGAATACTATCATGATGTCTCCCGGTGAAATTCTCACTCTATAAGTACATGCTTAAGTATATAAAGAACTTGAAAGCCGATCTCATCAAAGCTTGTGACTGCTAATCAAGGTTGATGGGGCCGAAGCCCTAGACTAAATTCATTCAATTCCCCGCAAAATAAAAAGGAGAAAAAAAATAACACGTTCCCGCGGCTTCAATGTGTTTACAGCTTGAGTATGGGGGGTATAGTGCTCAAATCGGTGGTGTCTCGGGCATCTGGCACTCTTGCTGAACTCACATGGGCAGCTCTCTGGCCCGTGGTCTATTTGACATCAGACCACTAAATTTCGTGAAATTAAACTGACCACAATAGTCCCGGATCAGCATGGGCCGATCACCAAGCTTGGCAAGCTGAACATTGTAAACGCTCTGATGCATGCCCCGGGAGATTCAATCTCGGGCTCGTCTAGCCTATTCGAGGTTATGATCGCCAACTGTTCCGCCGGTTAAGGGAAAGATTGCAAAATCATCGTATTCCTATCGTATACAAGCCGAGGATATCCAGGGATTTCTTCTCCTCCTTTTTGAATGAAAGGAATATTCATCCATGTGAAGAGGCCGCCGATGGAATTTTAAGAGGAATGCTGGCATATTTAAAATCATCAAAACCACCCCCTTTATTTCTGTAAACAGAGACACTGTAAAAGTGCCTCGCTCATCAGAATGCTGTCTTTGGCCATATCATTACTAGCTGGTGTTGTCTTACCTGTCGCAGCAACATCGGCAGGTCCATCCGCATGCTCAAACATAACGTCGCAACTGGGCTCATCGAAAATTACGACCAATGAATTGAGCTTGAATTATGTTGGTAGCACCGAATACTGGAACACACTCCAGGGTGACTATAAACCATCCTGTGTCGTTTATCCGGAGTCTGCTCAAGATGTTTCCGTCGCTATCCAGGCAGTTCGTGCTGCGGGAAGTCGCTTTGCAATCAAGGCAGGCGGCCATAACCCGAATACATTCTACTCCTCCGTCGATAAAGGGGTTCTTTTGGACTTAAGCAGCATGACAGCTAAATCGTACGACGAAGATACCACGCTAGCTACGTACGAGCCGGGCGGCGTATTCGGCGATGTATACGAATACTTTGCAAAGTGGAATCGCACCGTTGTTGGTGCCCGCCTTGCGGGCGTAGGAACTGGTCTTGCCTTAGGTGGTGGGATGAGTTACTTATCGCCCCAGTACGGCATGGCTTGCGATTCCTTCCGAGAGCTGGAGATTGTCTTACCCGATGGACAGATAGTGACTGCGTCGAACGAAACCAATCCCGACTTGTTTTTCGCATCTCGTGGTGGCGGCGGCAACGCGTACGGGGTTGTAACAAAGTACACTGTTCAAAGTCGACCGATCGGTGAATTCTGGGCAGGAAACCTCATCTATTTATTTGCGCAGAAGGACAATGTCGTCGAGGCAATTGGAAACTTCGTTAAATACAATACCGACCCTAAGGCCGCCATCATCGGCACTTACGAGAAGCTGCCTACTCCGGATCTTAATCTTAATCTGGATGAAGCTATCATCATGTTCTTGGTCTATGATGGTCCTGATCCAGGCAATGCATTCAAAAACTTCACCGATATCACCGCTTTGCTCGATACAACCGGGATCAAAACCTATAATGAAGTCGTCAATATGCCTATACCGATGTCAACAGAGCTCTCTGCTGGAAACAACATGTTCCGAGTCGGAGTCCACCGAGCAGGAAACAATTCCTATGAAAACGCGCTCGACGAATGGCGCAATTGGGCCGAGTCGAATAAGGGGAAATACATATTACTCTCGTTGGATTTTCAGCCTGTCCCTAAGAGTTTGACAGATGCTAGCTGGGCGCAAGGTGGCAATGCTATGGAAATGCCGGATGGGCCGTGGTTCTGGCTGAATTACTTGATTAGTACGCCGCCTGATATGAGTCAAGCTGATTATGATGCTGTGCAGACGAGTTATCGGGATATGGTTAGAGCGACTGGTAATGCGGAAGGACTGCCTCTGTTTATTAATGATGCGAACCATGACCAGAATCCTTTGCAAACTTTCTCGGCGTTCGGAAAGTTGCAGGAGATCAAGAAGAAGTACGATCCGGATAGTTTCTTTGCGGATTATACTGGGGGCTGGTCTTTTGCATGAGTCTGACGTGTGTTGTATACGATTTAGTACATAGGAAATATTAAGATACCAAGCCTATATTGGTTGAAGCTATTGATTTTCTGATCTTCTTAAAAATATTGCCATTAAATGGATTTGCCTTTCTGCAGTGTATTAATATTCAAATTATAATGGTCTTGGTGTAAGCGAATAGTCTTGAACATGCATAAGCGCCGTTCCCGCAGAACTTTTAGTCTTCGTTCTAGGATGCCATGCCCATTGAACCCCATTCAATGAGATTCCTGGTATGCCATATGGGTTACAGGAGCAAACTTTAGTATTTTCTGTTCATTAGTAATCCCGAGACGCAAAACATTCTGTATTGAACGATATAACGCTTGGTTCATATCAATTAGCGCTTATTGGAAGAAAGAAACCTGAAGGGCATAGCCATTTGAAAGCTGGACCCAGACAATAGTTTAGTTTTTCAGGTGCCGAAACCCGGCATATTAGCCATTAGGTAGAGTTTAGGTGCCATATTTTGATCAGCGAACATTAGATTCGCACATGGGCATGAAAAAGCAGATAGGTTACTGAGCCCCCGTAAAGAGGTAAGGGGATTATTAGTTGGTATCATGGGAATGAGCTCAAAGAAAAGCATACATTTGAGTTCAAAGTCCTCTTTCCTTGGCGAATTAGCAGCTTAGAATGCAGATTTTTAAAGCACGATAAATGGTCAGCTATGCAATGAATAAAAGCAAGAACAAAAACCGAGGGACATGACAAGAAGAATAAGTTTCGGTTGGGTGCTTCAGGCCGACGATGTGTCCAAAGGGCGAGGTTCAAGGTCAACCTAACAAAGTAGGCAGTGCTGAGAGGTTTATAACCTAGAGCATGTTGTCAATCGACATACAAGGCAAACTTGAGCCCATGCTGCGAGAGAAGTTCCATACAGACAGACCAGGCTCTCAGGGAGGAAGTATCTCTGGTAGCCATTTCGCGTAGCCAACGAATTGCTTTTTTAATATCCCCGATGAGCCCGGCAGCTTCCATTGTACCCGGACTCGTACGGGTGAAAAGCTCAACTAATATAATAGTGGTTGACTGCATCATATGATGCAGAACGCCCCACCAGGGCGAGACCTGGTATAACAAGCAAATGTCCGTCTCATCCGGAAGAAGTGAAAACATATCACGGGCCACCTGTACGCATATCGATGCCATTGTATGACAGAGGGGCCCTGGTGTCGTTTCACCAGAGGGTTGATAAGCGAGGCGGCGCAGACAGGGTTGTGTGATGACGAGTTTAGTCGTATAAAAGTGGAAAGCCAAGCCGGTGCGCTGGGCCGCGAACGATGGATCTGCACCAAGTTGTGCGAAGCGATACTCTAATGGCAGCCGAAAGAGCCATACGTCAGCACTATTATTGAAGGTAGCCATTGCATTTTCCATCTCCAGCCATGAGCGTCGCGTTGCTCCAGGCGCGTATAGGGTTTCAATAGCTTTCCGCATAAGAAACGCCAAGTCCACTCCGTATAAGAAATAGAGAGATGTATTGGGGGCGAGATTGTCGATTTTTGACTGAGCAGATGCCAGTGTGCTTTGCTTTCCTTTCCCAGGCCCAAAGCTTGACGGCGGTGAGGGATCTGAACTATAATCACTGAGCTCAGACCAAAAGTCAACCTGCGACAGAAGCGACTTAAGTAAATCCTGTCGGGCGTTGTAATCCATTATAATTTGTTTGACACCTTCATCCCCGAAGTCTTCCTCGATGAAGGGTAGAGGTAGGGGTGTTGTGCAGAACTGAGTACCCGTGCTAGGAGGACGACCAATCATCACACATAGTAGGGTATCCAACATGAATAATGCCCACCAAACACGGTATCTGGTTTCCCTCGATATATGGGAAATATCACCACTCTCACTGCGAAGATTCAGACCCATGGCTACGGCCGACCGAATCCCGATTCCAATCATTCGCCAAGACCTGCAAAGATAATAAGAAACCCAACAAGTTAGCAGGTCCATGGGCAATAAATAAATGAATGGCAATGGTTGAGACATACCTATTGACTTGACCCGTAGCCAGAAGATAAAACGATGCCAGGCCCTCAAATTGCACTTGTTGAAGATTAGGATGATCCAACAGCGCGACGTTGCCTAGGCAGAGTCGCCACGCTCGCGAAAAATATGTGGAAGGATTACCAAGATCATCATCCACCGGTTGTTCGTTGACAAGAAGCGAGTGTTTGGCCGCGAGAGCAAATACCAAGTTCAAGATTGCCATCCATCGTTTCCCTGGGCGAAGGGTTGGATTTGAGTAGAATGATCGATACTGACTCAGGAATATTTCTTTCCCAATGATAGGAAATGCAGGATGTATCACTTCCAAAAATATGTCGACAAGTTTGTCGGCGCTGGACTGGGAGGGTCTTTCCAAAACGTCAACGACCTCGAGATTGGACATTCGTATATCCTCGTGAAAGTAATTCAGGGATGATATCGAAGGTCGCTCGGGAGTTTCGCCAATAGGTGTCGGGTTATCTTTGCCCAGGTCGCGCTTCAGTCTGTACAGCCAGGTCATTTCCGAGTGTTCACCAACGAACCCAAGCGCTTGCTTTTCATCGCGGTTAAAATCTTCCTCGGTGTGGTCGATTGCCGCCAAGGGATGATAGATACCAGCTCCATCGAATTGTTGGTCGGAATATTGTTGTTCGGATTGTTGGTCGGATTGGAGCGCTGGGGAGCCTAATGGCTACTCATTGGTTAATATGTTAGACTTGTGGGATGGGGTCAGGGGGAGGAGTAGATTAAGTAGATGAACGGTGGGTGTGTGGGCTTACTCTGACTAATTGACCACTAAGAGCCTGATCAACATACTGTGCCGAGGGAGAGTCAAGCCTTGGATAGAGTTCACGTAGAATAGCCTCATAGCTTTGGACCTGAGCTTTCAAATTGTTCACCTGCCTAACATAATTATGTTCATTAGAGAATATTCGTCAATTGCGCCAGGGAATGCCAACACACTTGATCATTTTCTCCCGTTTTCGATCACCATATGAGCAACGGATACCGGCATCCTTGCACCTGTTGCAAGTGGGATGATGACCACTGCATTTAGCCTTTTGTTCGCGACAATTCTCGCAGGCTCTGCTGGTCCGACCTGTGCTAGTCCATGATACACTTTGCGCGGAGCGGGGAATTGCGACTTTCGCATTTGTAGAGCGTTCTCCCGCGCTAGGCCCAGGGAGATCTTCAGAGCCTTGGACAAGCCCAGTAGAGAAAGGAAGCCCACTAGGAAATGGTCCCGGAACAGACCAGTCGTAGTTGAACGGTGCATACTCATTTTCTGCTACATTGGAAGGGGGTAGTTCGGTATTAGGCGGCCGCGAAGGATCCCGATCACTCATTGTGTGAGTGTCTTGGTTCCGAGGGAGACGACGAGGTGGGTAAACAAGAGGTGCAAGACGCCTTCAGTCTAACAGTTTCGAGAAATGGTAAAAGCCCTAAAGAGGGGCTAGGGGAAAACCATGTGTATTCCGGTGCCCTTGCGCTTAATTTTTTACCTTAAAACCCCCGATTCAGCATGGGAAAGAATAATACACACAAAAGTTGTGGCCAAAATCCCGAAGTGGGTTGGGCCCCCGAAATGCGATGCTCTGGTATGCTGGATCAGAAAGCCGCGGCGATTTGCCACTAATCCTTATCCGTTACCAACCCCAATAAAACAGCCACGTCGAGGCGCTGGGGCAGGCCAGGCCGTGCAAGCCCGGTAAGCGATATCAGAGAACTCTGAAGATTTCAGTTTATTCTTCTTCCTTAAAAATGGAGTTTTTTGGCCGATAGAGCTGGGATAATTGTTGGCGTATGGATGGTTTGATTGGCTTCCCGGGTGAACCATGTGTTTTGCATATAACGTGACGCGAGGAGGATTGCATCGCTGTATTTCGGAGAGGTGCGAGAACTGGAATATCGGATTGTACGTAAGCAAGCTAAATTCAGAAATAATTCAAAGGGGTGTTGTTGATAGAGCCTTTCGTACACGAAGGAGAAACAGCCTGACGTTGCACGCTTCAAGGTTGTTCAGGCATTATTCGCGTCAGATCACACCTGCCAGAAACCGCGTATATTTGTACTGAGCCTCCTCCATCTTTGTATAGTATCATCAGTCGTCAAGATTTGATACTTTCCCAATTGTTGCAGGCCCTAGAGTAGAATGGCAGAAAATCCGTTTCCTAGGTACTGAGCACATCCAAAGCATCCAGAGAGACGAAACAAGGGCAACATGTCCATCGCGGTCTGTCAAATGCCAATGCTCATAAGACAATCCTTTCGGATATGCTTATAGAATAAGCCCGCTGCACAACCCCCTTTGAGTAGCCGAACCGAGTCATTCCAAGCCCAACCGGACTTTGCTCTTGCAACCAAGCACCCAGCGAAGCTTGGCTAAAAACCAGCTCTTTCCACCTGCCGTACGTTCATTGCAACTCCTTTATATCTCCTCTCCTTTCTAGAGCGCTCGAAGATCCCTGCTTACTGTTCATTTACTTTGATCCCAGTACATATCGATCCACAAGCCCCAGCGAATAACTGGCAATTCCCGACCACGACCTTCTGGTGGACAAACATCGAGAAACAACTCCAATCATGACGACGAAATATGTTGCGCGAGACGTATTATAGAGTGGCGAACCCACTCAAGTAGTGGCTGGTATTGCGTCGGTTTCCGGGCCTACAAGGTTGGGTTCTCGGTCATGACTTTCTGGCATACATACTCCTCGACACAAATTAGACCGATGCGGAGGCCAGGTATAGAAGACATTTCATGGGATACTTGATTTCTCAAACTCTCCTTTCTCCCTTCAGGGTACATGTTCTTGAGGCAGATTCAGATTTGCTGTCGACAAAAGTAGCAAAGGTAGACCCTTCAAAGGGGGGTTCGGGTTCAGGTTTGCGCTTCCCTATCCTGCATTTGTGTGTTGGCATAACCATGCTGTTGAAACCCATCGGATTAAACAAGTACTCCTAGACTTGGAATAATAGGTCTTGAGAATCCACGCCGTTCTTGAAGTCGATCCAAACGATCTTTCGAAGAATAACGAAAAGAAACCACCGAAGTTTTGACTACTCCGACGGCAAGCCGACCGAACCTCCAGACATGCGAAGTTTCAGTCTCTCACAGACCCAACCCCTTTCGTTCAAAACGAGCAAAAGCTAGAATCATTTGAAATGTGGTTTTCTGGGATTTCTGCGGCTGCTGGCATAACTTCAGGAATCTCAAGTCGCCATTCAAATATGCTGAGAGGGAAACACAGCCTGTGCTTCACCTTATCCGCGTTGTGCCGCCAGCGTGTCGATATAAAATGACTTAGCTATAACCAAATACAATCCGATGACACATACAAGTTTAGAAATATTCTCGGGTCGATTGTTGGCGCGTCACAGGGTCTTGTGATGGGTTGTGAAAGCCAAGCTTTCTCGATCCATGGATCTTCCCACCACTTGTTGCTCGCTGGGAATACCGACACTCTGGCTCCCCCGCAGAACACAACAAACGTGAAAGTTCGTTTGTATGCTCACACCATTTGGGTGATACCAAAGGTTCAGTCTCTTTTGATTTGCATGAGGTTCAAAACAGGTCAACTCATTTTGACTTCATCGTGGAAACCAGAAAAAACCATCAGTGAAGCTAGAATCAACACCAATTCTACCACATTATATCTTCGCCTTCAAGGTGCACTGTCAAGGTCGAGTAGAACATCTAAAGCCCAATAGTCAAAGACCACTTATCGTCAGGCTGAAGCGGCTGAAGATCATGAAGGGTACCTGCGTTTATAGGCAACGTGATCAGTGAGAATCAATCTAAAAGTCCATAGCTAATATCCTCACCAGGAATCGTTGTCAAATGGCCCAAGCTAGCTCCAAATTATGCACTGAGTAATTCTCTTGCTTGTCTTCAATGCTGCCTGGTCACAATTAACGGTTGCTGCGGACCGGAAGCTGATATTCGCGACTTGTTTCTCCTAGGTGATGCGAGGAGAGCATTTTGAAAGGGCATTTATGCGAAATTCGTGTCAATAGCCTCATATGTGTTGTCATCTTGAACTCCATAATCATATCCTAATCTGAGTGGGGGTTTTTGAAAGGGGGCAAAAACACAGTGAGCGTTGGAAGACAATGAATGCTCTCCTTCGGCGACCAGGTGCATCTGTGGGTCGATATTACTGCAACAAGACATCAGAAATCACCTTCACGCTACCATTCAACTGATCGATGCAGTCAGAGCAGTTGAATTAAAATCTCAATGCCCCAGCACTGTGTCCGGGAACCAGAGAAATTCAATTGTACGGGGGGCCAGTTGTGGGTAGTGTGACTTGCGGAAAAGGCTTCCGGCAGGCGTTAAAGAAGTGCCGGTGATAACATGCCTCCTACATGCCGAGAACCTTAGATACGCCTCTGAGAATCTATTCATCCAGTCTCCTTCGTGACGAGGTCCCCACCCTTCCTTTCTTCCCTTTTTCAATACATGGCGATTTGGATCATGTAGGTAGGATCGAATGCGAATGGCCAGTACTTTGTTGTGGGTCGGGGCAGCTGCGACCGATCACCACGGATCACCACCCGCAAATTGTATTTCTTATCCCGCCTTGTGGAACCACCACAGAGTTGACTGTGGCCAATAAGCCAAAGAGAATGAAAGTTCAGCCTGAAGTGGAAGGTTTTTGAAGATGGGGAGTCTAGGTGGGAATAACAGGACAGGCTGAGAGAATGGAGGAGGCTGAAATGATTCTTCTCTCAGGTTCATATCCAAACACCAGGGGTGAAAGCAACGAATTTGAGCACTTGCTTCCCATGAAATGAACTTATGGTACTGGATCAGTCTAACCCTTTGGCGCTAGGCTCCTCGTGCCGGAATACAGTGGATAATCCTCCCTAGTGGTGCATACCTCGATCAAAGGAAAGGAAGATGCAGCGTCTTCATCGGTTCATCTACTGATTGAGACGCGTTTGGATGGTTCCCCCTGTTCCTGCTCCACCAAGGCTATTGTGGGCGCTTAGCACGCCTCAAAATTCCTAAATAAACCCCTTTGGTGCCATTTTCGGTCATTCCACTGCGATGTTCCAACTTACAAGGTCAGGATTGTATATACAATATTTCCCATTAACCAGCAGTTAACCTCAGAAGGTTGAAAATGTTCAATGCGCTTCAATGTTATACTAAGTGAAAGGGTGTCGTCCAGGGGCTCTCGCATGTCTGTTCCCTTATCTATATGTAAAGACATCTAAATTCGTACTGTTGGAAACCCGGATCACCCTTCAAAACGGCCATTATACTCATTGCTTCAGAGATAGCTGCAATCCCATTGACATATACGATATAACAAGTAATTATATTCTGCTTTCATGTCATTATAGATATAGTTAAACAGTAAATTTTGTGCCAATAAAAACATCATTGATACTACGTACCTAGCCTTGGCGATGTATAAGTTAGTTAACTAATTTAGTTAGGTTTTGTGCCTGAGGCATTAATAATCCGAGGAGCCCCACGTGAGCTGCCCGTGACTTCTTATCGCGCAAGCTGGATCCGCAGATTTCCCCAAACCAATTCCAGTTGAGTTCAAGCTCCTGGAAGCCAACCATCATACCCCAGGGCTGCGATGCAAGGGAACTAAAATTCTCTGAAGTATGTCTTTGCGCGGGCCAATGCGACGGTCACACCTGAGGCAGGTGAGCGCTGCCAGCTTGGAGACCCTTTCGACCACCAATACCGAGGCATCGCACCGCGACCATGACCCCACGCCTGATGAACGCACCGTCCGACTATCCACCAGCCTAGCTCGACACCAATGCACGCTATGGGTCCATGATGAGATGTTTGCGCGGGAAGAGATCTTATTGAATCCAGCGGCATTTGGAGAAAATGGGGTAAACATCGGCGACGTTGTTGAAATCCTGCCTGTTCGTGCCGTTGGCGATACAGTTCACTCTTCTGGAAAGCCTGATGGGCCCCGTGAGAGCCATGCGGATTTGAATACCACCTCTCAGTCAGATAGTACATCTAAATTCAAGACACCCCTGCAGAGCCGATGTCTGTTTGTGGTAAAACCTCTGCCACAAGATGTCAAGATGCGCCATCCGAAATTGGAGATCTCGGTGACTAGCAGCGTGGCCAATATCTTTGGGTTCAAGAATAGAACTCAGGTTCTCTTAGCGAGTGTAGATCGTGAACAGTGTGCCGCATCTCATGTGGATATCTCTTTCCGTGATCAGTACATGGTCAGGTCTGACATGTGGCGATTGGTCATGTCCGAGCTTGTCGATAAGATTGTTTACAAGGGACAAAAGATCATGTTCATGGGAAGCCTTAAGGCAACCGTAAAAAATATCTTCATTCGAGAAAAGAAGGTCCTGTCAGGATATTTCTCGCCTCGTACCATCCCCGTTTTCCGCAGCGAATCGGCCAAGTATGTGCTATTCATTCAAATGTCTAGAGAGATGTGGAACTTTGACTCGGAAGGCTCGGGTGATATTCTCTTCAGTCGAGTGATCAATGGTTTCTTACCAGAGCTTTTCAAACGATGGGCTAATTCCGATGCAAAACACTTGGTCACAATAGTACTCTTCACAAGGGTCGAATATGATGTGCTTGCTCACCCCAGTTTAGCTAAACTCAACATCGGCAATTCCAAAGGAGCCACGGGTCCAAATGACGTTCCCACTCGTGACTTTTACCGTGTTGTGGTAAATGACATGGCAAGCGGCCATTGGACCACCATATTGGACGAACTAAAGAAAAACTTCAGATCATTTTTGAGAGATGTGTCAATCTTGAAGACTAATGACTTTGATGCGGCCGCGGGGAGTGGTCTCAAGGTTCCTTCTTCGAAGCCACATACTGTCACAATTGCCGGGCGTCCTAGTACAGCTCTACGTGGCAATATCCTCGAAGCTATTCACCTAGCCTCAGCTAACTTGGCCTATAACCACATTGATCGTGATATGGTTAGAACGGGTACTTCTATAATTGTAATTACCCCTGGAAGTGGTGTATTTGAGGTGTCATACGAGTCTTTGGCTACTACAACAGAAGCCTTGACAAATCGTGGCATTGCCATTGATCTGGTCTGCCTGAGCCCAATGCCCCTGCACTCTGTACCTCTGTTCAAATATCGAGAGCCGGTAGACCGACCGTCTGGTTCCATCATAAGCGCCACCGCGACGCCAAAGTTGTCCCCGGAGGCTCACCACTTGACTTCTAGTTTCGTCAGTCGATCCTCGCATCTCTCATCGGGGTCCTATCTTTCTGCGAGCCGCATGCGTGAGCGAAGCTACCCTCGACTTAATGACTGGAGTTATGGCATTCCACACTGGCTTGACATCTCATATTGGAATCCCGAAACCTATCGACAAGCTCGACGAATTTTGAAAAATGATCTCAATGCCCCGATCCCATTTACTGTCACTCGCCCGTCGAAAGCTTTCACGCCGCGCGTTCGCATGTACGAAATTCAAATGATGGGTGTCATGGAGAGTGAACAGTCTAATATCTCTATTCCATATCTTCTCGAAGGTCGCGGCATGGCCCGATTTCGCAACTCATGGCCAGGCCAAAATCAAATTGCCCGTGGCCCTTCAAGAACGCGATCAGCCAATTCTTCGTCTTTGAAAGCACAATTCAGTGATAGTCTACGCCCTGGGCCTTTCCTCGAAAACGTCATTGATGAGAGTGAAATCCAAACTAAAGGACCAAAAAAATCTCGGAAGTCCGTCATGGCTTGGATGGACCAGTATGATGACAATGTCTTCGCTGCGACACCTAAAAGAAATCAGGTTCCGAGACCTAAAAATAAACGCTTGAGTGAGCCGGAGGTTCAAGGCACTGGAGCTCATGATAGAATATCCGCCCGCTCCGTCTTACATTTACGAGAACATGAGAATGGCGTGCGGGCCCGTCCACGAAAGATTGATGGACCTATACCTGTCCGTAAAGCTTCGATATCCTCAAAGAGCACATCGCCCAAAAAGCCAGCACTGAAATCAAAAGCAGCAACACCAGCCTCGCGCATTTCTCGAACAATCAGTTTTGCTCTTCGGGGGTTGAGTGCTACTCCTCCAAGAGCACAGGCAAGTACTGGTGTGCATGTAGAGCATGCGAGTGCACTTCCAATGTCTAATCAGCGATCATCCGGTGGGACTTTTTCCGATACCAAGAGTGTCACTTCCTTAAGCCCCTCGGAAACTGCCTCAGTTGCGACGATCATAGAAAGCCCATCCCGGCCATCGACTCCTCCAAAGCTGTCCCAAAATACTAGACTCACCCCATCCAAACCGATTTCTATCAAAACTCCCTTGAAAAGGCCCTCAGAGAGCCCGGAGCGTTCTGAACATGGGAGACCTCAGGGATCACTATCTACATCTGCAACAGATGTTCCTAGAATCAATCGCGAGGAAGATTATGGTCGGCCAAATGATCATAAAGTTGAAATCACAGTTCATCACAGTTCGCGCGATGCTCCATCGAAATATTCCTCGAGTAAGGCCTTAGCACCCTGGGTACGACCGGTTAACCCTTGTAATACACCAAAAGATGTTTTGCGCAACACAAGCTGGTTTGGTCGTTGGCAACATGCATACCCACGTCCTCCTCACGTTGCCGTTGTCAAATGGAAGAGTCTGAAGTCTCCTGCGGTACTACCATTGACCACAGAAGAGTTTCCGACGGCTAGTGAACTTGCCTCGGACTACTTGCAAACACCTTATCGTGTCTTTGCGAATGACGATACAGATGGCGTTGAGGCGCCAAAGTCCCGTGGGGTTCTTCTTCGTGAGATGATCTCACTTCGGCTATCCCATGGGTTTCAAATAATCGTTGGTAAAAATGTTGCCGAGTTCTCTGCGCAGCCATCTCTTGAATCAATCAACGTCTTTGATACCCGAGGACTCGAGAAAAATGGAGTCACTGTTTATCTTTCCAAAGGAAACTCCATCCATCGTCTCATCACTATAGATGGGGGCGAAATCGAGGTGACACGCTTCACACACCAGTCATCGGCGTCTCTTGTATCGCCCAAGCGAAACAATTCTATACTGTATCAACCAGCCATGAGGACCATTCTCAATCCAGAGTACGAAGTGAAAGATATCAAGCTCGACCCTACTGCTGAAGAGTACAATTGGAACCTTGCTGATAACTACGTCGCTGGACATCGTGATTATTTTCACAATCCGGCGCAGCAACTTCATTTCTGGCGAATTCGCTATGTATTGATCCCAATGCAACTTCATCCCAATATCCGACGACACCTGCAATCCATTAATGAGGATAACGAGGAAGAAATTCATTTGCTTGGAATTAGTCAATTAACTCACATGTGGCAACGAAATAAATATGTGTCGCCTGAAGAAAAGCGATTTGAATCGGGGAACAAGAAGAGAGACCAGAACCCGCTCAATATTATGTACCAAACACGAAACCCATCCGAGGCTGTTGCAGCGGAGCTTGATCGAATTCTCCTTACTGATCCTGGCCTTGACAACCCGCCTGCTCAACTATTACCCGAGGAGGAGCTGCTTGAGAGATCCAGTGTTAATATGTCGTCGCTGGCCCAAATGATTCAAGGTGACAAAGGTGTACGCATGATGGATCGACGGTGGCACTGGAGATTGCATTACAATTGTTTCATTGGATTTGAATTTACCACTTGGCTACTGCAAAACTTCCGTGATCTCGATACCCGTGACGAAGCTGTGACCTTTGGTAAAGAATTGATGAAGCACGGTCTGTTCCAACACGTCGAGAAAAGACACGACTTCCGAGATGGAAACTATTTTTATCAGATCTGCGCCGAGTATCGTATCACGCGTCCAGAATCCCGAGGTAGCTGGTTTCCCCAACTCCGATCAGATAAGTCGATGCCTTCAACACCGGCAATTGGGAAAGACTCTCCTTCTAGTCTTCGAGCTCGCTCCGATAGCATTGATGACCGTGTACCACAAACACCAACTACTCCCTCCAAGACGAAGAATAAGGTCGCTATCATGTTGTCCAAGTCTTTGAAGTATGATGTGGATACCCGCAAGCGATCAAATCGACCTGAGGTAATCGATCTCCATTATGACCGGCTTCATAACCCTGAGAATTGCTTCCACATTGAACTGAGCTGGATGAATACCACACCCAAAATGATCGAAGACGCGGCGCACTCATGGGCCTCTACAGCAGAGAAGTTCGGTTTGAAGCTTGTTCAAGTGCCCCTCGCCGAGGCATGTGCAATCGACAAAACTCAGCCGTTCCGCAAGCCTTATCAGATCAAGCTGAAAGTTCCGCCCCCTAAGGGACCCGTTCATACGGTGTTCAATAATGCATCTTTTGCACAGCCAGGGCCACCGGATCAGCTCTATTATCAGAAGTGCATTCTCCGCAAATTCGACTTTGTATTGGACTTTGAAGCCTGCAGTGCATTCCCCGCCGACGTTGAGGTCTCCTATTCTTGGGGGAAGCCTGACTACAAGTATCCGCAGTTTATCCATCGTACAGGCAGCCTCCTCGCCCAAATCACAGATGAAGGAGACTTCCTCCTTCTTGCGAATCGTCTAGTCAGCACCCGCGGCGCCGCAACAAGAGATCATCGGGGTCGAGCAGCGAATCATGACCCTCTTGACCGCTCTCCTCGTTTGTCTCCATTGGTTCGCCCTTTACATGATATCGGAAGCCCGATCCCAGGTCCAGGTCCGCCAAGCATTGACTCAGCGCATCTCTATCGCGCGCCGGAGCATATCCTACACAACCTGCTTGAGTTCTGCAATGACGCGGCAGCGCTCGAGCAATTCTACAGCCAGTCCCATGTGCGTCCAGTCTCGACAAAGGTTGAACCGGCCACTGCTCATAACATCATGGATACATCTATCCCATCTCTTGAGCTACCTGCTAGCGTGGTTAGCCATCATATTTCACCTCCGCCCGGTTTGCCATCCAGGGTAACAGAAGAGCCACCTCGCGAATCACGGGATTTGTTAAAATCGCCCGACATGACCAGAACGAGGGCTCGAGGCGAAAGTCTGAGCTACATGAGCAGTCCACGAAGTGGTGGCCTGCGACCTCAGATGTAACATGGATATACGATTCTCATGACTGCTTTGTACCACTCTCTTCGATTGATAAATACCCTGAGCCTATCAGCATAGGCATGCAATTTAATACGATATAATTAATGAAGAAACATTTCAAGCATGTACGTCTTTGGTCCTGCCTCTAATAATCACCACCTAAAACCTCTCATTGTTCGCGATCTAACGTTGTACCTATCTGGCTTCGGTTGAGTCAAGTGACAAGAGCTATCCCAGTTTCCTGCCCATGTGCCCGGTGCCACGCCACTATAAAATCGAATTTAGCCAAATTACATCCTATTCAGCCGGAATCTGGCTTCTAATCCTTGGCCAGTGGCTGCGCTAGATCAAGCCCCACCCATACTAGACTTAGTACCTGTTATCGCGCTGTAAGCTTTATCATAGGTCCCCAATTTTCCCCGTGGGATGCTGCCCCGCTTGAACTGTCTGGTCGAACGAATTTCATGACTCTGTCGCCCCATTAAGGCGGGGACTGCATTTGCATTTGCATTGTAGCTGTGGATCTGGACTGTGTCGCTGTCGGACGGTGCTCCGTGTCAAATATGGATTCCTGGCTTTTCTTCATAGCTACTTGAGAGCTGACTTGCCGGCACGTCTTTCTATTCTTTTTCATCTTCGTGGTTTTCTTTTTTGGTTTCGCTGAGGAAACCCCACTTATAATCGACCCGACCTGTTCTACCACTACTATTGTGATACGATGAAGTTCACCGCCGGAATGTGGTGCCTGCAAGTATGTCAATTTCTCTCCATACTTGGCATTTAGCAAGACTTTAATTTTTAATCTCATTGTTGCTATAGGAGGGCGTCCGCATTGAGTGGATGAGCAATGTGGAACGGCTGCAGATCGAGGAAGAGAAAGAGACTGTCAACCTCCTGCTCAATAAACTCCAACGACATCGTGGCGATACCTTGAATTCGAGTACGTTCTACTGTTCTAAAGATCACGCAATCAATACCCATTGAATCATGAAAAGCTAATGGATCGCGACAATAGCTACCATCTCGGCCCAAGTTACGTCTCCGCAGGAGGGAATTATCGGCGTTAAGCTAACGCACTGGTACGTTAACATTTCTCCACCAATGAGATCCACCCGATATAGTTGGAACGCCTAGACGTCGGGGCCATTATTTTCATCGCTGCATTTTGTTAACTCTTCCTAGGGCAGGTCAAGTGGATAATGGTCCACATTACGATATCGAAAAGACATCTGGACATGCTAGTATTCACCATGACAAAAACGAGAATACCTTCAATTACGACAGTGGGTCGCTGAAGCTAGATGTCAACACGGCCCCGAATGAGATGGGCTTTGTCTTTCGCTCCCCAAACAACAAGAAGCTGACTGGTCACTCATTCCGCTCCATTGGCTACGTTGGTGACCAGCGCAGCGAAAAGTACCGGTTTGAAGATGGGTTGTACGCCGAAAGACAGGGATATATGCTCCTTGGACTGGATCTGGGTGTGGGCGAGAAGGTCTACGGACTAGGCGAACGATTTGGTCCACTGGTCAAGAACGGTCAGACGGTTGACATCTGGAATGAGGATGGTGGGACTTCATCAGAGCTTGCGTACAAAAACATTCCATTTTACATGTCCTCGAAGGGATATGGAGTGTTTATCAATCACCCAGGAAAGGTCAGTTTAGAAGTTCAATCCGAGCGAACGACACGTGTCAATATCTCTGTGCTTGGTGAGGAGATTGAGTACTTTGTTGTCTACGGCGAGACACCTAAGGATGTTTTGAGGCGGTATACGGCTATGACGGGTCGACCTGGGCTTGTTCCGTCGTGGAGTTATAATCTTTGGTTGACGACCAGCTTTACAACGAATTATGATGAGCAGACCGTCACTGGATTCTTGGATGGATTCAAAGAGCGTGATATCCCGCTCGGTGTGTTCCATTTTGATTGTTTCTGGATGAAGTCATACCAGTGGTGCGACTTCGATTTCGACGATGAGATGTTCCCTGATGCAGGAGGTTATTTGAAGCGATTGAAAGAGCGTGGACTGCGTATTAGTGTTTGGATAAATCCTTACGTCGGTCAAGCCTCACCGTTGTTTGAGGAGGGAAAGAAGAATGGGTACTTCATCAAGGTATGATTTCATCTCTTTAACACCCATGTCCACTCTTAAATTGCATTTTGCTAACCTGAACAGCGTACGGAAGGCTCCGTCTGGCAATGGGACTTCTGGCAAGCCGGTATGGCTGTTGTGGATTTCACCAACCCAGCCGCTTGTAGCTGGTACAACAAACACCTGGAACGGCTAGTAGAGATGGGAGTGGACAGCTTCAAAACTGATTTCGCGGAACGAATCCCAACCAAGGGAATCAAATACCATGATAACTCGGACCCTGAACGAATGCACAACTACTACGCCCTCCTATACAATCGTGTCGTCTACGAAACACTCAATACGCGCGTAGGCCACAATCAAGGTCTTCTTTTCGCCCGTAGCACCGCACCGGGCGGTCAGAAATACCCTGTGCACTGGGGTGGAGATTGTGAGAGCACATTCGAGGCCATGGCCGAGTCTCTTCGTGGTGGACTGAGCCTCATGCTGTGCGGATACATCTTCTGGGCATCAGATATTGGTGGATTCGAAGGAACGCCGCCGCCAGCACTGTACAAGCGATGGGTGCAATTTGGGCTTTTGTCGACTCATTCCCGACTCCACGGCTCATCTTCATTCCGAGTGCCTTGGATCTATGGAGAGGATTGTTCTGCTGTACTCCGGGACTGTGTGAAGCGGAAGATTTTGCTTACGCCATACATTTTGCAAGAAGCCTTGAAAGGACACCGGGATGGGACACCTCTGATGAGGCCACTTTTCTTGGAGTTTCCAAATGATCTTAACACCTATGCTGTGGATACACAGTACATGTTTGGCTCGAACCTTTTGGTTGCGCCTGTCTTCTCGGAAGAAGGTGAGGTGACATTCTATGTGCCGGAGGTCGAAGGTGCCGGGGACGACAAGTGGATTTCGTGGTTCAATCACTCCAAGACTTATGAGGCTGGGCGTTGGTACACTGAGACTCATGACTTTGATACATTGCCAATCCTTGTTCGTCCAGGATCAGTAACCCTGGTTAATCCAACGCTCAAAGCACCTGAAGATGATGCTTTGCATGGAATACAGGCCTTGGTGAATGGCAAGCTGTCTGCGGAAAGCACATTTGAAATCGTCAATCCAAACCAGACAGACGAGGTCCTGAAAACAATTCAGCTCTCACCTGCCGATGATGGAAGGACCATTCAATGCCAGGGATATTCCATGGAGATTGTGAATTTGAATTTGGGTTAAAAGAAACGACTATCATGGCCCTGGGACATGGTTTTCGACAAATATGGTTCTATTGTTTGACAAGAAAGTAGTTGGAAAATTATTCTAATAGATTTGAATGAGCAATGAGCAATAAACCCAAGGTTTCGTAGGTTGACAAAGTGGGTATCATAGTCAAAACAGGAGCAGACACGCAGTAAAACAAAACAAAACAAGACAAAAAAGGTGCACGAACTCTGGCCGACAATCCATCCACTAGATGTGGAAATAGCGAGTCAGGCGGTAGAGTAATGGAGATATGTAGAGAGAAGAAAGGGAAGAGAACACAAAAAGGGTAAAGAGAAAAATGAAAGGGCAAGAGATCAGGCACATTTGACGCTAAGAGAGATGGGAGCATGTGTGATTTAGCAGCAAGCAAATCGGCTAGAAGGATTCCTCCACATCGAGAAGCCATTTTCGAATGCCTTCACGAAGCGTATTGTCAGCTCCTGCCAGAGCTCGTCTCCGCTCCCGGTCAGCTAATCCCAGCTCGCTATCTTCACGGTTATGCTCGTCGGTGACAATGCGGACAACCTCTTCAAGGGCACCCAGGACCATCTTTCGACACTCGGTACGAGGAACTTCAACTGGAGGCGCGTCTTCTCCACGGGGAGTGGTTTGGCCCTTATCCTCCCCTCGGCGAGCACGTGTCGGAGATGGAGCTCTAGAATGAGCAAGAGACGAATAGCCACTTTGACCAAGGACTCGTTCGACAGCATCCACCAAGATTCCGTCCAGGTCCATAACAGGTTCCTCAATGAATCGCTCTTCGACGTATTGTGGATCTTGACCCTCGATAACGGGGCCTTCTGGAGACTTGCCGTGTGTGGAGAAGAAGCCAGGAAATTGTGAGTTTGAAGCTGCGGAATAGCGGGTAGAACCTATTGCCGGAGAGGGAGGAGTATGTGTTTGTCCACCGTGATGGCCCACGATTATCTTCCGTCTCAATCTAAGACGCTTGATGGAAGAAGATCGGGTATCTGCAACCAAAGTCGTCGCAACATCTACCCATCTTTCTGACCCCTCGGCATCAGGAGTGGAGGGGATGTAGGGGGAGGGCTCGGCTTGCATTGCTCGTTTAATGTCTGCCTCTAAAGAGGCATATGGCCTTACTGCTTGCAAGGAAAAATCTTCATGGAACAGTTTCAACCAGCCAGCAACATGCGTACTGGGTCCATCGTTGTCCTTTGCAGAACTGTGAAATCCAGAGCCACTACTGTGAGTTGAAGGAAGAGCATCAAAGCTTGTGATCGATGTCCTTGTCTTCTTCGGTGAAGCAATGGTTGAATCGCCCGAGGAAGATAGAGACAAGAAACCTGGAAGTGGAACGTCAACATCCACAACGCCCTCTTCTGCTCGTACTGACAACTTCAGAGGCGATTCACGGGCTTGGCTAGTAAGGGATGATGGTTCAACGGTTTCTTCCTCGGCCCTGTTGGTAGCAGCAGCTGGAATTGATATGTTCCCACTGATGGGTGTGATTTCTGAACGATCATTTGCTTCGTCATCTGTCACTTCCTTGACCATCTGGTTCAATGAGGGCGGGGCACGCATAGGGGTACCAGCAATGGTGGAAACCGACCTCTTGCGTAAATTGGCGGGCGAATAAATGTCACTACCCTCAGTTGAGGACTCCTGGCGCGAGTTCCATAGGCCGGAGAACAGGCCACCCCAACGACCCCCGGCGGATGGAACACTGCCATTGGAAGGCAGCGTAGAGCTATCACTTCTTTGCAAGTTTTTAAGCAAAGTTTCCGATGCCAGACTTTCGTTGGTATCCACCGCGCTGCGATCCGATGCGGCTTGGCTGGCACGAAGCTGCTGCGATGAGAAATGCGGAACTGGGACTGTACTGCTCTGTGTTGTCATGGACGTTGTTGCTCCACTCGTGGCCTTAGATCTTGAGTCCTTTGTCTGGATAGTAGCGCTTATCGTTTTGATTGAACGCGCATCCGACCCTCTGCGTGCAGATGCAGAAGTGACTTCAGCCGGGGCCGGCTGATCGGCCCCATCAAATGAACGTTGGTTTGTATCTTGAGATGAAACGCTGACTGAGCGGCGGTGCTGGTGACTATCACCTTGAGTCAATCGTTGCGCGCGTGCACGACGCTCGATCGCTCTTCTCAATGACTCTTGACGGAGTACTGGAACTCCCGGTGGACTCTGGGAAACAGCGCGCATGGATGCTGATGTCCCTGGTCGAAGAGGTGATGGGATTGGCTCTATACGCTGTTTCGAAGGGAGGAAGGCAGATAATAAGAAGACCAATCGCCTAGCCGTCATTTTGTCTGGGCAAACAATAACCGTTCGACGGATAAGGGCTGGGTCTGTGTCTTGTTGGGACTTTTGCTGCTGGTTATGGCGACGCCGGTGCCATTCAGGGCCAATAGCATTCAACCACTCAGTATGGTTGCCGAGAAATGCGGTAAGTAACACTAAGAAGAAGAAGTTGCTCTCCTTGTCGCCAAGGCCTCGAACAATCGAACGACCTTCTTCTCGCCACACTCCCCAACGACTTTGGCCAGTCACGACATATGGAGTTTGAAGAGCCAGGCTTATTCGACGAGAGCTGCGAATGGCTTCTTCTTTCAGCTTAGAGTTCACCGAAAGTATGTTGGCAGGCAGGTGGACGATAGTCTGATTGGTTCGTTGCATATTGGGAGGTTTGGCAGGCTTTGGATGTGGTCCCGATAAAGAATCAACCTTTTTCAATAGAAACAAAATCTCATTTCGTGCAAGTCTCTCGAGGTGAGATAAAGTCCGCGTAATGACATCCCAGTGATCAACCAGCAGGTCCAAGCGCTCATCTAAGCTCGCAGGGGGGTTCGCTGATGATAAACTGTCATCTAAAAGAAACCCAGGCATGCGGTAGTCCGAGTCCAAAGAACTAGACATTCCTGGACGAGGGGAATCAGGTCCTAGAGTACTGAATCTGGACACGGGTCGAGGGGCATTTCGCGCAAGTAGAGGGATTTGAATGGTTATGGCAACAGCATACATGGGCGTTTTCTTCTCCTTGATCTTCTTTCTTTTTGAGACGTCGGGAAAGGGGAACTCCATTTCTGGAAAGGATTCCTGGTAGAGGGCAGTGGCATAGTCCTGCCTTTCGGCAGATGCTTCAGGCCCTTCTGGAAGATTGACACTGAACATTCGTGTCAGCAGCACGGTAACTTTTGAAGGTGGCTTGTCCGGTCCTTTGGATGGACCCATAAACCCTGCGGGGCTTCCAGTAGTGTATGCGCGGGCAAGCGGGCTTCGCGCTGCGGGGGATGCGCTTGCTAATGTTTGTGGTTCATCATCGGCGGATATGATATGCATTTTCGTGGAAGATCCTCGGTAGCTAAATGCGCTACTACCAAAGATACAATTGAGAAGGCCAGTGTCATTGGCATCAACTGAATGGCGCGATTGACCAGAATCATGTGATGGGCCACCTTGTGCTAATGTAGAGCTACGCCCTCGTGCACGCCCTAGGGCTCCAGGGCTCGCAATCGACGATCGACGTGCACTTGCAGCTGACGAAAGAGGACCGGCGGCGTCGACTCCAGATTGGGTGAGGAAACTGCGGCGAGATCCACGCGAAAGACTAGATACTGTTCGAGCATGTCTAGCACCAGATTGTTCAAATCCTTGAGAGTCGATACCGAGACCTGTGGGAGATTGGTCGGATGATGCACGGGTGTCCAGTAGAATGCAGGCGTCGCGATCGCCCAAGGCATTCTGGGCCACAACCACCCGGAAGTCCTTGAGGGCATCCAATTCCATTCCTCCACGGTCATCATAGGCGCCGGCTGTCGAGGCATTCGGGGAGTGGAAAGTTGTCTGTAGTGGGTAGGCATGGGTATTGGAACGTCGGAGGAGACTAGCATCGGGGAAGAGGAGGCCGGAGGTATGCTCCTCCTCGGTTACTGATTCGAGGGGGGTTCCATGATTTCTCGAAGAGAATGCTGTCGGATTCAAGCTTGACGCAGCCGTGCTCAAGAGTCGGCCCAGCATGGTGAAGTTGTACTGCGGGAAGACCCGGTAGAACTGTGCTCGAGGCTGCAGAGAAACAAAAACGGCCCGGTGGAGAAACGCAGTGTAACAATGGGTATCAGACAGCTAGATCTAACTAGACTGCGTCTACCCATTCCCTTAATTCCACTGAACAGGTACCATCATAAACCGATGGTAAGAGGGGTGAGGTAATGCAGGATTGAGGGGAGAAGTGTGGTGAAGTGGGATGGGTTGCAGGACGGGGGTGGGGCGAGTAAAGAGGCGACAATTGGGAATTGGCAGACTAGTCACCCCACAAGCGGATTGTGTGGATAAATTTGAGCAAAGAAAACAACCCTAAGAACGAGAACTTGGGGAGTATCTCTTGAGGAAAGACAGCGAGTGGGGAGTGGGCTCTAGAAAGGGTGGAGTGAAGGGCGAACGGACAAAGAGGCGGTGAAGGGATGAACAACGGGCATGCCACATGATCTCAGCCTCAAGGTAACACCACATTGCATATTCTAGTTATAGGGTGCTAAGGTTACGCGAAATTCGACTCGGTGAGAGCTTCTGCTTGTCAGTGCTGCTAGTAGTCAAACTTGAATAACTACATCATATTCGAGCGTGTAAACCTTGGGACACGTGTAGGTACACAAGTACATATGTACCCAGTATATCATGATGTAGTATATGCTTGGAAAATTTGAAGGACGTAGATAAATTTGAATAGAGTAACCCAAGGCAAGACTCTAGCGGCTATAAATTGTAGGAAGTGTAGTAGCTAGCTTGTATGCAGCCTGAGGAAGACCCAGAAAGATCGAATAGTATTTAATCAGATAATACATATATGCAACATCATCAAGCTTTCGACTGGCGTTTGACCTTATCTACCAGCCGTTTGAGATCCGCGGAACTAGACTCTTTAGATCCCTTCTTTTGCTTCTTCTTGCGGTCTTGGTTGTCAGGAACTGCCTCAACCTCAGCATCATCGTTGACATGTCGGCGTTTACGGCCCTCATCAAGCAAGGCCTTCATGCCGGAGGTGGCCTTGAACCGGGGGTTAGTCGGATCAATAGCGAACTCATGGCTTTCGAATAGACGCGCAAATCGAGGATCAGTGGTATCCACATTGAAGTCATCTTCAACAACCGGATGCTTGTTCTTTCCTCGAGCCTTGCCCTTCTTTCGCTTTTGCTTTTCTGCCTTCTCGATTTCGTTCATGTCAAAATGCTTGATATCGGTCTTCTCATCGTCTACCATTAGGAGCTCAAGTTCAGCCCGCTGAGCAGCCGTTGCAGCCTCCTCGGCAGCCCGCTCCTCACGCTTCTTGCGTCTCTCCTCCTTGCGAATAGCCGCTGAACTGGCCTTCCCATCAAAGTCATCGAAGAAAGGGTCATTGAATCCAAGATCTTCTTCAGCAGCTTCAGCTGGAGAAGCCTCTTCAATGTCGCTGAGATCTTGTGTATCTTTGTTCTCTTCGGAGGCTTCGCCGCCTTGTTTGCCGGCCTTGAGTTTCTCCTTTCGTCTCTTTTTACGCTCACGCTCCTTTCGCACATATTTATCAATTGTGCTCTCGTCGACTTCTGGCTCGTTCTCAAAGATGCTATCTTTGCCCTTTCCGCCCGCTAAACCGGAGGTGAAAGTCACTTCCATCTCACCGACAGGGCCCTTTGACTTGGAAGAGCGGGTGGGTTCTGTGCTCAGGCCCAGTAAGGCACGCATGCGCTGTCTCTCGGCTTCCCGCTTGGACAACGTAGTGGTTGCAGCTTCACCGGTGGTGTTGTCAACCACTTCCACACCGCCATCTTCCTCATCCTCGCTGTCAGAGCTGTCGCTCCCCAAATATGCTTTCAGGTCGTTTTCCTCGATTTCCTGTCGTGAACCACGGAACGCGCGTGCTTGAGCTTCCTTCCTCGATTTATCATCCGCATCCCAGGTTAACTTGACTTTGCTGTGTTGTAGAGCATCTGTCACAAACTCGTTTGGTTTATAGCCATCGGGAATTCGAGTGCAGTCATCGCGGGGCTTATCATCGTCAAAATCGGTGCCCTCGGGGACGAAACGGAGGTCAAAGAAGTTGGCGCTGGAGAGGTACTCGGCGCCATCCACAAGATCGTAGACATGCTTAGCACTATCCTTGGTGGAGAAAGTGAGGACGGCATAATAGTAACGTAGTCGCTCTAGTTGATAACGCCGCAGTTGCGTTGTATTGAATTCCTGGCCATCGTCGGCTTTCAGCATGGACTTTTTGATTTCCTCCTCTTCCTCATCCGAGTCAAGCTCCTCTTCATTGTCGCTTGAGGCGTCTTGGTTTTTGGCAAAAATCTCTTTCGGGGGACCCTCAATCTCTTCCCTCTCCATGCGCTCCCTCCCGAATTCACTCGGGTAAATAGCAACTTTCAGAACACGCCCCCCTGTTGGCAAGAAACTTGAAAAAACTGTCATCAAGTCTTCCGCCCGAATATTGTCCCAGTCCAAGTTAACAACGGCTATCCGGTCTGTGACCTCTCCGAGAGGGACGTTCTCTCGCTGCTTGTCAGGAAACTCAAGTTCCTCTTCTTCGTTCTCTATCTGTTCGGGATCGTCGTCCTCGTCACTAGAACTATCATCTTCAGACGAGGAATCGGAGAATCCACCATCGCGGGCAGGGTCGTAACCACGGGCGTCAACACGCGTCAATTCCTTTTGGACTTCGTCGTCATCTGCGACGCTAATCTTGTCGTCGTTATCTTCTTCTTCGTCATCGTCATCTTCGTCTACACGGTAGAACTTTTTCAGGTGCTGTTTTGTATCGTCATGTGCCAATTTACGCCCATAACGATCGACTGGGGCATTGCGAGAAAAATCCTCATCTTCGAGCATACGCGCAAACCGATTGTCGAGTTTGACATGGGTATGGCGCTTGCTGGGGAGACGGTAACGGGGATCCGACTGGATATTGGCGAATCGGGGATCAGCTATGAGTTTTGTTAGAATCTTGCTCTATTCTCTATAATGCCCACTGGAGATGAGACTGCACGTACTGATCACCTTGCTTGTTTCGCCCTTAGCTCCACCAGCCTTCTTGGACTTCTTCTTGTCTTGACCCGCCATCTTGAATACTTGCTACTGTCTACCTTCCAAGTGCCGGTAAGGTAAGCGATAGAAGATTCAGAAAACAATGTGGAATGGATGTCTTAAAATGTTTGCGAATGAACCTAATCGTCTGGGACTGCGGACAAATTCTTTTTTTTTTCTGCCGGAGTTTCGGGGCGGTCAGTCGACACGTGCGCCTTATCCCAGTAAGGCAGGTTCCGATCTATATGGAGGCTTTTAGACACCTGTACAAGAGTCAACCAGAATACTGCGTGCGAGCATAAAACATATGTATTCATCATGATACCTAAGTAGATATTTACAATAGGCATGTATGTACGTGATAATTTCGGAAAGCACAAAAAATTAACATCCAAAATAGCGCTTCTCCATCCATCGTGGCTCGCCCTCCTCCTCAATCCGACCGACAATGACATTAATCCTGGGGAAAACTGCAGTGAGACGTTTAAGGCCTCTTTCTCCGGCTGCACAGGTTACAAAGACGATCTTATCCTCTTGAACGCCATGGTCAAGCAGGACACGCACAGCCATCAGGGCAGCTCCGCCACTGGACATTTGTGGATCTAATAGGAGGACGCTGCTATGCTCCTCGAGCTGGAGCGGGAGCTTCAAATAGTGTAACTCGGGCTCTTGGCTAGTATCATTCGTCTGAATCAATACCCGGCCGGTAATACAGTCAGGGATGCATCGTTTCAAGGCAGTCTCCAAGCAAGAACCGCCGCGTAAAATTGCAACAGCGGATACAATACCCTGTGGGTTGAGACCAAGATACTTGTTTCCTTGAGTTGTTTCCACGGCTGTAGGGACATATCGAGTCATGTCCAATGCTCTGTGGTTCTGTTATTAGCACCGAAATAACCAAATCTTCAGCGAGGTGATAGGATAGTACCGTTCAATTAAGATCGAGGCTAATCGATCGAAATAAAATACAAAGTCTACCTCCTCCGTTTCAGGGCTTTGAAGAATGGTGTTCATGCCTATCATCTGAGGGGTTGAAGGCAACACGTGGACATTCGGAGGCAACTCCACCTTGGCCGCAATGAGACCAAGCTTGTGAAGTTCCTCGGTATGCTTCTCGGATTTCTCTTGAAGCTTGCGCTGAATATGCTTGACAACCATGTCTATGATCTATAAGCATAGGAAGTGCCAAGGAGGGAAGGACGACGTATTACCAATAGCCGTAGTGTTCTCAATTCCGCGAGGAATGATGATATCTAATAGAGTTAGACATTTGTTGGAGGCGTAGTGAGATCTATTCGAATGTATGTGCTACCACTTACCGGATATTCCTCTCTGGGGCTCGACAAATCGAGTGTAGGATGGCTTGACAAAGGCAAACCACTGTTTGATGATGCCTTCAATATCGCGGCCTCTTTCTTTCACGTCTCGAAGCACTGAATGCAGATATTTCATAAGTGGGACGTTCACCCCGAGACATCTAGATCCCACATACCTCGGCGGCCCAAACAAACATCCATGTCAGCCTCTACAAAAATCTGCATTTGGGTCAGTAGCTATATAATACGCTCCCCACAGAAGAATGACCCTAGAAACAGAGGCCCATCTAACTTACCTTGACATCTAGCAATTCTGCGATCCTGGGGTCATGCAGCGCGAGAATACCTTCCAGAATCAACACCCGTGGGGAATAAAGAGTGCTGGTCTGAGATTGACGCTGGTGCTCCGCAAATGAATAGATTGGGATCTGAGCCTTCTTTCTGGATTGCAATGTTAGGCACTGTAAATTCCGCGGATCACGCGGGGATGGGACTAATAACATACCCTTTCTTCAGGTCTCTTAAAGTTTCGACCAGAAGATCAAAGTCAATCGAATCTGGACAATCGAAATCATATGCGTTTGCGTGCGCCTTGCGATGCTCATCTGGAGATAAAGTCTTGTAAAAGGAATCCTATATCCACTGGAGATTAGATCCGAAATGGACTATGCGTAAACCGTTTAATATAGCCATACCATTACTAGAATCACCACCCAAGGTAGATTTAGTGACTTGACGATCTCCATTGCCACCGAAGTCTTGCCGGAGCCAGAGCTGCCCGCGATGCCGATGATGCTCAAGTCCTGCCATGGTGGAGAGTATTTCACCTCTGGTGTAAGCGAATAAAAAGGTGAGATCGACTGCATGATCTCGAAACTCCTCCACCATGGACTCTACGTTAGAAAGATGTGTATCTCGGTTTATCTCCAACTCGATGATGCATTGGGCTTAGCGCGTGACCTTCGCTTCGCGGCTGACATAATCACGACTACCTTCTTCCGAGCTTTCTTTCCGCTTTTTTTCTTCCTCTCCCTTCCATTCTCCTCTGCTCCAAGGGCCCGAGAAAAATTTTTCTCCCTCACCCACTTTCAGCGTTCTGCCCTTTACTCCATGGCCGTCGTCTCCCGGGTCGCTCTCATAACTTGACGCATAGCTTCGAAGCTCTCTGTGGCAAAGCTTTCGTCATGTCTTCTGCTAATCTCGTATGACTCCTGCTGTGATGACAGCCGTAGTTGCTGGACTTTTTAACACCACACAGATGTCTCGCACTCCCTCAACTGCAACGCCTACATGGCAACAGTTTGAGCGGAAAGTTGACGAGGTGAAGCCATCCAAAACGTGAGTTCAACTCCCCTACCTTTGCCCCGCATCCTTTGACCCCGTCCTTGATATGATGCAATTTATCACTAAGTTGGGAATCTCTCTGAAAACAACTGAAGAGAATAAGTTAACTTGAAATCTGAATCACCTTTTACATTGCCACTATTTGGTCAATCGCTTGTCTATATGTTACGGTTGCTAACTACAAGCATTAGTGATATCAACTACCTCGTTATGGACTACCTGATCACCAATGGATACCCGGCTGCAGCCAAGAAGTTCGCGGTCGAGGCCAACATTCAACTTCGTGCCGATGAAGCCATACAAGAACGAGTGGAAATTCGGACCGCGATTCACTCTGGGAATATCCAGCTAGCCATTGAAAAGATCAATGAGCTGAACCCTGAGGTAAGACACCACTACCCAATCCGATGCATTCATCCAACACAGCCCCTCCCCTTCCTGCTATGATTAAGTACAGTTTCATGCACCACTCCTAGAACACCCTTCGGGGAGTTGCGGATAGTCAAACATCTTCAGTCCTCAGTATGAGCAGCAGTCAACATTATCAATTTTGTTCAAACACATTATTTCCTCGTGTCGTTGACTAACAAATTGAATAGATATTGGACGGAGAAGCTTCACTCCACTTTGCGTTGTTGCGTCTCCAGCTGATAGAGCTTATCCGTACCTGCATCTCTACTCCAAATGGCGATATCAGTCCTGCCCTGGATTTCGCGCAGTCGCAGCTGGCTCCCCGTGCCACTACCAAGCCGGATTTCCTCACCGATTTGGAGCGCACGCTTGCCCTCTTGATTTTCCCAAGCGATAATCTTTCCCCTACACTTGCATCTCTTCTAGACCCAAGCCTTCGTAAAGAGATTGCCACTCGCGTCAACGAGGCAATTCTGGTCAAAGAATGTGCCCAGAAGGAGGCTCGTTTGCGAAACTTAGTGAAGCTCCGAGTTTTCGCAGAGACCAAGGCTCGAGCGGCTAAGAAGGACATTCCGGACCGATTAGACATCGGTCTTGTCAGCGATTCCCATGATAACACCAAGAATCGCAGCAGTAACAGTAATGAACTCAACAGTGAAGCCCATAATGGTAATGGTGATACCGTCATGACCAATACCGCCGATGTTGATCTCATGGTTTCGTGATCTTGTGCCGAAATTTTGTGATCGTCTCAGACCCGGCTCGGCGGTCTTTTTGTGTTTCCGGTTTTTTAGCGAGGCGCTTTGGTGTATCAACGTGAACACATATTTCACAGGTTTTTGTTTTTAGGAGCCATGTGTGGGCATTTCACCCAATTCAATACAGTCGCTAGCGAAAACAGCTTCCGCCCTGAAGACTCAAATTTAGTATAAGTGCCCCACTGCCAAGGCATGAGTGGGTAGATTTAACTCAACGGCCATTTATAGCTGAATGAAAGTGACAATACTAGGTCGGTACGATACACTCTGCTTACATTACAATGCCATTGCCTACAACAAGGCACAGGGTAGGTGAGTGATAGGATAGACATCCGGTCTTGTCGATGACAAGAAAGGCCGCTTACAAAACACAGAATATAAATAGTGGAAAGAATGAGTCAGATATTTATAGTACATATCTTTACTCGGATAATAAAGATATATGACCTATCGGCACATCATCTCAAATCTATGAGTTCATGTTCTATTTTCACCAACAGAAAACAATGGCTAGTATCATCCCACTACTACCAAGATGGCCGAGGGATGAAGGATGAAGGAATATAATTGCATTTGATTAGACTGCGTATTCTCTAAGTCTCTTGATCTTTTCGACCTTTCTAGAGGGATGATACTGGGTAGCATGCAAGATATCAATTTCCTGACTTCGAATTTTGGCACGGTAGATACTGGTGGTATCACTGCGGATGCAATTCCATAAGTATAATAGTGGGATGTTCCTCTAAGCCCATGGAGGAGAGATAATGTTGGCAGCTGGTCTGCCGTCCAGGGGAAGAAAGGGCTATATGGTAGCGTGGAAACAGAAGAAAGGGACAAGAGCTGTATTCCGAGAGGGATGGAGGAGGAGGAGGAGGAGAGAGAGAGAGAGAGAGAGAGAGAGAGAGAGAGAGAGAGAGAGAGAGAGAGAGAGAGAGAGAGATCTAGCTAAGACATGCACGCGAAGAACTGCACGCGCTAGCAAACGGAGGGGGTTAGTTTATCCCATACTCCAATACATAATATTCTTCATGCCATCTTTCCCTATCCACCTCCACCATCGACAAGCATCTGCTGTATCGCCGGAGCACATCCTTTGGCGAAAGCCAGCGGGGTGTGCCCCTGCGCGTCCTGGGCATTGAGGTCTGCGCCCCCGCGGATCAGACAGCGCACGATTTCCATTGGGGTGTACTTTTCAACCTTGTCACTCATACACGTAGGTGAGACCCGCTGCGGACCAGGTTCTATTTTACGTATCAGACTCTCTCTACCTGGCCGGAAACATGCTATGCTCCTGCCACCGATTCTAATTCGCGGGTCTGCGCGTTCACAGCGAACGATAGCCGTGTGGAGAAGAGTCAACCCTCTTTTATCTCTCATATTTAGATCCACACCACTATCAATGAAGAGCTGCAGGATATCTCCCCGCTGAGCCCTTATCGCAATCGACAGCATCTCGGTATTCGGCCCATAACCGTATTCGAGCAACAGATGCACCGTCTCGACTGCACAATTGCCAACCAATATTCCAAACCATCTCTCAAAGTCATCTGGCGGATAGGTTGCTCCAAGGTCAAGCATTAGACGCAAAGTATCAATTGTGCCATGATATGCTTCGTTTAACAAGAGGCCAGGATGACGATTCGCCAAAGCGATATCCGCGCCATTAACCAGCAGGAACTGAACTATCTCTGTTGAGAGATTGCGAGACGATACAGCTCTGTTCAAAGGATGCCTTCCCTGCCAGGGTATATTGAGATCTGCCTTGAACTCAACTAACAATTTGAGAAGAGAAATTTGCCCCGTGGATATTGCGCAGTTGACCAGCCCGCCTTGCTCCATGCCAGGCTCGTGGATAGGTGACCCATGCAATAATAAAAGCCGGACCGTGCTCTCATGGCCCGATAATAGGGCATCTATTACTGCCGGCTGTGTTGTGCTCCAGTGAGAAGGGGACCCGTGAACATTCGCCCCATGGTCTAGCAGTAAGGCAACTAATGTGTCGTTTCCTATGTTTGCTGCTACATTTAGGGGTGTCTGCACATCGAACCACGGCTGGAAAAGTATTTTTGCATGACGAATTGGATATATGCCCATGGAGGCGTTCACGTCTGCCCCGTAGTGAAGGAATTTTCGGACAGCTGCTTCATTGCCTGTGGCAGTGCACCAGAAGAGCCCTTCTTGAAGCCTACTGTCTCGTATATGGCGCTGGTAAAGATGTGGGAGGAGAAGTTCGTTAAGGGAGCGATGAACTTGTAGTAGATGGGCGAGGGCGCTTTCAGGGAGGGAGAGTGCAATGAGCAGGATTAATTCAGTAGGTATTTCCAATAGGTTCATCTTGTATATAGATAAATAAACATATACAGGGAGGATAGATAGAGATGGTTGAAGCCTTGAAGGTGACAAGAGAAGAGGAGTGACAAGATAAGAGGGCTGAGCACTGCGTTTGTGTGCTGACCTAGTGCTAGCTAATAAATATCTCGGCGTGAGAAGCCTCTATGGTATAGCTCAATTTAGTATGAACCCCTAAGAATTAGATATAAAAATTGCGGATGTGACAAAGAGAAGAGAATTAATCATTCCTTACTCTCTTTGACTCTTCCTTGGGCTCTAATGCTAAGAGTCACTAGGCTGTATCGAGAGTAGCCTATGAATCAATCACTCACGTCTTGAAACCGTGTCCTAGAATAATGCCTTGTTCTACGACGATAATCTACAGTGAAAATCAGTTATATTTCAAACTGGAGCACTCTAGTACCCGATGGTTAGAAAGAATGTCGAAAGACTCCTGTGCCCTTAGTCTAAGTAACTCCGGTCTCCAGCAGCCGCAGTATTTATAAAGACAATGCTACTCCGCGGTGACGAACCAACCTTCTCTTCTGCTGAGAGTGAGATTTCGACCAACATCGGACCGGAGAAAGTGGTGACACCATTTCTCGAAAGCACTGTACCGGTCAATACCTTAAGCAGTCGACTTTTTATTGATTCCCGTCAAATAAATATTTACAGTAGTGCCTTGGTCGTGGGGCCCGATAAAATAAAAGCTATCTGTAGGGAGGAAGCTGATTTCGCTATGGACTGTAGCAAAGAAATGCATCGAGTTCAATTGAACATAAACACATCCTCTTCCCGTCCCATATCATTCTCGTATTTCTTGAGTCTCGGCGTCGCCTGGAAAATATGTACCTTTCCAAGGTTACTTTAGCTACGTAATCTGCGGAACTGTATTCGCAACCCATCATGAAGTTTATGGACTTGGTGAGTGAATCATTTCAAACATTGAGTGCCAGATCTTTTAGTGAAAGGGACCTGGACTTGAAGACTTGTTAGAGACCTCGGGAAGAAAGTGCAAGTCATGAAATGAATAGAAGATGTATTTGATACATGTTTCCGTCACAAATCCACTCAATATTCACCGGAAAATACATAGATGCGAATGCCCACTGTTCATTGGCACCGGCAAAGCGATATAGCAGAACGCTCAAGCTTCATGCAAGCTATGTGAGAAAGTGCTAGAACAGGAGTAGTCTATGAATGTAATTCAAACCAGCAAAGTATTATGTAAAACAGGATAGGTGCTAACTAGGACGTTTCGGTGCGAAGCAGTTTGAACAGCGAAGATGGATATTTGACAGTAAAAGGTGGAGGAAATGCATTTCTTAGAAGCTCATAAGATCTAGATGGAGAACAGGTTAGATTTGGACTTTGAAGAATAAAATTTTTCTTTCTTTGCGAAGTGTGAACATACCTCTTCCAAATAGGGCACGCTTGGCCCAGTCCATCGCCAACATACACCGGGTTCGGAAACTAACACTCTCGGCGAAGTAAATACTGCGCCAGAGGTACATAGCGACGACACCGCCGCTGAAGCTGAGGCCACCGAAGTCGAAGATGGCAGCATTACTGATATATGCGAGACTGCCGAGATGCTTGTACTTAAAAGCACGGTAGACAGCCTCGTCCAGGTCACCGTAATCGATTTCGTTGGCCCTGAGTCCAGGTAAAGCGGAGGCAATCTTGGTCAACTTGCGGCCAAGGTACACACCCTGCTGGTTAGCACGTTGAGCGGTGGCAGGCAGGGAGGTGAGCTTGGTGTCGATTTGATGTAGGAGTTCAGAGAGCTCTTCGTAATCGAGTGTTCCGGAATGGTCCTTGTCATACTGCTCGAACAATCTGTCCACGCGGCGGAGATGGTTGGAAGCTTGAGGGAAATGTTTCTTGACCCTGTTGGCTACGTCGCGCCATTCAGAGAAGGTGAGGTGTACTTTCTCTGGATCCCGGCCCTTTTCCCAGGCGATTGTGCGCAAGAATCGGATGATGTTCTCCGCAATATTGTTCTGGACGGTGGAGCAGTCGCCAATAGCGTAGACGTCACCTAGGGGTGCACCAATGACTCGGAGATGGGCGTCGGTTTCGAGGGCATGCTTGTTGTTCTGGCCCTCCAGGTGGTCGGATAGTGTTTCACAGATCTTGGCGCGGGCTTGGATATGTCAGTGTTATGAATGATATGAAGGTTTCCGGTGAAACTTACAGACGCCAGTGGACCAGAGGCAGAAACCGGTTGGAATCTCTTTGATGACTTCCTTGCCATCTTCGAGCTGGCTGAAACGAACACTATCATTGGTGACCTCCTTGACACGGGCACCAGTCAAGACTTCAACGCCGTCACGAGCGAAACGACCCTCGGCATATCTCGAAAGCGCCTCGTCGTAAGTATTCAGTATGTGAGTCCGGCTTTGAATTATGTGCACCGAAATTTCATTGCGAATAATGCGAGGGAAAGAATGCAACAGATCCTCATTCAACAAATCAAAAAGCTCCGCAGCAAACTCAACACCAGTAGGACCACCACCACACACCACAAACGACAATAGACGCCTGCGCTCTTCATCAGAAGTGGTGGGTAGGCAGGCATGTTCCATATTATTAAGGACCTGGTTCTTGATATTGCGGGCATCGTCGATTGTCTTCAGGAAATGACAGTGGTCAAGGCCCTTCACTCCGTGAGGGTTTGTCACACAACCTATGGAGGGGAAATATTTAGCATTGAATGAACATGGCCCATTACGTGCCAACAAGTCACAGGAGGTTCTGAGTAAATTGAACATACCGACACCAACAACGAGCTTATCATAAGGCAGATAGAAGTTTCTCTTCTTCCCATCCTTGTCAACTTGCGAAACTTCAACCAGTTTCTCCGAGAACTCAACATCCGTAGCTTCAGCCTTCAAGAAATGCCCATTGACGCGATCAATGATACGACGAACGGGCTCCACAAGCGATCGAAGACCCAAAGTGCCAACGGTAGCAGAAGGAAGCATGGGGGTAAACAGGAAGTAGTTTGTTGGAGAAACGACTGTGATATGATAATCACCGGGGTTAAGGTTCTTAAGCAGCGCGATGCTTCCCCAACCAGTACCCAATATCACCAAGCGTGGCTTATCCTTTTGTTCAAGCATAGACTCCGAATCATAATCCCCAACGAGGAAATCAGCAATGGGAAGGTTCTTCGGGCCTCCATGGCGAGGGTTTAAGGCCAATTCTGAGACAGGGATGTCCTCGCTGGTAGGCGTTTCACGGTATGTGCTAGCATCGTAGATAAAGAACGCAACAACCCAGATAGTCGCACCAGCGAACAGAACACCGCAGTATGAGAATGTTTTACTAATCACACGAACCAGTCGAGAAGGCTTGGAGCGCGCGGCTTCGCCTGCGACATCGGATTTGAATCGAATCGCGATTGGTACATGGGAAGCTAGGCGGGAAGCATTTGGTGGGAGGGCTCTTCGAGGTAGTAGGGTGTTCAAAGATCGTGTGGTGGGAAATCTAGTGGCCAAAGGGACTCGTGCAGTGTTCAATCGACCCGATAGCAATCCAATTGATCGCAGCGCGGGGCCGCCCGGACGACTCCGCAGCATGATCGCGTTCATTATGGAGGAAACGTCAATTTGCAGCGCAGATCAGCTGTAGCCAAGAAAAACAAGGCAGATCATAGCCTGCCCTTTGAACAGGCAAAGAAAACGAAGTGAATAAACCGAGCAGAACGAAAGAATAGTCCCCCGCAGCTAGCCAAAGAAGATAAAAACTGCTGGAAATTATCTCAGGGTCGTCTTCCAGGTAGCTTGCGCTGCGACGTCACCAAGGAGTCACGTGGTATCGGGAAACCGGCACGCGCACCTATTATTGGGCTTCATCCACTATGTTTAGGGCAAAACAGGATTGCAAAGGATTAAAGTAAGTGGGTATGATTTCTATTATGTACTCATGAAAATAAATGGGTAATAGATAAGTGTCAAGGGAAGACCAGCCTGACAACTGCAGGAAAGCATGAATCACCCACCCAGATATGCGCCGCCGCATGCAGAAAAGGCCTGTATCAGCCAGCCTCTCCGCCGGTCTTGATAACAGCAACAGGGAAATGTAGAAAAAAAAAAAAAAAAAAACACGCAAAATTCGCAGAAATAAAATAGAAATAGCAGACCACCTGCTCCAGGAATAAAAAAAGATGTGAAGAACAAGAGATTAACGCCCTGCTCGCCTGATATGCAATAGGTTAAAGTCGTCCGTCCTAATCTATAGGAATTCAAATATCGAAATGAAATTATTAGGGCTCGGTGACCCATTAGTCCCAATCATCGGGATCCGTACTCGATAGTTTCTTCCCAACCGAGCTTTTGCGGCTCTTGGGGCGTTTGCTAACGCTTGTACTCGAGACGGAGCCTTTGCGTTTAGTGGGACGGGATACACCAGCGGTGCCATCCATGTCATCAATTTCTCCAATGGCATCAATGTCACCATCGTCATCATTGCCTCGATCTACCTTGAACTCATCGTCGATCGCGAGCAAAGTTGAAAACTCTCGGCATTTCCTCAGCATGGCCTCTTCATCATTGAGCGATGCCATATTTTTTGCGACTGCCTCCCAGAACCGCTCACCAGTTATGCCATGTACTTTTGTTGCGCTTTTGTTGAGTTCTTTAGCCGCTATTTTCCCTTCTTTCTCTTTGCCATGAGAATTCACGCCGTAAAGGCGTCGCAAGTAAGTTCTTGCTTCCCATAGCATGGAAAGCGATGCAGCGGCGGTGGCCAGTAGTCTTAGAGTGTCGGGATTGACGGCCTGCGGTACAGGGGGCGGCATTGGGATGGCGGGGGACATATCCATTATACCATTCGGGGTCTCTACCATGGGAGGCCCAATAGGGCTGGGAAACATCTCCGTCTCAATGCCATGCGCAACCACCGTACCAGTTGATGAGACAATGCGCTCAATAGTCTGTATCGTAGGCAGTAGCTCAGCCAGCTGACCGTAATCGAAGTAGGCAAGATTTTGAGAAACAAATCTTGTGAGCAAAAGGTGTTCTGGCGGATCACCAATGGCTTTAAGCTTTTTCAATTCAAAATTGACCTTGCCGCAAAGGTTCGAAAGGAACTTCTTCTGGTAACGGCTGTTGCTGATTTTGACGATTTCGAACAGTGGAGCGAGTTTTGAGACGTAAGGACGAGCAGTTGCGCCACTAGAGTCGCCAACCACGTCTCGCTGGTAGTAAAAGGCTTCTTGAATAGCTCGCATGTATTCTCGTTCGAACATCGATTCGTACTGAGAGTGAAGCATTTTATGGGTGTCATATGCGACTTTGGCAATTGCTGGTACTGTCGACGTCTCCAGAGAAACAAGGACACCTGCGCATTCTTTGGGATGCACCAGTCCCTGTCGGTTGATGCTTGCGATGAGTTCAATCGCGGTAAGAGAATATGTGTCTTGTCGCGATTGTGCAACTTTCAACATGTCCTTAAGAAAGTGTTGAGCGATCAAAGCAGCAGCGCCATCATTATCACTGGCCTTGAGCGATCCTCCTAGTCGAGTAGACTCTTCTTGAGAAGTCCCATCTGGGGTTGGCATGACCGCCTTTTCAGACTTGCCCTCGTGGATCGCAAAGAAGTCTGCAAATGACCGAAGTACGATGTTCTGCAAGCTAGGAGCGTCTTCCTTGAAGACCTGCTGGAACGTCTTGCGCGTAGGTTCGCGACCAAACTGGGCGGGCCATGATTGGCAGATGGAGCCCAAGCTCTCAAGGGCCATGACTCTCAACTCCATCGGCTGGTTCGAGTGTGTGAAGGGGAGAATAGAGTCGACCATCAAACTAGCCACAGACCCGCCATTCCACGTGGGGAAAGAGCTCTTAAAATGATTTAAATACTTTTCAAGGTCACAATGCCGTCCAACGCAGCCGGCAATCCGTATATAACTTTTAGCGCGAGCCGAGACAGCAGCATTTGCACTTGTCGAAAGGTCAACACCCTTGTATTGCTGTAATGGCTTCAGAACAGATACTGTCAACTTAACTAATCTGTCCGTGTTTTGTAAAACACCATTGACAGTCCAAAGACATGCCATGACCTCATTCAGCTCCGAACGTGCTAACTTGGCCACACTTTTGAACAGATCATTTTGTACTTCTTTCAAAAGGGTATTATGGGACGATGATAGGTATGGCAAGACACAACGATAGATGACCACAACAGATCGGAATATGAATAGATCATCTGCAGTTGCAAGGTTGCCAACGTAAGGATGTAGAGCCTCCAGCTGATCTGGGGTGAACAGCTTGGCGTTAGACTTGGCAAAGACGGTGATTGTCTGTAAGAGGGCTTGCTGAAAATCTTTGCCAGAAGCATCCGCATCTTCAACTAAGCGTTGAAACATGATAGACACCATGGACTTGCACACCTTGAAATTCATAGTCGCTGACTTAGATTTGTCTGAAAGTACAGCCTTGAGGCAAGTGCTTAGGGAATCAAGGGCACTTTCGCTGCGTTGGACGAGACTGACAATCAATCCAACCTGCTCTCCAAGGGCCATCTTGAGTTTCGGGCCCTCTGAAGTTGAATCAATAGATTCATGGAATGGGACGAGCCAAGTTTCTTCAAATGTGAGCCGAGCCAGTGTTGCAACGCTTTCCTCGAGGTCGCCGGTACGTTGAAGAAAACTATCGAGTATAGCTAACTTCAAATCCTGCCGAGAGGTATTATGATAGAGTTCCTTGAGCAGACCGATGCAGCGCTTACGAATGCCAGCTGTTTGATCAGCTGCGCAGGCAAGAATACATCGGCAACCCTCCTCTTCAAGTTTCGGTTTGAGACCAATGCACTTGGCGATAAGTGATAGTGCAGAGTCTCGAACCATAGGCGAAGCATCCGTAGTACACCGGAGGATCACACGCATGACCGAAGCATCACGATCGAGGAGATTAGGATCCTTCTCGAGCATATAAATGACACTTTTCAAGCTGCGACTGCGAACTTTGGCTTGGTCGCTAGCAATTGAGTTCAAAAGAACTTTGAGAATTGTGTCGAATGCTTTGCCAAAACTCGAGTTCAAGACAGTCAGAATGTGGGCAAATCGTCCATGAGCGTTGGGAATGGTGTCAAACTGTCTGTGAGTTTCCAGCCAACGGGAGTCAGAGAATGACCGCGACAGCACAACGACTAGCTCATCCGTGATATCATCTTGGTCCAATTCTCCTTGGCCATCGGGGTTGTAGTACAGTGTGCAGATCGTTTTTGCCCATTGAGCCAGATAATAGCCCCGCGCGCTAGTCAGTTGCCAATTGTCCGAATTTTTGTCTTGCGACAAATACTCAAGGGCCATCCGATAAGGGCCACGAGTGGCAACAAGATCTTGCGGATGTAACGCTCGCGTGGAGGAATCTTCAAATTGTTGTCTAAGGGAATCTGTGAGGTCACTATCTGAGTCCTCTAAGGCAGGAAGCATATGTTGAGCAGTGGCAAGTAGATCAGAGATCGCAGAGCCCATCCACCCTAAAAGCTCCAAAGCCATGCTCTTTGCAGTTGCCGGGCTTTTGTCTAGATCGGCGATACCAACCATGTGAGATGCCATGATGCGAAGGAGCAGTTCAGCAGCGGGCCAATCGATCGACCCCAGTACATTGATCAAGTCCTCCGTGAACAGATCGAGGATGTTTCTGAACGGCTGGTCACCAGACTTTGTCGAAGTCATTGCTCGCTGAACTATAAACTTGACAATATATTGCGCACTGCGCACCGCATTGTCATATAGTCGGTTCACCTTGACTGCCAGGCGTTCCAAAGACTCATCAAGCTCCTCATCCTCATCATCCTCACCAGTCTTCTTTGCGTCGTTTTCATAGTTCATCAGTTCGTCATCGTCATTATTTTGTATTCTCTTTTTTGCCTTCGACCGAGAAGGCGTCTGCAGGGCAGTTGTCTGCACAAGCTGTAGAACCAGCGCAGTAAGAAGCTGTATGCTTTTGCCATCTGCAAGTTTGAATTGCCGTGCGCTTTGTCGAGTGGAAGGAAGCTTCTCCAGTGAGACTAGAATCTCATCTAGAATAAAGGGGCGTTGATCTGGGTATTTAGAAAATATCTTTGCAAGAACATCCATCGCAGCACGTCTTGCTGGTTCGTATTTTTGATACCCAATGGCTGAATCTTTATCATTGTGTGCATTCTCAACGAAAATCAATTTTGTTGCGAAGAATTCAGCCGCCGTAATGGTCCCTTCAGAGACTTCGATACGGGACAAAAAATCCGCAAAAAGAGTAAGAACCTTCTTGCTCTGGTGAATCAAGCTTGCGATGATACGTTTTTGCCCCGAGAAAAACATGAAAAGCTCGGAGTGCTTACCACCGGAACGTGATTCCACCGCCGGGATAATACAATGATCAAAGACCTGGTTGAGGACAGTGGGAATAGCTTCGAGAAGATCCTCGGGGCAAAGATCACGCTCTGTTCGGCGCCCAGACATCGTTTGTAAGAGTGTTCCAATGGCGAGCAGTGTGTTCAAGATATCATCAACCTTTGCAACCCATTCCTGCGCCTCTGCATCGCTTGACGGATCGTTAAGGCTTAGGTCGGGTGATTGGGAAGCAATAATTGGCCTTTCACAAAGTTTCTGAATTCGAGTGAGGTAATCAGAGGGAATGTCCTGCAGTCGATTGAAACCAACAACCTTTCGAATAGATTTTTGGAGGCGATTATGGGCGTCCATAGATAAGAGCGCACCGTGTACCTCCAACGACCTTGCACTCACGAAGATCGGGTTCGGTCTGTCGGCAGTTACCACAAGTGTTTGGTCTGGTTCAATTTGGTCCTCCGCTTCGAAAACCTCAAGGAGAAGGTCTTGCAACTTCTGTAGAGCATCATCCATCTCTGCCTTCTGATCTCTCAAACGAATGGCACTTGTTGAATCTTCGGGGTCTATAAGTACTTGAAGCCTGGGTGCCTTGATTTGCTGGTCATTCTTGGTAGGCGGAGGCTTCCTAGGTGACGACTTCACCGGAATAACCACAGAGAATGGGCTGGATGAGGGGTGAGGTGCTGGAGGTGCAGGTTGTACTTGAGGAGCTTCAGATGGGTGAGAAGGTTTGAATGGTTGGAGTGGTGACGCGTGTTTAGTTGATTCAAAGGACGTTGAAAGTGACTTGTTCGCAGAATATGTTTGTTGATTCCGTATGATATTCTTCTTTAGGGCCTCTTTTTGTTCTATCTTGGCTTTTGACGTTGATGTCTCGGGATCTGAGAGGACGTTAGCAGAAAGTCCCTAAAAAAACCCCCCAATTTCCCATCTCTCACATCTGAAGGCTATATCCGTTGAATCGAGCATCATTTTCGCGAAAGACCCTAGCTGGTTACGACCGGACGGAGGGCCATTTTGGGCAGTGACAGGTGACGGTGGTTTTTGGCTGCGATTGAGGGCGGGAGGAAGTTTGAATTTACTATGATAACGCGATGTTTAGTGAAAGAAAACTTACTTAGTGCTCAAAGAGAGGACTTACAATTCAGACAACTGATCACCATCTAACAATTGCTGAAGGTATTCACGCGAAGTTTCCAAGCGACTCGACTCATCTTGCCCAGAATGAATCTCCGCGTCCAGCTCACTCAGTGTATTTCGACCAGATTGAAGGACATGGTTGATTGACGTAGTATTCGACGGCCGGCCGACATCAGGGCGTATGATACAATCTAAAGGCGATCGAGTCTAATTAGATATTGTCTTTGAAGTGGTTGTTCAAGATTGGGGGTCTCAGATAGACAAACCAAGACCAAAGACAGGCGCGCTAGACATGGAGGAATACTGAAGTGCTTCGTCCACTGAAAGCGGCCGGGATCGATTCGATAACGACATATTCGAGGCATAAGCGGGCTGCGACTGGGAATAACCATTCACAACCACCTGAACGGCGGGCCTAATCTGGTCCATGATGGGCGGTTATATCGGGGATCGGGGAAGATCTAGAAAAGGAAGGCGCTAGTCACGGGAAAGAGGACCTGCTTGGAGCAGAGTCATGGCAGGTGGACGGCGCATTTACGACATGCTTTGCAGACTTCCAGGACGTTATTTCGACAAAGGAGAAGGGACGGATTGAAGCTCCCGATGATCATTCATTCATTCGTTCATCATTTCATTCAGCAACCCCATACTGCCGCGTCCGACCGCCTAAGCGGGTATTGCCTGCGCATGGTCCGTGCATTTAAAAAAAGTGCATGCCGCATTTCATTCCTTGCCAATAGTCCTGTACCCGGCGATCGTTCAATTTGCATAATTTTCAGACCTGTTTTTCAAGCCGACCACGATACCCTTATAACCATGTCTGCTATTGGATCTTTGATTTTCTGCACCGATTGCGGTAACTTGCTGCGTGAATCAACCGGAGATTCTAATGCGATTCTGCACTGCACAGTCTGCGGAACTCGCAATAAAGGTATGTAGCTCGATTTGGGACCAGAAGAAAGCATTCGATCACCTGTTCTAGCTATCTAACTTTTCTTGAAGATACCATTCCCCAAACTATTGTCTCCGAGTCCAAGCCCTCTGCGTTCCCATCCGCTCTTAGAGCCAAGCGATCTGCAGTCCAAACTCTGTCAGCCGAAGATCGAAAGACCGAGGCTATCACCCAGCACACCTGCAATCAATGTGGAAGGAAGGAAATGTTTTACACCACGGTTCAACTGCGTAGTGCTGATGAAGGAAGTACCGTGTTCTACCGCTGTGTCTGTGGTTACAAGTATGTCATCCTCCACCGTTCATGATATTTTCCGGGCTAACCTTTTTTTTCCTACAGGGAAACTTCGAACAACTGAGCAACTGAAGAGTGTGTGTACAAACAGAGTCTATGTTTTTGGCTGTATAACAGAGCGCGAGAAGAGTATCAAAATAACGACCTTACGACTTTTGTTTTTTATTCATCAATCCAGAGCTGCTTTCAAGGCCCAGAAACCTCTGTAGTAGCATTTCCACCCGGTACCAAGGCATACTCAACTTGGCCACTCTTCTCGAATTCGGCCATGTCAAGTGCCACGATAACACTGTCCCGCACAACCTGCTCGGGGTCATCAAGGAACTTCTTGAGTGTATCCTCCACGCCCTCTTCGTCACCCAAGCTGCCAAGCGCTTCAGCAGCCTCGTGTCGTACCATACCAGCTTCTTTCAAGTCTCCAAGACACTCTGTAAGGCAGGGAATAGAGGCAGGGTGGCAGAGCTGTCCGAAAACGAAAGCGACTTCATGGCGGAACAAGGCAGATGGGTCTTTGAGGCCCTTCGCCAATGCGTTCACGGCATCGACTGCTGTAGCAAGATCTGGAGGCGAGGCAAGGTCTCGGAGACCAAACATGGCCCGGTATCTTTTGAAAAGAGGAAGTTTTGTGTCAAGTAATGTCTTCTCTAGTTCGGGAATGCAGGGCTCCTTGGCGTCCAAGGGCATGGGAGGGGCAGGGTCGATAGAGGTGAAATCACTGCAATAGAAATTGATTAGAAATGCTTCAAGGAACTCCCACGTAGTGTGTAGAATAGGCCTTAGCAAACATACCTGGGCTTGAGCTTCTCAGCCTTCCTCTCCTCGGAGTTCTCCCACTGAATGCGGTCAACCGCAATGTCGCAAGTCTCGCGAACAATTTCCAATTCATTCGCATCATCGCGCAGCTTCTTCAAGATGTCCAAACTCTCGGGGTATCCAAGGGCTCCTAGCGCCTCTGCGGCCTCGTGACGGCACATCGCATCCTCCTCAACATCCTTCACAACGTGCTGCAGGTACGAGACAGAGTCGCGGTTTCTGGTTTGGCCAAGGCAGTAGGCAAGCTCGTGCTTGAGAAGGGCCGAGGGAGACGCGAAAGCGGCGGCGATCGCTTGAATGGCGGGGAGTGTATTTTCGGTGGGAGGCTGCAGGCAGGCCAGGTACTTCAAAGAGAAAAGAGCGCGGAAGCGACGAGCGAGAGGCTCGGTTTCAGAAACCAGAACCTTGCGAAGCGTCAGGACGGTCTGGTCAACGCCCTCGGCGTCAGTTGCAGAAGGTGTCATAGTGAACGAGGGTGTGGAACAGAGATTAATGGAGCAGTTGAAAACTTTGGAGGGACAATCTTGAAGATCTTATCATTGATTAATTTTTAGGGTGGGGTGGCGGGGCTGCGCCGATTCGGGAGTGGTTGATCCGCACAAATTTCTACTTTGTATACTATGGGTTTACAATTTTTGTTTCCTTTGACTTTGCAGCTTTCTTTCATGGATTGAAATTTTATCTTTGTTGCTCCAGTCTTTGTGGTTTACGTTTGTACCATGTTTGATTACTGTTGACTTGTGGTGACAAATTTGGAATCAACCTTGCGGGCCAAATGTAATAGTTAAAAGTTATCATGTTTTCTATAGCCTAGGGAAATCGCGCATGTGATTAATTGGTATCTAAATCCCACAGAGATCCTCAAAAAGGCTCGGTAGGCTCATGAGAGCCTCAGACTTGACTCAGGTCGATTGTTTAACAGCATCTTCTGTCGCTTTCTGGACCATCGCGCCAAGATCACGATTCACCCGGCCAAATAAAGCTAATAGAGAGTCGGAATCATGCCATTCAGGTATCGGGAGGAGTAAAAAGACATACCGTAGACCTCCCTCCGGAGCCTGGAAGACTTCACTCCCTTGATGCTCGAGGCAAGGTTGCCCACGAGCCTATCTTGTTGCCCTGATTGACGGCCAAAAACATTCCACAATTCAGCAGGCTGGACGAAATCATCATCGGTAATTTGGCTTGTATAGGTTGACACTTCTCGTGATGCTCTGTGTGCAAGCCAATGGAATTGGGATTGACTTTTTTGATCTCCGGATAGAATTTCGTTGGCTGGAGAGAGGAATTGACATAATTAGGATCACCCCCATAGTTATCGTCAAAGCGCATCTTGCCATCTCTCTCATAGGAGCAGTAAACTGACACTTTAGCTGCATTTGTGGGACGCTGCTGGTAATTGACGCCAAGTCTAAAACGTGCTGCGTCTGGGTAAGCAAACAACCGACCTTGAAGGACTAGACCGCATTGCAGTCAGTATTTTTATGCCTTTTCTCGAGAATAAAGATTACTCACCTGGATCAGCGGAAGCTGCGAACCCGGGAACCATGGTGGATGGCGAAAAAGCTGCCTGTTCGAAGTCCATGAAGTAATTTCAAGGCTGCAACACGTTAGAAATAATACGTTGCGATTCAGGGTTAGCTTTCCAATCTGCCTCAATGGGAAATCTTTGTGTGGCCAGACTTTTGTCATGTCGATTATGTTCCAATGGTATGTCTCAGCTTCAGATGGATCCATAGTTTGAACATAAACATTCCAGACCGGATAATCCTTCCTTTCGATGGCTTCAAACATATCTTGAATATAATAATCGGGATTCTCGCCAGCAATACGAGTGGCTTCCTCGCGAGTCAGGTTTTTGACGCCCTGTTGGGTTTTGATATGAATCTTGACATATTTGAACGAACCGTCCTACGATAGGGTTGATTAAAAGAAGCGACAGAGGGATCCTGGGAGAAATAAAAGACTCACCTTCAAGTTCTTGGGAAGCTTTTACTTGTGTCCACTGTAAGCATTGATGTTCCAAATGGAATGAGGGGTGCCACGATCACTGAAAAGATGTAGTAACTGATTAATACCTTCTGGATTTCCAACATGAAAGCTGCAGTGGATCAGTTCCAGGTCCCATTTTCTCAATTGAGATCTTGTTTACAAACTCCCAAAACCGAAAAAAGATATCAGCCTAGATTATAAATTATAGTAGTACGGATATTGTGCTTACCATATTGACATCTGGAAAATGACTCTGCGGGTTTCTCCTATGAGACCGATTTATTGAAGGAAACTTAATAGAGTCACGAATAAAGAAGACTGGCTGTACGGTATATGTTGGTGCAAGAAATTGCCTTAGCGATATACTAGTTTCTCACTGTGTTATTGAAGACCCAGTCTAAGTTCCCTTCGTTAGTATAGAGCTTCATCGCCCAACCATGGGCATCCCGTGAGGTATCGCCCGATCCTGCTTCTGGCCCAACAGTAGAAAAACGAAGAAGAACGGGCGTTTTATTCCCCGCTGTGTTCAAGAAACTAGCAGACGTGATATTAGAACAATCTGCTGCTGCCTCGAACACGCCATATGCGCTTCAAATCCAAGATGGATGAGTTAATACCCATATTCCAAATAGAATTATCCACGTACCCGACAGCTTTGGCATGGACAACTCTAGATCACTGTTTATTAGCCAAATTCAAGATGTGTTTTCATATATTTCATTGGAGCCTAACGCTCAAGCATTCTCTCTCTCGAGAAATGCGCAAGTGTCTCGATTAACTGAGTGTCCTGCAGAAGACCAAGTCCACCCCCTGTCTTATTGCGCAGAAGAACAGCAGTGCTGCTACTTGCAAAGGGACACCCTGGTATATTTAGCTTGTCTGTTTACTTTTAAACTCTAGGGGCCATCAAACCTTCCGCGAGTGTATAGTATCATTCTGACATGATGATTCGACGAATACCCTGCCCAGGTTTTTCAGAAAAATTGTGAATGATAAAAATTAACAATACAGGGAAAACCCCAGTCAATTGAGATTTTTATGAAACGGCTCCCATTAGTCAAGCTGCTTACTTTTGTTTTTCTCTTCTTCCTTCATTTGAGTTTGAACACAAACAAATTACATCATTCTCATCCGGAGATACCGACTCACGAACTCTTATCAATTGTCACCTGAAACTAGTATTATTCTATTTGCTACCTCCCTAAATGTAGCTGATTATTTGTTGAATTTTTTATTCCACAAGAAAGGCCCATTGGAGAGGTCGTTGTCGTCGCAACTGCAGCACGGGCTTTCTGTTGACATTGGGAGTCAATTCCCAATCAGAGCGACCCAAATTAATATAATCGACCTTTATCATGATATCGGGTGATTTCTCAGATTCAGTCAACTTGAAGACTCTATACTTTTCAGACCCTTGCCGGTATCTGCCCCACCTCCTATCGACTACTATATATCAATGGCTTATTGAATCAACTAGGTAAATGTCAGCTGTGAACACTGATACTAATTGGGCTTTGGTATACTTACTCCTCCCCAAATGGCTACATAGGTGGGAAGTAGACATATGGACAGACGGAGATGTGTATTTCATTCACCACACTTCAAATGTTACTTGTTCGGTAAATAAGCAAAACATTAAACTACCGCAGCCACTTTGTTCGTGCAAAGAGACCCTTTCAGATGTCTGCTTCATATCGCCGGTTCGTTACATTTCATATGTGGAAAAACCTAGGGGAAAGCGCGATGACTACGAACGTATCGAGAAGCCAAACACTCGCGGTAAGGCTCTTGGAGGTAGTTCATCTCCTAACTACTTCACCTGGGTTCCAGGTTGTAAACCCACGTTTGATCAATGGGCCGAATATGGTGGTAGTGAATGGACTTGGAAGCCTCTTGTCCATTATCTCCGCAAGAGTGTCACCTATTATGATGATGCCAAGCTATATTCTTCTGAATTCAAGCAGCTTGGGAGTGGGAGACTTTGTCCGCATGTTTGGCACTGCATTCCAATGGCATTTCCCAATTCCCAAGAAGGGCCAACATACCTGCGTGGTAGTTGACTTAGTCCGACCTGTATCCGATCCAGGTGAGGTGGCGCTGAATAGCGCGGAGCCATTGGTTCAGCCGAACATCAATCTTAATTTCTTCTCCAATGACTTGGATATTGTCGCCATGAGAGAAGAAATTCGGTTTAGCTACGATGTGCTGAAGCATGGTGATGGCTTTAAAGACATTGTGCTCAGCGAATATCCTTGGGATATGCCTCTTGACAGCGATGAGGAAATGAAGAGAGCTGTTTTGGACCGTTGTCAGACTGCATTCCATCTCCGTGGCACGGCTCGTCTTTCGAGAGATATCAAACAAGGCGTTGTTGATCCGAAGCTTAGAGTTCATGGAATCAAAACTCTTCGCCTCATTGACGCTTCTGTTATTCCAGCCATCCCCGAATGCCGTATTCAAAACTCCGTCTACATGATCGGTGAAAAGGGCGCAGATGCAATCAAGCTTGATCACAAGGATCTCTCTTAATCATTTCTTCCATGTATTTAATTGGCTTCCAGATTGTTCACATTTCATATTGTTTATATCTTTTCCTTCTTGCTTTCCAATTGAAAAGTAAAAGCAACATGTCTAACAACTCTAGCATCCATTAAAAAGTGTTACCTAAGCTAAATATTAAAATTATTACAAACTACAAGTAAAAAAGTTCGATTATAGAGACAATGATTAGAGACAAGGGAATTTCAGAGCTGAATGTATTAATATCCAGCCCTGGTGGGCTTGCTACTGATAGGACAATTTGTAATCTTAATTCAAAAATAGCAATTTCGATCGAGGAGGCCAATAACCTGACACATAGTAACATTTGGTGTGTTCTTTCAGTCAAAAGTCTCCTGGGCCAAGTAGTCACATCAAATTACCATAAGTGCCTCCTTCCTGTTCTATCTCCTCATCTTCATGGATGTAGTCTTTGAACTTATCCATCTCACTTTCCTTCTTCTTCGAGGAATTCAGATCTTTGGCATCGTGCTCATATTCATGTTCAGGTTCCTTTTCTTCATTCTCATCCTTCTTGTGAGGGTGTAGCATTCTCTCAAAGAATCCCTCATGTTCGTGGGTAGGACCGTTTGACTCTTCGTGAAATTAGAATTTGTAAAAGGGGTCTATTTCAAACAAAGATTGGCCCCACGAGAACTCACCGTCTGACATGATGGTCACTGTGGTGGATATGGTATTCAAAATTGAAAGATGTGATCACAGTAGAGTTGACTTAATAGGTAGTTATAAAGGAGAGGAGGGGCTCAATGTTCATTAGGTCGCGTCTTATACAGATTCATGCTACTTGGAATCAAGAACAATGGATCTATGCCATCATAGCGAAACTTCCCCGCACACAATGGGCATTCTTAAAATCGGAACATCTGTTTTATAGGCTACTCTAGTTGTGAGCGCATCATTGACTGATCTCCAGCACCTTGGGTAGGCAAAACGCGGGCTAAAGTTTATTCGCAAGTTTGTTCAGCGGAAGGTCCCGACGAACTGACGTATGAACTCGGCGATGTACTGCAGGAGGATTTATGTACTACATAGTGGTCTACACGTATAAATTCTTACATGTTTTTTGATTGATATAACGTTAGCCACGATTGACTTTCGATGAAGAGAAGGGAATTGGTCTACTATCACTATAAGTAGTTGGTGCGTATAGTAATTCAAACCTGCCCAATTGCTAGCTTTTTTACTTTACATTTCATTCAGCGGTGGCCCCAAGCGTTGCAAGTTTCTCCAATCCGGATTATGCCTTTGCAATCAGGAGGTGATGTTTTTGGAACTCGAATCATTTCCCTGTAACTTGAATCCAATTGTGATGTCGCTGGCTGGACTGAGAGGGGCCAAGGTCACTGGCGAGCCTTTGCATGATTCTCATAGTATATGTACTTATGACTGTCATAGAATTCTGAGTCCAAGGTTCTAGTTCATAATGATTATGACTGACATATCCGATATAAAAGAGAATATAGGCACTCGCTTGTGATATATGAATCCACATGATTGGAGATACTAACATCAAATGCTTGACCACCAAAAATATATTTGGCTTCATAATTAAATAAATGCTGCTTATTGACTCACAGAGGGTGACCTGGTTTGAGATCCGCGGCATAGAATTTTGATCGAAAGGGAAAAAAAGGAAGAACTTGCATTTATATGTACATAATACACCAGAAGGCACTCATTTAGTCTTGATGTGCTTAAGCTTCCTGTTCTCGAACACGAAGTTGTTGGCATAAGCCTTGGGGGTGAAACGGCGCTCATTGGGCTCCTGAACGAAGTACTCATAGCCCTGCTTCTGTGCGAAAGCGATGGCATCCTCCTTGGAGTTGAACTTAATGTTGGTGCCCTGCATGCTATCCGCAGATGACTGCCATCCCATGAGAGGGTTCTCCCAACGGTGACCCTTCTGTAGGATATCCCACTCCATACGCCAGTGGTGCGAATGCCAGGTACCGGATTGAGTAGCGGGCTTCGAGGGGCGGAAGATTCTGTCGACGTGCAAGGTTAGCCTATGAATGGTTCACGTAAGGTAATGTCTTGGAGAAGTGCTTAAGTACCTGACAGTTCGGGCCTGGAGGTCTGTCGGGGCACCGGAGAGAACAGCAGCAGGCAAGGTATCGCCAGGCTCGCTGCCATCCATAACGCGCTTGGGAACTGGAGAGAATTGTCTATATTCCAAAGGGAAAAGATTAGCGGGAGGCCTGCCGTTGAGGTTGCTGGTATGGGGACAGCGCACGAAGTTCCGTGGTCAATTGTGGCCTCATAATCAGGCTGGTGACGAGTCATTGCCTCGGAAGGGTTCTCCTTGTTGATCAAGGAGCTACCGCTGTGAGTGGTGGTGGGAGCCTCAGAGGCATTGGTCTTGATTGCGGGTGTACCCTGGGCCACATTGGAGGCAAAACGGACATTGACGGGTGCAACAAGGCGAGTCGCTCGGAGGCCAGCGGCCCCTCCAATTCTGAACAGCGACATAGTCGAGGTGGGTGAAGAAGGCGGGGGTTTGGAGGAATTCGACACAATGATTGTAGGAGACCGGTAGTCGCAGACCGAGTGCAGGTCACGGCCCCCACCCGAAAGGGTTTAGCGCACTTGGCTTCACCCGACCACCCGCTTCCCGGCCAGAGGTTCTCTTCCTCCTGCATCATCAGTCGTTCCTAGTTCACTCGCGCTGCGAACTACCGTGAGTATTCCGTCTGGGCTATATTACACCCAGAAGCCTCGATGTCATTTAATGCGACTATGTTCTGACCGCAATCAGTCCAGACAAGATGAGCTACATCGCCCGCCGTGGTCTTTCGACCCTGATCCCTCCCAAGGTATGCACAACCCAATTCACCATCTCAAACCTACCAGCTGTGGTCTTCTCATGATACTAACTCTGTTTTTAGATCGCCTCCCCTAACGTGAGTTCCCTCGATCGTGTTGTGTGAATCCGCGCACATATCACCCCTCCCACCCCCGTCCCGTTCCGAAGTCTTTTTCGTGTGGAATAGAAGCAGTATAAAAAGCCCTTGCCGCCTCAAACCAGCGCTAACACCCATTTGAAGGCCATCGGTGCCGCCCAGGATGCTGCCCGCATGGAGCGTGTTGTGAACTTCTACGCCGGTCTGCCCCGTGGCTCTGCTCCTCAGGTCAAGGCCACCGGTCTCCTCGGTCGTTACCAGGCCCGGTTCTTCAACAAGAACTCCGGCGCTCGTAAGTCTTAGACAGAACTGATCCTAAATAGGATCTTGGTATACTGACTTGAATAGCCCTTGCCCACGCTATCGCCGGTATCTTAATCCTCGGTTACAGCATGGAGTACTACTTCCACCTGCGTATGTGACCACCGCACCTAATATGTGCCCTACAACAGCTTGACTGATATATCGTTTCTAGGCCACCACAAGAACCACCCTCACTAAACTTATTTTCTTTGGGTGAAATGGGAGGATGCTCGATGTATATACTGCATCCTATCATCCCCCAGAGCAAGGAAGGCTGTAGGAATTAGAGATATTCAGTTGAATCTCATTTTGTTTCATTATCTTGAGCTTTGCCACTCATCAAGAACTTAGCCGTAGACTTGGTGGTTTTTTTACGATGTAGATGGTCGACTCGGTGTCCTATGGTGCTTGTAGAACAGGTCATATCTCCAATTTTGCATCGCTCTGTTCACCCGTCTTTCTCTCAGATGAGCATTTGTTTTCAGTAAAAGGGCTATCCAGAGACTTTGAAGTTCATCGTCAACGCTTTATCGAGTAATATCAATCATCTTCAATGGCTGTTTGGAAGATAGAGGTGGGTGGTTATAACATGGCCTAGTCCCTCTCACGACTTTCCCGGGACAGCGCTAACCGAAAACAGCCACCTCTCTCAGCTTCAAACCCGAGAACTCATCTTCAGCGAGCCGGAATACCTTCGTATTCATCACCCACTCCCGGACACATTCTCTTCTCCTTTCCCTCCTCCTTATCTCTTGGGAAATTCTCCTCCTGGGTTGTGGACTTTGCCCACTAGCACCATCTCAACCCAGCGCCGCGACTCCCAACTCACGACCCCCGTCACCGAACCTCCAACTGCCCCCCGGGAGGTGGCCCGACTAACTTCCCCCTCCTGGTTGTGGAATCCTCGATCATTCAGGGTACAACCATCAAAGCGAGCAGTACTACTGTGGCGACTCTTGAAACCTGACAAAAGGTACGGCGCTTGTCTCTTTCCTATTACTATGCCAGCTGGACCCGCGGCTGCCTCTCGCGTCGCATGATCATCTTCCGCAGATCCTTTATTTAGAAGCGCCCTGTTCTGACAAATGTCGCCCTCTTTGACTTTCACAGACTCGAGTATTGTTATGGCAGAGCAGAGCAGCCGCGATGTGGTAGATCAGACCCTGTCGGGCGGCGAGCCTTCGCCTTCCGACGTTCCTGCGAGCACAACCGACAACACTTTTGCTGGAGAGGACGTGGGGGAGACCAAACATATCGCAACAAGTTCAGGGCCTCAAATATCAACTATGCAGCAATCCGACGACGTAACGAGGGATACAACTGAATCTCAAGGCGGACGAGCTGGAGGTGCCAGTGATCCTTTGATGGTAGGTGGTGGCGGCGGAGTGGAAGACGATCGTTAGCTGATTTTTACGCAGGATGCAAAGCAGGGTGCTGGTTTGGTTGCGTCAAGGGCACTTGAATTGAATGGACTAGCTTCAGGATCAGATGGTGGGGATGATACGGCTTCCCAAGGTGGTTCGGAGTCCGACACCAGTCGGACAGACGGCAGACATCACCATAGGACAGGATCGGTAAAGAAGCCCACGGCCTTTGGAAAAGTTTCCTTTACGAAGTTTACGGTTCCAAAAGCGCCGGGGGCTTCTGCGCCTTCTAAGGCGCCTGAGAAAGGTATTTCTCCATCTTTGTCATTTGCTTCCTAATTGTCGTTTCCTGACAAAGAGTACCACTAGTGACATCTACCTCCACGACGCCCCTTGGAACGCCACAGCCAAGCTCAAGACCGCGCTTGGTTGCTAAAACCACTGGCGGGATGCGTGATTCGATTTCTAGAACAGGCGCTGGAGGTGCTAAGTCTGGCGGATCAGGACCGGATCCGACACAAGTCTGGAATAAAAATCGACGTATGTTGTCACATTATCAAACTCCACGATTAAAGACAGGCCCTAATTTTGCTTATTTAATTTAGCTGTTCAGCCAATACCGCCGAAACACCTGACGGATGAAGAATTGAAACAACAATATGGCATTCATATGACCTCCAGAATTCAAGAGGATGGCGGTGGAACCGAGTCCAAATGGGCAGATATTGATGATGACGAAGATGACTGGGCACCTGAGACTATTGAATGGACTGATGGTACGAAGGTCACACTCACCCATAATGAATCAATGCCGCCGCCAGAACAAATCCCCGATGTACAAACAGAAACACCATTACCGGAACAGACTGTGATCCAAGATCCTATTAAAATAGCTGCGCCGAAGCCAACTACTTCTGTGGGACCTAACCCAACAGTTCTTCGACTTGGTGCAAATGCTGAGCGTCAAGCTAAAGCTGCCAGCATCTCAAGGGGACCTAATGACCGATTTCCGTCGGGCTCTACAAGTCCAGCTCCCCCCCCGGCAAAGTCTCCATGGGCGACTCTACCCCCCGTGGAAAGAGTATCTCCAGTTGTCAATGCTCCCTTCCAACCACCCCCCACAGTATCTCAGCATCGTGTCCCAGTCCATCATCCCCACAGGGAAGACGGTCATCATGCTCCACCGCCGACTCATCAGATTGCAGCTGATGACTTCAATCGCGCTTGGAAAGAGCCTAGTTCAGCTGCTCCTAGAGAACTTTATAATTCTCGGTCTGGTCAATTAGAGCCTGTAGCAGACACTCGGAGAGGCTCTTGGCGGCCCGATCAGGGACCCCGACCTCCTGCTGTGCTGCAGAGACCTGGTCATGGTGATCATAATGGTCCTGCAGAGCCGTCAGCAGCATTCCAAACTCATCGTTCCAGCCACCAAGATGGCATGGGTTGGAACCGTCGGCGTACATCATCGAATGTAAGTGGTGGAAGCGGAAGCTTTGGTCGTCGTATGTCGTTTGGTAGGGATGCAGCTCCACGATATAGTGAGGGACGGAGAGGCTCCCATGCAAATGAAGATTGGGTTGACCCAGCCTTGAGCCGTGAACCGGGCCATTTCCAAGAGTCTTTCTCACATCGCCATGCTGGCCCTAGCCGGCCTGCGCCACCTTCAGTAAGTATCGGTAGTGAAGCATCACCGGTGGAGAGCCATGCCGCTCCTACTGCCGTTCCAGAAGTACCACAGGAAGATCCGGTTGTCTTACAAGAACGTATCATGAAGGAGAAGCGATTGGAGGCTAGGCAACGACGACTAGATCAAGAAGAGAAGGAGAAGCAGGCGCGCGACGAGAGAATTCGTCAGAAACTTGCGGCTCTAGGTCCTCCCCCGGAGAAGAAACGCAAGGATAGTCTTGAGAGTCGCAAACCACCAGCGGCTGTATCAAGTACCTCACCTACAACTATTTCTTCTCCACCTAAACCCCCTGTTCCTGAGCCCACTGGTGAACCAAAACAATATGGGATGATGAAAGTTCATCACCCTGATGCGGTGAAGAAACTTGTGGCGGCAAATGAGAGAGAACGCGCCGCCGAGAAACAGGCAGACAAACCCTCACCTCACTTGCGCCGCTCCTCTTCCCCTCACCATCTCACATCCAAACGTGACCCTGCACCTCCTTCTTTCGACCAACCTCAACCTTCTGAACCCCGTTCTCAAGACTCCAAAGTTGATGAGCAAGGTGATCATTGGCGAGGTAATTTGAACGTTCCCAACTCCTACGTCCCCTGGTCTGCTCCGAACCTTCCATCAACTTCGCCTTCCGTGAACAATCTCTGGAAGCCTTTGAGCAGTGACCGCACACTTGGTAACGGAATTTTTGACCAAGCCCTTGGCGGTTTTCCCTCAAGAGAACTTCCTTTACGCAGCCAACTTGGTCTCGATCAACCCACGATGCCTGCTAGTCAGTCTTTCGCAGTCTCTCAGGACCCGACTCCTGTTCCAAATCTGCCCTCGCCTGAGACTAGAGCTGCCTCTTTCGACCCTCTTAGTCCTATTGGTCGACCTGGTCCCATCGGACCCCCAAGCTCTATGGCTCCAAACTGGCCACAGGCCAGAGGCGTGAGCGCTTGGAACAACTTTGGTCCCATGGCCAACAAGCGTGAATCCGAGCAAAATCAGAAGTATCGGCAAGAGTTCAACGATGCCCAGAAGCTCCGACAGGAGATGCCCAAAACCCAGGCTCAAGAGAAGCCAGAGTCCCTCAAACATACCTGGAAAAAGGTTCTACCCGACAGAGATGCCCGACAGATGAATGCAGCTGTAAACGCTGACGCTAAGCCTATCAGCCAGTCTGCTGCACAACCTGACGTGGCTCCTATTCTTGGGTCATCCCCCGCACAGAATCTCAGGCCTGCTGCCGCGGTTGCGAACCCGCTGAATGGCATTGAAGATCCTGCCGATGCGCGTCCAATTTCCTATGCCCCAGCTCGCGGTGGTTCGCGCTTCTTCCCTCATGCTGGGGAGCAGTCAAAACGTACCCATCGCAGTCCATCTCCACCACCACCAGAAGAGGTTTCACACCCAGTCTACTCGAATGGCTCGGGTCGGCCCTTAGTTCATCTGCCTACTCCCAAGCCTGTCGTGAAGTTACCTCCCAAGGCTGTGGCAGTGGCCGCTACTCCTGTGCCACCACCAACCTTTGCTTCTATGGCTGCCGCTGCGCCTCCCCGAGCAAAGCCATCGTCTGATTCGAGTACCATAGACTGGCAAGAGAAGATAAATGGCCTTTTGGGCAAGAAATCTACTCATGATAGCAAGGGCGTCTTGGCTGTCGCCTCAGCTTCAAAGGTACCTCTGGATGTTCAACTACCAGTTGCGGCTGTATCTGTATCTTTACCAAGTAATGTCGAAGTTCATACGCAGACTGGTGATGGCGACATTGCCGCCAAGCAGGTGGCCGAGGGTGAGGAGATCTTCGAGGATCGTGAACCCGGCTCACAGCCCGGAGTTCGCTTGCCCAACATGGCTCCACCAGCTGCGTGGCACGCTGCTGTGGCTCCCCAGCCGTCTCGAGTGCGTCTTAAACCAACGCAAGTGTCCAGCATTGATCCGAATTGGTCTAGTCATGTCGACAAAGATGCACATGGCAATATCCGAGCTACCGTTTTGCTTCCTGGACAAGAGGTTGGAAAAGTTGTCATTCTGAATCGAAAGCATGGCCAGCATACCCCGCGTCATCGTAACACGCCCAACGCCAACCGCGCTCGCAAGGGCCTTAAGCCCCGTGATCCGGAGAATGGGTCGAGCTGGACTAAGAAGCCCTCTTCCCAGCAGACGGGCAGTTCCGAATCGTCTCATCGTAACCAGTCTCGGAGTGCATCCTGGGGACAATCTAACCAGGGCGCTGAGCAGTGAGATGTCTTGTTTTTCTTTGCATTTCAGGGTTTTATCACACGAATGGGACCTTAAGGCGTCGTGTCCCTGTTTCGCTTTTCACAACGCGGCACCAGTATTCAATCATGGTTCGATCTCGCTTGGAATTTCTCTTGTTGCTTCCACTCCGCCAACCCACGAAATCAAAATTCCGTGATACCTTCGTCATGTCCACTCCGCGCTTCAATTGAAATGGTGGAGTACAACATGGGAACACAGCACAGAATATCTCTCTAACCCCAATCTTCCTCCCCGACTCCCCCCTTTCCATAACATCACACTTTCTTCACGTTTGTACTTTTGAGTTGCCTTTGCCCAATTATCTTTTTGCATGCCCACCGGAGTCTGGCTGTTTGAACTGGGCCACGATTCATTGATACGAGAATATGTATGGAAGTGATTCATTTACCTTTGTGGCGAAAGAAACTGCTGTACGGTTCCCGATTTCCTTTCATGAGACTGATTTTCAGGCGCTGGAGTCGGTTTCTTTGAAGAGGGTTTTATGCTAGGATGATTCTCGTGTCTTGATATTGTACCACCGTTCCCCAACGCCTACACTTCCGCTCTCGAAATTTCATCGAACCCATGGGCCGGGTTGCGTTTATCATGCAGCCTTAACAATGCACTATCCCTATTTCAATATATTTTCCATCCGACGCACTTCGTAGAAAGATCATTCTCTCTGTTGATTTAGGATAAAATGATGGTAAACAGTATATACAAGTAGAGAAAAGGTATCAAGCTGAAAAGATAGTAGATCAAAATAAAGCAGACAGTAAACCCTCCTTTCCCAGCCTGAACGCCGATAGTTATCCCAAACACCATAAAAAAATATCTCGACCTTGCTCCATATGATTACCGCCCACGCTTATTCTCCGAATGTCCAGCCAGACAAACACCTGTATATTCAAATAAGAGAAATACGACCCTCCGAAGCTGGCAAGTCTCTACCAGTTCCACGTCCGACTGGAGGCAGTAAAGACGGGAGGCTTCCATTGTAGACGAGCTGGGTCGATCCTACGAGCGCCCTTAACTTTCTCTTTCTCAAGGCGCTTGTTATGTTCTCCGACGGCGTAGTCTGTCAAAACGATAACCCAGTTTCCTTTCTATGAGAAGATTAGTATATGTCCTCAACAATAATCAAGTCGTGGTGGGAAAGTAACTCACGTGGTATCGAAGCATATTGAAGACGACCAAAGTCTCATGCACGTCCTTCTCTGTCATGGCAGTAAGAACAGCAAGCTCGTTCTCGCTCATCGCCTCTCGATTTGGCTCTATCAGAAGCTCCACTAGCGTCTCTCGCCAGTATTGTCGATAACTAAGGAGACCCAGATCACTAAGAGGCTTCTCGGGCGATCCGAGCTTGCCTTCGCGCTTGCTGAGCTCGTAGCTGAATGCAATCAGCAGACGGCCGAATCCTCGGCGCTGGTATTGTGGTAGCGTCAAGATACAGGCCAAATTGTAGCTCTCAGCGGAGTCTTTCTCCTTGGAGAAATAACCGACTAGATGGCATCCTGTCTTGTCGCGGGTACACATGCAGTAGAACATGAAGGGATCAACGTCATAATAGAGGGTCTTGTGATCGAGGAACAGTTTGCTGAGGAGACACAGGTTGCGACACCAAGTGCGCTGACGACGCCCGTCAACTTCGAAGAAGGAGATATTGTCGTCGCGGTATATCTCGTTCCCGGGTGGGTGTACGAGGGTACATTTTGCGCGATGGCGCTCAAAAGCGCGTTGGTTATCGAAGTAGCTGAGACAGAACTCGTCGATGTAGACGAGATCAACGTCTGAGAAAGCGTCCGGGTATGGCGAGAAGTACCAAGGTTCAATATCGTATTTTCCCATTTGAAGACGGGTCAGGTTACGAACACGATGGATCTCAGTCGGGTTTTGTGTCATACTGCCGCTTGTGCGGAGCCGTTCGATCTCCTCTTCACGGGATATCACCTCACCCGATGCTGTCTTGACTTCATCCTCTTTAGGTTCATTGGCATCTGCCATGTCCACATCCTCTGAGTCGCCACCTCTGGGTGTCCCAGCGGCAGAGGCCGCTTCAGATGGGAACATAGAGACATCGCCACCGGGCGTTTGGGCATCGCGGTTTTCTTTGCCGCCAGCTTTTGATGGTCTAGAAGCCTTGCCGACGTTCACGTTTTTGCCTCCAAGGGCATCTGGAGTCCCAGAGACTTCACGACTGTCGGCACGAGGGCGCTTTTGGACATTTTTACTGGGCGCCTTGTTTGTTGTGGCAGCCTTTTTCTTTTCGGTCTTCTCTGGCTGGGGCCACTCAACCTCATGGGAGAGATCAATCCGTGCCGCCGGTATCCACTCTGCAAAGATTGATCAATATTCACGCTTCTGACTGACAAGGGCAAGCAATGTATTCCGAAGTACATACCGTCAAGACGTTTGTTGAAGTCAACATAATGAACACTGTCAATTTGGTTAGCAAATAAAGCTTTCATGATTTGATTTCATATTCACATACTAGAGTGATGGTCCATCCTTTCGCTGCCTGATTGATAGAATCTCTGCTTTACGAAGCTCACCATCCTATAGTCGCAGTTAATATATCGGTCACGTGATAACGAGAGACGCCAGAATCTGCGTGTGCCTAACTCACCTTCTGCACCATGGCCTTCACACCGATCCTATCCCGCGAGTTAGTGAATGCGACCGAAGAAATTCGACCTTCTATCCCGAGGAAACATTTTTTGAGGATCATATGCGACCTGTGATGGGCTTACCTGATGGTGTTAAGGGTGGCGAACCCCTTCTCTACAGGGTCGGGCGTCCCTGCCGCCTCACCATGGGAATCCCGGACACCCATTGTGATCAACTATGTTCGAGTCTGGTCCGAGCACGGAGATGGGTGGATCTGATGGATTTGATGAGAAACTCGATGGAATGAGGTTGATGATGCTTGTGGTGATGAGCGGAATCCGGATGAGGATTAGTAATCATGTGCCGGAAGGGGATGTCTGCCCTGATGAACGTCAATGAAGTATACAAGTCACAGGCGACGGATGGCAACAATCTGCAATCAAGAATATTCTCTCGTCTTAAGGAACGATCTTCAGTTAGCCTGAATCATCCTCACAGTGCATCGAGAGATGACTGAAAAGTTGATGCAAATTAGGTCTAAATATCTGAATAGTACTATGTATTGATGTCCTCAGAACATTGAAGTATAGAACCCCACTTGGGCATATGGGACATCAAACCTTTTGATTGGAAAAGCATCATGCGGTTCTAATATAATATAGCATTGGTATTCGGAAATAATTGCGCTATCATACTAAATTCACGCAAATTGTAAGCTTTCTTTAGGTGGATCCACTTTCAAATGAACCCCAACTTCCCATTACGGTTAATACTGCGATTGTCTCCAAGGCTGCCAAGTTCGCAGGAATACTAGAGGTCATAGTATCATGCGTGCAAACCCGGGCCTATTCAAATTTTCACTATCACCATTCTTTTTGCAACTCTGCTGAGTACATATATACACAAAATGACCACTATTGTCCTCGTTCCTGGAGCTTGGCTGACCCCATCTTTCTATGATCCATTTGCTCTGGCTTTAAAGACAGCCGGCTATGACGTTCGCTATGCCAGTTATCCATCCTTAGATCCCAAGGACCCTTCCGCAACGGACTGCGAGGCCGATGCGAAAGTTATTGCAGGCACTTTACGCTCAATTGTGGAAGACGAGGGCAAAGAAGTGTTGCTCTTTCAACACTCCTACGCTGGAATGCCTGGTGCTGCGGCAGCAGTCGGATTAGCCAGATCTCAACGGGAAAAAGAGGGTAAACTTGGCGGCATCATCGGGCTGCTGTTTATCGGACCTTTTGTGGTGCCTGAAAGCCTTAGCTGCGCGGGTTTGCAGGGCGGAAACTTACCACCATGGATTTTACTCGACAAGGTATGAGCTTTCATGTTTCATTATTCAACGGATTTCTCTTCTAACTCTGATCCCACAGCCATCGACTGGTCTCAATGTACCTGAAGATCCGATCAACAACTTTGCTGCAGATGTCGATCCGGCTCTAGCTCGGTCTCTAGAGGCTGATATTAAACCCCACTCGACGTTGGCGTTTACCTCCCCACAACCTCATCCCGCTTGGGCGGATGAGGAGTTCCGCGGTCGCCTAGGCTTCATTGTCACTACCGAGGACCGTGCTGTACCTAAAGAGGCACAATATGGCATGATGGCCGCTACTCAACAGCAATGGATCATCAAGGAGATTGATTCGAGTCATTGTGCGCCATTTATAAGTAGAATTGAGGACACGGTGAAGGCGACACAGGAGATTATTACTAAACTTGCATAGATTAGAATAGAATAAGTTGTCATTGCTATTGTCGAACCGCTTTCACTTATGCTTATCTGGAGTATCCTTCGCCAATGTTATAGAGGCCTTCGGCCGTGGCTTTACTAGACCACGATGTCTCCGAGGGCATTAACCTGATCCCAATTCCACATCTTGAGACTGAACATGTACCTCCAGTAGATTACAAAGCGATATATATGGCCAGCATGGTGCTCCCACAATCTTCAAGTTGTGGAGCCATATCATGTTCAATCATGCTCAGAATGTTTTCCATCCTTGAAACGTTATGTACTTCAAAAAAGCAATATGATTGGCGCAGGTCAAAATATGAATGGGTCAAAATTCCCATAATTATACTGTACTGTGTGCATTTTAGCCCAATGATAGAACGTAAACTTTTTCAAAAGACAGTCTTATTGGAGGAAGTCAAAGTCTAAAACCCACTTTCCCCGTAGTGCCTACCGCCTATCTATACTTAGATGTCGATCAAAACGCAGGTCGTCAATACAATACTTTAACACAAGATTTCGAGCAGTGGGGCGAGCTGCATTCTTCCTAGTGGTAAGATAAAACGGTAATTAATGGAGTTTCTATATACAAAAACTTATATTGGTAAACAAGTTACATCACGCTAAGGTCTAAAAGAGCAAGGCGTTACAATAGGCATTGCCCACTGGCCGAAACATCATGCTCAGGCAATGTGTACTGCATGTGTATCACGATTGAAGGCGGTCATCTCGAACTTTCAAGGCGGTCATAAAGAAACTATGAGGTTTGCTGTCTATCTATATAAAGCACCTTTCTCCATGCGCTTGTGGGTAACTACTACCGATTTTCTTGTCTTCTGAATCAGAAAATACCCACTTTCAAGGAATTTCGAGCTCCTTTCGCTTTCTCAATCTGATAGTAGCAGCACTGAAATTGTATTCAGTCGCAATGGCCCGGCTCTCTCCCTCCTTCAGCAGCCAGTCAAATACGTTGAACACCCACAAGCAAAGCCCGATGACAAATATTTCGTGCTGTAAACACCATCTTGATCGAGATAATTTTACCCCAAGCTCGGAATCAAACACATCAGACATGAGTTCTCCATGGTCCAATTTGATAAAGGACCCGCTAGCTGAATTCAGTCCCTTCTTCTCCATGTCGCCAATTGCAACTTCAGATCTGGATCTATTAAGCGATGCAAATATTTTTCCTTTTCAACAAGACAAAACTGCCTTTTCTCAAAGCCCAGACCATATGGCTTCTGCCGGCTCATGGGTGGACTCTATCTACTATTCGCCCCCTGCATACTCTTCACCATCTATACACAGTAGTAGAGCCCCAGCGGGAACCCATGAGGATGAGGATAAAACCACAGCAGAAACATGTCGCCATAGGCGCAAGCTACAGTGAGTTTTGCGTTATGTGCTTTTTATGGGATCTTGAAACCCGATGCTAAGACCATTGTCCAGGAATAAGTCAGGAGGAGAATTCGAGTGTAAATGGAAAAATTGTCAAAACCCCGGTCCGTTTACTAGGAAAGCGGTCCTCATGCGCCACATTGATACGCAGCATATCTCCCCGCGCTCGTTTACTTGTCCGGATGAACAGTGTGGAAAGTCTTTCAATCGAAAAGATAACGTTGACGAGCACTTTCGACGGGTTCATTGGGAATAAGCCTCTGAAAGTTCTTTCTGGAGGTGGAAGAATGGACGGCGCTAGGTTGAGTTATTGGGTAGGTCTTATACTTCTGTATACCTATGGGTGATTGGGCTGAAAATTTCGCTTCTATTCTTAGAGTTTTAAAGGCCAATATACTAAGTGATGAAATGAGAAACAAATCCGTTTTCTTCTTCGGATACTTATGGAATCTGTGCATAGAAAAACATTTTGTAGCTCCTGATAGATTTGCATGATTATCGCAAATACAATCCTCCTAATGATACAAAACGGAGCAGGCAGTGGGTCATGAATGCAAAAATAAATAAAAATGAAAGAAGGCTTCTAGTATAGCACACTCTCAATACCACCCATTGATTGTAGCTGTACCCGCTACTAGCTCATCTAGCTCATCCTTCCGAGATTTATACAACTCCTGAGCTTCTCGCTCCCGGCGCATGATAAAGGAAACGTCTTCACGGAACTTTTCTAAACGTGCAGAAACAGCCGCTTCTTCTGAAATTTGTAAATTTCTGAAGGACTCTAGGTCATCTTGAGCCTTGGGCAACGCTGAACTAGCTTCCAAGATCTTTGATCGGAGTGTCTTGGCACGTTTCTGGTATCCGCCGTGAACCTTAGCAAGCTTTCCTTCAAGCTTATTACCCTGCTCAGCTGTTGCAAGTAGAGATGTTTGGACGTTATCAAAGGCTGTGATCATGCGCTGCTCTTCCTGCAGCATATCTTCCTCTTCATCGTCGGCGTAGCCATCGAGGCCTGGTAGAGCATTGGCGCGAGTAGATGACCATACGTCGTCAAATTTCTCTTGCCATTCGTTCTGCTGCTGTTGAGATTCGGTAGAGGCTGCCTCGGCAGCAACGGCTGCACGAGCCGCATCTAAGAAGACATCATCCAAGCGACCAAGCTTTGGGGCTTTGCCTTCAATCTTAGCACCGGGTACTGGATGTTTGCGAGAATCATGTGCAATTAACAATGCGGTTTCCCGAGCAATTAGACCCTCAATCGAATCATTTACATGAGCAGCACGTGCCATTAAAGCATCGATGTCAAGGACGGCGGGCCGGGGAAGACCGCGCTGGTAGACCTGAGACTGGCGCTTAAACTCGGCCTTAGCAGCCAGTTCTTGGACCTGTTGTTCTCGTGCATCTCGTTCAGCTGCATCCTCCTGGGTAAATGCTACGGAAGCAGAGGGTTCAGCTGTCTCAGACGGGAGCTCCTCAAGTTCCCACTCGGACTCTTTGGGTTTGGGAAGTGATGAGAGCCTGCTGCGAATCTGCTGGCGCGTGAAGTTTTCGTGCAGTTTAATATCTCGGGGTGTGCTAGGAACAATTTGGCCACCTGCCTCCTCTCGGTTCAAGGCAAAATGATCGCGTGGTGTGCGTAGTGGGGTAGCGCCAGGCCCAATCCCGCCATGCATTGGAGTTGCGCCAATACCATTGGCTTGTCGAAATGGTGTTGCCATAGGGTTAGGTGTGACAATATCCTGCTTTCGGGGAGCAATGCCATCGAAACCGGTAGACGAACCACCCTCGTGAAGAGGAGTGTTCTCGCCGCCGAGCAGAGAAGATTGTGTCTCGGTCAACGCGCGAATGTTCTTAATTTCGTTGGCAATGTGATCTTCTTCGGGGGCCGCGCGCGGCGTACGAATAGGTGTGCCTCCGACAATTGATCCGTAGTTTCCAATGAGTCCTCGGGTGGCTTCTTCATCTGCGCTCATCCGGCTCGCCTTGTCTCCAGCCATACCCATTTTGATAATATCTTCCATTTCGCCTTCACCGATTTGTGGAGCAGGCAGTACTAGACCCCGTCGGCTGCTGCTCTGCTCTGCCTCTCGAATCTTTTGCATCTGTCCTGCGCGGGCAGCGGCGGCGAATGCAGCGGAATTGCTGTTCTTGTCTTTCTTTTGCTTCTTGCGCTCTGCATCTTCATCTTGATCGCCCTTTCGCTTGTTGGCTAATTGTTGTTTCCGGGGGTCAAACATTGCTCGTTCACGCTCATTGCGAGTTTCTTCTTCAATGGTATCGTAGAAGCCAGGCGCGGCTGGTTTCTCAAATGGGATATCTGCATTGTAGTCCATCTGACCAGGCTTCCGGGTGGTGACCTTAACATTGATACCGGCATTCTTAAGCTCACGTCGCTTCTGTAGCACCGCCAGACGTCTAGACTCTTCCAATTGACGCTCTCGGGCCTTTCGCTTCGCCTTTTTACCTTGTGTGTTAGCAAGACGAGCTCGCGCCTCGCTGAGCATCTCTTTCTCATCTTCATCCAAGTCGATAGTGTCAGGGCGCGCAGGCTTCGATTCGGGATCGGGATCAAGCTCGCCCGGACTATAAATTTTACTGTCAGTACATGCTCAGGTTGATGACCATCTTGAATAAAACGTACCGTAAGCGGCGAACATCGTCCGCACTGGGAGCAGATGCCTCCCCACCTTCAGGGCCACCCAATCCAAGCTCATCATTCTCTCGCGACTCGGCCTCATCTAGGAGCTTTTGGTATCGCTCAAGACACTGTGTTGCTGTGCGACCGACGATAGGTGCGATTGTGCGCCATTGCGTGGGCATTAATTTGGCGAGATGCAAAAGCTTTTCGTCCTCCTCCCGCGACCACTCGACTTTGCGAATACCTGGGTCCAGCCATTCAATCCAACGCGCCTTGCATTGCTTCGGTGTTTTCCGTGCGAGGAGAGAGGAGACTCGGGCCCACTGGTTAAGACCATATTTGGAGACCTGCCAAGGATGTTAGTACAAAACCATCAAATGACACGCGACATTTCAATAATGGCGAGCGAAACATACAGCTGCACGAAGCACTTCATCCTCGATATTGGTCCTAAAATTTGGCTGTTAGCGATAGTCTTGAGATTGAGGGAGGTTGCGGAAGACACATACCAAACACCTCCTTTCACGACAGGCATGATGCACGATCGGGACTGGTTATCCAGTCAAGTCCAGCCGCAAGCTGTAAGATAAGTTGTTAATCTGTCTCCGGGGAGATTGAAAAGTCGAGAGTCCCCGGATTAGAAGTGACGCGCCGCAGTGGGTTGCAACATCACGAAAAGACGAGTCGTGCCAAGCACTGATCCTTCACCGCCCGCAAAGGCGGTCAGCCAACATTTTTTGACTTTTTTTACGCCAAAATTTCCGGTTTTGCAAAAATAACGATAAGAGCATCAACCATGTCGACCAAGTTAGATGCCCCCCAGCAGTTCAAGCAACCCTCTCGTAAGGGTAAGAAGGCTTGGCGCAAGAATGTCGATGTTACAGAAGTTCAGGAGGGTCTGCGTTTGCTGAAAGATGAACAGATTAAAGGGTATGTTGATCTACCTTTTTTACATTTTTACAATTTGTCCCACTCGTCGAATTATGAGGACTTTTGCTAATTTTTGTGCAGCGGTATCTTATCAGAGAAGCCATCCGATGAGCTGTTCACGATTGATACGACTGGAAATGAGGATGTGCGCAGACAAATTGCCAAAAAGCATAAGCCTCTTAAAGCGGACGAGATTATCGCCCAACGGTCTTCCATTGCCGCACTGGACGGTCGCAAGCGTGGAAACTCAAACTTGACCGACGGAGTTATTGAGCCAAAGAACAAGAAGCACAAGAAGGATTGGATCAGCAACAAGGAGAAATTGCGCTTGCAGCAAGTTGCGAAGGAAGGAAATCCCGCCAACAAGATTCATGGAGGTGAACTTTACGACCCCTGGGCCGAAGATGTCGAAACACCTGTTGTAGTTGACGACCCACGTTTCGACTTTTTGCCTAAGCCCAAGGCTAAGGTCGCTCCTGTTACCATTAAAGAACAACCCGTGTCTCTTGCCGCCAATGGAAAGCCTATCCCATCAGTTCGAACACCACATGCAGGAACCAGTTACAACCCTGTCTTCGAGCAATGGGATAATCTGTTAGCGGAGCAAGGTGAAGCAGCCGTTGAGGCAGAGAAGAAGCGTCTCGAAGAAGAAGCGAAAGAGGCAGAAAAGGAGCGCCTAAGAGAAGAAGCCCAGGGTGACGATGGCGAAGCGAAGTCTGATGACGAAAGTGCTTGGGAGGGATTCGAGAGCGAGTATGAGAAGCCTGAGTGGCTGAACAAGAAGCGACCTGAGCGAAAGACTAAGACCCAGCGCAACAAAATCAATCGAAGGAAGGAGGCTGAGCGTAAGGCCAAATGGGAGGCCAAACTGGCCGCGAAAGAAGCCCAGGCCGAGAAGGTGGAACTTCTTGCAGAGGAGGCGAGACAGCGGGCGATTCAAATGGAGAATCAGTCTGACGGCGATGATTCGGAGGAGGGTGATGATACTCAGCTTCGACGCAAGACCTTTGGAGGAAAACTTGCGTATGCTCCCACGAATTTCAAACCATACGTGCTATTGCTAACATTCATTCTAGACCCCCCGAGAAGGCATTGGAGGTCGTCCTCCCAGATGAACTGCAAGACTCACTCCGACTCCTCAAGCCGGAAGGAAACTTGTTAGATGATCGATTCAGAACTCTCATTGTACAAGGCAAACTTGAGTCCCGCAAGCCGATCACACAAGCTCGCAAGGCCAAGAGAAAGGTGACTGAGAAGTGGATGTCGAAGGACTTCAAGGTTCCAGGTTTAGAGTAACGTTTGGGCTTATTAATTAATAAGAGCGTGCATCGGCGTTTGGACATACACAAAAATATCTGCACAATGAATGGGATTCGATTTCAAGTTTTACGGATGTGTACATTGTACATTTTGTATTCCGATATCACATCGGATCTATAGAAGTTGAGTATATTTTTTGCCCTCCTTCATGATTATCCCAAGTAGATGTAAACCCATTCATTAAATTATTTCAGGCAAAATAAATACATTTCCCTCACTTCAATGTTAAATTCAAGTCATTATGTTTCCCATAGTAAATCCCCCCTTCCTATTGCAGTTAGATGGGCATATCAAAAGGCGGTGTCGTTATCCATATTTTCTGCCAGAAAAAAAAGTTGTTGCGGGCAGAACGATCGTCTCCTCCAATTTCTCTCATCATGCCCAACTTTTGATAAGAGAAAATCACCGTCGGAATGGATAAGAGCGGCCTTTCCAGCAACTGGAGGAAGCTACAAGCCACGCTTAAGAAAGAGAGCTCTTCAACCACTACAACAAGCTCAAAACGCAAAGCCTCAGACCGCGACTCTGATCAAAGTGCCGCGAAGAAGCGAAAGTCAATAGACAAAGATCAGACGACTCGGCGCATGTTTTCAACAGATAAGCGACAGAGAATGGGTGATTCATCTAAAAGCACTGGTCCTTGGGATCCAGCTCCAGGAACTCTACGAAAAAAATCTAGTGCTGGAGTTTCCACGGCCAGTACGTCCGAGACTCGCAATAGCAAAGTGAATGAAGGCCGTTCACCAACGTGAGTATTCGCCTGAACTGTTTGGATGTGTTGCTATATCCAATTTTACTTACTATTTCAATTTCAGTGCCGAAATCGGAAAATACATCGCCATGGATTGTGAAATGGTTGGTGTAGGCCCGAACCCCGATAACGACTCTGTCCTCGCGCGTATCAGTATCGTCGACTTCAATGGCGATCAAATCTACGATTCATACGTCCGACCCAAAGAAATGGTGACAGATTGGCGTACCCACGTCAGTGGGATTGCACCAAAACATATGATCGAGGCCCGAACTCTTGAAGCAGTACAGAAGGAAGTTGCCGAGATAATGAATGGTCGAATTCTGGTCGGTCATGCCGTCAGCAATGATCTTGACGCCTTATTAATTGGCCATCCTAAACGCGATATTCGAGATACAAGCAAACATCCCGAGTACCGAAAGATCGCTGGTGGAGGCTCCCCGCGCCTAAAGATGCTAGCGGAACATTTCCTCGGATTGAAGATTCAAGAAGGTGCGCATTCATCAGTGGAGGATGCCCGTGCTACTATGGCGCTTTACAGGCGGGAAAAGGACTCGTTCGAACGGGAGCACTTGAAGAAGTGGCCTGTGCGACTTACTGCTGAGACCCAGGATAATGGAGAAAAGAAGAAGAAGAAAAAGAAGAAGACTACTCGCAAGCGGTGATTTTTGATATTATTGATTGGCGTGAGGCATCGCAACAACTGTACTTATGTAGAGATATTGTATACCCCAATTTTGCATCGAGGCTTTGAATTGAATACACACATTTACCAATATATACCTATTGACATAAGAACTTACGCCAAATTTATGTGAATGTAGACACTTCGTATGACTTGAGCGTAACAATGATGTCTCGCTATGTACACCGTTGGGAATATGATATACTACTAGTACGTACTAACGGGCTGGCGGATGCTGTTACTAGTATACCTATCCAAACTTGAAATGCGCATGGCTTCCAGATACTAATTCTATCCGTAATAACTAGCTACAGGATCCCCAAAGAGATCAAGGCGGGGCTTAACACCCAAACCAGGAACATTGGGAGCAGTGATACGCCCTTCAATGGCCTCAAACAAGCAATCGGCCGTGTGAACAGTAATCATATCACGACTCTCCAATACACAACATAGGTTTATCTCAGGAACCGTCTGTCCCATATGCAAAACGGCCACAAAGGCTATTTCAGAGCCAAGAGTGTCCTGGACGCTAAACGTGTATCCTGCTGCAATACACATATCTCTTTGCCGACGACACCTAGTGAGACCACCGTTTTTCGAGATCTTCATTCCGATGCCTTCGACAGCATTATCCGCGATAAGCTGAATGATCGAGGCATCCGACGTGGCAAATTCATCAAAATGAATCGGAAAATTTGATCTGCGTCTGGGGGAAAGATATTCCCGCCATGTGGCACATGGGGCTTCAAGTACAAAGTCCAGTCCATCAGGAAGCAGCCGAAGCATACGCAACGCGACTTCAACAGTGAGTCCACCGTTAGCATCTACGAGGAAGAACTCTTCAGTTGTCTATCAGCAAGTGAAGCTGCAATACGAGCGGCATCAGTGCCGGGCTCGCCGGCAATCTTGATTGAATGGCCCATATAACCACGTTTACGATGATCATCAACGCGTGCACGCATTTCATCTGAATCTCCCACATAAATGGAGGAAATAAGTGGCAGCTTCAAGTCTGTTCAGCCACCGAGAAGATCACAGACTGGCACTCCTACCTAATTTGCCGAAAATGTCCCAGCAGGCAACGTCAAGAACAGTCTTCGCATGTTCGTGTCCAACGAGAGCCTCGTCCATCGCATCGTTGATGCGATCTACCTTCCGAGGATCGAGACCAATCAGTTTAGGTGCTATCTCGGCAATTCCAGCTCGCGCACCTAGTGCATGAGCAGCAACATAGGTGGAACCGAAGGGAGTACTCTCGCCCCAGCCTTCAATCCCATTCTGTGTGGTGATGCGGACAATGTCAGCATCAAAGCTGCGATATTCACGCCCGCCAGATAGACGATAGACACCACCTGAATAGGGGAGCTCAACCTGGAAACGTCGATTCGTGAAATTGAAAGGCTCAACATATTCTCTTTAAAAATTATGTTATTTAAAAAGATCTTGACGATAAATCGAAAGTTTTCCAGTTTCTGGATATTACTAAACCTATATACCAGGTCTAACGACTGGCCTGACTACCCTAGCTCTTCATATATAGTTGTCATCAACAAGTGAGCTTTCTACCTAAGCAGAGATTCATGTTCAGAGCTAATTGTACTCTAGGTATTTTCCTAGCAGAAATGGCATTGAACTTCTGCTTTGGGAGTAGTTTGATGTCGGAGTTTCGGTAGGCTCGGGAATGCCGATGCAAGTGTCGGGTTTATTGGCCGAAATTAGTATATGGAAGAGAACTATAATAAGAGGTCCGAGCCCTAGGCCTTTCATTAACCTTCATTGAATTTTGTGAAATATAGTTTATCATATCAATTATCCTCTCAGTGACTGGCAAAGCATTGGCACTCTTCTTGCCAGCTGTCTTACTTACCTCGGGCTCTACTTAAAGAAGCCAATTAAGTATCTTACAACCACTATTTTTGTGTATTTGTTTCCAGCTGAAAAGACGGAATCGAAAATAATTTGGGATGAGTTCTTGCAATAACATCGAGATGTCTAGTGTTACTGAGCCTTACACAACAGATTTGGGAATCAGAAGATACTAAACATTAACGAGAACACCGAAGCTAGGGGAGACGGAGGAGAGAGAGAGAGAGAGAGAGAGAGAGAGAGAGAAAGCTGTGGGGTAAAATAGTATTACCACAGATAACAATTAACGTAAATCACGTCCATAACATCTAGTCATCAAATATTAGGGACTCCAGCCCTATTGTTCAATTATCATGGTTTGAAGATAGGCTCTCGAACAGCGGGCACATACTAGAAAGAATCAGCTTAAAGAACCGGTCTATAGTACCTTCAAGTATTCAAGTCTCTTACAGGAAATATTTGTACTTTCTCAAGATCCCGTACTCCACTAGTGGCATAGATATCCTGGCTGATGATGCCGCGAACCTCTTCAACGTTTTCGGCAGCAAACACAACCACACTTCCTTCGAACTGTTCTTCTTTTCCCTGCTCGGGATGCTCTCTGAAAATAGCGCCTGTTTTCATCTTATAAGGCCTGGGTTCCCAAACTGTAGTTGAATGGGGAAATACTACCCCCGTCAACAAGCTGACCCTGGGCAATCAAAGGCTGGATTCCTTCGTAATGGCCGCTGGCATGCTGTATTAGCGTAATCCAGCAAGAATTGAGATTATCTAAATCATCATACCCCTTGACTTTCTTTCTTATACTTAAAGGGTTTGGTCGATCTGGCAAAAGACATAGAAACTCTTTCTTCTTGCCTGTTGTTGCCATAAACCTTGAAAATTTCGTTGGGGTCTGTTGCGCGTTTCGTACAAACGCGGCGGAGTTTTGAGCAAATCTGAGTGGAAACATTATATGATGGGGAGAACAAATCAATCGAAGAAAGAGGCTACAATAAGAGCGGAAAGTTGTTTTCAAGATGTAATAAAAATATGAGGAAGTAGTAGGGTAGATCTACTTAGTCGGACCCAGACTCCGATATATCGGAGTCAGCCCCCGATAATTGTAGATGATAACATTTGAAGATGTTGGACAGCATCATGATGTGCAGCAAACATCTCGAAAGATAAGTAATCACATGCTCTCTTTGCTATCATTGCGATAATACCAGTAGTGATCGTCAAATAAGACGTTCAAAACCTCTGGATGCTGTATGCTAGTATTCTGGGTCGAATAGGCGCTATCTTCCAGAGAAGATAATGTTTTCTACACTGCAGCCCTGGAGATAAACCTTATACATAGGAGATGGGATAATTTATTTGCTTCTCATATCAAATGTACATATGTATCAGACTTGGATGTCTAATTTACATCGGGCTTTGAAGCATCTAGCTTTTGCAGCAGTTCACTCTTGGAAACCTCAACATCCCATTTGTTTCGCGGTCTCTCAAAGGTCGACACAACACGTCCGTAAGAAACACCACCAAGTTGCGCAACCGGTCGGAGTTTTTCTAGTTCTATATGGCTGTAGTCTGCATCTGCAGTCCCCTCTTTGACCCAAAATCGAGTCGCTTTGATGAGAACATTAGCCGCGATACTCATTCCAGGCTGTTGATGATCGGTAAATTCTTTGATATCGACCACTTTCCCCTCGATGCTGAAAACAGATTCCGCAACACGGGAGGGCTTGACTGTAGTACAAGCTTCTTCATGGAGGCCTGAGACATCCCATTCTGACACCCCATAAGGTGCGTCTATCGAGCTCGCATTAACAGCCTCGATCATATTCTCAGATACAGTGTTGATGACGCATTCGCCGGTTTCTTTCAGATTGCGATAAGTATCCTTTACGCGCCCAGGACGCGAGGAGAACCCGACAATAAACATTGGAGGGTCGTGATCGAGGACTTGGAAGTAGCTGAAAGGAGAAAGGTTCTTTTCTCCTTTAGAGTTGACAGTACTGATAAATCCTATAGGGCGTGGTGCAATTCCAGACACTAATAGACGATAATTGTTGATCATATGTCGGTCTGGAGCGTATGGATCGATTTCATGATGCTTTTGGGCTAGACTTGCCCCATTATCAGGGACACCCTCCCCATATTTCCACTGTGGATAAGGTGACTTCGTCACTTCAATGGGCTTTGAATGATCGAAATCCGGTCGCGTTGCCTCCTTTTCTTCGAAATTGCCCACATCTTGTACAATGTGGTAATTTCTTTGAGCTCTGGCGGTGTCGTTTTCAGATTCTACTGCCGCTGAGGTGGAGTTCATGCGGCCATTGTGTAAGACCGGAATTCGCATTCGATGATTATGGATAGACATGTAGGGCCTAGAATGGAATTAGGAGCTTGAATCTTAAGCGTGAGGAAGTGGATATTTCACTTACTGTCTAGATAGGAGACGTGCGGGAGACTTTGTTCGAAACATGCCGAATTGAGAGAATGATAAAAAACACAATTCACAATTTCTTTGGGTCATAGGATACTAAATAAAACAAGCCCTCCAAGCTATCGGCATGAGTTTTTGGAAATCAAGATATTAACATTAACACAATGATTGATAATGCAGCGGAAAAAAAGTCGGTGGTCCCATCCGACATTTTGACCCACTCACTACCCGACCCCGATATGTGCATGTTGCCGACTCAGCAGATTGACCCGGCCCGGTCAGTGATAATCAATCCAGGACAACATTTGAATCCATCAAAATCTAACATGGGCAGGTTTTTTGGCCCAAAGGGGTTTCTTGAGGACCAGGGCACGCACACAGGTTGACCTTTACTGGAATGTGCCTATCAATCAAGTACGAGTGTGTCACTACGATGAACAATTCCTACAACATAGCCAAATATTCAAATGTTTGTCAATGACGGGCGTCCATACGGCTCAGGCGATAAACACAGGAAAGCGATAAAAAAGGATTTGATTTGTTCATCACATGCACATGCGGAGTACCAATAGTTGTACATCGACATAGCTTATACATTGCCTTGGATTGTGACTGAGGAAGGTGAGCCTTAGTAATACCCTTTTGACCGTGGACAGTATGATTCGCAATCATGGTGGGTTCTATACCTTGATTCATATGAAGCTATTCCCTCTACATGGTAATTAAATCCACACTTGTGCATTTTACTAGAATGAGTTGGCCCTGAATTAAGTTCGGGAACCTCTGGAAGTGGGGAAATCGGCATATTTCCCGAAGTACCAACTAACTTTGTCCAACGATTAGCAATCAAGAAAACCCCGAAGACTAGGGTCCATCCGGTTGCTTTCTATAAGAACACCTCAAGTCACGCAACCAAGTCTCTAAAGTCTATCGCCGGGATATCTCAAAAAGAAAGAAAAGCAAATATGTCAAGCGCAAAAGTGACACACGGTCGTGCCTTTCGACGTACTGATGACTATACTCCCGGCACACCCAAATTGAAATTCGTGGAGGAAGCATTACCGCTACCACTTGCTCCCACGGCCGTTTTGATCAAGGTTCATGCCGTAGCTCTCAACTACCGCGATGCCAATATTGCCAATGGAGGAAATCCATGGCCAGTCATAGCCAATGGAATCCTGTGCAATGATGCAGCGGGTGAGGTCATTGCTATTGGTGACAAAGTCAAGTGTTTGTCTGTTGGAAATAGGGTCAGTCCCGTTACAGACACCGGATTTATCTCAGGGCGCGAGGGGAAACGATCGTGGCTGGCGGCAGATGAAGATGGTGTCATGGCGGATCATATCGTCTTTGATGAGGAGTGTCTGAGTAAAATCCCCGACTACTTGAGCTGGGTTGATGCTTCTATAGTACCATGTGCTGGCGTGACTGCCTGGTCGGCGTTGAAGGGCATGGAGATTGGGCAGACGGTGTTGATTCAAGGTATGTCTATATGAATGGATATTTGTTTTCGAATACTGCGACTGACTTATGGTGAATTAGGAACTGGAGGTGTGAGTGTCTTCGCCATGAAGCTTGCAAGAGCTGCAGGACTTCGCATTATTTTGACCTCCTCAAGTGATGCAAAATTGGAGCAAATGAAAGAAAAATATTCAAATCCACCGATCCTCACTGTTAACTATGCACGGACACCCGACTGGGACGAAGAAGTCCTGAAGCTTACCGGAGGGGTAGGTGTTGATATCGTGGTCGAAAATGGTGGAGCTGGAACCTTGATGAAGAGCTTGAGATGTACTCGACGAGGTGGTGTTGTCAGTCAAGTTGGATATCTTTCGAAACAGGTCGAACCAAATACCTTGCGCGAGCTTGTTCCCACTCTCATTGACCGACGAATCAACTTGAGGTAAAACTACCTAATACCCTTCGACAACATTCAGTGCACCACAAACGCTGACTTGGATATAGGGGCATAAATGCCGGCTCTAAATTTGACATGGAGGATTTGCATGCTGCCCTAGCTGCCGTTGAAACACCACTGAATGATCTTATTGACAGGACTTTCTCGTTTGAGCAGGCCGAGGAAGCCGTGGAGTACGTATGGCAAGGCAAGCAGATCGGCAAGATTGTGCTCCGTCTTTGAATGGGAACATCTATCATTGTAATGATTGTAGTTAGCAACTAACATAACGATGAAATTTGAATACATACCGAATTCATAAGCACTTTAATTCCTCCTTCTGGTAAATATCCTGCGTTGTGTAGATCGTGAGGACCGAGCTGACTCGCTTCCCAGTTTCATCGTTGGGGGTACATGGCGCTAACCCAATCCGGCTAGACCATCTATCTCTACTACATTAGCGTCCATCCCAGCCAACGCGTATCTTTGAGATGTTTCGCGTGTTAATGATGCAAGGGATCCCATTGCGATCAAGACTCAACTGGTGGCTGAAATCAACTGCTGCATATATGTTTACCAGTGCAGGTGACCAGACGTCATCAGTGGTCGGTAAGAAAAGGTGTGGCGGCCAGTAGCCCGTCTTAGCTTTTGAGGCTAAAAGGGCGGCTTGGGCCTTTCCCCACACTCATACACCAATTTCTCCCAAGACAACTGTCGGGTCTGCCGATTGAATGAGAAATTGCGAAAACAAGATCGGAAAATTATGCTGAATAGGTCCCAGGGGTTATCAAATGTGACAGGGTCATCCACTAGGACCGACACCAAGAATGGCGTATATTCTCCCCATCAGATTCAGCACAGCCATTTGCGGCAGGACTTCGTCGATTAAACCTTGGGATAACCCCAGCTGTCCCGATTTCCCGAGGCCTTCGGGTTCTCCCCCGAGGGGTTTGTGATCCGCTTCATCTGGGGCTATACATAGGAACAAGGGGCAATCTAGCTCTTATCTGTTCTTCGTAAAGCCCTATTACAGCTTTCCCCGCATTCCCGAACCTGCAAAGCGTAGATCCCCTCTGATAAGATATCAAAAAGTACAGAACAGTGAAGAAGAAAACGAATGGGGATATTGATCCGGCTCAGTGCTCATCACGAAATGGGTCAAAGCGGGATACCGAGCCATGCGACCCCCGGATTCAGAGTAGACTCAATGCGGCGTTCCATCGTGCTTCGACCTAGGGACCCCACTCGTTATTAGCGAATTTTATAAAAGCTGGGCTTTGCGTGATTTGAATTGGTGGTCTATTCATTCGCCCTTTGGTGTTCTTTTCACGTTTCACTTGCCCCGTATGACTTGCCCAGGCCAGGATTGATCTACTTCGTACAAGCCCACGCGATCTCAGCCCGGCCATCCAAAGCAGCACACTGGCCTTTCACCACATTGGACACCCTTGTCCAAAATGTCCGATAGCGACATTTACGAAGATAAGATGGCCCCGAAAGCCGAAAGTATTAAGGCTGGCCTAGATACCGATAGCAACCCCGCCGAGGGAGAAGTCGAAAACCCCAATGGTCTTCAACGAAGACTTGAGAATCGACAGATCCAGCTCATAGCTATTGGCGGCTCCATTGGTACAGCCCTTTTTGTTACAATCGGAAATGGATTAGCAGCCGGTGGTCCTGCCAGCCTGTTCCTGGCGTATACTTTCTACTGCGTTGTACTGGCCTGTGTCAATAATTGCATCGCTGAGATGACTACGCTACATCCCGTTCCTGGAGGCTTTATTCGACTCGCTGGAAAGTGGGTTGATGATGCGCTGGGTTTCATGGTTGGATGGAATTTCTTCATTTATGAAGCCCTCATGATTCCATTCGAAATCACCGCCATCAATTTGATTTTAAGCTACTGGAGAGATGACATTCCTGTTGCTGCAGTGTGTGCAGCCTGTATTGTTCTCTATGGGTATGATCATTTACCCTTCCCTCTCGTTTTGATTATATCGTCTATTTCTTTCCCCTCCCTTCCCTCGATAAATTTCCACCCTTCACTCGTTCGTATGCTTCCAACGATCTCTTCCCATTATATCACTTGAACATTACTCATACAAGGTCCATTACTCATCAAAATAAATTAGTCTTATCAATGCCCTTGCAGTCTCTGCCTTTGGCGAAGCTGAATTTTGGTTATCATCTGGCAAGGTCATTCTGATCTTCATTCTATTCTTTTTCACCTTCATCACAATGGTTGGCGGAAATCCTCAACACGACGCATACGGGTTTCGTTACTGGAATAACCCCAGTGCATTTGCCCCGTATCGTGCTGCTGGAAATCTAGGTCGATTTGAAGGGCTCCTATCCGCTCTATGGTCTGCTGCTTTCTGCATCGTCGGCCCTGAGTATATCTCGATGACCTCGGCAGAGGCCAAGCGTCCTCGTGTCTATATCAAATCAGCCTTCAAGACGATCTATTGGCGATTCATTCTGTTTTTCGTCCTTAGCTCCATATGCGTTGGTATTGTTGTTCCATGGAATGACCCTACCATTCAGGCCATTTTGAATGGAAACAGTAACACGAAGGGAGCTGGCGCTTCGCCTTACATCATTGCCATGACAAACTTGAAAATCACTATTCTTCCTCACATTGTCAATGCCCTTCTCGTGACATCTGTCTTTTCTGCGGGAAACACCCTGACATACTGTGCCTCTCGATCACTCTACGGTCTTGCTCTTGAGGGCCGCGCACCAAAAGTCCTTACAAAGACCATGCGAGGAATTCCTGTCTACTGCCTTGCCGTGGTGATGTGTTTCCCTTTTCTGTCATTCCTGCAGATGTCGAGCAGCACATCCCAAGTCATCACCTGGCTGGTTGACCTCGTCACAGCCGGTGCTCTAATCGACTTTTTGGTCATCTGCATAACTTATCTCCGGTTCCACGCGGCTTGCAAACGACAAAACTTCGATCGAAGTAATTTCCCTTACGTCGGATACTTCCAGCCGTATTGTGCATGGGTCGGAATTGTTGTTATGACCATTGTTCTTTTTTCCTACGGATACTCGGCATTTGATCCATGGAGTGTTCAGGGTTTCTTCCAGAATTATACCATGCAGCTTGTCGCTCCTATTCTGTACTTCGGATGGAAGCTTGCTCATAGAACCAAGATTGTGAAGCTTGAAGATTTGGACTTGATTTGGGATCGTCCTCTCATCGATGCTTACGAGGCTTCTTTAACAGATGAGCCTACTACATTCTGGGGAGAGGTTCTGCACATGTTTCGCTTCAAAGTTAAACAATCATCTAATTCCACAGAAGCTGACGAAAGCCAAGGGGTTGTTGAGAAATGATAGTTGTTTGTTTACAAGTCTAAGTTTGTACAATACTGTGTGTATACATTCGTTCTTTCCATCTTCCACTGCCGTGGAGGATGGCTGTACAAGTTGAAAGTTAAAGAATATCCTGTTGTCAAGACATGTACAGCCTTTCTCGGACACTTTGAAGTTGGGAATATCTACTAAAGACTCGGATCAGCCCACCACAGATATCTACTATATAAATACATATACAACCTGCGTAGGAAAGCCCATCGTCGTATACATACTGTAACAACCTGGAATTTCTATCTACTCAATGCATATCATAGTCTTTAAAATCAGGCATTGGCCCAACCCCTGCAAAACTCGGCCGTCAACCTAAATTCACAGAGATTATGATTATGCACAAAGCAAACACGGTAAAAACTGCCCTTGAAACAGCAAATAGCATTCCATACTAGTACTTCGGCATCTTCGAAAGCCCAATAGGGCTATCAGAAATGATGATATCACTTCTCCTCATTCGTAGGATTCACTGCACATATTCAAACTATGAAACCCGTATTCTGATACTTTATTTTGACTGCGAACTTGAAGATGGATTTTTTTCGGGGGGTTATCTGCCCAATGTTCAAAGGTGATATTAGAGATTTAAATGTTGCAAAGGGTATACTATTTACTGGGTTCGACAATGATAGAGATAAAGGGTTGATGAAGTTTAAGGTTGCAAGACTTAGTGAGAAGGAAGAAGAGTATTGGGGGAGAGAAAACATTCTTACTTTATATAGTATCACAAAGTGGAATTTCCCGTTTGCCGTTTTCCATGGCAAATCATCGATGCCCTTGTTTATCCATAGCAGCCAGTTTACTGGCTCATACATTGATTCAGCCATCACTTTCACCATCGCCTTGCTGGCTTCAAGTTGGGCAGATGCGCCTCGAAAAGAAGATAAAGATCCATATTAATAATAGTCCAATACTCCAGCCTTTAACATTTGGTATTATATTATTATGATTCTAGGTTGATCAAGTGTCCTATGGACTCCTAACGCGTTCATGCTATACGTACTTATAAGTGGCCATACCTGGCCAAAAAGGGTATAGCGTGATCTCTACCATGTTCGACCCCACAGTTCCAACTCTCTCCTCATTCTTCGCTATCAACATCAACATCAACACCAACCCCCCGTCTAATCAAAAGCGATAATCAAAATATAATACAAATCAACCACAAACTTCCACAATCATGTCCGACAACCCCGATGTCCCCAATACCCAAAAGGCCTTCGTGCCCCTAGGTAAACAAACCATTCCCCAAAATACCCCGCACCAGCTAACACACTCAGAAAACAACCCCGAAGTAATGTCCCACCTCGTCCACCAGCTCGGCCTCCCAGAAACCCTAGGCTTCACAGACGTCTTCTCAATCAATGAGCCGGACCTTCTAGCCTTCGTCCCCCGCCCCGCTCACGCCCTCCTCCTCGTCTTCCCCGTCTCATCCACCTACGAAGCCCACCGCAGAACAGAAGACGAGCCAATTCAACCTTACACAGGCTCCGGTCCCCAAGAACCAGTCACGTGGTTTAAGCAAACAATCCGCAATGCCTGTGGATTAATCGGACTTCTACACGCTGTTTCAAACGGTGAGACGAGAGCGCATGTCATCCCCGGCTCGGATCTCGATGGTCTCCTTAAGGAGGCGGAGGGGTTGAGCCCTGAAAAACGTGCAGATCTGTTATATGAGAGCAAGGCTTTGGAAAGTGCGCATGCGGATGCTGCAAAACTGGGTGATACGGCCGCGCCAGGTGCTGAGGATGATATTGATTTGCATTTTGTGGCGTTTGTGAAGGGTGTTGATGGGACTTTGTGGGAGCTTGATGGACGACGGAAGGGACCTTTGGCGAGGGGTTCGCTTGGAGAGGATGAGGATGCATTGAGTGAGACTGCGTTGAAGCTTGGAGTTAGGAAGTTTTTGGAGATGGAGGCTAAGGGAGGAAATCCTGATTTGAGATTTAGTCTTGTTAGCTTGGGACCTGTGTTTGATTAAAAAGTTTCAGTATGATGATTGATTTTATGGCGTTTATCGGTTAGGGTTTATTCTATATATACGGTGGCTAGTATGACTTGCTTCTAGTTTTACGAATATTCTAGAGAAATAAATCACGAAATTATTGATGACTATGAAATCTAATGTCTATACAATCAACCACTCATTACTAGGTCTGTAATCAATCATCGTACCCTCTTTATAATCTTTGTCCAAATCACAAGCGACCAGTGATTGAGTGATATCCATTTTGTTTTCAAAACAACCGCTTGCGATAAAGACATTCTCCCTAACGACCACTTTCCACGGCGGGCTTCTCCACAACTGGTGTATCGAGCACTGTCTCTGTCCCCGGAGCTACAGGACCACTCTCAATTATTGCCCTTATATCGCTTGTGTCAATGCTACCCTCCCCTCCAGACCCATTTTGATCTGCCTCAGATGGCATTCCGCCTTGCGTTCCCAGCGTCAAAAACGGCACCATAAGCAGTGATATGCCAGCAGCTCCAGCAGCAAACCAGTATGTACTGAGATAAGGCCTAATAGCCGAAGTAGACGACTTAGCTACCGCACCTTCGACAGATGTTGCAATACCAAGTCCGAGGGTGTTGCAAAGCTTGCTAACTGTATTGAAGATTCCACCGGCAACAGATTGTTGATGCGAAGGGAGCGAAGACATGACATACATCTAAATTCTCAACACATTAGCCACCAAGCACATGCATAACGGGTCGAGTCAACCAATCAATCAGCATAGAGAATGATATACGTACGTTGGTAACGTTGAATTGAATATCTGCGCCAACGACCACAAGTATTAAGGCAGGGAAGATAAACGCCCAATAAATCGAGTCTTCCTTCATGAAGCTTAATATAAGGAACGCAGCGGTGTATGCCAATGATCCGATGCCGGTCAATATTGTGTTGCTGACACGGTGAAGGACTAATGCGCAAATGATGTTTACTGTGACACCACTGACAACCATCGGCATTAACCTTGCGGTAATCGCGAGTGCAGAAAGATGCTTGACTTGTTGGAGGTAGAGGGAGAGCCAAAAAGTCACAGCAGCGAAACCCATGAAACCAAGACAGAAAATTCCCATAAGCTGTAAGATTGTCAAGTTAGCGATTCGCTGGATTTGCAGTTGTTGTAGATGAATGTGGCTCGACATACCAGGGAGAAGTTCCGATCTTTCCACACCCATATCGGCATCAGAGGATATTTTGCGATAGACTCCCAGTATATGAATGCTCCTATCAAGAAAAATCCGACGATGAACAAGGCGAGTACATAGCCTGTTTTCCAACCATCGGGTGCATCTCCGGCCAATCTGCATTCGTTAGCCAGAATATTCATATATAGATACAAGTACACATAGGAAGGGTTCGTTGAAGCAATTTGGTATAGAGGGCGCGCAAAAGAGAAAGAAAGAAAGAAGGAAGGAAGGAAAAAGGCTCACTTACGACATCGAGCTAGAGAAAAATGCAAACCCAACGATTATCAAAGCTGTGCCCAACAAATCAAACTTCCTAAATGCCTCCACACTGATAGGTGTTTTAGCGAACGTATCCGCCGGCACAGTCCAAACCGTCAAGACCGTAAAAATGGCGTAAACAACAGCAAGAGCCCAGAACGACGCGCGCCAGTTGGACTCGTGGGAAGCGACACCCGAAATGATCATACCACCCACAAATCCAAGCGGGTTCCCAGCACTGAAGCAAGCAAAGGCACGGTTCTTGCGTTTGGAGGGTTTCTCATACACAGCACCCAGCGCACCTACAGCAGGTGGAACTACTGCAGCAGCGAAGAGACCTAGGATTCCCGAGAAAACGTCCAGATACATAGCATTTGTAGCAAAGCCAGCGATTAAAAGGGATATGGAAAATCCAGCCATGCCGATAATGAAAAGAACCTTGCGGCCAAACATATCGGCGAGTTTACCGAATGTCAGGAGGAAAGCACCGCTGCTTAGTCTGTTTGATTAATATTGTTAGCGACTTCTAGCATAAAAATGAAGGCTAGTTTCGTTGGAATCTAGACATGAAGGCCATCATAAATAGAAGGGTACGTACGAGGCTCCTGCATTAATCCACGTAATTTCTGCTGAGTTCATGTGCAGATCCGCTCCAATTGATGCAGTCACACCGACAATGCTGCCCTGGAAAAACGATTGTTGTCCGATGGCCATTGTGGCTGTCAACACGAATAAGCATTCTTGGATAGTCGAGCTGAAACAAGCAGGTCGTTGTGCGTAGTTAGCTAGCTCATTATCTGCTAGCGTGGTATCAGGGCCTTTTTCTTGATCGTGGGCATCATTGCTTTCTGGTTGTGACATGATTTTCGGCCGTTACCGTTATGTTGCACCTCACGTGTGAAACGTGGTCAGTGTTTGAATGGGAAATAGGGGCAGAGATTCAAGAAGAAGAGTAAGGCGAAAGGCGAAAGGCGAAAGATGATCCGAAATCACGATAGCTCCGGGGTTTTTCTGGGGCCGATCAGTTCATTAGTATAGCTTGATAAAGGAGAACCAAGTGGGGCCGAGCATGGAAATGTACGTGTGTTCGATTCTTGTACTCATTTCTCGCTTTATATCTATTTTTCTTTTGGTTCTCGATTGCAATCCTTCTCATCCGAAGTTGCACCAATTCAGTATACATATGCTACATAGCCAATTATACAAGAGTATTCCCAAGTGCTCAAGCACATTTTGTGCTGAACAATCGACTTTTGGTAAGCCGCGGCCATTTTCCGCGATGTCTAAGCGGGTGTCACTTTAGCCCCCAGCGGTGACCGCCTCTACCTCCCCGGTATCCTGCTGCTTGGCAATGGCCCTAGTCAAGGTTGTAGCCCGCTCGCGACCGGTTGACCATTTTGAAGAGAACAATGAAGGACAGAAGAGGTTGGGAGAGGTTCTGCAAATGTTTCGCTTTAAAGCCAAGTGATATTTGTTTGTCCACTGAGTCTAAATATGTACAATGTTGTGTGTACATGTATACATATAATTATCCATTTGCGCTTTCGTGTCAAGTTCGGTGCTTGGGGACACCAATTTCTGCAAGATGAGGCGCAATGTGAGTAAGCATTTGCTCTTTGGTGGACGCTGAGCAGAACTCAAAAAGCTTTTGAAAAACGGTGTTACCCAAGTAGCAGACGAGAGTTCAGCAATCTCAAGGATATTGCGCCAGCTGTTTCTTCAATTTCCTGAATGGAGCAGGCTCCATAGATGGCCGTGAAAGGGTAGCTCGCGAAAATTCAAGCATCAGATGTCTCCCCGAATATTTGGAAGACCCCAAATAGTGGTCATTACACTCCGCTTCGTATATTAAAGAAATGCGTTTCAACTGGGATCATGCTCGGTCGCATGTATTAACATCGGCGATGTATTTCGGTATCTCCAAGAAAAGCGAACGCTTATTGATGATTATAGATCAGGCTGATCAGATTGAGTCATCCTGCTCTATCCAATGATTGCGATCATTGAATTTCAGAACTTCATTTCCGCAAGCCCACCACTCGGCTGTTAAGTTGCGAGCAAAGACTTCTAGAGCCGAGTATTCGAGTAAAGATTCCAAGCCTCCCTCCTTCGATCTGGAGTTGAACAATAATCGCTCAAATATTGGCTTCAAGTTTGGCTTCCGTGAATGCAAGTCCGGAACAGCAGCGATCACTCTTCTAGGGATCGTACCCGGGTCTACGCCGAGTAAATCATCTTCAGCACTCTGCACCGTAGACCCAAGGTTTATATCCAAATCTGGGATCATGGAGGTCTGGTATCTTCGGCCTATGACGAGAATCTCATATGGCTTTCGCCAGATTCCATCTAGTGGACAAACAGCTTCTCCACTAGCAGTGGTCTTAATCCAGATCCATTCCTCGTAAATAATGAACCCAGATCCCAGAAGTGCTTCGTAGGCAACTTTCCGCGCTTTTTCGGAGTTTGTGATCCAAATAGCTGCAAAGTTTTCTTGGCTTGAATTTTGTTTGCCGTTCGGTGCCAAGGGTGGGAGTGCTGACGAAAATAAGTTCTCTTTGGTGTCACGGGGTGGCCGGTACGCGTGTACACGCAGAACATCACGAATCCACTTGCTCAGTAAATCCATATCGCTGTATGAATGCGTTTCGTACTCTCTACTTCGCTTGACTGAACGGTTTGGCCAGGGCGGATCGAAGAGTATCAAGTTGAAAAGGTGGTTGCTGGATAATCCAGGAATGGGATTGTCGAGAGGTTCTTGTCGTGACAATGGAAGCGTACAAAGTGCAAAGTTTGAATGAGGTGGAATCGTGCATTCTCTTGAGTAAAATGATTCGCTATCTTCATTATCCTTGCTAGGGCTGCCAATTAATAAAGTCGCGTCCTTCGATGATGGATTCTTTACCACAGTGTTGGTAAGCTTGCTGACTGAAGGAAATAAATTGGAAGATGTGCAAGATAAAATCGTTGGCGGCTCATTGATTGAAAGTCTTAGATCGTTGTTCAGTTCATCTTTGACAGTGAACTCTGCAACACATTCGCTCGTCGAATGTTCGAAAATCCGTTTCCTCTTGGTAGCAGATGAGAGTTCATCCAGTTTCGATTCCTCTTGATGTCCCCGATGTCCCTCTTCATGAAGAACTCTAGGAAGACACCATCTCTGGTTATGAGATTTATATTCTGCTCTGATCTCATCCAGTGCACTAGCCACGAGTGGCAGAATAAACTGACCATGAAACCGCTGTTCGCTCGACGAGATTCGAGAGAGCACTTTAGCACGTGCAGACTGTGTTTTTGGCTCTGTAGAAGAATCATAGGACTTTTCTAGAGGAGAAAGCGAGAGAATTGATCTATGATTCTTGGTTTTGAAATCAACTGATTCTGGCGATATTTGGAGTTCCCTGATGTTCGTGCCCTGTGATAATCGTTGTGCTTGGGCGATTGAATGTGGTATATCCACTAATAGAATTGTGTCATCTCTAGTATGAAACAGAATTGATTCATTTAGATCCTCTTGTCGACAATCAGGCATTCTGACTATAAACCCAGACACTAGGCAACAATCAGACAGCGCTACATAATTTATATTAGGCGTTATAGTCAGGTGACTCCTCCATTACTGTATTTACAAGGGCGGTGTCTCTTCTAGGCCCTATATTTCAGGCAGAAATCCAAAACCAGAGAATTGCTAATACCACCCCTCAAATGGCTAAACCCACCCCTTCTAAGCCGCTTTGGGAAATTCTGCCGTATTTGTAATATGAGCCCTTAACAAGGCGGTGTAATTTAAAATGGGCGGTCAGGCGAGGTCCAGGCGGATCCCAAGCTTATGGGAGCAGCTAGGTGCCGTTGAAGATGCTGTAGATCGTGAGTTTTATGAGCAATGGTCCCAACAAGGCTCACAGCAGCCAGCAACTCAGCAATCGCGGAGGAGACCCGATACGTGTGGAAATTGGGGCGTGGAGGGGCATAAAAGGCCTGGATGTCCGCAGATCAACAGATTTGCCAGTTAATTCGACTGAAAATGCATTTTCCGGTGTTTTTAAAATCAGCCCCTGTTTCCTCTTTAGGTTAAGCTTGGAATGAGATAACTTGCTTGCATATTAAATGTCGTTAAATGTGTGGTAAAATGGAAGCTTTTTACGTGGAGATTTAATTTAATTCTGGACCGTATTCATGCTGCCGGCAGAAAATTGATGCCTTTGTGCCTCGTGGTATTACAAATACGGCGGTGAGCTTAGAAGGGGTGGGTTTAGCCATTTGAGGGGTGGTATTAGCAATTCTCCAAAACCAGCTTTGGCTCCAAATGAAGCCAAGTGTCTGACTAAAGGCATCATATCAACAGCTTCTGGGATTCCCATATATCTTGACTTGAAGATATGATACCAGGACTGCCTGTATGAATGGGTCGATGACACGCGACTTCAAGCTTTTTTACTGCAGCAGGAAAAGACTCTGAAGCATAACAACGAGGCCAAAGCCTCTGTCTCAGAACAAAGTCCTAGATTTGCAACTTGTTCGATGCCCGATTGTACAAGGGCATCCTTACGCGGGATGAGCTGCGCAAAATGCAAGCGCCATTTATGCGCCAAACACTCATCAGATCAATACCTCAATTGCCCATCTTCGTCTGAGATATGCTCTTCTTCAATTTGCCGAACTCCCTTGACTATGAAGAAAATACCAGTGACTAACGATGTCAACCCGTGACAGCTCTCAGATAAGGAATGGGAAAAGTCAATCAATGACGAAGCCTCGTAATTGCTTTCTCATGTGAATACTCACGAGCGTGTTCGAATTGGAACTCGGCTGAATGGTGTGAAATGCAAGTTCGAGTGTGGAAAACATATCGGAATAGGTGCAATGGTGGGACGCAGGTGGTAGAAGACGATTTGGTAAAATGGAATTGTTCTGTTAGGTTTAGATTTAATCAATGAATTTATCGGGACCCGACTTCTGCTTTATAGCTTTTTTCCAGCCCGAGCCAGGGGGATTTGAATACCTTTCTCCTAGAACGAGAAAGAAGATTAGCGAACTATGCTTGGATGTCGATAACAGCGGTCTGCAAAGAACCTCACTCATGCATGTGGGTATCGTGTGTAACCATTATTAAGTAGTATTTTTCTTATACATACTAGTATGTTCTGGCCAAAGAAAGAACGTCATCGCCGTGGCGACGTCCTTTGCGGGCTGAATGAAAACTCCTACAGTCTTTACTGTGTACATTATGCGTGGTCAAATATGGGTCTTTCACTCCACGCGGCAAGTGTTTTTGGAAAGAATCTACAGAGGACTCGGCGACAAGACCGAATCTGGGTAGTAAGAACCCAGTTGAATAGGAGCATGAGAGTTCGTTTACTGTATGTCTAAGGCACCCATGTACAATCAACAGGTACTATCAAGGATTGTGTGACCGCTAGTTTGACTATCCACTGCTGCATGTTACATTGCATTATGCACGATTGGATCTCTTTCAGACAACGTTACACAAATGACCCACAAACCCACAAGACACTTGCATGCGTATGATCTATCTCTTGGTTCAGAAGTACCTCATAGTGACTGTGGAATAATGTACTGACAAATACTTAAGTCTATTCACGATCTCATACTAGGGATGACCTCAATCAAAACAGAAACGCCTTTATTGAAGACAAGATTCGCAGATCTACTAGGTGTGATATACGCCTACAGCTCTACTATGAAGAGAAGGATCTGATAAGGTGCCTACGTCTCTACCGAAATGGAGAAAGGGTGCAAAAACAACGAATAACAACGTTGAAGAAAAGGGAAGAGGAGAGAGGGAAGCTATACTACGTACATGTAGGGAGCCCACTCTCGGACCAATTATCTGATTGGTCTATACCTGTGAGTGGGTCAACCCAAGCAAACGTCCAAATATGTAAATATGCCGGCCGACCTCCTCCATGTAGCTATACTATAGGGGATGGTGCAAAGAATAAGCAATATCAATGTTAAAGAAGAGAAAAAGAGATAGAAGCTGAGCTATTATATATACGAGGGACCCTACTCTTAGATTAGTAATCTAATTCGTCCGTTACCGAGAGTAGATTAAACTATTATGAAAAAAGAAGACTAGTAGTATATTATATATAGTATATAGTTAGCTTTCTAAGGATCTATAGGTTACATAAGGATTTATATACTAGTAGTACTAATTTACGGTCTCAGGTACGAAGACTTTGGGTATAGATGTAGTTATAATATACAGCCCTGGACGGCATAGCCGGAGCTACAACTTCAAGTTCTAATATATATATATATATGCCCACCTGCGCAGGTGATTAGAGAAAACTTGCATGATATAATAAAAGCCTCTCGGTGTAATGCACTAAGTTATTGACTAATGTTTACACAAAATCCTACTCACTCCCAGACATATCAATATCTCATGGAGCGGATTCAATTAGAAATTTATCCATCGCAGGTATAAACGGGGACAATCTGAGGCTGAGCCCAAATAAATAAACAGATCAATGAAGGTTCGGGAAGATCATCCGATCAGAAGATACACGGTCATTCGAAAAAAGAAAACGCTGTCTCCATGAAGATACATCCGAGTCTGTGTCATCCTCCCAGACACCACGCACTTTTTTTTGTTCCAGCCACCAAAGTCCTCAGTCATATTGTCTCTCCTCTAACGGCGATCCAGCGTCCGATCAAAGCGAGAGGAAATATGGCTTCTCAACACATAAAGCTAGATAATCCGCTGAATCTCCATGATAGATGGCCAAAGAAAAAAATAAAAAAAGATAAAGAAGAAGGTGAGAAGATGAATTTATACAGTAGGTGAAAGCACGGAAGATTTGATTAGAAAATCATATGCAAATGTTAACGCTGGAGGGGTGGTCAGCAACGTGAGATTAAGGTATTGTAGGGGGGATGTTACTCACCCGTCCACGTCGGCCTCCGCCAGATTGTCCCTGCACAGGCTGTGCTTGGGGGTAAGACTGCGGAGGGTATTGATAGAGCTGGGTAGGAGCCATTACTGGGCTGAACTGCTGCGGGGCATAGTTGGACTGGCCAAGCATGGGGTTGTATCCACCGGGCAGCTGCGATGCTTGTTGATTGGACATAGAGCGCAAGTTCTCAACTGATGGGGTGCCTACTGGATAGCCGTAGTTGGCACCGGGCATGTTTTGGTACATACCACCGGAAGACACGCCGCGACCTTGAGCAGGCAGATAACCTGAATACTGCAATTGGGGAGGAAGCTGGTTCACAGAGTCTTGGAAGCCAGCAGCTCCGCCGAGGCCATTCAAGGGGTTCGGGAATCCATTTAGACCATTGCTCGCGTATGGGTCAAGTTGGTTGATATTGTTTTGATCAGCAGACATAGAACGAGAGTCCATGTTAGGAGCGTACTGTCCACCATACTGGCGATCCATGGGGGGCTGCCCAGGATACCCAGCTGCTGTGCTTCCATGTCGAGAAGATTGGCGGTGCGACTTCTCTGGGGTAGCAGAATGGTCGCGTCCATGATGACGCTCATGGCCATTTCCGCGAGAGAGACCCACTTCGTCCATCAAGCGTTTATATCCTTGACTTGGGGAAGCCTTCAATTTAGTCAAAACCTTGGCAACATTCTTCACCACCTCGCCGCGCATAGACTCATCAAAGAAAGGAGTAGTCAACACCTTGAAGATCAAAGTAGCACCAGAGGTTTGATCGCTCAAGATTTTCTCCAAAACCTCATCTCCAGGGCTGAAAAACAAGGCCTTGAGCACAGTGTCCCTAGCTTCGGCCTCGTTGCGCTGATTGATGACCTTGAGGACGGTAAGATAGGCGACCTTGTGGGTGCAAAGATGCACAAGATGGGGAACCAGGCGGGGAGCAAGCACAGTGCGGCGACGGGGGAATGTACAAGTGTCAAGGAACCAAGTAAGCAGGAGAGCACCGTTCGCATTTGTGGCCAGCTGAACACTGTGGAGCGCGATGGCAGCCGCGAGTGTTCGTTGCTGATCCTTGGTTGCGTGGTGGCTTTCCAAACAAGCTCGCATGGCTCGGGCACCAAATCGACCCTGGGCAATCTCCCACATTCTACTGAGCATGCTCTCGAAAATGAAGTCGTTGAAAGGGGCGGTAAAGCGCAAGCAGCACTGAAGAACGTAGTTTCCAAACTGATCAAGGAAAAGAGGAACGATGTGGGGACGGAGAGCATCCACAATCAAGTTCATCTGAGCTGGTGTCTTAGCAACGTCTATAATCTTCTGAGCTGCCCAAGTTCCGTTCTTGTGGACACCGATTTCAGCAAGATTGGGCGCGATGTGCGTGAGCATTTGCTCTTTGGTGGACTCTGAGCAGAATTCGAAGAGCTTCTGAACAACGGTGTTACCCAAGTAGTCAGACGAGAGTTCAGCAATCTCAGGGAGCATTGCTCCAGCTGTTTCTTCGATTTCTTGAATAGAGCAGGCTCCATTGTCAATTCGCTTTCTAATGTCACGAAGACGAGGGGCGTCAAACATGCGAGTCTGGCTAGGCTCTTGAACAGAAGGGATCTCATCCTCGAATGCATCGAAAGCAATAGCAGTCTGAATAGTGTTGTTGATGTTGCGAGAGTCCTCCTCATTGGCTCCAAACTCCTGTACGATCTCAAGCATCTCGGGCAAGAGGTCAACAAGAGCAGGAATCTGAGGAATAGAGCGAGTGTCTGCTCGGTCAATACCCTCTCCTACTCCCAGGTTGGACTTGAAGCTAGGATCCGGGGTTGGGGAAGACTGAATGCCATTCGCGCCAGGCGTGCCACCAGCAGAGGCACCAGGAACCTTGGCATATCCAATTCGGACGGGCCCTGCACCAGGAAAGATCTCCTTGCCATTCAACAGTGACTTGGCTTGCACGGCACTTTCAAGGCGCTCAAAGTTAACGAATCCGCAGTTCTTGTGTGTCAACACACGAGTGGACTCAATCTTTCCGTAGATACCAAAGATTGCCTCAAGGGAAGTGACAGTTGTCGATACAGGAATGCTACCAATCCATAGAGCTCGTGTAGGTCCATCTTGATTGTTTTCATCCACCATCTCATGCGCTGCACGCAAACCAGCACCAGCACCACCCAGCTGCAGTCCAAGAACAGCATCAGAAAGCTCATCGTACTCATTCTCCAACATGAGGTCATCCGCATTGAAGGAGTTGTCCAGACGCGAGGGTGTGGCAAGGTAGTTTCGAATAGACGAGCGAGTTGGGGGAGCTTCCAAGATACCAGCAGTTCGTGCGCGGGGTCGGTTGACTGAAGCGTGGGTTGCAAACGCCTTCACAGCGAGATTATGCTGGTGAATTTGGGCCTGTGTAGCAGCGAGTTGAGCAGCCGTCGCAGCGGCGGTGGGTGTGAGGGTTCCAGAAGGAAGCTGCGAGTAGCGGTTCTCATATTCCATATCCTCATCATCTGCGTACTTCTCCTTGGCGTTAACCGAGTAAGACCGGAAGCGGTTGTTGCTCTTAATCATTGCCATGTCAGCCAGAAGCCCTGGTAGCCCCTGGGCTTGCTGCTGCTGCTGCTGTTGCATAAGAGCCTCCATGGATGGTCGTGAAAGGCTGGCTCGTGAAGCTTGGGGATTTTCCGCGAGTCCGAGGTAATCCAGGGTTCTGTCCGAATCTGTGAGTCCATCCCGCGAGAACGAAGAAGCGCTTGGCGAAGTTGGGTCTTCGGAAGAACGAATACTGGTCAAGGTTGTAGCCCGCTCGCGACCGGTGGACCAGTTTGAAGAGAACAAGGAAGGGCCGAAAGGGTTGGTTGAGCCAAGCAGGCCGCTCCTCTGGGGCATCGAGCCAGCTCGAAGACGTGACAACATAGCCGGATTAGGTGCACCCGAGCTTACAACATTAGCTCCTGTATCGATTCCAGAGACACCCGGGGGACGGAAAGGACTGGTAGATGGCGTGGGTCGTGAGGTCTGAGACATAAACGGTTGCTGGAGATCCAATTCACTCAGTGTAGCCATCGGCGGGAATCGTGAAGGCACAGTGCCAGCTCGAGCTCTGCGCCCAGAGCCGGACAGCGAACCATTGGATGTGGGCATCAGGTCGGGGAAGCTATCCTGGCTAGGCGACTCGGGGATGTTCTCACGAAGCGGGGTGGAGTGACCACTGGTTGGGGGACCCCAAATGTTCGGGGAAACACCTTCTTGTGCTTGAATTTCGCGGGCTCTATAGAATTGAACATGCCATCGGTCAGTTTCCAAATTCACCATCACTTCCGATTCCTCTTGTTCATAGTATTGACTGACCGCTTGGGATACAAACGACCCCCCAACTCAGAGGGGGATCCAGCCCCAAGTCTCGCAGCGCCGATGGACCCAGGTGGACCGAACGGTGCCTTTGCTGATCCGGATCCAGCCAAGTCACTGGGCGAGCTGCGCCCAGTCGAGGTACCCGACATGGGCTGAGAGGTGGGAATGTAGTTGAAACTCATCTGACTATCGGGTCGAGACACCGGCAACATTATTTTTTATCTGGTGAATGCCTTGGGGTAAGGCAGGTAAATATTGGTTTCCCTTTCCACTCTATGAGAGCCAGCGCGAATACCAAAAGGGACCGATAGAGATGATACTTTGGCGTAGGATTGGTGCTTAAAAGCGCGTGAGCGTTGCCAGCACCATGTGGTGGGATTTAAAACCGAGATGGAGCGATGGTAAGATAAGGAGGGGGGAACAACGTTGCGCAAGACGTGAGGATATCGATGAGAATATCCGATGAAGAGACCCTGTGACCTCGGAATGAAGCAAAGCCGATGTTAGTTGAGGCAAATGCAATGGGTTTGCGGTATAATCAACGGGGGGCGCAGAAACGGGGGGGAGGGGAGGGGTTGACAAAGCAGCTGAGGTTAAAACAGGAAGGTGCAAAGTGCAATGTAGAGATGAAGAAGATGAAGAAGAAGATGGAACAATAAAGAGAGAAGTCAAATCATCAAACATCAAGCGAGAATAGGCAAGTAGGAGTATGGAGAGAGATCAATCTTACGTATGTTGCCTGTTGACCAGAAAAAGACGAATAAAGACGAATCGAGCCAGTTAAGACCAAGATTCTCGTTTCAATCACTTCGTGAAGGACCGCTTTAACTCGTATGCATAGGATTGAAAGGAATAATAAAGAAGTCCTGACACAAAGGAGCGTCAAGTGAGGACTAAAAGTCGAGCGATGGGGAGATCACCGAGAGACCAAGGGATCGAGGTGGCTGGAGAAGCAAGTTAGTTTGCGCGGCTCCGGGAGACCAAGGCAGTGGAGAGAAGGGGGAAGAAGGTCTCACCGAAGCAAAATCGCGTAAGAAATATAGAATGGAAAAATGAGAAGCAAAAAAAAAAAGTAAGAAAAAAAGAAGTTGAAAAAGAAGCGTGTCTGAGGAAAAAGGTAGAAAAGGGAGGGAAGAGAGAAGAGAGATGTTGGGGGTGGGAGAGATTCGGATGGTCGAGGGAAATGGTGGAGAGAGTGTTTTTCCCTCAACTTCACGTTTTTTTCCAACTTCAATGTTGGAATTGCGTCTAGGTTACAATAACTATTGTTTTCTATTCTCTACCAGTTTTGTTCATTCTTGCAGTTTTACAGCTCTACTCTTCTGATTCTATCTCTCCTTCTCTACCATTCATATTCATCTTCATCTCCCGGGGAATATCCGGGATTTGTTTCTCCTCATCTACAACCACCACGGCTTTTCCCCCCAGTGGATGATTGACACAGCCCCATCGATGTCATTGTTTAGAGAAACCAACACCTAGCTGCCTGGGGGACCCATCACAGCCCGGGAGACTCTCCAGAGTACCTGGTGACGAACTACGGAGTACATCTGAAACGATGAGGGGGAATTCAAGCATGCAACCTTCTCTAACTGTATCAGCCAAGCGCCCTGTCATAGAGCTGATGGACATCTCCGAACATGGAACATGGCATGCTGAAGACTTGACGGCGTGGAAACCAACCGAAAGGCCCCGCATTCCAGTGCGTCATGGTCTTCCCCAATCCAAAAAACACTCAAATCCAACACAACAATACCAGCCTGAACAGTTATACTTACAGGAACAGTTTGAATGGGATGCTTAACCAACCAGTGATGCAATTGGCCATGCAAGGAGACTGGAAATAGAGTCATGGTGCTTCAAATGGGCTGAAACAACGGCACAGACAGGTTGACCTGCGCCGCAAGGGATATGGGTCAGGTACGGCGTACGTGTCCTGGTCAATGGACACCTTCTGCCGGGGTGACATTGACCTCACCAGCCCTAGAGTTATGACTAGTAGTACAGAGTACATAATATAGTTAAGAGTCTATCTATCTGCATGCACTTCGTGCTTCTTGAAATTAAGCTACGTTGACGAACCCCTGATCCTATGTAAGAACTTACATAACCAACTGGGATTTAGTTAGTCCACGAAGACGGAACGGCCGGCAAAGAGGCGCACCGAACCCTCAATGGAGCCCACGGTGACCAACCGGAACAGCTGAAAGTGTCAGAAGTGGAGGTCCTGGATGACAAGATTTCGTCGAGAAGAATCTAGCGAAAAGTGTCCGCCTTAATTGAGGAACTAGTCACAATCCGACGTGGCTCTGGTGGCAGTGTGTGTACGAGACACCAGTCCATATGTAGAGTAGGGCCTAGTGGAGCCTTATAGCCCGAGAAATAGGGTGTCAAGGTGTCCAGGTGTCTTCATTCTACCCGGTCGCGTCTTGCGTCTTAATTGAATCTCCCGTGTCAAGCCTTCCTCAAACTTCTAACCTCCGTTTTTAATTTTTAATTTCTTGACCTTCTTGCCCCCTATTTACGGTGGTTCTTTATCCACAACTACCTATCTCATGTGTATTCATATCCATTCATAATAGCCCTCTTTACGCCCCAAGCATAGGTCTTGAATATGGCCGACATCATGGAAACGGACCCCTCCTCGGGGATCGTGACCTCGGAGGACGAGCGTGAGGAGGAAGAAGAAGAGGTTCAAGTGGAATCATTAGTCCAAGGACGCGCCAAACGAAGCAATGCTGGCCTGCGCATGTCCGCCTTGATCGATGCAGCCGCCGACGATGACCTAACCCTGCTATTCGAGGAGGTGGAAGATGACAACGAGTTTGCGATGGAGGAGAACGCAGACGACGAAGAATTGGCATTGGACTCGTCCTCAGACGACGAGGATGATCAGGGACCGAATGCGCAAAATGACTTCGACGGCGAAAAGCAACTACAAAAGGACGAGCGCAAGAAACGCCGCGCACAAAATGATCTCCGATTCCAGACCTTACGCAAACGCGTCAAAATCGATCCTACAGCTGTATCTGCCATTCCAGCGCCTCCACGCCCGAAAAAGAAGTCCGAGCGAATCTCTTGGATCCCCACGGTTGAAGATGGACCGACACGTTCCTCGTCACGACGACAGACAATGGTGAATAAGGAGATGACACATGCGCGATTGAAGGATAGCCAGGAGAAGCGGGTTAGGATTATCGCGACGATGAAGGAGGCAGAGAAACGAAAGGCGCATCTTAAGCCGAAGGAGATGACACAGGAGGATCACTTAGCGGAAGCCGAGCGGATTGAGCGAACCAACAGCAAGAGTTTGAATCGGTGGGAACAAGCGGAGAGAAGGAAAGCGGATGAAAGACGGGCGAAGATCGAGGCATTGCAGAATCGTCGCTTGGATGGACCGGTTATGTCTTATTGGAGCGGGTTGGCTACGTGGGTGAACGGTCGTCTCACACGAGTGGGCAAGGCCGAGATCAAGGCGAAGGCCGAGAAAGAGGTGGCCAAGAAGAAGAAGACGGAGAAGGATGTGAAACCAGTGGACGATCAAGAAACTTCAACAAGCGCTGTCGTTGTCCCTACAGATCCTTCTGCTGCTCCAGCTTCTACTCTTACCCCTGCCACTACCGATCCCTCTGCTATCTTGCCCCCTACTCAGTCAACAAATCCCCCGACAAAACCTGAGGGCGATTCAACATCTACACCCACGCCCGCCCCAGCTGCTGCATCTGCATCTGCATCTGATCCAGCCACAATCATTGATCAGAAATCGCCTCTTGATATCTCCACCCAAGCCAACCCAGCTCCAGAGACTACTACAACGTCTTCCAATGCGCCCGCCGACGAGTCAACCAATCCCGACGAGAAAGCGAATGAAAAGTCCCCTCTCGAACAACCAATCCAACAAACAAATGACAAACCTGCCGGTGATGAAGATAAGGCACAAGGACCGCCGACAGTGAAGGAGAAAGAGACAGAGACAGAGCCCGAGCAAACCCCAGAATCAACAGCCAACACAAAGACGCCGGAGCCGCCGCGCAAATCTTCTCTGGGACATCCTTTACCTGTCGTAGAAATCATAAACCGACGAAGGTCCACGACCCCCGCTCCCCAGACATCACGCGAGGGATCAACAAAGCCATCCACCGCACATAATGCGGACGCTATGGACATTGATAAGAAGCCGGAAGTCGAGCCGACCACTAAACCTGAAGATCCACCAATGACTACAAATGCCAACCCACCCTCCAACAGCACAGACACAACGACCATTTCAGGAGATATCCTTCACAAAGATTCTGCCAGTGCGCCAGTGCCCTCTGCAGCACCTGTGATTTCCCAGTCGGCCACGTCTACGACTACGCCATTGGCCGCTCAACCCCCTCTAGTCCCCTCGGCCGATGCGGCACCCCTGTCTGGCGCTCCACCCGAGATTACTACGACTGAAAGCCGACCGTCTGTCGTGGGCCCCGATGGCCCGGCCCAAGAGCCTGCAGATAATGAAACACCAACTCAACCTGAGATTCCACCAGTCATTGAGCACACAGGGCGAAATCTGACGATCCTTGAGAATTTCGATGATCGGACAGCGCACAGCAAGAAGTACAGTATCTACTTCAATGCTAGGAAACCTCCTCGCTTGGCTAGTATGTTTCTGATTCGCCCCTCGCCCCTGGCTCCCCCGATTATAATGATACGATTGTACATCATCGAATAAGATACTAATGTGTTATAGAAATCTCCTCATCACTATGCGTTATCACTTCCCTGCCGTCTCGGTATCGTGATCCAGAGACCGCTCTACCTTACGCCAATTCCTACGCATATGGACAAATTCGCCGCCTGCAGGCGCAAGGGTACATCTGGAGTGCCATGTTAGGATGTTTCGTTGGCCCGGCAGAGCTTGCAGCCAGTGGGGTCCCTGCTCGATTCCTAGGCGGGGAGAAGAGTGCCGAAGAAATCGAATTGGATAAGAAAGAGAAGGAGAAGGCCGAAAAGGAAAAAGCCGAGAAAGCACAAGCCGATAAGGAGAAGGCTGCAAAGAACAAGGCCGAGAAAGAAAAGACGAAGAAACAAGAACAAGATCTTTCAAAGGATCCCTCTGCTTCTGTCTCTGCCTCTACCACGGAGAAAGCGGAACCAGTCACAAATGGTGCCACTGCTCCTACCACAACCACAGCAGCAACAGGAACCTCGGCCGAGCCGATGGATATTGACGGAGGCAAATAACTGCCACTGCCACTGTCGCCGTCACTGTCACTGTCATTTTCAACAAGTTAAATTAAACACAAAGCATTGTACTGTACGATATGTCATTGTCATTAGATACCCACCCCAATTCAACCCAATTCAAACATTGAACCAATGGAACTCAATCCAAACAGACTACCCTAACAAGCTCAATTGTCAACATCATTCCGACCCACATTGAATCATAGACTTTCCACCACACCTGGTACCTACATCAAACTGTGAAAACTGTGAAAACTTTGATGCCGTGCCAGGCAGCCAGCCTTTCAGAGCCCTATATTCCGAAAATGACCATGGCACCTGTGATGATTGACTCCAAAGTCTGTTGTTCGTCCAAGGATTATAACCTATTTACCTTTACTAGGTGGTGATGGTGTTACCCCAACCCCATCATTATGTCATTTGTCTGACGTAAAAATATGTATCAACAATGAGATTAGATCACGGATATCCCCCTGACGGAAGACGTGGGAGTTAATTCTTCTGGGGGAATTCCTGAGTTCATGAACCTACCAGTCTACTTAATATGGTATATGTAGGTACTTGGTCTTAGTCAGTAGATGAATTGACTTTGTCAATCGCAAATAGAGTAGCCCTGAATAGAAGAAACCTTACAGAAAAGGAAAGAATGAAAATTCTTTTCCATTCCATTCACTCCACACTTCCACAATTGACGTAGAAGGCAATTCCTCGTCTGACGTGACCGACTACGCAAAGAAAACAACGCTACTACACACCCTCCACACCTGGGCACCTTCATCCTGACGACTCTATTCCAATTAGGATGTCCAATTAGTAGTGTAGAGAATGACAGGGTCCACATTGTTTCTATTCTATTCTTTGTTGACGTGAATCCTCAAAAAGACAACACGGTCTAGACTACTTTGATCGTCTTTGATCGTCCAGCCATTTTCGTCTCCATCGACCCAAAACATGATCCGCGGAAGATCGACGCCTAGTACTCAGGAGACCAGACAACGAAAAATATGATTGATGAGTAGGTTAAGTCTGGACCTAGACAGAATACCAAGTGGAACTGAAGATGCACACACGAGTAGAGTACGTACTAAGATCTGAAGACCCTTCACAGAGTCTAGGCTCTAGCCCTACCTGCCTCCTTTGTACAGTGTGAGTGGGTTGTGTAGAGACCGCACAGACTCAACGTGTCAAAGGTGTGTCACAGTGGGGTGGAGACAACGCTTGGCTTGGGGGGTTCGAGAACGCCGATCTATTTTCGTTCAGCTCTTTGCCTCCCGCACGCAATCGTAGAGGTGTTGCGTAATTTGATTCAGGATAGCATAATGTACACTATAGATCTGGGGAGGTATTTGTTTAATTTTGAGCTGAATGTCGTCAGATAAATATTCTAATAACCTTGGTAATATGTGAAGAATCGCGTAATAGGTAATTGGCAACAGTAAGTAAGTTCTTACCCCTCGATCATGCCAGATCCGACCCCTCCGGAAATAGAGTCCTGGCCCTAGGTACAGGATATGCAGCTAATGTACAGAAACCGGGAAATCGGAGTGCAGACCTGCCTCTCATTAGGTTGTTAGTGTCCGGGCGCTAAGTCTAGACTGATATTCAGATTTATGACGAGATTGTATGAGTCGAGGATTACTACAGATTTACCTACAGAATTGTCGTGTTGAGTGGATTAATGGACTTTTTTGACTCGGATTTTTATTCTAGACAATCCCTTCTAGACTACGAGTTAAATATAGACTATCCACTACTCCAGTAACTACTGAGTACCCATGGGGTTACTGTCTCTCTGTTTGCGGTAGGTGACTCAGCTGGGTCTGGGCCACCATTGCGTGTACACCGTGAACCGTGTGAACCTTGAAGGAAAATCAAGTGGAGACAGCCCCAAACCTTGCGAGTCTAGAACTGAGCACGTTGCGTCTTCTTTTTTTTCTTTTCTTGTCTGCATTTATATAATGGTGTGATCTCGTCAATCGGAGAAGAATAAAAAATTAAATCTTTGATCTCATCAATTCTTAACAACTTGTCAAGTAACTTGTTATAAGTTAAAAAAAAGTCCTTATCATCCCATTCTACTCCCTTATCGCATCATCCTATCATCCTTATTATAGACTTTGTCTTGGTATGTGCAAATCCCCTGTTGGCTGTGACCTTATCTCTCCTCCCCCCCACTCACACCCGATCCCCCCGTGCTTTGCCCCCCGGTTCTCGCCTTAGTGACACAGTAAACTGACCAGCCTTATCAGCATTCATTCCCCCGGTTGTTCTCCAGGAAACATACATATTTGGTCGAGAAGCCAGAATCCTGAAACAGGATCAAAAGAAAGAGGCGAAAAAATATAAGACATTTCTTTCTATTTTCCTATTTGGAAAGGAAAGCAAAGGGGCCCAAAGACGCCTTGATCTACTTCGCCAGTATTGCAATATTACAACAAATCTACATCATCCCGAGAATTCCAAGCGGTCAAGCATTACACCTGCCTATTAATCCCTCACAATCTTGTGTCCCCTTTCAAATTTCGGGGCTCCACCTTCAGTGCAAGGTCCATCACAACACGATACAGATAAGATAGTGAGGCATTTGAATTTTTGAAGCCTTTGGCTTCACCGCCATCCATATGACTCAGTCTACTTCTCACCGTCGTTCTCCTTCCTCTCCTCATGCCTCAAAGCCGAAGTCTTCTCGTCCTGTCTTACATCGGAGAGGTGCTTCTGCTGTCCGTTCCATCTCCAAGCTTGGTGCTGGTCCCGGTCATTCACACTCAAACTCATACTCCCATTCAAGAAGTGTGAAGGAGGACGACATCGAATTCGATATGGCTGCTAGTTTTCTCAATTTCTGGTAAGTTTCTTACTTTATTCGGATTATTTCTATTTTAGTTTTTTAGGTTTTATCCTATCTTTATTTTTTCTTGTTTTTCTGTTGTTGTTTTTTTGTCTCTGTTGGGCTCTTATCAGTGGCCCCTGCAGGGTTATCCTATCCTTACATGCCTGTTGCCGTCATCTGGGCTGTGTGATCCTGATATCAAATGTTTTAAATAGTCCGCTAACCAACGTCCAGTGCCATGTGCGAAAAACAGATCACCGTCCCCAACAATTCCCTCTTATACTGCAGTGAAAGGTACGTGTCCTATTCTATTTATCCCTGTCTGACCTACTATATATGGATCTTACATACTACCTCCCCTATCCATACCTCCAATCTACATCTACATCTATATCTTTTTATAAAAACCAAAACTAATTCATCCCAGCTGTCGCCGCAAGGACTCCTGCAAACCTCTCTCCGCCTCATTGCCCTCAATGACAAGCATCTCCTCCATCTCCTCAACATCCACATCACCACCAACATCTCCATCTCTTTCTCCCCGCACAATCGTCGCCCCAATGACTCCTACCCGCCCAATCCCATCCATCAGGATACCCTCCACAGTCCACGACTGCAAGACAGATCTTGATCCCACCGAATGGAAGCCCGTAATAGGTCGTGCCACCAGCCTCGCATCCTCAGATGCATGGGCCTACCTCTCCGTCTTCCACGGTGGAAACGAGTCTCTCCTAGCCCGTCGCCAGGAAAGAAGCACCTCCAGCTTGCCAGCTCTAGTCCCCTCGAACAACCACGATGGACACGGACACACTCACATCCGTGTTCCATCTCTCACTCATACTCCTTCCACCATCGCAAGCTCTTTCAGCAGCGATGCCTCTGATGAGCTGAGCATGTACGAGGCTTCAAACAGACCTCTTCCTCCCCGACACAACCCGTACTTCGGACATGGAACCGCGCCTAAGGGTGTTGAGCTTGTAACGCCACTTTCGGAGAACCTTGAGATTCCCGTTGAGGTTGTTGATACCGCTGAAGACTGGGAAGATACTCATGTCCCTGTTTCGGTCTCTGTATCTACTCACAAGAAGACGGCGCCTATTTCTATGGTGCGGGGCGGCGGGTCCGCGCGTCGTGTGAGTTCTTGATTTGGGTTTGTTCTATTTCGTTTGTTCTCTGGAGAACAGATGAATGGAATTTATACTTGACTCATCTCATACTGTGCTCGTTTTGGTCGAGACTATGATTACGATTCGATGGACTTGCTGGAAGGAACTGGATTTTCTTTTCTCACTTGTTAGCTTGATAGCATAGATTTCTTAATATTCCAATCATACACTTATTTGGATTTACTGAACCGGACTTTCATCTGCATACTAGACATGATAAAAATCGTGTAATTCAACAAAGAAATTCAACTCAAAATAGATTCTCAAGATCATCCAGCCCCTTTAAAATAACATCAACAATGCAGATATACCTCATAAGATCAGAAGGAATCCAGCCAAAGAAGATAGATCCACTCAATCTGCAACGTAGATCAGATTACAGTACTGTACAAACTAAATCACTGCAAAAACTAATCGATCGTACATTCAAAAGGATAACCTTAGACATAAGCGTGTTCACCCCAGAAAGCTAGAGAAGTACTAAACTCAAATCCAACATTCACTCCAAGTTGATCCAACAAATACATTCACAAATCATAACCTATACCAAAATCCACCCTAGTAGAAAAAGAAGATAAATAAACAAACATAATCCAAATTACCAAAATAACACCTAGCTTCAATCAGATGGATCACAGCTCCTAAAAGTCAGGAGAAGTAAAGCAGCAAGAGTAACATCCGGAAGCTTGCTGGAAAACAGGGGAAGACTAAAGAGAGATAAATGAATTAGTCACTGGCCAAATACATCTATGCAAAACTTGAAGGAAGTATACTCACATAAGGCTTCTCACACTTCGCCTCATCAGGAGTAGCATAGCAATCACCCATACAGAATGAGTTCCCAAGATCAGCACCATGAGACTTCTGTGGTTGGGTAGGTGCAACATTTGTTCCGGGTGCCATTGAGTCGACCGGTGCAATGGACTTAGATTCCTGCTGTGCAGGCGCGGAGCCTGGGATCGGAGCAATGTCCTCGTTTACGTTCTCGCTCTGTGGGACGCCTGGGTCTTCAGGGGAGAACTGCTGGGGAGCCTCAGGCGTAGACTCAGATTGTTCAGGGGAGTATTGTTCCGGAGTATATTCCTCAGGGGCCTGGGACTCTTCCGGTTCAGACATAGGTCCATTAAAGTCAATAGGCGGAGACCCATCACTGGAAGAATCCTCTCCATGTGTCTGTGTGAACCCATTTCCATTTCCACCAGAGTATCCACCATGCTTCGTGGATGCACCGTTATTACTAGTAAAGTCCGGTGCCTTGGGTACACCCTCCGGCTTTGGAGCAGGGAACCCCTCATGAGGATGGGGAGCATGGAGTCCGTGGTTCACACCGTGATACGGGATGTGAGAAGCTGAAGCCGAAGCAGATGGCGTAGCAGAAGCGTAAAGATTATAATGCATCGATGCTGAGGCCGAGGCAGAAGCAGACATATGCATGTTAATGTAGTGGCTTGCTGAAGCTGAAGAAGGAACAGGCGTCATATAGTAATGATGATGAGCGTGATAGTGGTAGTGAGCGCTCTGCATGGGACGATGCATATTCCCATTCGCCATCGAAGACGAAGGCGATGGTGTAGCTTGTGGAAATGGCATTGAGAATTGCGCCATAGATGATTGGAGATCCATGTCTTCGCCGTTCATCTGTCCGACTTGTCCTTGGCCGTTGGTGTTTGAGCCTTGTCCTTGACCAATTGGTACTGAGCCGAGGCCGAAGGGCATGGGGACGAATTGGGCTTGGGAGTGTGCTAGCACGGTGGCTAGGGTTAAGAGGGAGTAGTGCATTTTGAAGTTTTTTGCTTCCTATGCTTTGTCGATTGGTTGTTGATTATGCTCGGTCGGTACGGTGTCGAAGTCGGTGTCGAAGTCGGTGTCGATTCCAGGTCGGTGAGTTGGTGCTGGGTGGAAGGTTCGATGAAATCGGAGATGCTTTGAGTAGACATATCGTTTATTTCAAGGGGTCTTGTTTTGGTTGAACGTAGGCACATTTTTGGGTTGCGCGTTTGGAATGCGGAATTTGTATACGCAAAGGTCCGCGTCCTTTTTTAGGATCGCAAACATGGATTTTCAACTTATTCGAATTATGAGAGTAAGTGTTAATATTTTGGTATTGTAATTTAAAGCTGGCTCGTTTAATTCACTTTTAAGAGCTGAATAGGTTCGTTGTGTTGAGGGCATACACCTGGGCAGTATGCATAGTACGAAATTAGGTATGGATTAGTAGTAGATGCGTGAACTGCGTGGACACGGCGTACTCGAATTCCTGCCTACATTCCATGTTTTGAAAAACTACTCAAAACTCAAAACCCCAAGATATCTGCGGGCGTGGCTTCAATGCAGAAGGCTTGAGACCGTGCATTATTGATCAGTGCGTTTTTGTGGTGGCTATCTATGATGAGTAGGTGAAGTGCTGAGTCTGCTTATTATCCGTGCCAGGGGTAATGTCGAAGTTCCGCTTGTCTACCTTCAATACATATGAGTAGTTAAATATTCTAAAGTAAGATCCGTAATATTTCCTTATCCTGGTTCAAACTAACAATTGAAGCCATATCTCACTAATCGTGGTTGGCAACAAACGGTCAAGGTTAGCAGAAGGTTGCTTTCGCCCTGCCTCTCTATACATGTATAGCTAATATCACAATTCAGTAATATTCATCCTTTTCTACATACTATGTACTATGATTCAAATGTTTGGTTTCTAAGTTAGTTTCCAAAATCTCGATTGGTCAAGAGATAGATCCTTGAAGATTCAGCATTACTAGTAGTAGTAGCCCCATCTCCTGCCGGAGTAATACGCGAAACCATTCCGACTCGGATGTATCACAACGATTCTCGGGTATCTTCAAGTTGGATTATATACTAGTACTAGACAGTGCTTCAACATTTTAACCCTTAGAACTATGCATTTAACTAAACAATTTATACGTCTTCGGATATAACCAAGAATATAAGTTACCCCTAGGTCAAGCTCGTAAGTACTTGAGAATTCCTTTAGTAGTATATACTCATTTATGGTCAACTCTGAGCTTATACTCATTTGATCAAGAAGAATGTTCAAGCACGAGAACAACGAAGTCGCTATCCGGAACGACCTTTCAAAAGCCCTGAAGTAGCCTTTGGAAAATGATAGAGGCAACAAATGCAGGTCAATAATAGGCGGCATGGGATGCCGCTCATTATTGCAATACCTAGGTATCAGTGAATAATAAGTTGACAACGCCATGCTTGCACGTCGAGTTAAGAATAAACCCCAAAGATGAATAACGAAAAAGGGCTAGATTCTATGTAGGCCGTGGTTGGGGTAGTCATTTGCCATGGTTCCACCAATAGTCAGGCTCAAAATGCATTAGTGCCGTGCACACGCGCCCGTAAATTTCGGTCCCGGTCCCGGTCTCGGTCACATGTGCAGTATGACAGGTTTTGTGGCTAGGTCGAGGACCTAGCCACAGCTGGGATCCTATCATTATTTAGAAAACAGGGGACATCCTGCATCAATGTCTGGTAGATCCCAGCCTCTTACTCGTGCTCTGCTCATGGGCCATTCAAAGAATTTGTGGATTAGTGCATGACTCCATGATCCCCCGTGCATCAGTCAATATTGGAATTGACTTAAAAGAACGTTGAGGGATATAAGTGAAGTTATGGACTAACCTTGGGGTGTTCCATGTGTAAAAAAGTAATGTATCTTTCGCCAGTCTGCGGTACTGTCCGTCCGCGTTTCTCACTTTTTGAATGTACCTTTTAGGTTAGTGCTCCCCTTCAACTTCCAGGCAAACAAACAAAGAAGAGGATCTCTCAAGACGCCCTGAACATCATATATGACATGCATCCGCCGGTTTTTTTCGGCCGGGCCTGCCGGAGACATCTGTACCTAGTAAAAATTAACTGTGAGGATATCTCAAAAGCACCTCCCGGGTCTGCACCCAGGGTCCCCGAGTCATGCGCCGCCGTTAATTGCTGCTCAATCGTGATTCCTTTGCCAAACACCCACACTCGAGGTATGCACCTGATTTCAAGGTTATGTCAATGGAGAATTCGTCACAGTACAAAGTAACCGAAATGGTAACCTTGGATTGGAACCTGACCCAGAGAAGCGGTGCTGGCAAGCGGTGCTGGCAAGCGGATATCTTTTCCCCCCATGGAAACTTTTATGGCTCCTGCGCGTGGTCTCGGCACAATGACCGTCCGTTCTCATAGCATCAAAACAGCATTTCTCAAGCTCTGATAAAACGACCCAAATCATTGCGAGGAAGCTATACTATACGTCCAACTGAAGTAGATGTAGGTACCTCCGTCACGATCTTACCATCAAGCCTGACCATGGCTCACGTCACCACTAAAGCTGACGCTTGTTTTGGTTCTAAGGAGCAGATAGGTGGAGCCGTAGCCTCAATAATCTTCCCCGGGAATAATTTTCCATGCGAGGCCAATTGGCGCCACCGCTTCAAGGTAGGGTTTTCCCTTACTACCATCGCCCTCTGAGAGGTAAACAGTAGGGATATCCTCCCTACTACCATATGCAATCACCGTAAAGCACGGTGACCATGAGGATGGTTTGGATAGAAAGAGAGGTGGTCTGTTCCGCATTAGCATCTCCATGAGGATCAATGCCATCAAATGCCTCCTCAAACTTGACATGGTCCGCAGTGCAGAATCATTCGGATACCCTCCAATGGATCGGCTGCTATTACCAGAGGCTCATCATCACAAGGTGCCTCTCAACAGCATCTATCATCAACATGGTCTATCCGTGGCCTAAAAAGGAGCAAGGCATCTGGATGAGACTTTCGGGAGAGGCCATGGAGATGAAAATGATTTCCAGTGGGACGAGACACTGCCGGCGACCGTGTTGTGGACGAAGCTATTGATCCAGACCAGGGGTAACAAGGGCCACTAACATCGCTGACTGGTATACGCAAGTATATTCACAGGATCTTAGGTCACATCAAGCGTTACTTGTGCTCACGATCTTCCAAATCTTCCAATATTGCAACTCATGGACCTTTCATCGTACATATCGAATGCTCACGAAGAACGATAGTACCGCCCGGCAATGATTGATCCACGTTTAGCCTGTATTTAAAATCGACCAATATCAGAACCAACCACTTTGCTTTCCAAGTCAGCGAGCGACTTTATCATGCACATCGAATATCGAACGATGACACCGTCTCGGCAATGATTAACCCACGAAGGCTTGTACATAAGTTCGATCGAATGCAACGACCGATTGCTGGTCATCGATGGACTGGGCGCGGTATAGGCTAAGCTCATATAGCCATATCGGCCCTAGTCTCAATATCAAATGGTAGTTGAATTTCGAGAGCTGTCATTACTCGCGTACCCCTTCGGCCATCGCAATACTCCAGTGTCAAAGCCCCTCCAATACAAGAACATCGAGCCGGTGATATTTCTCTGAGCAGATGGAGTCTAGACCACGAACGATATTTGACTTCGAGATGCAACGGTCACCATCACTAAATCGCCACCCATATGAAACAACCAGAGCGGACGGCACTAGATCTCATGGTTGATCTCAGCCCATATGCATCACCTGGCATTATCGAAACACTCACACCTTATGCGGTACGGATTATTTGCTCGCATCGGGCATTCATGGAGTAGAATAAACACTCAATGACCCTGGTTTGGGCACTGCTCGTTTTTCCTGTGACAGATATTCGAAGATTGAATCCCCAATTTCGCTCCAAGGCCTTTTGTCAGGGAGACCTCCAACACATCCGAGATGCACTTGGGTCGACTGAAGTAAAAATAGGATTGGAAGGTCTGAAAATGATGTCCGGTGTGCCTTGGGGTAGGTGGGCAGGTTGCGGTCGCGGCTCCGAGGGGGCTTGAGGAGGTGCTGTCGTGCTTGCCGGATTCGCTCGAATGATTTTATCTGCTCAAGAAAGGAAGGAGCGAGTTAGCGTCATTCTATCTAAGACTTCCAAAGTTGGAATGATAAACCTGTTTCTGGCAGATGAAAGATGGCACTAACTTGACAACTCCCCTATTTCAGAGGCCCCGACACTTGGAAACTTTGAACATTGGAGACCATTGGAGCCTCGCCTCGCTCTTTCCAATACTCCCCGAGTGATGAAACCCCTAGTAATCCAGAATGAAACCCCCTCTTTGATCCACCGAGAAGAGTGCTCTGTGTACGCTCACCGTGAACTCTTCCAATGTTTACGTCTCAAACCTCTGTTGACACAGGTTAGATAATCAACTTTGGGAACTCGCCAGTGCAACCATCCACGCGTCGAATACATCCATCCTATTCGATTCTTAAAATAGCATCTCTCCCATGCATATTATTCAGGGACATCGTCCGTCGATCGGATTTCGTTTCAGGGTGAAGGATCTGGGTGATTCGGTCCTAGAAGTGAGATCATTATTGAAACAGAACACAACATCGCATCCTTCAAATAATTCGCTGCGTTGAACTATTACCGACGATACGCACGCAATAGCTGTGGTCTTGCTGAGTTGAATGTGTTCAGAGAATTCGAAAATCAGCTTGTTTGTTAGAACAAGATTGATTGATCCCAACCTGTCGCGATGAAGGGGATCAGATCAGCAGAAACAAACAACCGCCACCACTCTCGGGGACCCAAATCAAGTTAATCAAACAAGAACAAGAATCCAACCCAAAAATATACCAGATTTGGAAGGATCGACTCGATACATGGATCGGAAAATTCAGTGGCAATGGTGATTGAATCTCTTGATATAGCTCCGAGGAGAAGGCAGGCGGTGTTACATTCATTGGTTGGTATATTTTTCCGAGCCCGATCGTGCTTTATGATTAGTCAAGTGTTTACTGACTGTATTCACATAGATTGAGGCGATTCTGATGATTGAGATCATGAGAACATGAATATGAACAAGTTATTTGATCTTTTTATATTGACATATTGTCGCGCGAAAAATCAAAAAGTGGCATTTTTTGTTCTTGGACTTTTGACTTGAGGGGAGGTTAATTAGGTCTTGGGCCCAGCCCAACCCTTGCCATTTTTCATTTTGGCATGTCCCGCCCTTCTTCTACTCTCCCAATCGTCACAGTCATCTTCCATCTTCTTCAGGCTCTTCTATCTCGAACTTGTGCTCTCTGGTTCTCCGATCGATCCAGGCTCGGTGATTTTGGGAGCCACGTTATATAACCTGTATGGCTGACCATTTCAAGTTTATTCCGCTCTCTACACTACTTACCTCTACCTACACTACTACACTATACGGCCCCCTCCCCCACTTTCCTTATGCTTCAATGAGTACCGCTCGGTACTGACCTCTGCTTTCCCCATATTCGTCCATGTACTGGTTCGTCTTCAAAGGGGTCCTACTAACCGTCTTCGTGAAGACTCTGAACAGACGCATGTGAACAGTGCAAGACTATTCATAGAAGGATTCCCGGCTAATTAATAACGTCCCGGCCTTTTCGAACAGCTGTTGTTTCTGGCATCCTTCCCCATTCCCTGCCCACGGACTCTTTCGTACAGTAGTATCGCTACGCCCGACTCAATATGTCAAGCCGAAGTGGATCCAACCCGTCTGGTTCCCAGGGAACCCGAGCACGGAATCAGAGGCAGCAGACCTCATCGAGGTACGTAGGAAGTTCTTGAGCCCCGATGTACTTGTCGTTGCCCAGTAAGAGGGTCCAGGCTGAACATCGCCCACCCTGGCGTCTATCTCCACAGTCCCGTCATTGATTCAGACCCCGAATCCCGCGAAATGCAAATAGACTATTACAATTCCCTGCTGCGCAAGCTGTTGGATCTGATCGCAAATGGTGACGAGGCTTCGGTATCCAGCATCGTCTCCACCATCCGCGCTGGGGCCTCTCATGATCGGATCCTTGAAATCATCGAACAACTTTCTGCTGCACCTAGTCGTACAAATGGAAGCAACGGTACTCACTCTCGCACTTGATGGACTTTATCTGTTTGTCAAGTTCAAATTTGAGAGTCCGACATCTACATCTTGAAATTCGGCTTTTTGGGCGTGGGGCTTAGGACCCGAGATCAAAATCGGAATAGCCAAACATATTTGCGATTGGGTCTACATATCGACTTTATCGATTTACGAATGATGAATTGGTGCTATCAGATCTGCGGCGTTAATGACGATTTTTGTCAAATAAACTTTCAAGGGGGGTTATTCAGGGCAGTATTGATGGCCCCGGAGCTCATTATGATAACTATGGCTGTTATTGCTGTTCTCTCAATTCTTTCGATTCTTTCTGTTCTTAAGAGCCCTTCAAAGTTTCTTTCAGCAATTCAAGATCGTCTCATATATGTTCTAGGATCCCATAAGGTGGATATTTTAGCTATGTAATCAATTGTAGTATAGCTACATGGAGGAGGTCGGCCGACGGGCATGTTTGCTTGGTTTGACCCACTCTCGGATACAGACCAATCAAGTGATTGATCTGAGAGTGGGCTCCCTATATGTACGTAGTATAGCTCTCTCTCTCTCTCTCTCTCTCTTCTTCCCTTTTCTTCAACATTGTTATTGATTGTTTTATACCCTTTTTCTTTTTCAGCAGAAACGTAGGCACCCTATTACAGGTTCGTATACGTAGGGCGAAACGCCTATTCAGCCAGGTCAGCCAGCCAAAAGGGCTCCAGCTCGGTGCAGTGGATATGGGAATATTGGCCATAAGATCAATGGATGTACAAATCGCGTCATTTTGCTAAATTAATAGGTGTTGGCCATTATATATCGATTTAATTTTTTCTAATGGGTTGGGGTATACGGCTCGGCCGGGTGTACGACTCGACCGGGAATTACGTTAAGTAGATGACTGTGTAAAGATAGGATGAAAAGGAGTGTATTAGTGTGAGTGTTCTAAAAACGAGAGATTTGTATGGTAAATTAAGGAAAAGTGGGTCTGTTCTAGTAAAGATGGTACTATAACCGGGAGTTGACTGTATTCGCTACTGCTAGTGGCGTCTGGTGGCTAGTTGAAGCTGGCAAGCGACCCGTGGAATACAGCTTAGCCGTAAGCCTCATTTATCCGTATGACATGGAAGTATTCAAACGCCTATTTTACTACACACATCACTGATTTAATTTGAAATAAAATTCAAGTTGCTATGTGGATCATCATTGATTGAGATAAGAGCTAAACATTCAATGATCAAAAGGAGAAAGAATATAAAACTTGAGCTCTGAACATATCCATGAACAAACAACCGAGGCAGCATTGCAATAACCAAGAAAACCCCTGACAACTTAAAGTTAAAAGCTGGAAATATAAAAGAAAATATTCATTTCGTTGATCAAATCATATAAAAGAACCAACTTTTAACAGCCCCAACCAAATGGAGTCTGGAATCTGAAATCTGAAATCTGTATGCAATCCATAAAATCCTCATCCTCATAACTATACGTGAAATAACATTTCCATTTTCTATTCCTTCTCTTATCTATGGGGTGCAACGGCCTGTGAACCGAGGGTACAGCGAGCAATCACGGACAGTGTAGCGGGCGCACAACCAGGCCAGGAAACGTTCGAGACCGAGACCGTATCCGCCGTGGGGGGAGGTACCATACCTAGATTGTTGTTAATATGTGATTCAAGGGAAGGGGAAGAATAGTGGGGCGAGGGTATAACTTACTTGCGCTGGTCAGTGTACCAGTAGTATGGGGAGGGATCCATGCCCTCGTGTTTGTAGGCGTTCATCAACTCGTCCCAGTTGTCCATTCTCATACTTCCACCGACAATCTCACCGACGCCAGGCATGAGGACGTCGACACTCTCAGTGACGCGACGGTCCTCTGGGTCCTTCAACATATAGAACGCCTTAATCTCAGCGGGGAAATGGGTAAGGAAGATAGGTGTGTTGATGATATCTGTCATTTTACGCTCAGCAGCCTCGGCGATGTCGTCACCGAACTGGTGAGGCTTGCCCTCTTCATTGGGAATATCGTGCTCGATCAGCCACTGAATGGCATCGGAGTACTTCATGCGACGGAAGGGACGCGAAGGGCGCTTGAAGTCGGGGTTGAGCTTCTGGACGTAGGCGGCGATTTCGGGCTCGGCAAGTGTGAAGTCAATGACGTTGCAGATGATGTCCTCGATGTGGTCGAGGAGGTCGGTGAAGGTAATGAAGTCCAGCTCAGCCTCGATGTGAGTGTACTCGGACAAGTGGCGGCGGGTGAGGGATTTCTCAGCACGGAATGAAGGGCAAACGCAGTAGACGTCGCCGAGTGCGGGGAGACAGGTCTCGAGGTAAAGTTGTGATGACTGGGTCAGGTAGGCGTTCTCGCCGTAGTAATCGAAGCCGAAGAGAGTGCTACCACCTTCGACTTGGGTTTGCACCATGGCGGGGGGAGTCACCTCGACCATGCGGTTCTTCTCAAAAGCCTTGCGGAAAGCACGGAGACAGGCGGAGCGCACCTTCATCACGGAGGAAGAGGTCTCACCGCGCAGCACTAGGTGGCGGTTATCGTAGAGGGTTTGGGGGTCGGCGTCCGGCGCGACACGGGTGGTGATGGCATCCTTGTCACCAGCGGCCTTTCCGATGATGGTGAAGAAGTCGGCGTGCAGCTCACGGTCGTTGGGGGCGTGTTGCTTGGGAGGCACGGCGCGCATAAAACCGTGGATGGCCATGGAGGTCTCCAGGGTCAGAGTCATGATATCGAAGGACTTGACCATGTCGCCAGTCAGAATGCACTGCATGTATCCGTATCCATCGGCGAGGGTGATGAAGACGTAATCCTTCTGGGCGCGCATACGGTGAACACGACCCAGCACACGAACGCGAGTACCAGGGCCATCGGACTCGGGACCGCCCAAGCTAACCACGGCGGGGTCGGTGTTATCCAGACGAATGCGCACAGGTTTGGGCAGGGAAGCATCCTCCTTGATAACGATATTCTTAGCCTCCTCCAGGACAGCTCGGCGCTTATCAGCCTCAGCCTTCTCGCGAATGGCGAGGTCGTGCTCCTTCGCGGCCTTCTTCTTGCGTTGCTCGAAGAGGTTGGTAGCCTTCTTCATGGCCGACTTGGTGGCGGGCTTCCACTCCAACTTGGCGGCTGGGTCGACATTCTCGCCTGCAGCATCGGTTTGCGACTTGCGGGTCAGATATTGAATACCCTCTGTGGTAGGCTCGTGGTTGACGAGGGCGTGCACGAGAGTCTTGTAGGGAGCGGTCTCGGCACCGGTGGCAGTTGAGTCGTCGCGGCCGACGTCCTCGTCGATGTAGATAGAGGGGGCCATGGTGGATTGTCTATATGCCGGCGATGCGCCCACCAATTGAGTAAAGAAATTGGGGGGTAGGAGGGGATGGGGATTATCGAGGGATAGACCTGCGCGGAGCTCATTAATATTTGTGTCTCAGTGCCCAGGTGAGTCATCGGGTGATAGATAAGGGAAGGAGACTGCAAGATAAGTGGAAGGAAGGGATTGGCAGTCGGACTTGCAGCTCGGCTACCGAAGTATGAAAGATGAGAGTACCTACAATATTCAATGGCACACGCGCGCCCCGTGGGAATTTGTGGAAGAATCGGGTAACGTTGGAAATTGGATTGACCGGTGGAGGGGTAAATTTCGATAGGAACAGACTTCCCCACAGGTGCCTCAGGCAACACGGCAGAAAGACTGGATCAAAATGATCGCGAAGATCTAAGGGGAACCATGAGTCAGTGGGAATGAAAAAAAAAGATAAAATAAATAAAATAAAATAATATCTATGTCTGCCTTACTAGATGTAATATGTCTATGGAAACAGAAAAGCAATGGAGATTAAAAGAGGGAGAAAGTATAAATGGAGGATTTGGTCTGCAAGTCCATGGCACCACGAATGCAGTAAGGTTGATAATCCTGCGCCTCGTGCTGATATATGTGGGATATGCAGGAATATTGATCATGTGCGTTTGAAATATTCAAGGGGTGTTATTGGTGGAATAGTGGTTTAATTATTGGCATAATGAGTATATTATACATAGCATGTATATTATAAAGTTTTGTTTATTCAAGTTCATACTATTTACCTAGTACTAGGTAGTACATAATGAAAGTAGTACTTCCAAGATTGAGTTTATCCAAAGCAGCTGCATAATCTCGCCTACAATATATATACTCTCTTATTCCGTAGTATATTATCCTTTTCTCCACACTCGTGATGTCGTCACGTAAATTTAATCTCCCTGGCTGAATCTAGTCTAGTTCCGTTCTCCAGTTCGCATGCCAGGGGCGGAGGACGGGCGGTGATTGGTGGGGCCTGATCCAATTCTGCAGGAGCCACGGAACGTTGGTTTGGGGTGTAAACAGTGTGTGTTCGGAGAGTCTAAGTGTGTTTATTCACGATATAATGCAGGATGGGGGGCTTTTATAGAGCCTCATAGATAGTTGGTATCTGGCTGAATATCGTCAAATATAAGTATCTATCCATTAAAGAGACCTCTAGATCCCTTCCACTAGTATTATATAAATCTCCCCTTATTTTCAAATATTCCACCAGTTCATGGGCACAAGTTCGTTGTCTAGTATTCGAGTGGGTTTGACCCCCTTTCTCCTTTTTTTTCCCGCTCGTTTTTCGGTGTCTCCCTCCCCCCATTTGCCCATTTACTCGTGTTTCTTCTTTCTTTCTCTCCTCTCCCATCCTTCGTATACCTTGCTGGGATTCAGCATCCTTGCCGTTTTTCTTCTTCTTTCAATTCTTTTGTTTCCATCCACTCGTTTACTCCTCTTGGCTTGATACCATCCACTCGTACATCTCCCCCTGATCTTAGTTTCCCAGCCTTGTTCTGTTTGGGTTGCTCCCCTTTTCCCACTTATCCTCTTTCAGCTAATGACACTGCATTTCGATCTTTAGTCTTTATCTTTCTTATTTTTTTTTTTCATCTTTTTAGTCTCTTCTTCGTTTGTCTTTTTTTTTCATCTTTTAATATATTATTCTGGTTTGGATTTCACAATCTTTTCCAGTTTATATATTCAAACCGTGTGAAAAAAAAGTTTAGCCGCAGGTTCGTATCTCGTCTTCCCCTTGAACCCCAATATCCCTATATGGGAGATACACATTCCAATTAACATTGTATCCTATCTAGACACGTCGCCTTCAAAAGCTTCCGGTCTTCTTCTGCGCGCCGAACCTTTTTTCCCTTAGTTCTCCTTTTTACATCACTAGGAAGAATATCACCCCTCTCGATCCACCCTCGGTTACGTCGACTCCCTCTCGTCTCCTCCACCCCTGAACGGTGATCTTGATATCTCGCCCTAAATACCTTTTCGCCCCCCCTAATTCCTTGGAGAACTTCTCGAAACCGCCCCCTCCCCCCTGTTTGGATACTCGTATTCTATATTCGCTCCTTTTTTTATAAAATTTTTTTTAATCCTCCCTCCCCCTGAGGGCTGGATGTTTTTTTGGTTTCTGGCAGTCCTCTAAGCCTCGCCATGCAAACTTCGGATGCATCGAGCATCCCAAACAGTGCGCGTCTGATCCCACCTTCGAAATACAACTTGAACGGTGACACCGGTTTCTCCCACGGCGCCTATCATTCCAACCATAACCCCCAGGGCTTCTCCAACCGCTCGCGACGCGCCAATATCCCTGCTATAAATACTGCCGCCGCTCACCAGACCGCCGACATGGCTTCCGGTGCGGGCTTTGACATGAACTTCACCCCCCTCCTTCCTTCTCAATTGCTAGTAGGCAGTCCTTTCCAACCTGGAACCCCCTCCGCTTTCGCCTCTCCCCAATTCGCGAACTTCGGTGGCTTTCCCCAAGCCAATTCGAACGGCCATGTACACAACTCCCATAACCAACTGGGCAGCCCGACCCAGGGTATGCAGAACCCGGGTCTGTACACAGGTATGATGTCGGCCGATGGCCTGGGCGGTTCTCAGATGTTGAGCCCCCAATCGCCTATCAATGGCTTGGGTGGTCTGGGTAACGCAGCCATGGGCCCCGCCGCATCAGTGTCACCCGCAATGCTATCGAGCACCAGTCGTACCGTCTACTTGGGAAATATTCCCGCTGAAACAAGCGCCGAGGAAATTTTGAACCATGTGCGCAGCGGACAAATTGAGTCCGTTCGTCTTCTGCCCGATAAGAACTGTGCCTTCATCTCCTTCTTGGACAGCAGCTCTGCCACCCACTTCCACTCAGATGCCATCTTGAAGAAGCTGGCTATCAAGGGAAATGATATTAAGGTTGGATGGGGTAAGCCCTCTCAGGTTCCTACATCTGTTGCACTGGCCGTGCAGCAGTCAGGCGCCTCACGTAATGTTTATCTTGGAAACCTACCCGAAGAGACCGCGGAGGATGACCTGCGCGAGGAATTGGGCAAGTTTGGACCCATCGATACTGTAAAGATTGTTAAGGAAAAAGCAATTGGCTTTGTTCATTTCCTTTCCATCAGCAATGCCATGAAGGCGGTGACTCAATTGCCCCAGGAGGTCCAATGGCAAGCGCCCAAGCGCGTTTTCTACGGCAAGGATCGCTGCGCATATGTCTCCAAGACTCAGCAGCAAAATGCCGCGCAGTTCCTAGGAATTGCCCCAGGCTACGCACATGTCTTGAACTCGGCAGACCGGGACCTGATTTCAAATGCCCTTGCCCAACAGTCAGTTGCTGCAGCTGCGGTGGCCACAACCGCTGGCGGCGTCAACAACTTGGGCAACCGAACTATTTACCTTGGAAATATTCACCCTGAAACTACCATCGAGGAGATTTGTAATGTTGTGCGTGGTGGTCTCCTACATCACATCCGTTATATACCCGATAAGCATATTTGCTTTGTCACCTTTATCGACCCAACTTCGGCTGCGTCGTTTTACGCCCTCAGTAACCTGCAGGGTCTGATGATTCACAACCGCCGACTGAAGATCGGTTGGGGCAAACACTCCGGCCCTCTTCCTCCCGCCATTGCCCTAGCAGTGAGCGGTGGCGCATCACGTAATGTCTACATTGGAAACTTGGATGAAGCTTGGGCCGAGGAGCGACTCCGCCAGGACTTCATGGAGTATGGTGAAATTGAGTTGGTAAACACCCTGCGAGAGAAGAGTTGCGCATTCGTAAACTTCACCAACATTGCCAATGCTATCAAGGCAATTGAGGGCATGCGTAACCGGGAGGAATACCGCCGGTTCAAGATCAACTTTGGTAAGGACCGCTGTGGTAACCCACCCCGTCAAGCTGGAAACGGAGGTCAGAACTCTCAACAAAACCGCAATGGAAATGGCTTGGAAGGCCCTCAGTCTCCCACGCCTGCCTTGAATGGATTCCAACAAAACCTGAGTCAATCTGGCTCCCAGTCTAGCCCAACTCGCCCTGCTCTATCTCCCGCCCCGGGCTCTACTGGCTCTCAGAACGGACAGCAACGTCACCCCTTGCAGACTGTATCATCTCCATCCGGTGTGTTGAATGTCGGTTCGAACAACCCTTTGACTATGTATTTGAACCAGATGTCTGCTCAACAAGCGCAAGACCAAGAGAACCGCCTCAGTGACTCTATGACTTTGGCCGGCTTGCAAGGCCAGTCCCAACAATCTTCTCAACAGTCACTTTACAATGGAACCAGCAATGGTGACCTGTCCAATGGAAACATTGACGGACCATTGCACCAACACAAGTCTTCTGCCAATGGCTATTTGAGTGTGAGCAACAACTCTGGCCCGGGTCACCATGCTACTGCTAGCACCAGCAGTCTGAGTGTTCCTCGTGCACAGCACTCTCGGGCCGTGAGTCTGCCCTCATTCTCTCAAGAGCCCTTCGGACCAGTCTCTGGACAACCTGGTCACATTCGCACTGGAACAACCCACCAGCCTCAAGCCAGCTTCTCCAGCTTCTCATCTGGCTTAGGTGGTCTGAACCACTCAGGCTTTGGACTTGCCATCCAAAATGAAAATTCTCTACCTGGCTGGGCTGAAGAGGAAATTGGAGCTAAATAATCTACTCCCTCACCCATTCTCTAGAGATGCATACCTCGACTCAAACTCCCTTTGGTACTTTGATTGCATTTTCACCCCTCTTCTTCTCTTCTTCTTTTTGAAATATAGTTCTTTTTGATTGTGATGCCATCTTTTTTATCTTTTCTATTCTCCTACTTTGCTTTTATCTGCTTCGTTTCTTGTATTGGTCTTAATACCTTTCACACTTCTGACTCCTTCCTATCTCTCAACCATTCTATTTCCCCTTTCTTTTTCTCTTTTTTCACAACCTCCTATTCTCTATCTTTTATTATTACTCAATTGCTTTGGCTCCACCTTTGTCTTGTCCAAATCTCTTCTGTTCATTGCCAACGACCCCTATCCCCCTTTAATCATGTCTTTCCCCTTATCCTTATCACCTTGTATTGCTATATCTATGAGTCTTTTTATTTATTTTCTGCTCTCCTGATTCTGATTACATTTGTTTCTGTGGGTGTAAGTGAGTTGGTTAGGAGACGAGGGCTGAGCCGGTTTTTATTCTTTTCGCTTTGTGCTTTCTCCTGGATATACTGGCCAGACGACATACCATAGACATCCATGGATACGTTATGTTGAACACATAATGTATCCAGTCTGCGTTCCGTCGTCTCCCTCAAGTCCATTCTTTTTACAACCCTTCTCTTTATTGTCATGCCATTTGGCAGCTTGCATCGGGTGGTACTATCCAGTGGGCATACCCGTTCTTGCTCTAACCACCTCTTCGGTGGGTGATTCGGGCTACAGATGTGTAATTAGTGGAAAGTTACCAGGGAGAAATGAAATGAGTCGATGAAAATCATCAAAATGTTGCAGGATCGAACCTTTGTTCGTAGTCTTCTATGTAGATGATCTTAGGTATCTATTAAGATCTCTCATTAAGCGTGTCATCCACGGCGTGCACAAGTGCTCTATCCATGAAGTGACATTAGATACACGACATCATGATACCTCTCACATACCTTGTTACGCACCAGATCAATATCAAAATCCAATATTACCAACTCACTCGAGCTCTTCGTTCCACCTTCTCACCGCTATCTTCTTCCATGTGCACTTGGAACTCCGGAGTAGATAGTCGAAGCGAGGACATCAAAATTTCCGCCACCCCTGGCCCCCGGGCTACAAGATTAACCATGCACATGAAGTCTCATTAGAAAAACCAACCACAAATGACGATATCAAAACCTCGCAAATGATATCCCAAAAAAAGCACTGAATAATTCAATGCGGACTTCAAGAAACTCCGGACTCTCTCGCCTACCATCATGTTAAGAGGGCCAAGAGGCATCAACCAATACTTCAAGGTAGACGATATCACAATTCGAAGCGGTCAATTGCATCATCGCCACCGCCAAGATCTCTAGAAAGGTAGATAGCTGCAGGAATTAGATCACCGGGCTGCAGGAAGAAGAACCACAAGGCTACTGTGCTAGCCTTGCTCGCTCTTCCGGCCCCCTGCCGGGGTTCGACGCCAGCGTCAAAATGGATGGATGATCTTTGAGTCAGCCCCAGTAGTTAATATGTACTGTATCGCGGAGATTATCGCAATGAACCTCCAATGATCGTCTGATGTTTCAAGGTTCACGCTATAACCTAGCATCTAACACCTAATTGGGACTGGGTCATGTTGGGTTGGTGGATGGGGTGGCCCCAATGCCCATCGCACAGCCCTTGGGGCGGGCGGGATGGCATGGCATCGATTCGCACCAGTTCAATGATATGATTGATATTCTCCACATCCATGTGGCGAACGTGATGAAAGAGCCATGTGCCCTTTCTGCGGATTGCGTATCATCTACTTTAGAGTGATTTTTGGAGTTGGTCGATCGAAATGTTGTATCGTTGCATCTGTGGTGGGGACGTGATTCATTGCGACGGAATCAGGTTCATTGCCAACCACTCTGCTGGCGCTGTGGCTGATCTACCAGCCTATTGTCTGCGAGCTTGGTCTTGGAGCGGAAATTGTTGCGTTGGTTTATCCGGTAGGCTGGTGCAAAAGAAATGATATTCATAATAGAGTTCATGATGCTTTGATGATATTTTCTTGGTGTGTGAATGAATCTTGTTGGTATCCAGTTAGCTTTTGGGTTTCAACTTCTTTGTTTGTTTTTTTATTATTGTTATTCACATAATACAGTATGTAGGTTCCGCTAACTTCCGTGCGAGTCATTTATTGTCTTTTGGGTTTGATTGTTTTCTTGGTATTTGTTAGGTTGGTTGGAGATTCAGTATGGTATGTTGTATGCTGTAGCTTGACTCAGTTCGATATAGTAATATACAATAATTTGTTTCGAGTATGCTCAGCTCAGCTTAGGTCGGACTCGGAGCTGGACCGATACAGCCACACTGCCACGTGGGGAGACATGCGGGGTTTGGTTCTTTGGGGCTTAATCGGGTATTATCGGCGATTTAGAAGTTTCACGCCTTATGGAGGGGGGAAAGAAAACCCCCATTGGAGCAATTCAAGCTTGTGAAGATAATGAGAAGGGGGGGGGGGGGCTGTCAGATGTGACTGGCAGGTAGGTCGGGAGGTGATCTCAATGCCGGAGTCTACGTTGACCTTTGATTACTGCTTCAAATCAAATATTACAGCAGAACAAGGAAAAGACGAATCAAATATCCAGTATCCAGTATCCATTATAGAAGAATAAAGAAGAGAAACCAACAATTTCATGAGAACAAGATAGAAGAGAAAAAAAAACAAGAATATCCCATGTAAATCGCCCCCTCATTTCCTGCCAGACTTCAAGAAACTCTGCATAACTCATCATCCAATATGCACGATAAACACTCGCGCGATCTCTCATTTGGAAGGAGTCTACTTTTAACCGCAGTCCAGAAGACCTCGAAAACAGGACAGATCAGTCAGCCTGCATGCCCTGAAACAGCTTGCTCTGCATGCATTATGCAGCCGATCCAGTCCATGTCGCGAACCGAGACCACGATCTGGCGCCAACTGATCTCACGCTGCGTGTACTCGTCTTGCCATTTGATGCGGGGAATAGGCCATTCTCCCTGTTGACTGGATGGACACACGTATAGACCTGCAGCACTCTTACTACTTCAACGGAGTACGGAGTAGGCTATGCACACACCTCTCCGTAGATATGATGCGATGTTGCATGATGGGGATCATCACGACTACTTTCTTGCCCTGTTAGGCTTAAGTGTATTCTACACGAGCATATATGTAATACCATTACCCGTTCGTCTTTTCGCGGCTTATTCGGTCTTTGTAATTTAATAGAGTGTTCAAAATGTTCAATGTTAGGAAGAATATGAAACGAGAGAGAGTTAGGCCACCCGTCCATAGAAACCCGAATCAGGTCTAATTTTTTTTGTCTTTTCTTTTCTTTGCATCCTTTCTTCAGGAATCAGTTGCCTGAAGAAGCACTCTTCAGTTTATACTTCTAAACTTCTTTTCTTCTGCTCGGGGAGATCCCGACGTGAAGATACCCGGGCACGCCGCTGAAGAAAATCCCTCCCCCCTCCGGTTTCCGTGCCCGCGTTCTCCGTATGTCCCGGTCGCACTCGGAATTACCGTGGTGGGAACGAGCACACAAGGCGTCCCATGGTGAATTTTTAAATAAATCAAGTCGGACTCGGCTTCGGCCGAGCCTATTGCCAGAATAATAAAACGTCCAATTAATGGTGGCTGGATTGTAGTATTAGCTTGGGTATATTAATTTGTGAGTGGGCGTGGGTGGGGTGGAACAACGAGTGAGGCTCTTCTATTTTAGTGGTTGTCGAGTCCATTGGACTTTGATACCACATTTGAACAAAGCCTTAGTATTGGCTCTGTCGTATGCTTGAAGTGGCGTTTGTTATGGAGTATGAAGAGTCATGATACCTAAAGCCTTGTTGGGCTTCATGCGCAGGTGTTGCATCAACCATACAGGACACAGGTAAAGCCTTCTGCGAAGTGAAGCCTTGTATTCAGCCTTGAAGATCTACTAAAGCACGAATTTTTTTGGAATAGTGTTTGAACTTAATAATTCCAAATGGTTGACCGAGTATCTTAATGAAATATGTATATATTGATTTTATACTTTTGTTCACACTAGTAATTGTCCACTACCAGCACTGGCAGATGTCGGAGAGGACAGATCATGGCCTCCGGGTCCCGATAAAGGTTCGAAGGATTCACTTATTGATTTTTGATTATTCTGCAGAATCGAGGCTGTCTTAATTTGCCGATTTGGCCTCCTGCCCACCATTTTGACAGACCGAAGGGAAAAAAGAAAAACTTTGAATTACACAGTCAAAAGTTAGCCGTGCATATTCTCGTATCAAAATCCACTCTCAATGCCGTCCCTCACCCGTTTGCCCCATGAAGATCAGATCATAAGGTGGGTTAGCCAGAAGGCTTCGGGCTTTGCAGAAGTCGCACAACATCATTATGACCCAATTCTTTCTTCACAGCCACGGAGATCACCGAGTAAAAGCGAAAATTAGGTATGCTGTATCCACATGCCTACACACCCGTACAGGGTAAGAAGTGCGCACCTACTACGGAGCCGAACCACAGATTAGCGGTGGAACCCTCCGAATATTAACGGAGTCTGGGTCGAAGATTCTCCAGGTTTGGGGGCGAACCACACACAGATCAACGGGATGATTTGTCTCAGATTTCAAGGACAGTTCTAGACAATTAAAAATCTTACTGTACTCGCGCAACCGAAATTCATACCCGATTTAGGCAAGGCCTTTCGAGAAAAGAATAGAAAATACTCTAGGCTTTGGAATGAAAAATACATTTGTGAATTCTAGACTGGAGGACTATGACCCCCGCCAAGATACCACAAGCAGATTTCTTACAGTGAGAGATAACAAGAGAGACATGGCACACTGATCTTAATTGCAAATGTTCTTGATGTGGTATAGTTGTGTTGCCCCAACACTTCTCAATGCGACACGATCAAAAGCCGACGGCGTCACTCTGCTTTTTTCCCACACAGACCCCCCTCCCTCTATCCACTGAC